CTTAGGCATGATTTTTCTGTTTGGTATTTAGTGGAATTTAAAAAACTATTCCTAACATACTAAGTACATACATACTTCTATGATAAAAAATTATGACAAGGTTTAGCTCTGGCGAGGTTTAGGGGTTAGCAGGTTTAGCAATGCTGAGGGTTAGGAATAAGTAACGAGATTTAGTGCATGATCAACAATTCACAAAGGTTTCGGCGCTTCGCACCATAAGGTTTAGGTAAGTGACTGTGCTACTTTGTATTTACTTCTATTTATTCTAGGTATACTCATTTTTGTCACCTGGTTGGGCGTTTGGGCATTGGGCGTCCAGACTCCAACTTTGAGGTCCCCTATTGATCCTTCAACACGTGATACAGCGCATGTCAGTTGCCATTTGTCAGGTCTTTGGTTGTCGCTCTATCGCTTTATAATGAGGATATTCGCGAAACAAATATATTTGGGACGGAACTACAAGACATGGTACGAGTGCTAAGCTAATGGGCAAAAGCATGTAGCACTGACCGGCCCCAATCGGAGATCTGCCCAGGAAAAAGAGGTGAGCTGCGAGGGTGGGCAGCCAGCCTCACACAGTTCTAATTTGGGAGATTTATGTTGATCAAGTCCATGAGAGCGGTTCGACATAATTGTGAGCCGCACCATCGAAGAGCTTTGGCTAGGCGATGGTGATAGGGAGTGGAGGGTGGGGAAAAGAAAAGAGCTCGACGACAGCTATGTCGACGGCTTTGCTAGTGGTAGAGCGGAAACAAGAGCCGACAGCTTCTTCCACTTGACCAAAGACCAAACTCTAAGATTTCGCTCGTGCCTCGCTTCGTCATAGAGTGACAATCTTTGGTTGTCGCTCTATCGCTTTATAATGAGGATATTCGCGAAACAAATATATTTGGGATGGAACTACAAGACATGGTATGAGTGCTAAGCTAATGGGCGAAAGCGCGTAGTGCTGACTAGCCCCGATTGGAGATCTGCCCAGGAAAAAGAGGTGAGCTGTGAATCTCCCAAATGAGTAGGAGTCCGCAACGACGCATCGCAGCGAAGCTGTGGATACCCGTCAAAGTAGGAGGGAGGGGACTCACCATAGAGCAAAGTACTAAGGGTTGCTGGGCATTGAGAAATGAATGAATTCTTCGTGAATGTCTGGGATAGCTTGCATGTAGGGCGCCATGATTTGCACGTGCTTTCGGAGATATAGCTGAAATGTGTCGCTAGCCCAACGTCCCTTCGTTTTCATGACTTCGAAGGGGATGTTGTGAAGTAGATATTCGAGCGTGGATCCTATGCGGATGCCATGACCTTGCAGGGGATCCATTCCTCCTGCTCTGGCAGCTTGGGCTAGACGGCTGATGAATTTCTGCTTCATTAACGCGCGGTGGCCGGCTTTGAAGTGATATGCGAACAGGGGCCCTCCAGGAGGAGGTCTGTTGACTTCTAAATGTTGGAGGAGTGCCTGTTCGGGATCTGAAGGTCCGTTCTGGCGTGCGAAGGATACGTCTTCGCCTTCTCTAGAGGTCTTCGTGCAGGGAATGCGAAAGACCCTCATTTCGAGGTTGTTGCGGTCTCGTTCGATGCACATATCTGATGGTTTAACATGAATTTCTGCATTGAATGAAGGGAGGGTAGGAATTGTGAACTCTCCTAGCCGAGCAGTGCAGTAGAAGGCGGTTGTCAGGCAGCTGAAGACTGCAGTGTCCAACGGTGAGTCTAGGTTCAGTTGGTTGTGGAGCGAACAGATGAATTTGACGGTGTAAGGCCGTCATTTCTTGCGTTTTGAAGTATGAGGCGTGAGGTTCTCTGAAGCTTTGAGTAGGGCTTCTATTTGCACGTCGTTGATGGCCCAGTCTAGGCCATGGAGGATGTGCCACGCTCGGACACCGATCACATAGTTTGAGATCGTTTTTCCGGAGTATGAGCCGGCTACGAAGGCAATAAAAGCGGCAATGAGAACTGAGGAGGTGGGGGCACAGTCTAGTTCTGGGATTGCGCGAGAATCACAATATACGTGGTATATGAGGAGGCTGGAGCCGTATGACTCGTGGGTGCTTTCGGCCCATGTGTGGCACATTACGTCCTGGATGCGGGCTATGTCATCCATTGCAAGGGAGCTAGGTCTGGACCTTGATGAGAGTGTAACCCAGAGGTGAAGGTGGTGCTTTGCTGCACAATGCGGGCATAAAACGGAGGGCAGCGGGTTGAGATCAGGTGGATAAGCTGGTGCGGGTTAGTGAGTGGTATCTGTATGTTCTATCAGGACGAGCGGGGACATACTATACTTGCGACATTTGGAAGAGCTCTTCTCCTTGCCGCTCGAGTGTTTGGTTCTCGAGGGCTCGCTCAGTGTCTTGGCAGATAGGACGTGCTTTGGGGGGCGCGAGAACCGCGATAGGGCGACGGTGACTTGTGCGCTCGCTTGGTTGTAGAGGGGCGTCAAAGTCTGTGATGAAGTCACTGATAGTGGGAGGGATAGGAATGGGGGGCAAAAGAAGGGTGCAAGAAGGGTACCTTCCACATGATGGGCCGTCTGCAGGGTTGAGAGCGCTAGGGACATAGCGTGTAAGGACGTGACATGAAGCAGACTGAGTGGCATTGTGAACATGCTTGAAGACGGAGTTGGTGGGGCGGTTGCGGCTGCGGCCCTTCCACCATCCTTCCACAACTCCTCTGTTGTCTCCGTAAACCTTGAAGCAAGGGACCAGGTTGGGTTGGGAGGCTTGTATGATACTGAGGACGAGGAACTCGAATCCGACAGCTTCAGCCCAGCCAATGTCACGGCTGTCGGCTTTCCAACCTGGTAAGAGACGCCAGGTGCACCACCATCCATTGATCCAAATTGCGAATGCCCACACCTGAGCTAGCATCAGAGAAGGCATTGGGGTCGGTGACAATGCAGGAGACCGGCACGGGCCTGCTGATGGAAGGTTGGCGAAGAGTCGTGGACCACCATCTGAGGTCGGCAGCACAATTTCTAGGTGGGGTATGAGGCACGAGAGGACGGGCACTGAAAATGGAGAGCATGGCTTCCAATTCAGTGATGTAGGCTCTACCTGCAGGAATGACGAGCAAAGCGTGAAGTAACTTGCCGTGAAGTTTCTGTACTTCGAGTAGGACGTGGCAGGGTTGGGATTCCCATGCCAATATGGCTTCCAGGTATTTCTTCTTTTTGCTGTCTGGGATCTCGATGGTGCAGTTGTTGAGATCCCAGGTGAAGCCCGTGAATGGCAAGCTGGAGTGAAATGAAATGTCCTTAGAGATCTCCCACGGGGTGCCTGTCTTGGAAGATATGGAGTTGATGTCAGTCCATGCAATAAGAGAATTTGGCATCTTTGGTGGATCATGCTGAATTTTGGGATAGATCAAGGATGGGGAAAGCAGCAGTCTTCGTCATATTCTTCTGGCTGGTCGTTTGGTAGAGTGGCGCCTCGATACCACTTTCGACCGCCATCTATGCATAAACCGCCTGGTCGTGGATGCTCTGGGCCCAGGCTTTGCGCTGCTCATTGTATTTACCCAGGTACTCTAGTAATATGCGGAAGAATAAGTGGTCGTCGACCCACTTCGACAGGGGGCCGATCCCTTCGCTGCGGAAGATATCAGCACCCACATCTGCAAGTCCCCCATAAGATCCGGCTGCTGAGGAGCAGCCGAAGCAGAAGCTCATATCAATGGCGAAGAGGTCCTTGCCTGTGCGGACGACGAGACCTGCATATTGGGACGGGTGGAGGGGAATTGTTCTGTACGCCTCGGCCACGTCGCGTGTTGCTCCTTGAGAGCCTGGGGGTAGGCGCCATACCAGTAAGCATATAGTAGCAAATGTACCATAAGTACAGGGATAGAGGTTTGAGTCAATAGAGGAATTAATGGAGGATATGGGGTGTATAAGAGAGGAAGAGTTATGCGATAAGTTTTGGATGATGCGGAATTTACCGGGTTTCCCTGGCTTGGGAATAATAGATAGCAGCGCAGTTTGGAATGGTCCGATGAGCGCCTCAACTTCGGCTTGCGAGAGAGGGCCCAGGTACTGTCCAGAGCTAAATTCTCAATCAAGGATTGAGGCAAAAGCATCAGCGTGTTCATCGATGGACGGATTATTAGGTGGAATGTAAGTAGATGTGATGGGAGGTATGCTACCAGTAAAGCCATACTGTAATGAATGAGGTATGTTTGGGTATGTAGAAATGAGTCCGGATTTAATAAGTAAAAGGCACCAGGCATTGGTGTAGTACGGTGTGAGAGCGCTAAGCTTCCTGGCCTCGAGGACACTTTTGAGTGCCGTGATCCGAGCTTCCACATCCAGAGCAATCGTGGATGTGATCTTTGCTGGTGCTTGAGCAGCTGTTGGGGCGTTGCCAGTCGTAGCATAACTGTAAGCCTTGGGTGTTGACGAGGCGTCCCTCTGGGCTTCTTCGGCAGGAGGTTGGTGTCTTGTTGTCCCATAGGAACTCGCTCTTGCACTTGTGGACATTGTGTGCGAATCGGCCAGAGGCATAAAGTGCAGGTGTGAAGGCCAGTCGGGGCTGCGCTGCTCTGAAAAGACTGCTTATCTTGTCCCATTTGTTTGTTGTCTTGTCGGGGCCGATTGCAACTGGGGGAGGGGGCGCGAGGCGGCAGGCGTCCTGAGGTGTTTCGAGTGGGAGAACGAGAGCAGGAGCGCGTCTGACGAGGTGGTATGCGAGATTGGTGGCGCTGGGACAGAGTCTGTGAGTCCCGCATTTTCTGTTGGGCTGACATTGCTAGCTGGAGCTGGGTTGAGGGAGCGGGGTTTGATTCAGTGAGGGAAGTGGGGTAGGAGGGACCAGGGACGGTGTTTTAAGGAAGAAATGGGAAGCAGTAGCAGCAGGGATGGGGTCGGGAGCGGGAGCATTGTAGGGGAAGCAGGAAGCGATGGAGCAGGGTGTGAGTGGAAGCGGTGGGGGAAGAGGAAGCGGAAGTGTTGGTGGGAGCATAAGTGGAAGTGGTGGTAGTGTGTTTTTGTGGCAGGGGAGTGACGAGAAAGATGATCAGAATTCGAAAATTTTAATCGAGGAGGGGTATGTACCTCCAGTCAGGCTTTCAATGCGCGATTTGTTCCAAACTTCTTTGGTCAAGTTTTTCAACAGCGTGGTGTTGAAAACGCTGATGTCGAAGGCATTGTCCAGGGTAAGGGTGTCATGCCAGTCCCAGCGGACACAGGCAGCGTAGAGGAGTAGAGCACGTTCACCCAAGGGTTCAGCGCGTTGTGGGTGGGAGACAACATTCATGAAGAACATGGTGATAGCGCGTTGGTGCTTCTCCGGCCAGTTCAGTTTATTGATGTATAACAGAAAGCTATTCTTCGCCATGTTGAACTGCCTCCACTCAAGACTATGGTCTTGGATGGCCTTGCGCGAGGGTTTGAAAGCAGCGACTGCCTTTAACGCTATGAAGTCATCGACTTTCGTAAATCCGAACGTGCCATCTGCCGAAGATTTGGCTTCGTCTGCAGTGTCCTTGCAGCCGTCTGGGCTGAAGTACCACAGTTCGACGTACTCGAAGGACTTGAGCTTGTGAATGGCATATTGAGAAGGGCGATGGGTAAGAGTATCATTAACAGAAACTCCTGCCTTAAAATCATTAATCTTTGGTTTCTTCTTTTCGGCCTCTCGGCATTCATCTTCGGCTTCCTGCTCCTGTGCAAGCCGTTCTTGCTCAGCGCGTTCGTGTTCCGCTTGGTTTGCTTCTGCTGTTAACCGGGCTTGCTCGTTTACTTGCAGGGTCCATGCTGCGAGGCGGATGTCTCGGTCTTGCCGCCAGCCCGTGATGAGCTCGTTGGCGGCTTCATCGTGGGTTACCTGTGTGTTTCCGATGATGCGGTTTCTTATGCCTTGGAAAGTTATAGACGCAAAGTCAGGTTTGATGTCCAACGCTGGATCCGATGCAATGCAGGCCATGTTGGGGATTAAAGAGATGGTAAAGGAATGGTTTTAAATTCGAGAGATTTAAGTAAAGGAAAGGCATATTAGTTTGAAGAAAAGAAAAGAGCTCGATGACAGCTATGTCGACGGCTTTGCTAGTGGTAGAGCCGAAACAAGAGCCGACGGCTACTTCCGCTCGACCAAAGACCAAACTCTAAGATTTCGCTCGTGCCTCGCTTCGTCATAGAGTGACAATGAATCTGCAACGGAAGCTTCGTCATCATGGTGAAATATGCATTTGCATTTGTCCAGCGTTCAGTGCGCAAGTGGCTGCCATGTCACGTACGCATCTGCATCCTATTGTCCACCAATCGAGTGTCAAACTGATATTATAATTACTTACTACATATAAGTCCAACTAAATCTGTGCACTTCAAACAAAACATACCGTCATCCACCAGCATATTAATGACACGTCATTGCAAATCAACTGGCGACCAAAGGTGTGACAACTCTCTGACCTTTTTGGGGATCCATGACATGCTGGCAGTCTTCCCCGGAGGCGCAGTGCTTCGGACCATGTTGGCACGAGTGAGACTCCTCTGGGCGCTACCGGTGCATTGTAATGCGGACCCAAACTTTGTACTAAGTGCGGTATCCAGGGTTCTCTAGGAAATAGACCGTAGTACCAAGGTAAGTAAGTAGAAGGAGACTCAAATCACACGAAAATGACCCGAAAGCTTGAGTTTCCTAATATGGCCCACTTCAAATGGCGGCCATCACTCGCAGGCAGCGCTGAGCGTTGAGCTTGCATGTGGTACTCAACATGCAACGAATACGTGTCCCACGAAAAGCTGCAGCTTATCTTTATATGTATCAAGTCGAAGGAGGTGTTGGAACGATTTTTTTGCGGCACAGAAATTGGAAACGGTTACCCCGTGCTACCCCGTGGGCGTTGACACGGATGGACCATCTAGTTGTCTCGTTCCAATGACGGCATGACACCTATGTTTTTCAACGCCCTCGCACGCATCACCTAAATACTGGAAATCACCGGGCCGGCTCTCAATTCAAAAGACAATCGTAGGGCTCAATTAATGACTCTGGTATTCCCCATTCCATTGAATACCCGTTGGCGTCACGGAATATCCTCATGTTGGGCCAAAAAGTCTGGTTGATTACTGGTACGTATCCTCGTTCACAATAAATCGTTACATCTAGTATCACACTTCATTACAGGGACATCATCTGGCTTTGGTCGTCGTCTTGTGGGCCTTGCGCTTGCAAGAGGGGATCGTGTTATTGCGACGGCTCGTACATTGAGCAAAATCGAGGATTTCCCCAAGCACCCAGACCTTCATCTCATGAAGCTCGATGTAAATGCTAGCACAGAGGAAATCAAAGCGCGAATAGATCATGCTGCTCGTGTATGGCATGGTATCGATGTCTTGGTGAATAATGCAGGCAACGGACTGCCTGCGCTTCTCGAAGAGGGAGGGTATGCACGCCAACCCGCGAGCTCTGTGAATATTGTTCATGTTTATACACATACAGCGCCTCGCACATGCTCCGCCAGTTTCAAACAAATCTTTTCGGGACGTTCAATGTTTGCAATGCAGCACTCCCCCACATGAGAAAGAGTGAGTGTTTATCGCAAGGATTCAAATCTCTCCCTTGCTGGATGACGTTTTAAAGAACGCAATGGCACAGTTGTGGTCATCGGCAGTAGGAGTGCATGGAGGCCGGAAATCAGAGTAAATAACTTCAGGCTACTGCATCCAACCAGTTGAAGCTCACTCTGATATGTAGGGTCTTGGTAATAACGATATTTTGGCGAGTAAAAATGGCAAACCACTTACCCGTTTTCTTCCCAGGATTTTATGCTTCGAGCAAAGCCGCTGTACATGGTGAGTAAACCTGCGACCTAATAAATCCGGAATGAGTTAATTACTTGGCTTCACTAGCCATGAGTGAAACACTGGCGCTTGAGCTGAAGCCATTCAACATCCGGGTGTTGCTCGTGGAGCCAGGGGCGTTCCGTACCGAGAACATCTACAGTCACCAGTGGGACTGCTCCAATCCTATCCCGGATTATGACGAGCAACGTGCTGACGGAAGCGTGAACTTCTCCAAGCCTGCTGGGAGACAACCAGGCGACCCGGACAAAGCTATGAGCATCGTTGTAGATGTGGTGAAAGGAGAGGGCTGTGCCGCAGGCCGAGAATGGCCTCTGTATCTTGTGCTAGGCAGGGACGCGGAGGCCGACATTAGATATAAGTGCGCCAAGGTTCTAAAACACCTTGACGACTGGAATGACGTTGTCAGAGGGGTTGATATAGCATGACTTGGGCACGATTTCGGACTTCCCGGAGCATTTAGAATCCTAGATTTTGATTTCAAAAAAATCGGAGTGTCGCCTTCGCACTTCGCCACAATTTGGAAACGCTTTCCAAACCGCAGGTTTATAGTACTGTAACTTAAAATTGTGAGGTGTGGATGGTAAGCGTCGTCGTGGAGTTTTAAATTGGGGGGGTGAGCTATCTAGAATACGTTTAGATCCCCTTCCACTTTGGGCCGCTGTGCGGCACGTCTGTATTGCTGTAACGACTCGCGTTTGGAGTGAGTTTTGACGTAGGGGGCTGGGGGCGAATCTGACCCCTAAGTGTAATGTATGCTAGAGTCGATGTGCCACCATCTCGCTTTAGTGGCCTTCCAACATCAATGTAGAGTAGAGCAGGTAGATCAAGGGGATATCCCACGCAGCAGAAGTATACTACACCTAAGCACTGTTGTTATTCAATCCCCGTCCACCTATGGAAAAGCTCCCGGTAAATCCGCTGGGGATACCCATGGAAATACCCTCGCCGAGCTTCAGACCTTCAAGGTCCTTCACCATCATGCCCAATCTCGCCATCTTGAATCGATCTTTAAGCCCCTTGGAAGTAATGTCTGTTGCAACATCCTCCGCATCGACATTCTCGTTGAAGCGAGTCTCGAACTGGCCCCAGTCACTTCGTTGCGCAAGATAGGGCTTGAGCAGTGCGGAATCGATACGTCCGAGGTAATTTTCTGTGATATAAGATTTGAGGATCTCAGGGCGCACGAGAAAGACATTGCCGAGTTGTCTGATGAACTCGAATCGTTCGTGCAGAGCGGGGATATTGAAGGATGCCACCGTATCTTGGTACGACTTGAGGTCTCTGCAAGTTGAATTGATGTTGGTAGTGGGGAGCATGATATTGTAAAGACCCTTACTTGGCAAGCATTAATCCTCCTGTTGCGCTAACAGGAAATTTGCGGAGATGATCAAGTAGTAGACTAAGAGACCTGTTGAGCATCATATGGATGACTTTCAAACGGCTGTAGCAGACCTGTGGAAGGATACACCTATTTCGGTGAGAAAAGCCTCCCTGTTCTTACCGCTAACATTCTGTACCGCCGCATCTCTCACTTTCTCGAGCATTTCGCAACAAGCTACGCAAGGTTCTGTGTTGACACGAGCAAATGAGAGGTCGTCATTCCGTGGTTTGAAGTCATTCTTCTTTTGTTTCGAGAGCTGCAGAGAAAGCCAACATATTATGGCTGGATGTTGCACGAGGGTTAACACGAATTGACGGGCGGGGTGAAGGACTTGCCATCTGTGACACGTTGTATCAACGTATTTGCCGCTCCTTCGGTCCTGCTGACAGTCTGGTTGTTGAAGATGGTCATTTCACGCCGAGTAGTGACGGATGACGCTGCTAGCGGAAACAGTGCCATATTGGTATATTGTTGCCACAGATGGCATATGAGGTCTACTGAGCGCAATACTTCGAGTGGCTGTAGACTCGGTTCGAGCTTCGGGTCAGCAATTTCAAGACGAGCGATCGCTCTACGCGACAGGATTAGATATGCCATTACAGTTCGCAAAACACTCACGAATCTATTGCAGTTTCCAGATACGCGGCGCTGATGGCTTCCGCCAACACTCTCAGGAGAGTAAATGTGTTCTTGGGGCTGCAGGGATGTGAGCGATGCCAGGTATTATGTACTGCAACACGGAACTGACACGTCGTTCTGGGATGTGAGCTCCACACATCTCCCAACAGCTTCCGCATGCCACTTAAGCATCTTCTCCGCAACGTCAATGCTCAGCAAACCATCTTCTTCCCGCACGGTGTCTTCTAAGCTCTTGTCCTGCATTCTTTCTGAGCTTATGCCTCCATATCGCATAATTAGCGCTGCCGCCTGTGCAGATGTGCTCGAACCACCAGACGTCGTAGTATTTGCGGCAGCAGCTCCGAGCCTGTCCACCATACGGTCAAACATCGAGGACTTTCCTTTCTGCATTCTCATCTGCGTTACAATAGATGAGCACGTTCTGCAGCAAAGACATTAAATACTTACATGATATCGAGTGAAATTCACAAGAAGCCCCGCGTAAAGTTCGCCGAGACTCTTGCTCTCTCTGTCAAGATATTTCTGACCCTCAATATATGGTACAAAAAGTTCTGCCATCGCATTTTCTAGCATGGCGCTCACAACGGATGTCGTCGACGTTCCAGAAGCTGTAAGTGCACCAGAGAGAACCCTACGAAACTCTGTTACTTCCAGAGATGACTTGCTGGGGGTTAGAGATGGGAGCTCGTGAGCTTTCAGGTCTTCGACCAGGTTGGATGTCTGGTTATGCACCAGTTGTAAGATCCGCAGGTAAGCCAAATCAGAGAGAGAAGAGCCTTTGGTCAATAGCTGCTCCATGTATTGTTGAATCTGCAGAAAATCAGAAACTATCATTGTTATATAAAAGATCCGCTGTCTCACAGACTGAGCAAAAACACGCTGCAGGAAAACCTGCATGACAATTGGTGGGTTTGGGAATACTGCCTGGACAATCTGTGATTCCTGCGCAACAGTCGCTCGTATTTCTCCGAACAACTCTGCGAGGCCTGATTCTGTTTTAGGCGGGCTTTCGTCCGGTTTGGACACAGTATTCCACCTTTGCGTGTAATTGTAAGAATAAGCATTCTGAAGCTGATGGAGAACGTACAGTAGGTCGTCATTGTGGTTTGCAGTGTCGCGAACCTTATTCATGAAGAAATCGTGTTGATTAACATAAATCTGAACACAAGATGCACCACCATTAAAATCCAATAATGTTTGTGCGCAATGCTTAACGAAATGTTAGATCCTTATAACACACCGAAGACAAAGAAACACACATGCATCATCTTCGGGTCTCCCTTTCGGTAGCATCGGTCAAACAGATATATCATGTCTTTCTCGAACTTCTCGCAGTATTTGTCAATTGTCTCTCGGGTCTGAATTTCTGTTTTATCACTGGATGGAGGAAAGGACAGTAAGTAATACCTTGTCTGCACTGGGAAGATCGACCTCTCGAGCCACGGTCGTGAGTCGACGCAATATAACGGCAACTTGGCTTCGGCCTTCTCGACCTTCTTTCTTCAAAGCATCCAAACGTGAAGTATCCCCGCGCGAAAATTGGTTGTAGTAATTGATGAGGTCATGGGCGGCCTGGGCTCTCTGGCGTTCAATGTGAATGGATTCCAGCTGTTCACCTGATGTCGAAAGTTAACAAGAGTATTGGACATGTTGGTGGAAGCCACCTATTCGGACTGCAGTGCGTCCAACGTCATTCATCTTGCTTTCCATTGTCGAGAAGGATGACCCAACAGCCTGAGTATGATGGTCAACCAGGACAACCTACAGACTGCGCAGGGAAACGTACTTCAAATCCTCGGTTCAGGTCTGCCATCTTCTTCGAGTACTCTCTTTCTGCTACTCGGACGCTCTTTTCCATCTGCTCCGTCTTAGTCTGGACATCCTTGCGCACACTGATCAACTTGTCCACAACCGCTTCGAATGTTCGTATGAACGGCTTGGGATCGAATGCTAGGCAAAGCAGGAAGAAGTGAGACATTGTTAAAATGAGAGTACACACACGCGTACGTCCAGGGCTTGCCTTCGATTGCGTGATTAGTCTCTCAGATATGGATCCAACGAATTCTTTAACATCGAATTTGCCCTACTCAACATCGACCATCAGCACAGTGGCATGCAGTGTAAACAATTTATGCACCTCAAAATTGTTGATACGTAGTTGTTCCTCAGTGGCCGGATCGAGGTCGCCAAAATGCTGCATGTTGCAACTTGTACTTACCAAGACGTTGACTAGCCGAAGCGTAGTGGAACCTGTTTACTATTGTTGAAAGCTAAAGTGTCTGCCCAAATTTAGTAATACAATCTCAAAGCAATCTTTTCAAAGTTTATTGGTATTGCGTTCTTCTTGCCCTGCTCTTTCCATTTCCTAAGCAATGGCGTCTCCCCATCCGCTGAAATCACTGCTTCAGCTACAATTAGCCTCGGATGCGTCTTCAGTTTTACATCTGTCCTTTGTGCTGTCAACTCTATCAGAGGATTCCCTGTCTCCTTCGCCTCATCTTCAGAAATGGACATCCCGCGTGACTTCCTTGATTCATTCAAAAGATGCCGGAGCCCGGTGGGCTGGCATGTGCATTGCATACCGTACTTCGTCGCTATCCAAGGCTACGATGACAGAGTATGCTCAGAGCTGGGCAGGACTCGCGATGTCCATCCTTACAGTTTGTGAGATGCATTTATCTTGATGTTCAGATGCCTAATGTATTACTCAAGAAACCTGAACCTCTTCCATTGCTCAAGGCTTCAATAAGATACCTTCGACATGTACTCAGCGCGGCAACCGACGTGCCAGAGTTCCAAAGGCAACTGGCCACTCCTACCGTTCCAAAATTTAGCCAGGCGCTAGCATCTATCGTCGAAAAGGCTGCAGATTACGAACTCAAAGTGGGTGCATGATGTTCATGAAATGAACAGGAGTCTGAAATCAATACATCAGGCTCTAGCGATTGACACATTGAAGGACATGGTTATTTTGTATCCTTCATTAAATAGAGCCTCGAGTCCCTCTATCACAGATATGTGCCATCGAATCCTTAATGGCTCTGCACCACAATGCACGAATAAATTGCTGCTCCATAGCGCAGCAAGCCTATATGCTGTTCTTCATTATACCGGAGGCAAGGTTGGGGCAGCAAACTTGTGGAAGAAGTCTGTGGATGAGACCCTTCAGTGTCTCTGGGCTTCTTCGATGGGTCTCAGAACTACATTTCCAGGCAAGATCCCGATATCTGACGTATGAATATCTTATTGATCTTTCACACAGTAACGAATACCCCGCTACCTTCTAGCGGACTATCAGTCGATGATCCAGCGCTAGCTATCGCCCTCAATCTCGACAGATTGAAATGCAGTGTTGTAGCGCTCTGCAGTTTGCTGAGGTGAATATACTGAATACGATGAAAGAACGCACTCACACAAGTACAGGACAACCGTTCAAAGGCCAGTCCAAGTGCCTATAGGACGTACAATGGAGTTCTGTTTATTCCTGCTAGCTTGCACTGCTGATGATGAGGTATTTTTTGTATTTTTTCTTTGCGAATGTTTTGTCAACGAAGTGCTAGAAAGAAGGCCACATTGACGCAACAGTCAGAGCCCTGGAGCTTGCTATTGTGCCAGAGTTGCAGAGTTCTGCATGTGACCTGCTCTGTTGCCTTGCGAAAACGTTGGTAAAACATATTTTTTATTCTGCATCCCAAATGACGGCCTTGATTTAGCATTCAGCATCGACTAACACCATACGTGTCTCGGCTAGTTGTCATGATAACGTATCATCTCGAACAAAACCTTCAACCGTACGTCACTGAAACTACAACCTGAAGTAATGACCTACGTATGCTTTAGAGAGCGACGATGTCGACTGCTCAAATGCATTCAAGCTTTACTGAGCAATAGTTTCCCTCCCAGCGGCGAGCTTAGCTCCACGAGGCTCGTCAAAGCCATTATGCTTTCTCTCATGCCACTGCTATCAACCCAGTCTGATGCACACCCAAGCGAAACGAATTCTGGACAGAGAAAAAAAGGCAGGAAACGCAGACGAGATTATGAAGGAGACGAGGTGTTTAGACTATCAAAAGACGTCATTTGTTCATCGATCGCCGAGGAAGAGGCTATTCTTTGTGCTCTAGACGGTGAGTTCAAGTCGGGACCAGCCAACCCAGTCGCTGATCGCCCACTAGCACTACAGGTTACAATGCGAGGCGCTGAGTTGCAACCCGCTGTTCGCTCCCTGGTCTGCCGTGTCCTGTTATCCTTGTCGCTGTCCTTGCCATCCATGTCACGTCCCTCTTTGTCTCATGACGTTCATCTGCACGGTTTAGTACATGCAAAAGTGAACGGAATGTGCCTAGAGCTAGCTCGAGGGACGACGAGTGCGATGAGCAGAAGCCTTGGTTTGGTTCTTAAATCAACTGTGACGGAAGGCGATGAACATGTAGGCAATGTTTATCATTTCTTTTCCACCAACATGACGATAGATTTGCTTGCAGACCATGCAAACAAAACTCCAAGTGCAACAAGAAGTTGATATTCTTCTCCATCCTCGGTGTCCACCATTAGTCCGCCCGCTTCCTCATGTAGAAGCGCTATCTCTATTCCGCGCCGAGGAAAGCAATGAAGAGCTTGCTGCTCGTACATCACTTGCCTTGGCTACGGTATATGATGCAAGCGTCATGGATATCACGGCAGACCCTATCGTGGCGACCCAACCGGTACCGACGCATTTGCCTATGCCGACACCAAAAACAACAGCTCCTGCACCAGTCTCTATATCACCTCCGGTGCTGGCCAGCCCAAAAACGACATCTCCGATTACAGCAGCACCAACAAAACATTCTGCTGATGTCCCTTCAGCGATACCAAGTCGACAGCCAGCAAAATCTCTGCTGCCGTCAACGGAACTTGTTCCTCTCACGGTAGAACCTCGGATCTATCCCAGTGGCGTTGGACGATGACGAGGAAGAGGAAGCGATGCCGGCTATCGATATGGAGTCGGACTCAGATGGTTGATAGTGGGATACAACCTTACATTCGCCTGTGACCTATTGGATGGGTACCATCAAGAATTACTTCTCCTCCGCTTTGGTTGCGATGGCTGACAACCTTTGCTATGAGTTTCATCTTCAGAATCATGGCTGGCGAAAGAATGTAATGCTGGTCCTTGAGAGATATAATGTAACTGACGAAGGTAAGTTCTTCGGTTGGAAGGAATCAGACGACACCATACCTTGTGCAAAAATTCGCTTGCCACGATGTTATGGGGATCCAATGCCTTTGCACGTTCAAGAAAGATCTGAGCGCGACTCAAAGAGTTGCTATCATAGGTGGTTTCCTCGACCCCATTAGCACCTGGATCAAGGACCTAAGATCGATATGCCAGAATAACCGAAACTTCTAAAACTGACCAATTGATTCTGGAGGCTGAGCAACGAAAATACACAACAAACCTGCATAGACGTGGAGTACTGGATTGTCACGATAAGGGAATGAAGGGAGGTAACTGTTGCAACATCAGATCACGGTTTTCGGCGATAGATAAAGCCACCTACAACTCAAGTTCGTCGAGTGCATCTCTGTACCTGCCACCAAGAATATAATGGTGGACTAATTCAGCAAGAATGCGTTCTCGCTAGCGTCATCTAACTTCGTCGCGATTGTAAGGATAGTAAATTGAGACATACCTCCTCCGGAAGTTGGAGTAACATAGTCCGTAGATAATCTATCTTGCGTGGATTACTCCCCATGACGCAGACATCGATTTCAAGCAAAGTGATGCCCAGCCTCCACATCGCTCTCCAATCTATCTCTTTACATCTGGCTAGGATGGACCAAGCACGTCTGGCACGGGGAAGATCGTCTCGCTGCACGCTGATATTCATAATATCATGCAAGCGCCGCAGTTGTATTTGACGCGCATTGGGCATTTTCTTTTCATCTGGAAAAGCGAACAGGAATTGATGGACATTGGTGTGAGCCCTTTCAAAGACGAAAGCAGGAGGCTCTGGCTCAAAGTTGGAAGGAATCATGGCAAGTGTACGTAGCAACCTTGAAATTGAACGTCACGTTAGTCCGACATCATGATTTTCAAAGACCTTCCCGTAACCAACATCCACTTGGCGTTACACCAACTAACTTTTGAGGCTGGATTCATCGACTGCTGAACAACGCATCTGAAAGCAAATACAGGCGTATGATGGATGACGATTTTACGTTTGGAGCTTCAGTCTGGGGTATACCCAATGAACCAACACGCCTCACAAATATCACAACATCATTTCCCTCACTTGAATCTCCTGTGCTGCCATCTCCTGCACCTTCTCAAGACCGACTAGACGACTACGATGACTTTCATACGCCACCGCAAACACACAACCCATCTATTGTGCAGGATGATGATTTTGGTGACTTTGGAGATTTCGGAGAGGCGGAGGACCTAGAGGGCAGCAGGAATTTCGGACACGATGCAGATTTTGACCAGGGTGCAGATTTTGGGGATTTCACAGAAGATGCTACGTTTCATGAAGAGCCAATACCGGGTCCATCTCATACCATCTGGGAGCCGCTCAGATTAAACCCCCTACCTTCCAGAGAAGACTTGGAGAGACAGATCAACCGCATCCTGGATCCCGTATGGATTCGGGATATATCTTTGTTAACCACAGATGAAGATATCAGACAGGCAGAGGGTGTTAGCCAAATATTAGTCACACCTGAAAGGTTCGTTGTCCTTGTGGAATGTCTCCCTTCGAATGCTGAAAGCCTAGGTTAAAGTCGTGGTTTATACACCATGCTGATGGATTCGCCGCCTCTCATGGAGCCCATAAATTGGACGCGCTCACGCATTCGACAGCAACATTTAATCGCTCTTGGACTACCCGTGAACTTAGATGAAATACTTCCGCACGCAAGTGGCAAGCCCCTTCCCCCACTGCATATATCAACGCGACCGATGTCTGCACCCCCAGGGCCTCGCAACGGTCCGCTGCATAGCACCCCTCCGTCTAGGACCATTTCTCGTGCAGGGACACCTGTGATGGTCACTCCTCAGCCGTCTACGCGGCCAGGACCCTCAACCGTATCACAACTTGGTATTGGACCCAAACCTCAGCTGGATGAAAAGAAGGTAGAAGAATTACTCAAGCTTGATACAGGTGCGTCTGTTTTCCTTAGCTGCGATCTGACCAATGATATATGTCGCTAAGCAGATCAATTAACCCTCTTACCCTTGGCGAAACTTGAACGGTGTCTGGTAGATATCCGGACAGAGACAACTAATGTCTCATCTCTACTTACACACATTTTGCAAACTCGCGACGCTCTCCAGCAGGACTCGGAGACATACAACAAGCTGATCGCAGAGCTGGTAAGTGAGGCGCAGAAGAATAATGGTCAAAGTCGGACAGGTGTCAAGCGTAGCGGTACTCTGCGTTAATGTATTTATTATACTTTCATATGCTGCACGAGTCGTACTTAGAAATTTTCAATGACTGGCGGATCAGAGGTGATATCATGTGATGCGCCAGACAATCACTGTGGAAACGAGTTTTTTACACCAACCGTAATCCGAGGGAGACAATGTGTATAACACGACTGTAAACGTACCTAGCTCGTAATCAGACGTAAATCCGACATGTCGCAAATTTTGCTCGCTCGGTCTGAAGCAACAGATGTAAACAGACACTTTTCCAACTTCACCAACACACTTTTTCGGACCTCCGTTTATTCTCTTCAGATACCTGCTATTCCACCACTATCCAGCCCAGTAAATTCAACTTCTCGATGTCTGCTTAGGGTAGACTTGAAGCAAGGTGAGTTTTTCGAAAATTTCGCTAAGTCCGTAACTCGAGCGCTATGTCAAATACTATCAGGCTCGAGTTGCCAGCTCATGTACAAGCTTTTACTTTTACCTTCGAAACGATGCGTCCGGGACCCACGGTGAGTACTAAGTGTATTTCTACGAGGCCACTACCATTAATCATTCTTTTGTAGACTGTTTCACTCTCAATTCAACAGCCTGCCAGACGTCCTAGGCTTGTCGCGCACGATATCGAAATGGTAGACAGCAGCGTGACAGAACCTGAGTCACCCGAAAAGCAAAGAGTTGTCCGTTGGCAGATTTTTAATTCGTTCTTTTCTAACACGAACCTCATGCGAAGAAACGTGCGTTTGTGGTAGCGAGCTCCTTATCGGTGTGCTGTGCGTGTTCGGTCAGTCGTTTGACCTCTGTGACAAGATGTGCAACGGTCTCATTCAAATTTGGCGACTGCTCAAGTGCCCCATTTCGCCTATTCACGTTCTGGTTCACGTGCGGAAGGTGAGTGGCAGGCTGTCGACCCATTGAATATAGCATCATAGCTTGATACTCCTCGCTTCCAGGAACAACAGATGGTGCCCGCGAAGATGCCTCACTACCCGAGTCTCCTGCGAAATGACGGTATGGTGTTTCACCTCGAGAGGATGTACTATTTGAGCTGAAATTCTGTGGCACGCTACCAGCTCGCATGGACTGGACGGGTGTCTGGTGTGCACCGAAAAAAGGATACGGGGATGGCTGACGCATATCGGGTGAGTGCTGCGGACTGGTGGAACGAAGCCTATTGTTTAAATGATCTTGGTACATAGGTCCCCCAGCGAATGCGTCGCTGGTGTTGTGGTCACCGTGCTGTCCATTGCCTGACTGAATCGCATCCAGTAAGTCGCTTGACTTTTAGTGGGCGATCTACAAGCTCTTACCATCTCAAATCGAGGTACATTACCACTGAAGTATGGATCGTGTTGAGGCGGCTGATGCGACACTTTCCCGGCGACCTGGGGTATATTATATTGAGGATATGCTTCTCCTGCCCCTACCAGTGCTGGCTGCTGAGAATCAGGAGCGGGAGCACCACTCGGGCGTCTCTGAGTCTGTTGGCCTTGGAACCCATACATTCTGGCGTGCAAGGTGGTGGGGGATATCAAGGACCGGGGAGCATATGTGGGGACCTAGCGGGACGAGTTCTTTGATACGGCACATGTCTATTCAGAATAGAAGCGGATCCGTTTATGCATAAATCCAGACATAAAGTAGACGTGCGAATCCTTATAACCTGGTCTGATACCGAGTTGGTTTAGATACTAAGGCAACAAACCCTATCCCTGCAAATCCCTAATATTCAGAGTCGGTTTTAGTTCTCAAACGAGTACCTTTTTCGATCTAGACGGGTAGGAATATGCTTGTTTGGCATTGTCCGTTTACATTCCGTTTACAGCCTCTAAACATACATAATTCCGATCCGTTCTAAATCTCGTTTCCGCAGTGAATGTAGGAGCACGTGACTCGCTGAGGAAAAAACTCAGTCGATGATCGCGTCTCGTGCTCTCGTCGCATTCAACATTCATCTGCTTGGACTCTGAAAAAGATGCACTCTTGATGTGATATCATTCCGAAGGTAACATCCAAAAACGCGATAGTGAACACCTGCAATTGCGCCCGCCATGAACATATCCCATTCCATTCCGTCCACCGTCTCAAGCATCTCGTTTTCATTCCTGACAGCGGAGGACACCCGGAGGATATCAGTCAAGCAGATTTTGAACCCAGTATTGTTGGATGATTTGAACAGGCCGAACATTGGAGGCCTGTATGATCCTGCTCTTGGTCCCAGCGATCGTCAGGATATGTGAGTGCCTAACTCTTGGTGGTCTTGGGATAGGTATAATGACGCTATACATCTAGCTGTGCAACATGTCACCTAACTTACTTCACGTGCCCAGGCCACTTTGGTCACATTGAACTGCCTGCCCCTGTGTATCACCCTCTGTTCATGACGAACATGTACAATATTCTTCGCGGAGCGTGCTTGTTTTGTCATAGATTCAAGCTGAGTAGATCAGTGGTATGCCGATACACTTTCGCTCAATCTACTTGCCTAATCAGCCTCACGTTAGATCTGCAAATATGTTGCCAAGTTCCGCCTACTGGAACACGGTCTCCTGGAAGCTGCTCTCGACGTGGACCACATCACCTTACACACAGCCGATGATGATGACGAAGACAGCCGCGATGAAACTATCTCTGAATTGGAATCTCGTGTTAACTTATTTGTCTTAGTGCATCTCAGCAAGGCTTCCAGCAGCAAGCGGGATCATTACAAAGACAGTCTTGTCTATCAAGCCCGAAAAGATCTCATCCAAGAGTTTTTGAGAACAACTATCACCAAAAAATGCAGCAATGAGGGATGTGGCGCGTGAGTTAAATGTTTTCGCTGTATGTAAATTTTGGCTTAGCAGGATAATAGCTTCGGCTACACCTTCCGCAAGGAGGGATTCACCAAAATCATTGAATACGATCTCTCTGTCAAGCAAAAAAACCAGCATCGAGCCGTCAACCTTAAAAGGCCAGACGTCCTCTTGTTCCAGCAAGCCACAGATACTTCAAAATCTCGTCCAGAACCTTCAAATACTATGGACGTAGACTCCGAATCTGACTCTGAACAAGAGGGGGAGCCGACATACTCAGACGAGGAAGAGGAACTCCAAGCTACGCTCTCAAAAGAGAACGGTCTTCCTCGTGCTGCTAATGGCAAAGTCAAGACCACGCGCGGTCGCAACGAGCGTGTGATGGCACCAGAAGAATGCCGTGCCCATTTGCGTCTTCTTTTTCGTAACTGCCCTGAGATTTGCTCCCTCATCTTTGGCCGACATGGGCCCTTCTCTCCTCTGAATGCTGCTGGTCTGTCGCTAGCATCTGCCGACATGTTCTTCATGGAAGTAATCCCTGTTCCGCCAACGCGGTTCCGTCCGCCTGCTACAATGGGTGACACACTGTTCGAACATCCCCAGAATGAGCTCTTGGCCAAGATCTTGAACACATCATATAGGCTGCGTGATTTAAACGCGGACCTGCAGGCTGCGTCTGCCAAGGAATTAGGCGTTGACGATACGACGCGACGACGCGTCCTTAGTGGTCTACTCGAGGGGCTCGTTCAGTTGCAAGTCGACGTTAACAGCTTCATCGACAGCAACAAAAATCCTGCACCCGTCCGCAACGGTAAACTTCCTCCCGCTGGTGTCAAACAGGGGCTCGAAAAGAAGGAGGGTCTCTTCCGTAAACACATGATGGTACGTAATATTTTTCTGTTGAGTGTACCATATTTGATTACCTGCCCAGGGTAAACGTGTCAACTATGCAGCGCGCTCCGTCATCTCACCAGATGTAAACATTGAGCCGAATGAAATTGGCATCCCTCCTGTCTTTGCGAGGAAACTTACCTTTCCTGAGCCTGTCACTCCTGCCAATTTCCACGAGTTGCGGCAATGGGTAATTACTGGTCCGAAGGGCTACCCAGGAGCGACGATGGTAGAGTATGAAGATGGGCATAAGCAATCCTTGGTAATATTCTTTATTGCGCTATTTCCATAGTTCTAACGTGGTTCGCTAGGAAAAACTCACTGCCCGAGCAGAGAACGGCGATCGCCAACCAGCTGCTGACACCACAAGATGGCAGTGATAGCTCTTCAGGTCGCCGCGGACTCTCAACGCGAACGGCTTCCATCAACAAGAAGGTGTATCGACATCTTCGTGACGGCGATATCCTAATCCTCAATCGTCAACCAACCCTTCACAAGCCGAGTATGATGTGCCATAAGGCTCGGATTTTACGAGGTGAGAAGACGATACGGATGCATTATGCGAACTGGTAAGGTTTCAATTGCTAGTGCAGGTTCAATGGTTAATCGTCTCTGTACTTAGTAACTCCTATAATGGTACGCATTTCAGATCAAAATCATACCGCCATGTCTGATTGTAACTACTTTCAGCTGATTTTGATGGTGACGGTGAGTATCCTGATTTGAAGTTCCAAGGTCAATGAGAAACTAAAGTCTCGGCTCGTTGGGTAGAAATGAATATCCATTTTCCCCGTGAGCTGCTTCTTTAAAAATTTGTAATTCTATATTTTAGTCTGAACCTCCTTGTGAAGAAAACCAGGTCGCTCGTGCTGAGGCTATGCTAATTGCCAATACTGACAATCAGTATTTGGTCCCGACGTCTGGTAAACCCTTACGAGGCCTCATCCAGGACCACGTTGTTGCTGGTGTCTGGATGACCTGTCAAGACGCTTTCTTTTCTCGGGAGGAGTACTTCCAGCTACTATATGGAGCGCTCCGCCCTGAGGATGAGAGTCATCATCTAGCACGGCTGGTCACTCTGCCTCCAACCATTTGGAAGCCACGTCCACTATGGACAGGCAAACAGGTCGTAAGTAACAGCGCTTTGTTTTTCAGCTCAGTTCCTAACCGCATACGCAGATCTCAACGGTCCTGAAAAACATCACGCCTAGCAACGCGGAGGGCTTGAACCTTGATTCCAAAGCTAAAGTTCCTGGCCATCTATGGGGCAAACATTCCTCAGAAGACAAAGTTATTTTTGTTGACGGCGAACTTCTCTGTGGGGTTCTTGACAAATCCGCGTTCGGAGCCACCGATTATGGCCTTGTGCACTCGGTATACGAGCTGTATGGAGCTGATATCGCTGGGAAGCTTCTCGGCATTCTCAGCCGGCTATTCACAAAATTCCTACAACATCGGGCCTTTACGTGTCGCATGGACGATCTGGCATTAACGCCTGACGGAGATCAGAGAAGAACTGAGCTACTCCAACGTGGCCGTGATCTCGGGTTTGAGGGTGCCGTCGAGAATTTCCCTTCGTTGAGCAAGCTGTCCAAGGATGACGTCCCAGCAGCATTGACAACATTGCTCGAAGATGTTTTGCGAGACGATAGTAAAATGGCTGGTCTCGATGTTACCGTCAAGACCAAGCTTTCGGGCCTAACCAAATCCATTGCCGACGCTTGCATGCCTCACGGTCTTCTGCGCAAGTTTCCTGACAACCACATGCAAACTATGACGCTATCTGGTGCGAAGGGTAGTGCCGTCAATGCCCAGCAGATATCATGCGCACTCGGCCAGCAGGAACTCGAAGGTCGTCGCGTACCCGTTATGGTCAGCGGAAAGACTCTCCCATCTTTCAAATCCTTCGAGACGAAGGCCATGGCAGGTGGCTATGTGGCCAGTCGCTTCTTGACCGGCGTCAAGCCGCAAGAATTTTATTTCCATTGCATGGCTGGACGTGAAGGTCTTATCGATACTGCCGTCAAGACGTCTCGATCCGGCTATCTTCAGCGGTGTCTCATCAAGCACCTTGAGGGCATTCGCGTTCACTACGATCATACTGTCCGTGGCAGCGACTCATCCATATACCAGTTCCACTATGGCGGCGATGCACTAGATGTCACAAAACAGAAGCACCTCTACCAGTTCGAGTTCATCGCCCGGAACCAGCTCACCCTTCTTAACTTGTACAAGCCCAAGAACATTGCTGGTCATATCAACGACGAAGACGCCATTTCTTATATGAAGAAAACTCTCAAGAAATCACAAGTGCGTCCAGACAAGTACACGCCCGCTGAGCGAGAAGAGCGCGCTCCAGCATTGGATGTTTATAGCCCTGGTCGATACCTCGGCAGTACGTCAGAGAAGTTCGCGGAGGCATTGGCTCAGTACGTCAAGTCTAACCCTCATGGGTTATTGATCAACAAGGACAAGAAGGCGAAGGACGTCCCCCAGATCAAGCATCGGCGTGAGCCCGTGAAAGCCAAATTTTTCAACTTGCTCATGAATATCAAGTACATGAGAAGTTTGGTGGAACCAGGGGAGGCTGTTGGTTTATTGGCGTCTCAGGGGTAAGTTTCTAGACCCCGTGAGCATTTTACATTCTCACAGTTTGCAGTGTCGGAGAACCTTCAACTCAAATGACGCTGAACACGTTCCATTTCGCAGGTCAGTTTTCTTTTGGTAAATTTGCCAATTTACTGAATTTTTCTTTTTCGCATGTAGGCCATGGAGCTGCCAACGTAACACTGGGTATTCCTCGACTGCGGGAGATTGTGATGACAGCTTCCCAAAAGCCCAAGACACCTTCCATGACCATAGAAGTCGCACCTGGCGTGTCCCAGTTGGACATCGATATTTTTTGCAAGCGGGCCAGCAAATTGACGTTGTCTCAGCTGGTCGACAATGTGACAGTTAAAGAGCGTTTGACTGTGCAAAGCGACGCACGTCGGACCGAATTTGTCATTGACATCGCCTTCTTCCCTGCGGAAGAATACACCAAGGAGTATGACATTCTACCCGAGGAGGTTCTTGCCGTGTTTGCGGCGAAATTTCCGTTAATCCTCAAGAAGGAGATTCAGACGGAAATGAAGAAGCTCGACACAGATCTCAAGGGCCAAATAACGCAGCTCGGAAAAGGGAAGGCGTCGAAAGAACCTGTCGCTGGCGAGGTGGAGGCTGAAGATGGCGAAGGTGAGGGCGAGGGCCGAAGCCGTGGCAAGGATGACGATGACCGGAGTGAGCAAGGAGACGGCGATGCTGTTGACGCAAAGCGAGCCCGTCAACAAAAGGAGCAGGCGTCCTACGAGTCTGACGATGACAATGACAGGGATGAGTTGGATGATGCCGCTATCGAGGCCGCTTATGCCTCAGACGCAGAGGATGGCGAAGGCGAAGGCAACGACGACAAGATTGGTCGACCGACGACTATTCATGCACAGACTCAAATCGTGGCGGACGCCTTCATTAATAACTTTCATCAAGCAACGTCATTCACTTTTACGAAGTCAAGATGCTCCATCCGGCTTGAGGTTCGTGTTATCTTTGCCTAATATTCTTGCCCGTCACCCTAATAAATTTCCAGTTTCCTGCAGACTTTCCAAAAATTTTGTTGGTGGGCATAGTCGAGCGTACTTGTCGAAAGACTGTTATTCGGGAGATCCCTGGCATCACGGATTGTTTTAGTGCAGTTGTGAAAGAACGCGGAGTGGAGAAAATACGCGTGCGCTATTGTCTCGTCTCACTTCAACTGGGAGCTGAAATCATACATCTAGCTCACTACGAACGGATCCAACTTGCGGGGTATCTGGCAATTTACAGGCGCGACAGATGACAACATCATTGAGCTGGATACAATTTACTCCAATGATATCTACTCCATCCTCAAAGCTTATGGTGTGGAGATGGCGCGTGCTGCTATACTACGCGAGATTGGTGGAGTATTTGACGCCTACAAAATCGATGTTGATGGGAGGCATCTGGAACTTATTGCGGATTATATGGTCAGACAATTTATTGGCTTGGCATGCAAATCACGTACTCACAATCCCATGAATGGCCAGACATTCGAAGGCGCATACAAGCCATTCAACCGTAAGGGTCTCTCAAGCAACCCTTCGCCCCTTCTGAAGGCGTCATATGAGACGACTGCCGCCTTTCTTTCGGACGCGACATTGTATGGTGACTTTGACGACTTGTCCACGCCGTCGGGTAACCTGGTTATGGGGCGTCCTAATCAAACGGGTACTGGGGTTTTCGATGTAGTGATGCTCGCGGAAGTTCCTACCTGATATACGTACTTGTTATGTCTTCCATGTTGTTTACGAGTGACGGAAGAACACGTTACGTCACGCGTTTGACGGAATCCGGCTTTTCGCGAGGGCTAAGCGCCTTTGGCTCCGACCACGCACTAGCACTATCAATAATCCCTAGTGTCATTTCAACATCGTCGTGTTCCTTCTTCATTCTCTTTACAATGCCCGTGACGGCTCGTCCTGGTCCTTTGAAAGACCTGCCACCTGCACATTTCCTGGCCAGTAGCGCCAGTTTAACTCCCACCATTGCTAAACCAACCAAACGCCCTCTTTCACCTTCGAAATCAACCATCTTTAGCCCGGCTAAGCGCCGCATCCTGCATTCAGAAGGCATTCTCCTACCCGGCGAAGCCCCCCAGTCGTCTCTACGACCTCAGCTTCCATCGTTTGGAAGCGACGTGTTTGGAGCATCCCAAAACTCGTCAATATTAACATTGGCATCACCCGCACAAGGTGCTGGTGCTACCCAGGGAAGCTCAAGGGATAGACAAACACCGAGGAGATCTTCGTCGAAGCTGACACGTTATCAATGTTCAACCATTACCTCGGGAGACGACTCAGGAACTGCACTGAGCCTCCGTCGCTCGTCTCGCCTGCAGTCATCTCAACCCGGTGCCGCTTCCATGGCAATTCTTCGCGAGATGCCACTACCTCATGATCGTCAGTCAGTGCATTATCCTGGTTTTGACACGTACCAGGATACGCACGTATTTCTCGGACCACCGCGACGAGCCAGTCCGTCTTCTGATAATGAAGACCCATGGTCCAGTTCTGAAGAAGTCCTCTCTGAAAGGGAGATCAGTAAAGAGAATATCCCTCCTCGAAAGAAAGCCAAGAAGTCCTCTTTGGCACGGTCCTCCCTTCCGATAGATCAGTCGTTTCGCTCAGATCGATCTACTACCCGAGAGGAATCCCGCCAGTTGTCCGGCATCACAGCTAGCAGTCGGTGCATAGATGGGGTTGTCACTCCTCGGGCGTCTTGAACATACCCTTCGACGGCCATTTATCTCAATAGGAAAATGGGAGAGCGTTTTGGGAGGAATCCTCACAGGCCACTCTATTGATCTATGCAACCTATCTTCCGTAGGGCTCACTGCCCTATCCTCTTTTGATGCTTCGGTGGCTTATTAAGTGTCCCTCATCTACCCAGTTTTCATTCACAGTACCTATCTACGGATGCCTCCAATGACTATCTCTATATTGTCAGTTAGATATATTTGATACTGTACTAGGATATATTGCCGGTTGCTAAACAGCATGAGGCCTTCTCTGGTCTTCTATTGTTTTCAATTCATGACATTCGATTTGTTGGTCTAATTCAGTTCGTTCTTACTTGAGCCGTTGAACCGGTATTGAGCCGGTGGACAAACTTTTGCCCGTAACAACGTATGTGCACGTGGCAATTGACACGTCTGCCAACCCTGTCTGACCGCAAGACAATCATCAATTCAATGACTTCGCAAACGCGCGCCCTGATCTTACTTCTAGTAGCTTCTCTCCCGCTGGCGAGCGCACAATTCAATTTCTTTGATCATATGTTTGGGCATCCCCAACAGCCGCAGCCGCAACAACAACAACAACAACAACAACAAAGAGGACCTTCTCAATGGATGGCGCATTCGGAAGCTCGTCAGTATCTACTACCCAGATAATGCTGCCTCTAAGGATCAACAGCTCATGATATTTTCAGTCTCATGCTCCCAATACCTCTGCCCAGGTACCCTGTCGTGTGTCAAGAGACCGGCTGATTGCCCATGTCCCAATGCAGAAGATATCAAGTGCTCTGTCCCGGACGCTGTGGAAACAGACGCTGCAACGGTTGTTTGCGTGAGGGGAGTGGAGGAGTGTGCGTCAGTCGAACGGCTGATGCGTTCATATTCAACATGACATAGCCTGGATCCGTCTGTTGTGACTCGCTAGATAAATATTATGGCGAGTGGCTGTTAAACCCTCAGATCCGCCGCCTTCTGGAAGACAGAAACACTTATGCCTGCGTTTCTATACCGTTCATTTATGATCTATGGATGACAGGTTGCCAAAGTATAGGAGCATTATTTTCTCGCGCGTGTAGTTTTGCCGTATGGTTCCGAGCGTAATACAAGAGCTATTTCCCTCCTGTCAGCGCCTCAGGCTGTACTACTCCACTTCCTCTCCAGGACGGAAGAAATCACGCCTGCTTCGACCTCTGAGAAGCTCCTACGGTTGCATGCAATCTAATAAACATCACCTATCCGTAGTCAAAGTCAGATACATTCTATGGTATTTTTGTTTTTCAATGCCGAAAGGAGTCTTCAAGATTGACGATGCTCTCCGTAGACAAACTCGATCGTCTCAGTCACCTAGTAAACCACCTGCCTCAAAGCTCTCCACTCAAGCATCAACCATTTAAAGACTCTGGTTGTCACAATATTCATCTCGAGTCGCTTACTTTCCTATCTCTACCTCTCCCCCGAGTCCGGTCGTGAGTTTCCTCGTAGCTGCAGTCAGTTAACGGTGTCCAGATCGATGTTTGACTCGCTGCATTCCATACCGTATATCTCGCTCCGGACCTGGAGACATGAATTCTGAAGTGGCTCTTATGTAAACTCCAAGAGGCTTATGACAGTACTAGTGTCTCCCTTGATGAAGTCAGATTCAAGAAACGTAACTGCATTGACTGTAGTACTAGACTGTTTGAACTTGCAACTCCGCGACTAAATGACTAAACGGCGAGAATTAAATATGAAGACATTATGTAATAACCAAGTTTAGTCGACACAAACCACCATGGCTGCTCCAAGACCGACCGTGAGCCGCACCGTAGAATCGCATTTATCAGTTTAGCTGAACTTTCCTCAGTCAAAATTGCCTCCAGGTGCTAACCGTATACTCTTCGTCAAAAATCTTAACTACCAGATTACCGGGGAAGACTTGTACGACCTCTTTGGTCGATACGGCAGCATCAGGCAAATACGCATAGGGGATGAGCAAAAGACGAAAGGGACTGCCTTTGTCGTGTTCGATGATGTTATGGATGTACGTTTCCTCCTGCTGGTGATTTTGTTCTATCTAATTCCTAATAACTTAGGCAAAAAATGCACTCGAACATCTAAACGGTTTCCATCTGCAGGAGCGATATATCGTGGTTCTGTATCATATGCCAGCCAAGCAGGATGCTGCTGCTGCTAAAGCTGATCTAGCCCGAAGAGAGGAAGAACTAGCGCAGTTGAAGAAGAAGCATAACATCGTAGATGATTGAGCTACTTTATCTCGAGCTTATTGTTGCATATTCACGCTCACTGATGTGTTCAGCTCAAGTATTCTTTATCGCAATACAAGTCTGTCAGGCAATGTCTATGCATTCTGTATCAAGTCCATTCGAGATGTTGTCCGCGAAGAATGCTCATCCGCGTAAACTGCATTTTGGACATCGCTTGTCAATCTGTGGTGCTGAACGCAGGGGGTTTCAGCACAGAGTCAGTGCAGGTGGCTTGTTGGCATACCGTACTGCTGGGGATATTGACGGCTATACCGTCACAAGTTAGTGCTTTTTGGAATTCGGCGATATGAAGACTTACTACTGCCAGCACATCTTGCTACACTGCGGCGGTTTGCATGTCGGTGAATGTTTGGGGCTGAATTTGCAGTTTCTAAGGTCACATTTGATCTAGGCAACTGGTAAGATGGCGAACAAAAAAGTCACTGGCTTCTGACCTCCTCGTCAGGCTGCACAAGGTGACTTATTAGCTAATTTTGAGACGCGGAGAGCTAACAAGAATCGTACTAGATTTATTGAGTGCCCGCAGCTGCAAAGGAAGATGATGTCAATCATTTTGACCACTGCATACGATCATACCCTTTGTAACAGTTGCGCACCCTGAACGACAGCGAGTCAAGAACGGTGGCTGCAGCTAAACAAGTAGCTACCTACCTTCTCCAGTAACACATAATGATCAGGATGTAGTTCTGGACCTTTTCCAACTGTATGTCTTTTATACCTGAAATTAGGGCTATTCTACCGAGATTGCTCTCTCACCTATTTACACGACAAGTAAAATGAGCCCGTCATGGGGAAGACCAAGAATCCATTCTCGGCATCCGTCTAACGGTGAAGACAAACAGCTATGGAAATGGCGATCCCGCAGCAGTCGCACGATCGATGAGTAATGGGCCAGAGCTCAAAACAAGTGGGTACATTGACCCTTGTCGATACACATGAGATCTTACGAGCGGTACCATATCGTCAATGTCACGCACACTATAGGACGGCGGAATTTGATAATTCCATCAGAAGCGCGGATGATTGCGCGCGGAGGAGCCGGGACAGCATACCTCTTCTTTCTTTTGCAGACGTCGGGCGAGCTCAAAACGGCGTTCTTTCCCAGAAACTGTCCCACAATCCTTGCAGAAAACTTTCGGCATGTGAAGTTGCAAAACCCACCGAAACGTTGCTATAGCCTAAATTACCCCATGCGGTCCGGAGGCGACAGAGTGAGTAGATTTACGGCTTGACATACGTCGGTCCTGAACGTGGCTTTGAGCTGTCATGTTATCACCGATAGCGCCATGTCAACAGCGTCTCAAAATTAGTTATTGCGCATGCAATCCACGCTCCCACCAACTCTATTATCCTGATCTTCGTTCCGAAAGTGATGATGGAGCTCAGATCAGCTTCTTCAAGACAAGGTTGTTCCGCCAAATTTGCTCATGGCACAAGAGAACATCTGGCCAACTTGTGCTGCATCTGCGGCCTCCCGCCCCTTTACGTTCATGCTCCAGGCTTTCCCCGGCCCTGAAGCGAAGCTTTTATATTGATTAGAGAGAACTCGAGTAACCACCAGCAGAAACGGCATAGGCCTTCTGGACCATCCCAAAACGACTGCTCAATGAGCTGGTCAACGAGGGGCTATCTACGTATATCAGTACAGTCACGCAAGTTTTTTTTAGTATCTTCATGATCCGAAATTATTTGGGGACAGTCTGGGAATACTATTTTAAGCACTTTGAATGTCTCCACTGTTCGTACGCATACTAGCTCTCTATGGTGTTGCAGTGACTGGTCAAAGCTACCAGGTGTAACATCTATACACCCAACCGATATCCGACACATGGCACCCTTTTGTGGTGATCAATTGTGGCTATAATGTTTTACTCATACGCTAGCAGCGACGTGGTTATTTGGGCGCCCGCGGGTCTGAAGAACGTCTTCTCCGCCGCACAATTCTTCAGTCTGAACATTCAAGTTTGTCAGTACGGTCGCACTAAACACCACGTTCTCTGGAGGTATTGGCTGATATTTTCACCGGCGGCTCACAATATTCTATCTCAGATAGTGCGTTGATTCGACGGTACGAAAATACGGTGAACTGCCCCCGCTCAAGCGTAAATTGCGACAAAGTATACAGTCCCAGTGACGCCCTGACATATTATCGCATCGCGACTAGCTGTAAAAACATATGCGGTCTACAAGCTTGATCCCAAAACAATGGTTGGTTTGTGTCGGCATGACATTGTCCTCGTGTCCAAACTCTAGATCTCCTGGCTGCTTCATCCTTAAGTAGGTCTAGTGCTGATTCAAGTGTACAGTAACTCAGCGGAATTTGACTATCTTGCCTATCTTGCCATGATTAGCCTCTCGGTCCAAGATCCTATCGGCCCTCTCAACGACACCGATAATTGTGGCCGTTCTGCAATTTCTTGTGTTGGCAGCTCAAGACGTCAAACACCCGACCGTGCGATTGTCGCATCGCATCCCTGCAACCTTTCTCCGCGCTCAAAAAAGTGTTTGCTCACGAATGATTTTAGCTCAGATAACGTGTTAATCCAACGGTACAAAATATACGGTCAACTGTCCCCTCTCAGGAGTAAAGAGGGCGACCATATGGTCACCATGAGTAGCATCTTATCTCATTACGGCTGACGCTTGATCCCAAACAGCGATCCGACGATTGTGTCGGCACTAAGCGTCGTGTTCAGATTTCTTGACTGCTTCATCCATAAGGTAACGCACATTGTGTGCGTAGTAAGTAGTCGGTGTAAGATGAGTCTGATTTGGATCGTTTTGTAATTTCTGGCGTTAACAGGCCTGCCAGGACATCAAAGCCGCGCGATCGTCGCATCGTGCCCCTGAAATATTTCAGCCCACCCGAACGTAGTGTAGCCCGCTACCCGCATGATTTACCGTTTGATCCCTCTTGCCCTCGGTCCCGTGCACGAATACCGCATAAACCTATCACTCTCCGTGATTCCCAAAACGGTTCGCCAATATTGCCCCTGGTTCTATTTTTTTCAAGTTGTACACCAGCCGTCTACAGTAAGTATCACTCTAGCTCACACAAATTCTCCCGCGAGCACGTTATTGTTGGCCGAAATTGATCTACTTTAGAACTAGGATCCGACGGGAGCTTGCCGACAAACGCCAGATCTTGGATTGTGTGCAAGGAATTATAAATGTGTATGGATCAGTGCTTGAACAGTTGGCAGAATATTCATTCCGCTTGGCTCGTGTTGACCTCTCTGTCTTCATTGAACTACCCCCAGCCTTCATTCGTGACATGTTTCTGGTGTGGTGTGCGATGCCTGCGAGTGCATATATTTTCTTCCTTTTCTTCGGCTTCGGCTTCGACGAAGAGGCGAGGAAGGAGTACCGCAAGGTCATTGTCACCTTTAGAAGACATGCCTTAAGACAGTCTGCTACACGGAGAATCTCCTTCACAGTCAGCAATATCGAGGGCCTATGTAATCGTATTACTATGAATTAGTGCTTGAACAGTCCGTAATGAGAGGTTCAACGATAAAACTCCAAGTGCAACGTCTTAAAGTCGAAGGTCGTCGTGTCATGCAGATGATGTGAAGAAACTATGAGACACTATTTGTTCCCGATGACGGAATGCATCTTCGAGGAAGACCCCCAAGGCAATACCGTACTCCAATGTGTTATTGCAGGGCTATTTAACGAAGTAGGGTAAACTACCGCCTTCGCCATATGGATGTGGTCCCACTATTCCTGCATGTCTCCCGCAACAGTGAGGGGCGTAAGATATGAGAACGGTGCCGTACAATCATCGATAATCATATGAATTTTAACCCGTAAAAGACAACGCAGCCTTTTAGTGAACGGCGGCCATAAGAATTGTAATTGAACGCGCGATAACATGAACAGTCAATTAGAAGTGATACAACCACAACGGGGGCAAATCATGGAGGGGATGCAAAAAATAAAACCTCATAAAGTACAAATATGCAAGCCATTGAATACCATCGGGCGCAGAATACAAGCGATGACTCCGGTACGGTCTGCCATATCACACCTAGATAAGCTCAGCAGCATTGACCGGCATTTCGTCCTTGAAAAAAAAAGAATTATCAGCGACGAAAAAAGGGAAGCAACGGCCGAGGGGGGTAACATACAATTTGTGTGCTGTAAAATTGTTCTGGGGTGTGGTTAGTGACGAAGGTCACCACAAAAAAGATACATGACATACCGATGTCGCGCAGGATACGAACGTCGTCGACAGTCACAAACTGACGAATAATATGTGAGAATATCGAGTGAGTATGATGAAGGGGCTAACGTACATTGATAGCAACGCCCTTCCGGCCAAAACGACCTGAGCGTCCAATGCGATGAATGTAATTCTCACGATTGCTGTGTCAAGCAGTCAGCATGTTTTTAAAAAAATGTCGGAGGTAAATGTAATTACGCCGGAAGATCATAGTTGATGACAAGGGAGACTTGTTGAACGTCGATCCCTCGTGCCCAGACATCTGTTGTGATGAGCACACGACTGCAGTAGTGATCAAAACATTTCCATACTGAAGTGAGCCAAAAAAAGACGCACGATGTTCCACCGCGAAATTCCGCCATGATAGCATCTCTTTCCTTCTGAACCATTTCACCGTGCATCGATGACACAGTGAAGTTTGCCGCGCGCATCTTTTCAGTCAGCCAATCAACCTATTCTAACCAGTAAGCCGCATCAAAAGGGGTTTGTTCGGAGGCGTACCTTGCGCCGGGTGTTGCAAAAGATGACAGCTTGTGTGATGGTAAGTGTGTCGTACAGATCGCACAGCGTGTCGAACTTCCAGTCCTCCTTTTCTACAGCAACGAAAAATTGTTTGATCCCTTCTAGCGTCAACTCATCACGCTTGACGAGGATACGAATGGGGTCGGTCATGAATTTTGTCGTCATCTCCAACACGTCGTAAGGTAGTGTCGCACTCAGTAGGACAACCTGGGTAGCCGGGGGGAGGTAACGGTACACATCATATATTTGGTCCTTGAATCCCTTGTTGAGTAACTCGTCTGCCTCGTCGAGAACCAGCATTTTGATGTTGCGCGTCCGCAAAGCACGGCGCCGAATCATGTCAAAAACACGACCAGGGGTTCCAGACACCACGTGCTGGCCGTATTCCAACTTCCGAATGTCCTCGCCAATGGATGTACCTCCAATACAAGCATGACACTGGACATTCATATAGTCACCGAGAGCGAGAACCACCGACTGAATCTGGGTCGCCAGTTCGCGCGTAGGCGACAGCACCAGAGCCTGTGTTTCACGAACAGACACATCGATAGACTGCAAAATGGATATGGAGAAGGTGGCGGTTTTACCGGTTCCCGACTGTGCTTGTGCGATGACATCGCGACCCTGTGTTATTGGGAGAATAGCTCGCTGCTGTATAGCAGACGGTTTCTCGAAGTCTATCCACAAGTTTCGGCACATGTAATACTGCAAGGAATAAGATAAACTTACTGTACGCATATATGCCGCGAAGAAGGTCCTCTTTCAAGTTGAGGTCGTCAAAAGTCGACACAACCGAGACCGCCTCGGAGGACTCGAATACAAGTTTCTGCGAAGTCAGTTAGACCATGCACGACCATACATTGTTTTTGCCCTGTTCTGAGCTGATTAACGGACTTGCCTCGTCTCCAGGGTTTATGCCAGACATGTTGACCTACAGGGAAGATGGGCGAGGTGGTGAAAAGATCGGAGTTCGAAAATACAACTTGCAAGGAACTTTCTACCATTCCAGTCAAGTTCCAGTCAAGCGTCTTGGGCAATATGGACTCCATCATCGAAACGCAGCGTCAAACACACGAGGAGATTGAAAGATACGAAACTGCTCTATACTCGCTGCTTTCAAGAAATCAACCGACTCACGAAATCAAGATCCAGACAGAACACAAAGCAGCTCAAGTCTTGGATCGCATTTCGTCGCGCGTATTAGCTTTGCACAATTCTTACCTCGACGAGGATGCACGGAAAGCTGAGATAGGCGCACTTAGCGCTCCGGCAGCAGCGCAGAATGACCTTTCTGAGTTCTATGCGCGGTTGGTGAAGATTCAGGACCACTACAACAAGTATCCTGATGCTGTAGCAGGAGGCTTCGACATGGAGCTCGCCGCCATCTTAGAGGAAGGTAATCAAGATGGGCTGGATGATGATTACGAGGAGGAAGACCGTGCGTTGACAATTGTCTCAAGTTTGCGTTGTTTCACCTTTGTTCTTCAGCCATATCTCTGCTCTTCTCCGGTGAGGAAGCATACGGAAAGTATGTCGATTTGTACGCAAATCATACCACGTACAACAACTTGAAGAACATCTCAAAACGATTGCCTTACCTTCAATATCTTGACATCTTGCTTGCCGCTCAAACCGGTTTACTCCACAGCGAGCTTTCGAAGGAGGCTAGGGCAACGAAAGATTACGAGATGTAAGCTGGTAGTTATTGTGACGTGAGCTGCCCTCACTCTTTATCCAGGTACATTCAACACTTGCATGATTATCTCCTTTCCTTCGTAAAACGGACGCAGCCGCTTATAGATATTCAAACGAAACATCAGGAAGCCGAAGCCGAATTTTACCAAAAGTGGGACGCTGGCGAAATTGTTGATTGGGATGAAAATCAGACCGCCAAGCGATTAGCGAATGCGGATGGCGCAGGAGAGGGGATGTGGTGCTCGGCCTGTAAGTCAAGTTCTTTATCTCAACGAATTGCGTGTGTTCACGTCAGGATCGTCCAGGCCAGAAAAGCTATTCAAAAAAGACTGTTTACGATGCCCACTTGACCTCCAAGAAACATCTGAAAGCAATTGCCAAACAGGCCGCTTCTGATACGCCACCGCAAAATCCAAATGGCACACAAACCCCTACCGCACAACCCGCGAGCAATGGTCAACTTCTGAAATCTAGACTCCGGAACTCCGCGTTGCTGACGTATCTTTCAACATCTCTTCTTGTGGTGTTGGTCCCCACTATCAGTGAGACGAAATCTAACGTGGAACGTCGCTTCTCCCTCACTGCGCGCGAGCGTGAACAAGAATTGCTTGAGCAAGCAAAACCTCCTCCGGCTCCCACCAATCCGTCTGGCGATGCTGCGGCCGAAGAAGAGGAAGAGGAGAGAATTTACAACCCCCTCAAACTTCCGCTCGGCTGGGATGGCAAGCCAATTCCATACTGGCTTTACAAGCTTCACGGCCTTGGAGTGGAATATCGCTGCGAAATATGTTCTGACCACGTGTACATGGGAAGGTATGACATCCTTTTGTTTCCGGGCTAGCGGTATGAAGGCTTACTACTCTGCAATAGGAAAAATTTTGACCGACACTTCCAAGTATGCCACTTTATTTTGATTTGATAGCGGTAGGCTAATAACTGATTTTGAAGGAATCACGGCACGCGTTTGGCATGCGAGCTTTGGGCTTGCCCAACACAAAACATTTCCACGAAATTACTCGCATTGAAGATGCCCTCTCACGTAAGTGCCTTTTAACCATTCTAAGTAGGCTACCCGTTAAAAAATTATTTAGTGGCAGAAAAGTTGAAGCAAGAGGGACGACATGAGATCTTCGAACAAGAAACGATGGAAGAACTTGAAGACGACGAGGGCAATGTTTACAATAGAAAGACTTACGAGGACCTGAAAAAGCAAGGTCTGATTTGATATGCCCGTGCTGCAGTCTTGTACTTTTACTACTTTAATATTGACCACTGTGCCCATGCCAATCTGTCTTAATCTAAGCTCAGTGTCCCGCATCAGCAAACCGCGAGCGCAACGGAGGTGGTGGAGGTTTGCGAACAGGTGTGATGGGAGATTGCAAACCCATTGCATGTGAGTAAAGTTCTTCGTCAGAGGATGATGGCGAGGATGAAAAAGGCGATTCCTCTGGCGAGTCAAAAGGGTTGGCTGCATCTGATTCCAGGAGGTGAGCTATTGAGATAGGAAAGATCCCTTTGGGATGTTCTGGGAACGTGTCAGGGGATGTGTACTGATGTTGCCACATGCTTACCTGGTCTGTCCCACCATGCATCATCATCCGTGCTGGGCGGAGGCACTGGTAAAATATGAGCCCCGCGATTGGATAAAATAGTCCAGGACTGACGTTCAGAGTAGTCATCCGGAAGTACCAGGGAAGCAAGTTTTTCATCAAGTTTCTCGCCCGGGGTAGCCGACAGTGTGTTTTCCAGGAGCAGGCGAGACAGCGCGGCCCTCTTTACGACATCAATGATCCGCACCTCGCTTCTAAAAAGCGCGAAAACTTGGTGCCAGCAATCAGTGGCGCGTAAAGATTACAACCGGAAACGAACTTGCCTGGACGGTGATCCGAGCCTTTCAGCTCAGCTCGGGAATATACCGCGAGATCGAATCGGCCTCTAAACAATATTCTGTCTTCGAGACGTGTCACCTACGTGAACGCACCCTTTGAGCATCGGAACCGCTTACCAGTCCAAGCCGGAATGCGCATCTTCTCACTGGTATCGTAGTTATCGGTGCCTAGGTCATACTTGTAAGTGGGTCGGAACAGCAGAGGTCCTTCCTCATATCCAGAAAATGCATCCCCATTATCGATCGCCTGCCTTAGCTGCCGTAGGATTAGTCTAGAGTCAACACTTGCTGAGGAGTGGTCAAAACACACCTGATCCGCTGCCACTAAAGCATCAAAATCATCGACCTCCGACAGGGCTCGGACGCTTTCGTTGTCAAGGTCTATCCTGTAATTCGTGTCTGCGAGCCATATAATATTTCTGTTGTGGACCGATACGTGTCAAACTCCACATGCCCCAGATTCTAGCGTACTCATGGCTGGACAAGGTCTTCCCTTTCTGAAAGTGCAAACCCTTCAAAATTGTGTGAAAGTCTGCATTCCGTTCCTCGACGTTGTTATGACCGGCGGCAAGGTGTGCGGTCAGGAAGCAGAAGCTAGTGTCGTAATAGTCCAGTCGGACTCCGACGCCACCTTTGTTCCCGGACATGCCGCGCAGGCCAGTCTGATATCATATTTAAGGCAGGATCTCGATGCATGTAGTCAAGGCTAACCTTGCGAGCTGCTCCTTCGACATTCCGTATGACAGCTGTTAAATCTGAGCGAACTATGACAAGAAGTGCAGTCCCGACAAGCTGCAGTGAAGGCTTCAGCATCATTTCAATTGAACGTGAACGTGAATCACTTGTTCACTGCGCAGAAGCACATAGTCACACGTCTTTTGAGGTCGACGTTCTAGACTTTCCATGACCTTCTGTTCCCATATACGCCTAACGATGTCAGGACGCAAGCTCCTCGCACACCATAATATTACCTACTTCTTTTCCGGATCTGGTTGCACAATCTGTTGTGCGGTAAGCTGGACAATTTCCTGGAAACCCAGGACAAAAATATCGGGTCTAAAATCTTGTTAGTTACGCCATTGAATGCAACTAGTTTTATACTCTAAGAGGTCTGTTTAAAAGATAATGCTATTAAATTGCGACTCGGAGTGAAGAACCAGACTTACTGTCCCGTGGGAAGAGCCACGGCAACAGGCTCTCTGATGACGGCAGCTGCACGGAGGAGGATCGGTGAACGATGACAAGAATCCGCATAATCCGCCTTACCCGGCCATTAAGATTCCACGTTCCTGCGAATATACTGCAAGACTGTGTAGTCGAATACTCAGACAAGCTTATGAGAGCGTCGGTGGTGAGATCATTTTACGTGCCCATTCCACTCACCGTTGCTGCAGCGCCTTTCCAACCGAGTCGTGTATTGCATCGAAAATATTCACTTGACGTTGGTTATTCATGTTGCCCTGAGAAAGAAATATTCGTAATTCGGAAAGAGTATCAAACTAAAACACTCACGAGAAACATGTCAATGGCGATTTGCTTTCCTTTATCTTGAAAATTATTAATGTATGCTCTTGACACGCTCTTTGTCGCATCGGACAAGACGCCTTCAAGGTGACGTCAGAAATGTCACAATACGTTGATACTGTGTATCTAACCTGCCAGAGTTCTCTTCCCAGTCCGAGTAACGCTCGTATTCAGTGCTCCAGTACCAGCATAAATGCGGGAGAGAGCATCCCCATTTTCTGCCCATAACTCTCGATGATGCATCCAGAGCGCGCCAGCCTGTAACCATTCGCGATGCACAAGACCGAGGTATTGTTCCAAGGCTTTGCGAGAGAAAATATCTTGCACAAAGTTCGTTCGGTCCAAGCTATGCGTCATCAACTCAAAGAATCTTATATAACCCGCTCGACTCACCAGTCAAGGCAGTTCGTCCTGAACACTCCTTTTTGTTCCGTGATTAGATTATCGGTGTTGGTGTCGCACATGGTGAACCCGTAACGGTCCATATTGTTATTGATGCCTTCCAAACGACTGTGGCTCATTATATATATGAGCGGACAAATTTCTCAAGAAACCACAGCATACCAGAGGTCCCTCATCACACTATCATGACCACCTATCCTCACGGCATTGTGGAAGTCGTAGTGAGTGATACTGAGCTCGTCACCCCAGATTCCTCTTGCAAGTTGCAGGTGCTTTGCATATGCAGAAGTCAAAATGGCCTCATTCTCTTTAGAGCCCAGAAGGTTGATGGCGTGAGTAGCGCCATACTCCTCCATTAGATGCGCAAAGTGGCGCTCGAAGGCAGGTTGGGAGGCATGCGGCCGTGTGATCTGTATGCGCTGGCCAAAGGTCTGGAGCCCTTGTTGTTCCCAAAATACTGCAATTCAAAGTGTTTCAATCGTTGGATTGCGAACCCCCCGCTGCAAAAAAACGCACATGGAACACTTCCTCGAACTTGTGTATAACTCACACAATGTTGATCCGTGGTGAGAATAGTTTCAGTCTGTGGGATGCGAATAAGACTTTGACTTTCCCTTTGTTATTCATTACCTACCTCAACAAAATTAGCAGTGTTCCCGTCATCATCTACACCCCGAGTATTGAATCGAGTGCCAGCTCGTCTCCACCCAAGGCGGGAAATCAATGATAAGGTCGCAACCACGGGGGCGCCATTGACTGGAGGTGCGGGCAAAGCCATGGTAAAGACGCCCACATAGCCTTGTATGGCTAATATCTATTCGTCATGTTACATATCATCTTCGAGAGGAAAAGGCGAGCACGAGCGCACGATAAATTGACACTTGTCGAGTTCCTCCCTTTCAAGGGGATCTAGCCTCTCTCTAAAATTAAGCAAACTGCGGACGATATACTCATTCCAGACGAAACGCTCATCAAATATACCGATATCATGTGCGCTGGATCGATCTCTCGCGAGACGAACGGGAAGACGAGACGAGAGATCCCATGTCGGATCGAGAGAATAGTAGAACGAACCCGAGGAAAGTATTTTGGTGAGTGGCATGCACGGATGCTCAAACACGGGAGGTGTGGTAGACTGAGAATAGTGGTCTCTTGTCATGAGTGCATCGGCGTTATCTGGATTGAGAAGTGTATCTTGGGATGCAGAAAAATCATCCCATGAGTGGGAGGTAAGGCAGTAGAACAAGACCTCGTGAATCTTCGCCACGGATTCAGGTTGAGAGTCGGAGGGGCGAGTGTTTCCGACCTCCGTCGCAGAGGAAATCACCGCAAGGAAAGTATCTATAAGTTACAATCAAGTTGAAACCGATAAGCATGCAAATCAGCATACCATTTTCGACCGAGATGAGGCCAAGGCAGCCTTTAATGACGCGGCTGGTCAGTCTCACAGCACTGGTGAGATTGACCTCATCTTTCGGCAGGAACTCCACGATAACCTGTGCTGGATTGGTTTCTGCAGCACGAAATACGAGAGCCCGTTGCGGCCGTCCTTTCCGTTCGTCATGCGATCCAGTTACCAGATACAGCGTACGAGGGTTGTGACTTAAGTAAAGATGCATAGATCGGGTAGCAGGCTGGTGAGAGTAATGGACAGAAACAATCGTGTTGCAATGCCCGTAGTGCTGCCTTTCCGATCTGTTGTTTGAGCACTACAACACTGTTCTGGCCGCTTCTGTATAGACCTGGTCAAGACCTGGTTGACAACTTGAGACCGACATATGAAGACACTTCCAACTTCCGAGTCCGACATGTTTGTTTGGCAAAAGCCTTGCATCCAAATAACCGTTTGGTCTCTGACTCCCTATTATTTGCGGCTACTAATCTCGCCATGACTCTGTGCATAAGCCAGTCTAGGTGATTTTACACCGGAAAGCTTGTCGTCGTGGTGAGTGACTCATCGGTAACTGAATGCCTCATTGACATTGTCACTCGAGGCGCTCGACTTGCGATGGTTGAGCAAGAGCCTGGCGCTTCACTTCAAATGAGATTGCTCATACGGGGCAAAATTGACGTACGAAACCAGAGGGTCAGGGCCCAGCTGGCAGTGTTAAATACACAGTCGGAGTCTCGGTGTCCCACAGCAGCGCGTTAAAAACGGATGCCCATTGCGCAGTAAATGACTCGCCATCGGTTCCCACCGTCACCGTAGCTGGCGGCCAAAAGTCGAACGAGTCAATATCAAAGTTATTCGCGTAAGCGCAGCAGTCTACCGGGGACACGTATTGAACACTCCTTCGAACGTGTCGCAAGAGTCGAATATTCAATAAAGGGCGTCTTGTGGATGATTACATCCCTACAGAAACTCTTCTAAGTAACATGGGACTTGCTATCTCTCACATCTTTTCAGGGTTATTCACCCAACAGGAGACGAGTGAGTGTCAGCCACAATGTTGCGATTCAAACAGGCTGATTAACATATCCTACAGGACTAGTGATGGTATTGTCCTGAGCAAGATGATGTCGAGACAGGTACTCACGGGATCCATAGATCGGACTCGACGCTGCGGGGAAGACAACGATCCTCTACAAGCTCAAGCTCGGCGAGGTCGTCACGACCATTCCTACAATAGGTAGACGATTTAGCGTGACCTACCCTGCTTATTTAACACATAAATGCAGGATTCAACGTGGAGACTGTCGAGTACAAGAATATTGCGTTTACCGTGTGGGACGTCGGAGGCCAGCACAAGATTCGTCCCCTCTGGCATTATTGTAGGGCATTCACTCCGTGATCGTACAAATATTCTCTCATCCAATCTAGACTTTAACAATGCGCAGGCCATCATTTTTGTGGTCGACTCCAGCGATCGTGATCGCATCGCAGAAGCGAAAGAGGAGCTCCGCATGCTGATGGACGACGACCAACTACGAGATGCGCTTTTGCTCGTGTTTGCGAATAAGCAGGACCTACCTGGCGCTATGAACGCGAGTGAACTCACCGATGGACTGGGTTTGCAGACATTCAGACAGAGAACGTGGTATATACAGGTGCGCCTTCCTTGTGCATGTGGCCGTCCTGCTCTGATGTACGACAGTCGACTTGCGCAACTTCAGGTGAAGGCCTGTACGAAGGTCTAGAATGGTTGGCAACCAATATTAAGAAGAGTCGTTGGCAGATTAGGTGAAGCCTGCTTCTAGGTGTTGAGCCTTGCATCCAAACGACCGTTTGGTCTACCTAGGAGTACAGGGTTCTAGCCACTAGAGTCTATTAAATCGTGTGGTGAACAAAGTTGCTTGAAAATAAAGAGTAACGAATGCGGCATATGAAATGATGTACAATCCGTACGACGATACGGAAATCACGAAACTGAACCCCTCTTGTGGTCATCTAAGCTGCAATGAGTAGGTTATATCATTATGCTGCCGGTCTCAGAGCTCTCAGTCTTTCCGCTAGTTTATCGTCTTCCTCGCCAATGCTCTCTTTTGTAGTCAGAGATGGAACACCAGATAGATCTTTCGCTGCGAGATCGTGCTGCAGTTCTATGTTGGCTTCTTCCGCCATCTGCCGCATGAGAGTGTCTACTTGATCTTGCGGCGTCGATACAGCGGTTGTACTTGATATTGCGTCCTCCATGTAAGACGTCTGGACGTCCAGGTCGGAGAATTGTGATTCGAACTTGTCCATCACAAGCGAAATCTATGGCATCATTCGAAAGAGGTCATGATATCGTTCGTGCGCGAAGGGGCATGTGACATTATTTACTCACCCGTTCAAGATTCATGCTATCCATTGCTTTGTCCATGCCCTTGACCACGGAGGTCATGTTCCCAGTCACCTGTCTCATCGTGACGGCAGTCTCCACTCGACTTGCGACAGCATCTAACCGGCTAGATAGTCGTAACAAATTCAGAGCCTCTGACTTCTTGCGAATGGCATTCGAGGCATATATACGCGCGCCATCAGTATTTCTCTGCTGCAACGCCTGAAGTTACCCATCAGATTGCTGTGCGTTTGAAACAGAACGACGGTGTGAAATAACCTTCTTAAGACGAGCCTTTTCCGTGTTCTCGTCCTTTTGCGCTTTCTTTGCTTGACGATTTAGTGTCTTGGCGGTAAACTGAGAGAGAAGATAAAATAGTATTCTCGTCGGACATGACATCGAGTACCTTCAGCTGAAACAGCGTCTCTGCGAAGTGTCAACGGATATCTCGTGACCTAGCTGTTGCGCGGGCTGCTCACTTTCCATGTTGCTCATATTGAATCAGTCAAAGGATGCGGCCTTGATAACGGGAAAGATTGTTCAGATGAGATGATACAAGTCAAAGTGAAAGATGCGGCTACGATGGCTGAGCCTGCGGTGTTGTCGTAACCTTGATCTGGACAAGGTTGGTCACGTGCGCTTAGCTCGAACCGAACCCTTTCTCGGGATAAACCTTTCTCTCAAGTTGTCTAAAGTACTATTTGCTTGCACAGGCCTAACAGACCGTGTCTGGACCTCCTTCCTAGAAGTGAAAGCTCAGCCATGTCATTATTACACTATCTCAGGTATGGTTCATCTCAAAATACTGGTTTGCTTAAGTTGAATTATCACTTTCAAACAGTTATGTTGCTATAGTTGCTGCTTTCGCATTCATGACACTTTCGCTTGGTTTGTGATGTCTCCGTCACCTTTTTTCTCGCTCGTTTCTCAATCAGAGCTCCAGCTAGCGGTCTGCTGTATGTCTCAGAGCTAATAGAGGAGCATTCACGTCTTGCCAAGATCATCGGACAGCGGGGAACCTATGTTCGTGAATTCATTTTCTGAAGCAATGCAACTATCTTACATGGAGAGAAGGCAATAATAGCGCTGCACATTATACTCTACATTTCAGACTCACTCCCCCTACCACAGACGCTTTTCTCCATAGTCTGCCACGTCGTCTACCTGCAAAACTTCTCCAGCACCTGGCCACTTATCTCGCTCTCGTCTTTGTCCTTTATTGCATCCTGCATTTTTGCAATCTCGGACCACTTCATTTGGTTCTTCTACTTCTCGCACCTCACACGGGAAGCAAGGCAGGTGTCACATCTATATCGTAGTCCGATCCATTCTACAGTACCTGGGTTCTCGGATATTGCGACCTTCTTCGGGGTCTGCGTTTGGCTCGTCCCGCTCTTCCTCTTCCTGAGTTTGAGTGCGAACGATCATGCCCTCCCTACATCATCTGGTTAGCATCCCATTATACTCCGTTGATGCCATGTACTCAGATGTCGTTGTAAACCTAGGCATACCCAGCACACCGGCCACCACCTTGCGAACATTAGGGTCTCGTTCAAACTCGTCTCTGTTCAAAGCCATGTTCGGTCTCATTCCGTTTCTTCCCAAGGCGTTCAGACGTGAAGCGACAGATGGGCTGATCGCTCCGCATACCCCCAATCCCACGCGCCGGGAAAGCTCTCCTGCGCCTTCGTCACCGACAGTCTACACGCCCGGAGGGGTCCACGCTCTTGGCGGGACCGGTGCATTGCCTCCCAGTCGATTTAGGCTTGGTTCACCACCGCGGCGGGCGTCCCAGGTCCCTAGGAGGGTAACCGTTGATAGTGGAAGCGCGACAATGGCAGCGAGACGAAATAAGTTAGACTGATTTCCATGTACGTTGCACTGCTGGCAATGCCTCGCGTTTCTCGGACTCTAGAGTGTGTCAACAACGCAAGGTAAGGTGCGACCTGTGAAAGGTATGTCCTCTATCGCTTTAGTCTCACAGCGGAGCCTAGTAAATACGTCCTAGTACATCCTTTTGAAGTACACACTTGCAGAGTTGATGGACTCCAGGCTTCTGCATTCACCGTGCTTGTACTAATGCTATACGGCGTGCAAGAGGCTGGACTGAATAAGTTAAGCCAACATACCCGATAATTTAGATCAGACAAATATACATACCGGCGGGTTTCTGTGACCGAGGGCAAGAAGCTAAAGGCTACTCAGCAGAAGGCTCTCTGACAAGCTGTGTCAGTACTCCCATGGCGTGTATGAAGAAAGGTCGGATCTCGTTGATTTCCATAGAGCACAAGTTGGGTAACTGTATAACAATGAGGAATATGCGATGCACCAACTAAATGGAACCCACACTGAGCTCGCTGTGATCTAACTTTTGCAAACCGTCACGACTTTTAGCTTGTCGAGCTTCGCGAAGGTCTTTTAGTAAAGACTTGATTTTGTCTGCATTTTGCACATCATCCGAGGCACTTCGAGAAAGTCAGATTTGTTACCATCAAATGAACAAAAGTGTTCGCTAACACATCAAGAATGACTTTCGCTATCTCTGCAAATCGGAAAGGCAACTTGCTAAATTCAGGTCGACTCGTTTCTCTTGTTAGTCGTTCCTGCAAAAAATCTAGAAGATGATGCATCATCAAGAGCACGTAACGATCGAAGAAAGGCTATATACAAACCTACACTGAGCCATTCCGGTGGTATGATATGGCATTTCTTCTTCAGCTTCAGATTAGTCGCCATCCAAAGGGGTATGCGACATTTTGCTGGCGGTCGTAGTGGTCCATAGGCGCCCTATGCGAGTACGACCATCTGGGTACTGCTCTAAAAATCCACCTCAATGCTCACCGAAATGAAAGCTGTCTTTTCCATTGTGATCAAGGGAACAATCTCGACGAGTTGCTCGGAGGCGATGAGCTCAAGCTCTAGTGGAGTCACGGATGTTCTTAAAGATTGTGGTAATGCCATCAGAAACACAATACTTAGGTGTGGTGGATGAAGAAGGCCACGACGTTAGATACGATGATCAGTTGTTGGCGTTGTTTTCTTGACGCGTTTGCGCACGTGACCAAAACGCGTCGAACAGTGCACGTTGAGTGCACGCACTTCTCTGCTCACTGCACATCATAAATCATCCGCGATTCTGTCGACGTCGACCGCATTTTACAGCTTCATCTTTGGCCTTGTCATTTATATGCTTGGTGCAAGGACCAAGCAAGTCTTTGCCTATGGGCGTCGTGGCCATCGGATTGTCAATGTCGTCGAGAGGAATGAGTCAGACGCCTTTGATTCCCCCGTCAAGACAGTACGCAACACGCAAGCGTCTAGGCAAGTTCAGATAGAAAATGATATCTACTTATCTCCCTCTCCTCCTCGCCATCGGGTGCACGGTAAACCCAAGCGGGCACATGTCTCACCTGCCAAATCCCCGCTTGGTCCAGCCAAGAAGAAGGCTCAGGTCAAGTTAGCGGGCAGACCAAAAAAGAAGACAGTCCTTTCAAAATTCGAAGAGCAGACACCTGTGCGACAGCCACTTACATCTCTCCGCACGAACGGTGCGTCACCTGCGGCTCTGCCGCCTTTAGCACTCGCGAGGAAGAAGGGTAAAATACCAGTGAAATCATCGCCACGGGCTGCGCTGAAGCCTACATCTCCAATTGTGACTCTTGACATCATCACTCTCGATGACGATGGCAAGACACTCAGTCAGGAACGGCGGGTATCGCGGACTGATGTTCGAATAAACACCGTGACTGCAACAGCTCCGAAATTCAAGGGCAAGGGAGCACCCGCGAACCCCGCAATCATCCCCATCATTGACAGTGACTCTGATGCGGAGGAAGTGGCTAGACTGGCGAAGAAACGTCATGGCCGCATGCGATCGGTTATTGTCATATCCTCTGATGACGATGAATCACCTCCAAAACGCAAAATTGAATCGATGGCTACTTTTTCCAAAGCACAGTCTTCATTTATGGAGGTCGTGGTCCCTCCTGCGCCTTATAAACTACCCACAGTCCTCCAGAAACAGTCACCACTGCTGCCTCTGCCTCCACCTTTACCCCAGCAGCAAGCACCTGTGTTTGTGCCTCTCGCCCCGCCGGCAACGAAAGTACGACAGCTGACACCTATACGCCGAGGAAAAGATCGAGCGCAGTTCCAACGGCTCTTCCCTACGCCTTCTACACCCACTGACGCGGACCTTTCTCTCGAACTTGAACGACTTAACATTTCGGACGTGACCGACTTTGAAGACCCGTTACCCTTACAACCGGAATCCCTACTTCCGCTCCTTTCGGAGTGCTCTCAGACTGGTCCGCATGAATTTTCTGCTTTCATAGAGACTTTTCCATTCGATCCGATCGTACAGCCTGCGGACGGAGATGACCTAGATGTCAGGTTTCGTAAAATTGGAGAGGCCTCGTTTTCTGAGGTTTTTGGCATTGGTGACGTAGTTCTTAAGATCATCCCTCTCCGAGATGAGGAACAACGTATCGCAAATGACTTGGAGACTCCCGCACCGAGCGATGCGAGTGATGTTTTGAAGGAAGTTATTGTCACTCGAGCGATGGGAGAAATGTGCAGCGGCTTTATCAAGCTTCTCAGAACATACGTCGTCCGTGGGCGCTATCCTTCGTTACTTCTGGATCTCTGGGATGAATACAGTGAGCGCAAGGGTTCCGAGAGTATACGACCAGGTAGGAGGCATATGGACATGGTCAATCAAGATCGTTATAACTTTTAGTCAGACTCTTTCGGCCTTGCCCAGGTCTACGCAATCATTGTCCTGCCAAATGGCGGCCCAGACCTTGAAGCCTTCACGTTCAAAAACGCCACAAAGTCTGGTTGGCACCAAGCATGCAGTATCTTCTGGCAGATAGCCAGAGCTCTGGAGCAAGCTGAAGACCTTATGGCATTCGAAGTGAGATTCTTTCCGATCAATGATGCAATGGCTGACGTGAAATAGCATCGTGATTTACACTGGGGCCAAATTTTGGTGAAGAACGTACCTGTTCGGAATTCATCATCGAAAAAGGCAGGGAGGAAGCTCCGCATGGATGATGTTCGATTCGGCGTCAAGGCGACTATCATTGATCTTGGGCTTTCCAGGATGGAAACCGTGGATGGCCAAGGTTCCAAGACATACTGGACACCATTTGATGAAGAAATTTTCGAAGGAGAGGGTCAGTGTCTCACGCACTCTTAGGACATGCACTTTGCTGATCGGTAGGGACAGGAGATTACCAATTTGATGTCTACAGGATGATGAAAGAGTATAGTGGGCACTCTTGGGAAAACTATCAGCCTTTTACGAATATCATGGTAAGACCTGTATTCGCACTTCTTGCATCTAATGCTCACCCAAAATCAGTGGCTTCACTACCTTACACAGAAGCTCTTGCACTCAAAGCGACTGAAGCCTCCTGGCACGAGAAAGCAATCAGCGGCTGGGCCTACACCAGTGGCATCCTTAACAGGGTACAATGAACAAGAGTGTTACGACTCGCTGGTGGAGATCGACAAGCTATTAGGTGACTGTATTAATGTATCAAAGAAGGGCCGCAAGGGGCAGCGGAAAATGTGTGTGCCATCCTCTGGTCCAAGGACGGCAGGGGAAGTTGTGTTGTATGGAGTCGAGAAAGGTTGGATGACGGCATGAGCTGTATAGTTGTATTTTCTGTTGCATATACCCCGGTTGTCCGCTCTCTTTGAACCTCGAAACTCTACATACATACGGACAAGAACGGTCCAGACAAACCACAGAACCTTCCTATCTGAGCGATCTTGCTAATACGTCATAGCTGTCATAGCCATATCTGAGTTGCCACCTATATTAGCGTTGAACGGAGCGAACGAAGATGGAGCTCGTCTGGTCCAGGCCTGTTATCTCCTCCATCTCCCGCAAATTTTTTGTGTCTGCGAGCCCACCAGAAAATGGCTGCAGCATCTAGCTTTGATCCACAATCCGTGTTGAAGCTCGACGGGTACCTTGAGCCATTCATCCCTGCCATCGCTCACCGTCACGAGCGCTTTCAGAGGTGGAAGGATGCCATCGATCAATGTGAGGGCGGGTATGAGAAATTCACTAGAGGGTTCGAGAAGATGGGCTTCAATGTCAAAGAGGGTGGTGAAGTGGTCTACAGAGAGTGGGCACCGAATGCAACAGAGGCACATCTCATCGGCGACTTCAGTGAGTCCCATCCTTTATATTGCACTCGGTTCGTTGACGTATCTATCGCGGACTCAGACCAGTGGAATAGAATGACCCACCCGTTAAAAAAGAACGACTTTGGTGTTTGGGAAATCACACTTCCTCCCAAGGCTCCTGGGGTATGCGCTATACCTCATGACTCCAAGGTTAAAGTGAGTAGACGTGATCTGCGATGATCTTCTTCTAAATTCGTCAGATCTCCATGATCACTCCCTCTGGTGCTCGTATCGAACGTATTCCTGCTTGGATTCAACGTGTCACCCAAGATTTGTCCTTCTCTCCTGCATATGAAGGGCGTTTCTGGAACCCCTCTGCATCGGAGCGATATCAGTTTAAAAACTCTCGTCCACCGCAACCAAGAGCGATAAGAATATACGAAGCCCATGTTGGAATTTCTACGGCTGAACACCGCATCGGCACCTACAAAGAGTTCATGAAAGATACGCTTCCGAGGATTCACGCTCTGGGTTACAACACCATCCAGTTGATGGCTATCATGGAGCACCCATACTATGCATGTAAGTTACGAGTCAACGTCCTGCACCTCAACCTGAGTTCCCTCGTGCTAGCATTTGGCTATCAAGTGACCAGCTTCTTTGCTGCAAGCTCTCGGTATGGCACTCCTGAGGAACTTAGAGAGCTTGTCGACACTGCTCACGGCATGGGTATCACCGTCCTTCTGGACGTTGTGCATTCACATGCCTGTAAAAACGTCCTTGATGGCCTTAACGCATTTGATGGAACGGATCACCTCTACTTCCACGAAGGCAGCAAAGGACGTCATGAGCAATGGGACAGCAGGCTCTTCAACTATGGGAGCCACGAAGTTCTGAGATTTTTACTGAGTAATCTACGCTTCTATATGGAGGAGTACCAGTTTGATGGCTTCCGGTTTGACGGTGTTACGAGTATGATGTATGTTCATCATGGTATCGGAACGGGTTTCTCTGGTGGCTACCATGAGTACTTTGGTCCTGGGGCAGATGAGGAGGCTATTGTGTACCTTATGCTGGTAAATATTTTATCTGCAAAATTTTCAGTTGCTAACATTCATCTAAGGCTAATGATGCGATGCATGCTCTTTATCCGTCTGTTATTACGATCGCGGAAGACGTCTCAGGCATGCCTCTGCTTTGCATCCCCGTATCTCAAGGGGGTGTTGGATTTGACTACCGCTTATCAATGGCCATCCCGGACATGTGGATAAAACTACTGAAGCACAAGACCGACGACGAATGGGATATGGGTGATATCGTGCACACCCTGACAAACCGACGGCACGGCGAGAAGAGTGTTGCGTACGCTGAAAGTCACGACCAAGCCCTTGTGGGAGACAAGACTTTGGCTTTCTGGTTAATGGACAAAGAAATGTGTAGGCTTGTTTCATCTTGTGTATCAGACATAACTCGAACGCCCCGACAGATACGCACATGTCGGACTTGACACCGATGACTCCCATTGTTGCGCGAGGTCTTGCTTTACATAAAATGATCCGGTGAGTTTTGTCGTCTGTGGCTGCAGACGGTACTCATGGTTGTAGTCTCCTGGTTCACTCGCTCGGCGGAGAAGGCTACCTGAATTTCGAAGGCAACGAATTTGGACACCCCGAGGTGAGGAATTCCAAAATCTTATGCACAACGTCCCTTCATATCTACTTGTCCAGTGGCTTGACTTCCCTCGAGAAGGAAATAACAACTCCTTCCAGCATGCCAGGAGGCAGTGGAATATTGTAGACGACCAACACCTTCGGTACCGATACCTGAACAACTTCGATGCTGCGATAAACCACTTGGAAGAGGTATACAAATGGCTATCAGCTCCTCAGGTCAGGGGTCTGACATGACGTAGGATGCACCTATAAAGCTGACTTATCTCATAAAAAGGCATACGTCTCTCTCAAACACGGAGGTGACATGATGATTGCCTATGAACGCTCTGGCCTTCTTTTTGTTTTCAACTTCCACCCCACGAAGTCCTTCACGGATTACCGCGTTGGCGTTGAGGAAGCAGGGGAATATCACATCATTCTTACCAGTGATGAAAAGAAATTCGGCGGATTTGAGAATGTTACACATGGCGGCAAGTTCCCTACAACACCGATGGAGTGGAATGGGAGGAAAAATTGGTTGCAGGTACGACCTTATTTCAACACATTGTGACATGTCTTAAACCGATCATAGGTCTATATACCATCCAGGACTTGCTTGGTGCTGGGGAAATAAAACAGTTGGTTTATCACATGAAGCCGTTTTCGAACGCAGGCTGCAGAATTTTATATGACGACTCATCTATAAACTATGGCTGTCGAATCTTACTCGTGTTCAATTCCTGTTCTCTATGTCTATGTCTACTGCAACATCTCACGTGGAATTCTTTTGATCACAAGTGGGTCCAGAAATAGACTCCTTATTCGCACCATGTATCAAGTGACTATAGTAGCAAATGAAGTTTAGCCACTTCTCACCGAGTCTTATCTCGAACGTCCTTGAACCCTTGTAACAGAAAGGGCTTGGTTTCTGCCATGGACGAGAAGTCTTTCCATGCCGACCATAAGTCGGCGCAAGCCATTCCAGTTCCCGTCACGCACCGACCAGCTGTCGCCTCTCCCCGCAAGAAATGGGGGCGCCGCCTCGCCGTCTTACTCGCTTTCCTGTGCACAGTCCATCTTTTGAGCAATGTTAAGCGTACTCGCCACAATGGACACGAGGGACAAGATAATGGGATGCTCAATGCGCTGACGCACCAGGCTCCAAACAAAGGTCGTATCCTCAGAGGGAAGAAAGCAGAGCAACTGTTCTTGTGCGTTACTGCTCACCCAAGTCGAGTGGATGGATCTAATCTTGCTCAGGTCTGTACCAGATACAGACAGTGCTATTGCTGCGTCCCGAGTCTATGCGGCCAAACCCCATATGGCCGGGACCGCAGGTGATTTTGACACTGCAAAATACTTCCTCGCGCACCTACAGGAAGAGCTCGAAATTGATCGCTCATCTTCTGACATTCCACTGTACTCAGCTGGTTCCCATGAATCTCGCGAGGCAACGTTAACAATTCAATCCCTTGACGAACCAACGGCTTGGATCGACGAGTATTACCCTATTTTGAACAGCCCTTTGGATCGTAGCCTGGAGATTCTTGGAGACGACGGCAAAGCCGTTTGGTCTGCTGAGCTCGAAGAGGTTGCTGATGAAACCGACCCTTATGCCTTCCAGTCCGCCAATGCCGTTCCGACGTGGCATGGTATCAGTAGAGGGGGCCAAGCTGAAGGGACGCTGATTTATGCGCACTATGGAAGGAAGCAGGATTACGACGCGCTCGTAGAAGCTGGTCCGTAATTATCCGCACTGTTGAGAGTCTGTTTTTGATGTTTTTACATCCAAAGGTGTTGACTTCAGTGGAAAGATTGTCCTAACTCGCTACGGTGGTGTTTTCAGGGGTTTGAAGGTACGCTTACTCGAGCCTTCCTAATCGCACGTTTAGGTGGGTTTAAATTCGGATTCGACAGGTCAAAAGAGCTCAGGAGCTTGGTGCTGCCGCTGTTCTCGTTTACTCAGATCCTCGTGACGATGGTACAGTAACAGTTGAGAATGGCTATATCCCGTTCGTCTTGTTTCATACTTCCAAGTCAAGTCTCTAAACTTCTGTACAGCTACCCACACGGCCCTGCACGTAACCCAACTTCCGTGCAACGCGGTTCCGTGCAGTTCTTGTCGTTGTATCCCGGAGATCCCTCGACTCCTGGATATCCCTCGTATGAAAATAGCACGAGAATTGAAGGAGGAAGCAAACCAACGATTCCGAGTTTGCCAATTTCTTGGGCTAATGCTGAAGTCCTTCTAAAACACTTGGAGGATAGTTGTAAAAGCCCTACCGTTCGTCTCGTGAACAATGGTAAGACTGCACACAAATTTTCCATTATCATGCCCTCACTCTTTCATAGTGAACGAAAAGATTACCCCCATCTGGAACGTGATGGGTGTTATTCCTGGCCACATCAAGAGCGAGGTAGTCGTGATAGGCGCCCACCGAGATGGTGAGTGCTTTTGGTCATTTAATGATTCCTGCACAAACATGATATCTGTCAGCTTGGGTAACGGGAGCGAGTGATCCGTCCTCAGGCACAGTGTCTCTTTCAGAGGCAATCCGTGGCTTTGGGGCTATGTTGAGGAAAGGATGGAAGCCCTTGAGGACAATTCTCATTACAAGCTGGGACGGTGAAGAAGTGAGACCTTCTTTCATTTCGCTGATCTTGAATGACTTCTCTGCGTAGTTTGGATTGATTGGCAGCACAGAATGGGGCGAAGACTTCTCGGAGTGGATCAAGGACCATGTCGTGGCTTACGTCAACACGGGTATGCAGGACCGGCTTGCAATGTTCATTGTGTAATTGACTCAAATTCCACGTTCAGATACTTCCGCATCGGGGTCCCGTCTCAAGGCCTCAGGATCTCCCTTGCTTGCCCATCTCCTTCGTGAAACAGCAGAACAGATTCCCCACCCTATCTCGGACGAAAGAAGCCTTTGGGACGCCCGCGGAGACACCGGAACACTTTTCGGCGAGCATATGAATGCGGAGATTGCTGCAATGCACGAGGATGATCTTTTGGCAGTTGATAGTATCGGTGTGAGTCCCCTGGGATCAGGGAGTGATTATACCGTTTTCTTGCAATACCATGGTGTAAGTGAATGGATTGCGAGGTATGATATCCACAGCTTACAACTAGTCAATAATGTCAGGTACCGAGTACTGACGGTGGATTCACCTCAACGTTACACGATCCCGTGTATCATTATCACTCGATTTTTGACTCTCAGTACTGGCAGGAGCTATACGGCGATCCTGGTTTTTCTCGTCATGTGAGTATAATATGGCTTGTTACCAGCGCAGTTGAGCTTAACCATATTTGCAGGTTGCTATTGCTAAACACATTGGTCTACAAGTGCTACGTCTATCTGGCGACATTATTTTACCCTTCAATACGACCCATTATGCCATCGAGTTGGAATCATACCTTGACAAGTATGTACAGTTGACTTCCTTTCTGGTAAATTATGGCTCACTATAGAAATTCAGGGTTGTTTCTATCGCAGCTGCTGGCTCTTATGACGTCGATCTGTCTCCTCTGCGGGAATCCCTTCACGCTTTACAGAGTGCCAGCCTTGAGCTGGACTCCACGAAGACGAAGGTGGAGCGCAAGCTTCGTAAGATCCTCAAGCAATTGAAAAAGAGGCATGGTATCTGCCACAAGATCCGTCGCAAGGTTTACAAGGCTAGCTGCAAACTCAAGAAGGTATTTGGAATGCACAAGTGCGAATCCAAAGACAAGCACGAATATACGGAAAGAGAACGCCCGCATAGGCGAGTATCTTCGCATTCTGGGTGGACACCGGCTCACAAAAAATTCCTTCAGACAACCCAGCCAACGCCTTCTCAAAGCTGTTCAACGCGTGCAAGCTGTGAACAAGAGATTGATCGCCTTTGAACGTAGTTTCATATCGAACGAAGGTATCAAGGATCGTGAGTGGTACAAGCACTTGGGTGTAGCTCCTGGCAAATGGTCAGGTGAGTGCCATCCGCTCGTTCACCTGTAACAGAGGTTAAGCATCACTTGAAGGCTATGGCGCCACCACTTTTCCAGCGCTCACTGAGGCACTTACAATGGACAAAAATGCGACCGCTGCTGCCTATGAAGCTGGGAGATTGAAAATCGTGATCGACGACCTCGTTGAGACTATTCGCCTGTGAATCTGGGTCAACATTTAGACATCCCATATATCAATACCTTCTATGATATTCCTTGAATTCCATCGATCTTCCTGCTGTAGCTGTTCATGAGAGTATAAGCATGTAGCACTCAGGTTGCGGATAATATTGATGGGCCACATTTTGTAACTGCGAGGCAACACCACCCTGGCGGTATGCGTGGTAATGACCAACTTGCCAAGTATTCTCAGGCTACTCGTCATACTAAACCAGGGCTAGCGCCTGCAAATTCAAGCCCAAGGCTGTAAGTTGCACCGATAATATGTCCACCAACTCTGAGCCGGCAACTTGGACGAGCGCGAGGAACTCCCTTGCCATACTTGTCGTGAGCCTCGGGCTTTCGTTATTTACAACAGCCTACGAAAAATCGGTTATCCCGCTGTTTGCCAGTGTCCCGACTTTGAAATACCTTGATCGCATCGTGCATGCGAGCACAGTGTTCGCGGTTATAGCTCCAAAGCTTTCGAGTTCGAAAATCCTCTTGATTCTGGGCACTCTGGTTCTCCTAGCACCCCATACCTCTTACTGGATTAGTGTTCATGTTGCTAGGTTCAGGGATCCCATTTACAGTCCTCTCGTCACCCATGCATTTGTATTGGCCCCCGTTGTGTACTTCGCAGTGTCTTTGGCGATGAACGTCGATGTGAGTTCTACGGGAACAAACTGCCGCTCATCTACGTTTAAACTTACCGTTTGCTACTTTTTAGCCTCGCCTATCCCTCATAGTACTGGCCGCCAATGCACTACAACTTCGTCCACTATTAACATTGTTATTCGGGTTATTATCGCTAGACGCTTCGAACAATGTTACTGTGCGTAATCAGTGCAATTATAGTGATGACATCTTTTAACCATGCATCCAGTTCACTGGATTGGGATGTGTATCTCTTGCTGTGTATGGTTGGATGCAAGTCAGTATGGGCAGGCGTAGTTCCCATCCGAATGCGCGAAACACTTGGTCCACAGTGGCCTTGAGTGTGACTCCCCTAGTCTTTGCTACACTTTTATCCCTCAATCCAATCCTTCGCTCTCCGACGCTCGTAGATTCCCTTGTTTCACCATACAACAGCACAACTTATCCGCTCCGTATACTCAATTCAACCCGGTCCAAAACTGGTGTGGTGGTGGTCGGCGAGATATTGCCTCCAGCCGACGGGAGCTCGACCCCTGTTCAATCTATCCGTTACCTTCGAGCATCCCACTCGTTACTGGGAGGTGTATGGATTGGGGACAAAGTGGCTACACTCGACGATTTCCCTCCATTGACTGATCAACGAGGCACTCCATTGGGAGATTCAATCTACAGCGCATTTGTTCTTCAGGAGGCAGTGCGGCTTGTCAACAGTACTTCCCAGGGAAGGAAGGGAGAGTGGAATCATGCGCTCATAATGTAGGTGGTAACCTTGGTTAATGATTGCCGTTGCAGAGATGACACCTTTGATGTTCAGCGGTCTTGGCGCCGGGATCTCCGCGAATGCGTTTGCCCAACATGACATAGCAACAACTATTGTTGAGATCGACCCTGCTGTATACGATGCTGCGCGCCAGTATTTTGGCCTATCGGATCCTGGTTCCAATAATGTGTTCCTGCAGGACGCGAGAGGGTGGGTTAGAAGTAGGAGAGCTATGATAGAAGCTGAAGACCCTTCCGTAGTTAAGTATGATGTCGTCGTCCATGATTGCTTCTCCTGGAGGGGGAGTGCCTGAGCATCTCTTCTCCATTGAATTTTGGAATGATCTCAAGACCATCTTAAGTCCAGAAGGTGTCGTTGCCGTGGTAAGCAGCTTCAGACATTGTGTTCACCTGTATCACTTATCTCGATGTCTTCTGGACAGAACTTTGCTGGAAAATTTGCATCCGACTCCTCGCAAGCAATACTGGTCACTTTGCTGCGAGCCTTTGGGCAATGCAGAGCCTTCCATGACCTTATTGAGTCTATCTCCCAGGAACAGTTTCACTCCCAGTTCGTCAATATAGTAAGTTCCTTTTCATCCAGGACTTCGGGTCCGAAGGGATTATTGGAGCTCTGACAAAGTTTGACAATCGCGCGACAGGTCTTCTTTTGTTCTCCATCTTCAACACCACTCACGTTCCGACCTGCAGTCGAAGACGACTATCTCCACTCATATCTCCGCCGTCACGTTCTATCCAGTCTTGACAAACGGGAAATCGATCACACCCAAATCAGAGACAGCTCTATCTGGTCTGTGGATACGGACGAAAAGTTCGTTCTGACCGATGCACATAATATGCTGAACAAGTGGCAAGAAGGGGAAGCATTTGAACATTGGAAGCGTGAGTTGCATTCAACTTTGAGTGCATTTAATTCTGAGAAGTTGTTGCGCAGTTATGAGGGAGATAGTACCAGACGTGGTATGGGAGACTTATTGAGGATCGTGACATAATGTTATTGCCAAATCCTGTACGGATGTCACGGGCACCTGCCAAGTCGCCCTGTTCCTTGATGCTGGGGAACAGCTTCGACCACTGAAAGGAATGAGCGTCATGAGCAAGAATGCTTCATATTATGCACCCTACGCAACCTCGAAAATTACAAGCTGTTTGGAAACAAGTCGTGGCCAACGACGAGAAACACTGAAGAAACACACGAAACAAAACAGAACCACGTTCTGGATTGCGAGACGACGACGACGGTGAGGTACAAGCTAAGGGAAAGAGGTGTCTACGATGCAATGAACCATATGTGTAGGCGTACGTAAGCCACCAGGCTTACACTGTTCCTGTGACTGAAGTGCGTTGTATCGCCATAGAACCAGGGTCGAATTACCTGATTGCTTCACCTGGGCGTGCCTCTACTTGCAAGATCGGAAGGAGTGTGTAGCATCAGTGATACGTATGTGGCCACAAGCCAGTGCAACTAGCACATGTAAGCCGTTGCATACAATCGTTATATTACTCTTTTTGGCTCATTCATCCAGATGGATGCAGCTTTTAGGCTCCGGGGAACTCCGTCTGCACAACATTCAGAGAGCATCTAGCGCTTGTATTGATTGACTGTGGCACCCTCAGGTTTTTCTGATGTTCACTAAGGCTATCTTAGGTCCATCGTTTGGTGTACACTTACAGCCAGAATACTGAGGTTCGGCAGTTTTCCGTCATATCCTGTCAAGTAAACATGGATTACGAAGATGCCATCGTCACGGCCTCACCTGAAAACCAATAACTAACTTGAAGGATCTCCCCGCTGTCGCGCTTTATTGCAGTGCTATGATCTTCAAGTTTTAAAGGGCTGGAATTTTGCCTCCAGAAGAAATACCTCTCTTCCCTGGGTCAGGGTGTGTATCACGATGCAAGCTCCCCCTCCCCCTGGTCTCAACTATATTGCGGCAATCCAACCGGCAGTAATCGACATTATGATCGGGCATACTTTTACGGTCATACTCGTACCCCTCCTCATCGCGATGTTCTACTTCTCGAACGAACATTCGCGGAGACAGCCCATATTTATCCTCAACGTTTTTACTGTGTCCCTGGCATTTTCTGTCGGTGTAATGGGGGACAGTAGAGCTGTAAGTCTCGATTAAGCTCCCTGTCCATCTTAGAAACCAACATCACTGCACAGATCAATAACATGCTATCACCGACACATCCATACCCTGTTTCCTATGACATAACCATAGGTGTCCTTGGGACGGTCCAAACCCTCATTGTTGACACCATCCTACTCTTTCGCATTTGTTCTGTTTACCCACCAAGATACCTCACGCGGCAACGGTTTGTGGCGCTGGTTTCACTGCCCATACTCCTCAAAGTTGCCCGTGTCATCAATTTATTCCTCTTTATAGCAGCTTTAATAAGAGCGGCCAAAGGACCCGACGCAGGAAGCAACTTTGGCAGCACTGTGGGTACAAGCTCTGTACCTCAAGATTGAGTGGTTCGCACAGCTGGTGGATAATATGTGAAGCAGATGTCTACATCTTTTTCTTTTCTTGAAGCTCACATATAAATTCTTGTTTAGATATGCGTCCTCTGTATTCCTCTGGACACTCTGGTCAAAGCGGGTAAATAAGCATGGCTCCGTGGCGAGCAATGGCAAGCGTAAGTCTTCATTGCATCTTCATATTTTTCGACTCATGTCACCTTAGATTCGTTCAGGATGAGACTCCAGACACTATTTTGGATTGCGCTCTCAAACTTCACCATTCCTGCGCTCTTTTCGGTCGCTCAGATCATTGTCATTTACCGCGAAGTAAACCCAGTGGTCATCAACCAGATCATTCTGGTGAACACGTCAATTGCAGTTATCGGTGTTGTCTTTGCCACAGTCTGGGCGGGTTCAGTCAACAAACAGATTGCTCATTCGGATGCCAATCCTGCTGCGGATGTCGAGAACTCCGGCGCGAAGGAACCCGTGATGCTTTTTGCTCCTCGTGGTACCTATGCGACCAATGATGGAATATATATAACCTACCAGCTTCCAGCAATCTCTGCCAGTGGTGGTTGAGACTATTTTTGATGCATTTGGAAATGGGACTCGGAGGGATGTGGTTTGTTTGATTTTCTTCTAGTTTTGAATATTTACTGAAATTACAGACTCTTCATTGAAGTAAGAGCGACTTCGAGCTATGAGTCTTTGTGGTGTCCTCATTTTCATCGACATCTTTCCGTTGAGCAATATTGATCAATGACTACCTTAGCTAGTTAGCTGGTTTGCAGGCCAAAGCAGCGAGGTTTACTATATGATTTTAATAGCATGGAACAACCTAGACGCCTGGAAAAAACCCCACTATTTACCATTCATGGCGGTGGAGTATTCCTTGCAAGTCTTACCATATTTACCTTGCCAAGCACCCATATTTATTCATCGTTGTATTCAAAGTTATCCGTCCCCTCGCTATCAAATATTACAGCTATTTGTAGATGGTTGAGTACTTCATTATTAATGTCATGAACTCTTACTCGCCAAACACACGAGGCAAGTATCTGATCGCGACACACTCGAGTTGATCTCCAAAGGACATATTCGAAGAAAGTCAAGTAATCCATGCTTGCTACTATGACACATTTACAAGTGGACCAAAGCATTCAATGTTTGGGATAACGATACATTCACCTCGAACCACGTTCGAAATACGAACTCATCTTCCAGCACGGGTATAGGATACATTTCGCAAAAGATGAGGCGACAGGAGTGAGGCAAGATTGCGCAATCGTCCAGTTAGACTGGTACGATGACGAGGGTCGTTCTCCACCACCCCCCACGTACTTAAAGTAAGACTTCTTCTCCGTACATCTAATCACATCCGTTCTCAGCTAGTCATTGAGCGGTCTGTCCTTGCTCAACAGCTTGCCATCCTCATACCGAAGACAGACCCAGATGAGAACCCAGATGAACGATTCAGCATTGTGCTGGTACAAACGCCCGATTCTGCCATCTTTTGTCGTGAGACGGTCGGCAGCCATGAATGGTGGCGTTCCAATACGTTCTTGGCAGCTGACACCACCGTTGAGTCATCGATAAGTCACAGTCAATGAGGACGCCAATCACTCGATCGCCTGGGGTCCGATGAGATTGTTAGGATTAACGTCCTCGTAATGGACGCCGTTTTTTCTGGAGGATGCGATGACCTGGTGTTGCAGTTAGTAATGGACAATAAAGAGTGTAAGAAGGAAAGACACCTACAGACTACCACTTGCCACCATGCACGGAGGAATTCGTCGCCGCTCAGCCTCGTAATCGGATAAAGGTTAGGCTGGAAACGGTAATTTATGTACAAGACGTGGCCGTCCCGTTCAGCACCGGCAATTCCCAGCGCACCTCTGATATTCGGCCTGGATGTCTCCGGCTCCTCAAATTTATGGAACCAGACCATCTCTGCGACGTGGCCCTCCATCCGTGGCCCGCTGTCTACAACCCTACACACCTTCTCGAGTATATCAGGCTCACTCTGACACGATTCTTCTGGCCAATAGATCTTGGCAGCCAGTTCGGCGGTATCGTTATGACCAGGGCGCTCCTGTGGCAGACGTAATGAGTTGGCGCAAAAACCAAGGTTGCACGTCCGTGCAGACTGAAATGAGTTGTGCACCGTCTAGTACATACCTATTACCAGTCGTTCCTGGCACTCGTCGGACTTCAAATTAAACTTGAGGTCGACCGATGATGCCCTTGTCTGTATCCTCGAAGTAAATCTCGTCCGATCATGATGATCCAGGCTGGGGCTCGAATACCAGATTAAGACCCCATTGCGGGTAGTATTGCATTCGTTGTGTAGCAAGACCAGAAAGCGGGGAAGGTCCTGAACGAAATTGATGCGAACGCATTAGTTGCGCCCTGCCGATCAAAATACCAGGCGTACTTGGTGACTTAGTCTCAATCAGTTGAGTCCGCTCCTTCGAGTCATCGTTATGTATGGTTCTCATCAATTGATTCCCGACGATTAGCTTGCTGCAGGGCTCGTCGGAGTGTTACCTTTGCTTTTGGCCCTCAGGTCGGTCGGACTATGGCACGTCTCGCTGAAGTGCGCCGCGATGTCAGGAAGGAAGCATCACTGGGTGGCTTATACTCATTCGATGTCTCGTATGAGCTATGCCAGTGAGCAGGACTGGCGGCGGGCACAGGTGTTGCCAAAACATATTGACTCAGACGTTGTTTCCTTCCAATACTTATACGGGAGGGGCAGTATATTCCATCGCTTTGTAAGTCGAAGGCAGAGGAATCAGACGCTTCGTGCGTTGGCAATTGAACTCCACTGTTGATCACATGCACAGCCTATCATCAGGAAATTGCCGTCAGGTCGCACGCCCGTCTCAGTGTAAAGCAGCGGGGCTTTGTAGGACCCTGTCCATCCTTATCATTGCCATCCTTACCCTTTCGATCCTTCAGCACACCCAGAGCGTTTGTCTAAGAGATGTCAGGCTTGCGTGCGGTGTTTAATTCACTGTGACGAAATAGGGTATTGCTATCGTCGTCCAACTGGTCGGACTCGGACAAGTCAGTAAGAGGACACGTGGGCGAGTGACTGACACGCATGTGTCTGTATATCTAACGAGCAAACCTTGACCCCAGTAGGGCAAGTGACACTGCTTCGATTTACAAAGGGCGAGTGACGGCTTCGATTCCTTTACATAAGTAGCAAGATTTTGCATGCCTTGAATAAGATGCCGCAGCGTCATGCGTGGATTACTTGCTTGACACCTTCAAGTTCAACTTCGCATTACTGAGTGTCGGTTCGAGATCCATGGCAATAGCAGGAAGACTTCTGTATTAGGGGCAAATTAGGGCGGCGGATGCCGAGCACTACCCATAGGTTCCGCCCACTTGCTAATTACTACTTACAAGGGTCACGACGTCAACACCACGTAGCCAATTTGAAGTTGCCTTTTGTCCTCGCGCCAGCACCAGTAGATAAAAATGCTTGTCCTAAGATCATTAATACGCCCGGTCGTTTTCCGTGCAGTCCACCTGCATTCTATGGCTGCACCCAGATATAATAGCACACTCGCTGAGGTTGGTTCCATTTCGCCCGCGCATTAGGCATAATGCTCAACCTAGCGACCTTGAACCTGCAGGATGTTCGCTCGGATTCAACTTTCAGGATACCCCTCATTGACTTCGCAGCCTATAAACAAGCTACCTCTTTAGCTGAGAAGCGTTGTATCGCGGATGACATTGTAAATGGATTCAAGGAGGTTGGTTTCGTGTATTTGACAGGCCATGTGATTGCACCCGACACGGTCGACCGCGTATTCCAGAAGGCTAGTATTCACATTCACAATCGGTGAGTAGGATAAACATTCATGGCTAATCGTGTGTCCAGAGCGCAGAATTCTTCCAATTGCCTGAAGAGACGAAGGCAAGGCTGGCATGGGACGACCCTAAGGCTAACCGTGGTTTTGTCCAAGTCGGACGTGAGCGTGTTACTACTTCAGTTGATGCAGCCGAGATTGCTGCACAACGCGCAAAGGCTCCAGACACCAAGGAATCCATGGAAATCGGGCGCGAAAATCACCCTACGTTCAGAAACAAGTGGCCTCAGGAAAGCGAAGCACCTGAGTTTAAGCAGACGATGCTCCACTTCTTCCAGGTACGCGACATATTCTTTGTACAGATATAGTGGTCTGATTCTGAGTTCCTATTACTGCAGACTTGCCACGAACTGCACACTATGGTCATGAGATCGATTGCCTTAGGTCTCGACCTTCCCGAGGATTTCTTTGACAAGAAGATTGATCATCAGGACCATAACTTACGCCTTCTGTCCTATCCTCCTATTCGAACCTCTTTACTTTTAGGTGACGGTCAAGCCAGAGCTGGTGCTCACACAGGCGCGTTCGCTCCTTTTCAGCCACACCCATCCAATTTGACTTACTTTCTTAGATTACGGAACCTTGACGCTCTTGTTCCAGGACTCGATCGGTGGTTTAGAGGTCCAGAACCCCCACACGAAGCACTATCAACCTGCTTCACCCATAGTTCGTTTCCTTCTACTCGGCTTGCTCTTCGAATGTTTAACCCCCATCCCAATAGCCCGGAACCATCGTCGTAAACGCTGGTGACCTTTTGGCGCGCTGGAGCAACAATTTCTTCCGCTCAACTCTTCATCGTGTAGTTGCCCCGCCTGCAATAAAGATCAACGCTACCGAAGGCACGACGCCCGCACGACAGTCTGTTGCGTTCTTCTGCAACCCGAATTTCGACGCCACCATCGAGTGTTTGCCTACTTGCACAAGTGTATCGAATCCAAGCAAATTCCCCCCACTTACTACGGAGCAATACATCGTAGGACGTTTGGCGGCTACTTACTCATGAGTTAAGGCTGGATACGAGATCATTCTTATTTGAACATTGTTTATATACCATTTGTGCAACGACAATACGTATGCAGGGTGGTGTCTAGGATGTATGCAAGAAAATCGGTCCATAGTTCAGGTAAAGAACATGCATGCACAACGAAGCGGGTGAAATGTAACACGATGCAATATAGTTGATATCTGTACGACGCCGATCATGCTAGGTCTTGCTTCTGAACATCCCAAGAGTGTGCTGGCCACCGCAAGCAACACTCCCTGCTTTCCACTTGCCACCCTCCTTGCGAACCACCACCGTCGGGGTCTTTGCTTCCTTTTCGTTGACACCCAACTCTCCTTGAGACTCTTCTCCCCATGCGTACAGTGCGCCTCCACGAGATATAGCCATGTTGTTGTGTGTACCGGCCGAAATGAACACGATAGGATCAGCACCACCTGCGTCTGGGAAAGGAACTATCATAGGTTCTGGCACGAAATCAGGGTTCTTGCGTGAAGCGTATTCTTCGACCTCATCGCTGATACCGAGTTGGCCACCATCACAGCGACCGCAGGCATACACCTTGCCTGATGTAGTCAGGAAAAGAGTGTGATGTTCTCCGCCTGCGATCTGCACGACTGATTCACCGAGGGTCCTCTTGCATAGCGACAGGACAATTCTCGGTGACCGCACTTCGTCGGACATGGACTTCGGTTCCGCAACGCCGGTGCCTGTCTGACCCATCGTATTCAAGCCCCAACCCCAGACGTCGCCCTCTTCGTCAATGGCAAACGAGTGATAGTTTCCTGCGCCGACCAATACTGCACGGTTGTGGCGGGTACCAAGTGTGATTTTTTCGGGGACTGTGCCGTGAATCTTGCGACGTTCTAGAATTTTGCGACCGAGTTGGCCCTGCTCTCCAGCTCCCCACGCGTAGACGTTGCCATGTGTAGTTAGCACAAGAAGGTGATTGTTGCCTGACACGACAGAGACAGCCTTTTCAGCGTCACCTGCTTTGGTGGGCAAGTCTAGTATTGCTTTCGGAAGGAATTCTAGTCGCACATCGCCAGAGAAGCCCAGAGAGCCTTCTGCAGCCTGAAAAACGATTCTAACTTAGCAAATGCGTGAGCAGTTGAACATGAGCACTTACGCGGAAAGAACCCCAGACTCGAAGATCGCCTTGATCACTGATAGCAGCGGAAATACTATCACCAGCAGCAATTCTGACTGCGCGGAATCCCTCATCAACGAGGGACTGAAGAGGATATGGGACGGCGGTAAGCTCGTCTATGTTCATGAACTTTCCAGGGTTATCTGGATCTGGAACGTCCTTGGTAATACGTCCTAGTGCTGCGTCATCATTCACACCGCATGACCACACCTAATCAAAACAACCCATGTCAGCAGAAGTAGACTAGGGCAACGGAAATTGAACTCACCGTTCCTTTTTCATCAATGAACAGGGTATGGAGACCGCCTGCAGCAATGGCCTCGAGGCCGGCCTCTTCTCCTCCGAAGATACCTTCTTCCATCTTCTGCTCAAACCACAAATTGCGCTTGGGAACAGCGAATTCCCCGAGTTGATCGGCACCCCAACCGAATTGACCAAAGTTGCCTGCGCCCCAGCACCAGAGTTGGTAGGCGGGTCGAGGGTGGTCATTAGGGGTAGGCAAAGGGTTGAAATAAGCTTTCTGCTCATGAACAGCCGTGAGACCATTTACGGTCGGCTGCTTGGTAACTTTTTTGGCCGCAGTCGTTGCTGGGGCTTTCTTGGATGTGAGCTTCTTTGCGTCATCTGCATCGGATACGCCAGCCCTGGACCGAGAGCGCTTGACGGGTGGCGGAGACGCTTCCGGGGAGGCAGCACGCTTCTTGGAGCGACTGGGTGTGCGCGCAACAGGCCGGGTTGATTTTTCGCCTTTAGCTGCGGTTGTCTTTGCAACAGCTGCCTTAATAGCTGCAGCTTTGGGTTCTTCTGGTTTTTGTGAGGCGGCGCGAGCCGATCTGCGGAGGGGCGGATTGGACATTGGGATTAGGTGCGAAGAAGAGATAGGATATGTAGATTGTGGAAGTAGATTAAATATCTGTTCTGGCGGCAATTAAAGCCACAGAAGAACAAAAGAGGTCACTGGTGGTGGTCAGGACGGAAGCGAGGGGACACAGGTCCGTCCACAGTGGATGACTTGCCTTCAACAGTAAATTACGTCATCACGTGATTCTGACGCGTTAGTGGCGAACCGCGGGTCAATTGTTTGTTCTCGCATTGGCTTAGGCTAGGCTACCGTGACCATGCGTATAGCGGCAGATGGAATCACAGCATGCCTGCAGCGCAAGGGTTCTCTCTTTCAGGATCACTACCGACGGCCATTATCCTTTATTCAATGGAAAGAGAAGACACCACCACTGGCAGCGTCCGATCACGAGACAATTACCGTGACCAACCCCGCTAACGGGAAACAGTTGTGCACGTATGTTGTCCCTAAGTGACGATATTATGTGCTGAAATCGAACATAGTGTCGACGCAGCATCGATCGAAGAGGTCGAATGGGCTGTGTCTCATGCCCAGGCCACATTTGACTCTGGGATATGGTCAAAGGCTTCGTCAATGCATCGCTCGTCTGTCCTGTCACGGCTAGCAGACTCTCTTCAGCGGTGCATCCCTGACATGGCCCGAATTGAGACTATGCAAACAGGGAGGCCTATCCGGGAAATGAAAGCACAAATGGCTCGACTTCCAGACTGGCTGTCAGTATTTATTTTGCAAATTATCACGACGGCCTGATATCCTGAGTAGGTACTATTACGCAGCACTCCTACGCACGAACCAAGGATTCGTTGCCCCTACTCAAGGGAAGCTGCTTAATTACATTCAACGCGTCCCTCTGGGAGTTGTGGCACAGATTACTGTGCGTTTCGTACTATCTCTGACGTATCACCCCACTGAGGTTTGGTTTAGCCATTTAATCATCCTCTTTTTATTGCTATCAAGAAGCTTGCCCCAGCTCTTGCTGCGGGAAATAGCGTCATTGTCAAGCCATCTGAGGTGCATAAGTTACTCTGTCTCCTGTTCATATAGCACTCACCCCAAACCAGCTTACCCCCGTATCCCTGCTAGAGTTTGCAAACATAACTCAGGAAGTTGGTCGTAAGTGACAACAACTTATAAATTGCTGCTATGCTTACATGTGCCGAAATATTAACCAAGTTCCTGACGGAGTTTTGACTATCCTCCCTGGCTATGGCCACACCACGGGGAGGCAACTCGCATCTCATTCACTCGTTCGAAAGGTCGACATTACAGTGCGTTCCCACCCTATCAAGTTCCGTCCTTTGTTCACCATGGATCTAGGCTGGCACTCAGACTGGCCGGGCTCTAGGAGCTATCGTTGGCTCGAACCTGGCGGCCTTTACAGCCGAGCTGGGAGGAAAGGTAGCACTGGTCCATCATCGAACTGGAACATTCGCTCACACTTCGATCAAAAGGCCCCGATACTTATCTTCGATGATGCGGATGTTATTTCTGCCGTCAATGGGGTTGCATTTGCAGCGTTCGTTGCATCCGGCCAAACATGCATATCGGGAACCCGCATCATCATACAAGAAAATATTTATGAATCTTTCATGACGGCGTTCCTGAAGAAAGTTGAGAGTATCACGCAGCAGATGGGTAACCGTGAGTTGTGCAACATCTTTTCTATGCTCATGGATGATGTTCTCTTGAAGCGATGGACAAAAGATGCTCTATGGGCTCCGTCATCTCTCCCCGCCACCTGGATAGAATTGATGGCATGGTTGCGCGACGGCAGTCCGGCACAATCTTAACGGGTGGAAAGCGAATGATGGGGAAGTCGTCCCTGGACGATTTCGATTTCTCTCTTGGGAATTTCTACCCGCCCACCGTGATCTCTGATGTTGATGTCAATCATGAGTTATGGCAAGAAGAAATATTCGGCCCTGTGGTGGTCGTGAAGAAGTTCTCTGTGAGTTACACGTGTACCGTCATGCAAGCAGGATTCTTCGACGCTGAAGTCGCTTTTAGACTGAATTAGAGGGTGTGAGACTTGCTAATGCTTCCAAGTACGGACTGGGAGCGGGAGTCTGGACTCAAAATCTGTCAAGAGCACATCGTGTTGCTGCTGACATAGACGCTGGTCTTGTTTGGGTCAACACACATCACCGCAACGATCCCAGCTCTCCATGGTGAGTAACTGAGTCAATAATTATCATGGCTCGATCTCACGGTGGCGTAAGGGGTGGCATGAAGGAGAGTGGCATAGGTCGGGAAAATGGTATCGAGGCATTGGAAGCTTGTGAGTCTTGATACCTCGAATGACTAGTATTAAGCTCAGCATGTTATGCAGACTCTCAGAGCAAATCAATCATCGTCAATGTGGCGCCGCCCGATGAGTCCCGACAAACTGACGATTGGTTTAGTGGAGAACAGAGGAGATACGGGTAATATGATGTTCGTGGCGGAGCAGCTTATCATGACATCTTCCATACAGTGGTGGTATGCGTGGGATATACTAGTGTACAATATTACCGCAGGATACATGTTTACTCATCTTTAAAGAGATATGGACAATACAAACTTTAAAAGCCCGTCTTGACGGCCTCCTTCGCAGTTGGCTATTCAATCCAGGTGAGTTGAATATTTCGATGGATTTGTGGTTGCATACCTCGCTAAGCTCTACAGGTAACTCATCAACGAAATCTGGGACCTTGTTGAGGTCTGAAAGATACGAGGGACCTTCTTCCTCTTCCTCAAGTTGTAAGGCATCCAATTCTGCGGTAATGACGTTTCGACATAGCCGAGATGAAAAGTCATGTATATACGTACCGGCCTCGAGATCTGCCTCGTCAATCTCATCTGGAACAGCGTATGACCGACCCAGTGACTCCTGTATCTCGTTCGCCTGTTCAAGGAGCTCTTCCATATCATAATGCATATTCTAAGAGCGATGTATCAGTCACTAATGGCAGAAACATAAAACGAGACGAACCTCAATCTTGTCGATATCAATCTTTCCGTACTGTTTGCGCATCTCCTTGTTCGCCAACTTCATAGCATCCACAGTGGCCATTGTATTCCGTAGGTTATCAGTGGTGAGAGCAGCAGACTCCATGTTAAATGTCTGCTGCTGGAGCTGGTTCAGCTGCCCTTCGTACAGCTTCTTCTGCTGTAACACTCTCATAGCTCGCTGTTGAATCGCATTCTACGTCGTGCACACACATGCCGCAATTGATCAGCAAGCACAGGAGCAGGCGAGGTGACTGCGCACTTTACCAGGTCCATTGCGCAGCTTGCTCATTTGTTCCTTGTAACGCATGAGCTCTCCATCTAGCTTCTTGATCTTTACTTCTACAGAGGCAATGCGCGCATCTGTCTATTGTCTGTGAGTTAGCCTGACCTCAATACGAAGATGGGCTACTTACTGAATTGATGGCATCCTGGAGCGTCGGTTTTGGCTTCTTGCTTGAAGAAGAGCCAAATATGCGATTCATGATGAACTATATACAGGTAGTCAAAGGAAATGAGATGGTACTAAGTACTTACTTACGTGCTTCTCGACGACCTAGAGGCTATGAAGTAATATCCAAAAACGGTATGTCCTTTAAATTATACAGAGTTCCTGGGGTCTGCGTGCGTTCTGCATACAGCGTCCACAGAACTTCGAACATTAATATTGATGTATTAATCTTCTCTATCTCTTTTGTTTCTAACCAAGGCACTAATACTTGCTCGCCTGCGTGCAAAACTATCTCTACTGGAATGGATACAAGATTTTGTGAGGATATCCGACATAATACAAGTCATTGACCTTCGTACACGATACAGTTTAACAGCCTGGAGACATTCCAGCCTGTGTGACACATTCGAAATCACAGGCACTTCAAGATCTACTTCTTCCAATCAAAAGTCCAAGAGGACTAGCAGAGAGGAGAGGAATAACCAGTTCCCCAGTAACAGGTGCAGTAACGGGTTCGTCTGCCGCCTCCCGGGGCCCACTGGTCCGTTGCCGAGTGTACTCCACTCCCACCTCGATCGGGAACGGGATGTCCGGACGCCAAAATTCCCAATAAGTCTTGAGGTCTACCAAATTCGCCTCAATATTCCGACCGTACATCCAATGCGTGCTGACGCATCCCTCGAACCACCGCTCGGTACGTCCGTATACATGCGAAACGATCCACTCCCGGGCACTCTCGATTCTACCGGGCTCATTCATCATGTTGTAGATGGCGCTACGCAACTCTCCCTGGCGAAAGCTGGAAATGGGCTCGTTCATGATCGGCCGGCTGATGAGCCAGAGTGGCATTCGCGCGCATGACCAAAGTGGCGCACGGAATGAATGTTCCCACCCCGTGCAAAGCACTAGCTCGACGTCTGAGTCGGGAGTGCGAAGTTTGCCGTTTTTATCAGGCAGGAACCGGACGAGGAAGCGATACATTTGCATGTCACCGTGACAGATGCCAAAATTTTTGCGTTGCAGAATCAAATAGGCCTCTTCCCTCGCTGCGCGAGAGAGCGTTTCTGGGATATAGAACCCTCCGATATGGTATTCGATTAAATTGGTCAGTCGTCTGAAGGTTTCTCTGGCTTGCTCCATGTCTTCTGCTGTTAGCAGCGGATTATCCGCAAATCCTGTGTCGCGCGCTTGAGCCCTGAGATCCTCGTTGTTACCGAAAAGGCGCTTAACGCGCCAGCACAGTGCTGTTAGATAGTCAGCATTAGTGGATAGTGCACCTTGTGGGTCCATTATATCCAGCGGTCGCTCGTTAAACGGGCGCGATAAAAGCAGTGGCCCGACCCCGAGGGGTCGTAGACGTTGCTGTCCTTCCTGTAGGAGGACACTGGATATGCAGGTGTTGACTCCTGTACCAAGAAGGTCGGTGCAAATCAAGCTTCCGCGGTTGTTGAATAACTTCAACAACAGGTCTGCCAGCTTGCTACAGATTTTGAGCTCCTCGTCGGGCGTGAGGGTGGGCCACACATCCTGAAGATTCTCGCCGGGTATCTGTAAACAAAGAAGTGTGGCAATGTAGCAGAGCTGATGTCTAGCGGTCGACCCACGCTACCTTTTCCATGAGGACTACCTCAGCTCCAATGTCATTGGGTAGGAGATCCCGGTAGCCATATATTTTGGGCACTTCGATCTTCGAGGACGAACCTCTGACAGTGGTCATCATGCCAATCTGTCGGGAGTGAGGTAAGTACGCGCGGCCCGTCAATGGGCGCTCTTGGGTAGCGCACCACAGCCTGCGTTGTTAGCATCTTGCGTCCACAAGGAAAATATGCCATCATGGTGTGTGGCCCAAGAGGTAAGGAGGCGCGTTCAAATGTTATTTGAATCATCTGTACAACATCCAGAGTAATGGTGAGGTTCGAATGGTTATGTGTAAAAGAAGCAACCTGACCTGTTCTCCAGCCCATTTGACATCTTCGATGCTCGCCACCACTGGGGTTAGCGTTTTTTGGGGCCGTCTACCCGTGGCTCTGCCAGGATGCTGCGCTGCTGCAGTTGCAGCGGCGAATTTCGTCAGCGCGGTGATGTTGACGTGGGGGAAAAAGGCGGACATGGCAATGAAGGAAGCCAGAGGAAGCCAACCTGGAACAAGTTTTTATACCGCTGGATAACACGAGGTGGGTCAGTCAGTTAATTAATTTTTTCGACCACCATGCTGGCGCAAAAGGGAATCAAACAACGCGTTTTGTAGAGAAAGGCTGACGCCCAATGTTTTGTTGTCGGAGGCCGCGTAACGCTGGGAGTATATGTGGAAGGGCGTGGCTTTTCTCCTGTGCTAACTTGGTCAACTTACGGCTTTCGTGCGGTGAAACAAATTGCTTCGGGCTTCGCAACCTTGAGAGATAATCAATCCTTTGGCAGTTTGTCTAACGGCTTATTAGTTATTCCTCCATTGTTGCGCCAAAAAATTCACCTCATTTTAAACTCCATGATCCCTTTGGTTTTCCGACAAATCCTAGATCATCGCAAGGCGAGGGCGGTGCAGTGCCGTCGAGGTAATAAGTCCCTTACCGTCCTGTCGGACGTCGCCATTCCCTCGAATCCTACTGCGTGTTCCTGGGGATATGGGGAGAGAAGAATGCATGTAGCACCACCAACACCTCGCCTCTTATTATCTTGTCCATAATCATACTACTCCAACGGACGTAAATGTGCGCGAAATGCGTCCGCTTTCGATTACGTCTGCATATTGCCGGTCTTGCGCAGGTCCCGTCAGAGTATGTCTCCTCCAATCGACTGCCCGAGTGTACTACGAATTTAAAATCATTTTTCCATGCCGTCTCTCTTTTTTTACAATATTTTATGTCGCTCAACCGAGACGACGCGCAAGCCCTCCCATTTTCTGTCTGCGCAAACTTAACTTTGTTCCCTCCTCAAATTCATATCCGATTTGCTTGCTTTTTTTTGATGCTGCGAAATTTGGTCAAAACAATCGGTTACCATGCACTGATTAGCCATCATAAAGCATGTGGGCAGCACAAATAAACCTGCAAAAGCCAATGTTGCTGGAAGGTTATTATTCCGGTTCCAACATAATGTTAATATTTGCAATCCCCTTGCGTGCGCCCACAATCGCCACCTTAATTCTGCTCCCGAGATCGACAGCGAGTCACGAGTGACCCATCAGAAATCTTTATGATGACTTGGATGACGGGATGCCAGCATGCCACTCTGGTATGTTCGTGGTCAAACAACGTTTAAGTTAGTGCGTGGGGCCGTGAGATTAGAAGGTGAAGAATTTCATGACGTTGATTGTCACCCAATATTACAAGACAGCTAGCAGGACTGACATAAGTACCCCTTCAGGACTCCGAAGCTGCTTAGCAAGTACCCTCTCAGCTCACGAACGTTGCCCCGATGAAACATCGCGATAGGTAAACACCAGCAACGTGGTGGTGAACCAGTATCTCGAGAACACGGCGTCAGGATAGGAACCCCCTTACCGCCCCTCCAACATTCAATACGTCGAGCCTGCAAGCCAAACAATTAAAGACAGTCAGTAAACCAATCATTAGCTCTCGTGAAGTCTAAAGGGGAAACTTGAATAAAATCAACAAGCGCACCCAATCGCCGTGAACGTTGGAACTCTAATTGGGGAGTCTATGCAAGACGAGTAAAAGCCACGCCACCGCCACCCAGACCAGACCAACTTGAAAGGTGAAAGAGCAGCACTCACAAAAAGGTATCGTGTCCCCAGACACCACCAAGCTCAAAATAGCTGACTTGTGTGTTGCCAGCCATACGAAGCGCATCGACGAGCTCACGCTGCTGCTCGACTGGGAAGAGGATATCGCTCTGGACCCCCAGTACCAGCATAGGTATCGATTTGAGCGGCCGGAGACCATCAGCGAGCTCGGGAAGGTGAGGTGCATGATGCAAGGGTGGCGGATGAGATTTGGACGCCACTGATGTTGATGGGGATGGCGGTGCTTGTGTTGCGGGAGTCATTGCGAGCTCTTGAAGAGCAGGGAGGGTAAGATCAAAGAGATCCATTGCCTTTGAGATGTAAAGAAGTGAATTGGCATCATATTTCAGGCAGAATTGCTCTCCCTACATGACACCTTTCGGTGAGTTCGACTGAGTAGTGATCGAGGTGGATAGGCACTGACCTGATGGTCTAAATAGGTTTCGATGAGGAAGTCAGGACATAGTGTCGGCGACCGCGATGGAGATGGGCTCTGTCCATCTTTCAGTTCCCGAAGTTTCCTTCCAAATCGTTGGTCCCATTCAGGACCTGAGCGGTACGTTATGGTCGCTATTTCTGCCAACCGACGATTTTTAACTTGGTATGTATGATGTAGTATTGAACGGAAACTTACGACGAGCTAATTTCATCCCTGTATGTGGTGGTAGGTCGTCGTAATAGAAGCCATTATTCCAATTTGGATCGGCCATGAGAACTAACATGTCGTCAGTAAAGAAATGGATTACAAGACATTCGCACAACAAACCACTTCGTTGAGCATGCCGCATTGCAATGCTGCCTGGGCTGCTCCTTGCGGTGCCACTAATGCTCACTATCTTTCCCACACGTTCTGGGAAGAGCCATCCTGCGGCAAGGCTTTGCATCCCGCCCATAGATGAGCCAACACTGGCGTACAACTTCTGCACGCCAAGATGATCAAGCAGCTTAAATTGGGCCCGCACCATGTCAAAGATAGACAGGATGGGGAATCGAGTTGCGTATCGTTGACCTGCGAGATCGAGCGAAGAAGGACCTGTGGAACCATAGCATCCTCCGAGCACGTTTGTGCATATTACAAAAAATTGGTTGGTGTCGAGTGCGCGACCTGGGCCAATGAATTTTTCCCACCAGCCCTCTGTCGGGTTGAGCTCGGTAGAGGCGGCATGCGATGACGCAGAGAGGCCGGTATGGAGTAAAATTACGTTATCACGGGATGGAGAGAGCGTGCCCCAAGTTTCATAGGCAATGTCAAACGATGGCAAGGCGGACCCGTACGTCAATTCAAGCGGATGCTGGTGGTGGTACGTATTATATGACAGTGGGTTAGGGCGATCATAGGGAGGCTCGGGACCACTGTCATTTGATGAGGCTCGCGAGAATGAGGATGCCAATATCCTGGATTCGCGAGCTGCATGAGCATCGACGCAAGGAAACGTTGGTGTTGGTGTCTGCGAGGAGGCTGCGCATGTTGCCTGCCGTCGTAGAGAAGTAAGACTGCCGCTCACTAGCAGACGCTGCCGAACTGCTACGGAGAAATTTCTGGTAATCAAATTCATGGTAGGAAGTGCGACGTAAACATGAAAGTACTATACAATGATCATGGGGAAATATCAGAAGTAAGCACCGCCCGAAGAACAGAAGGCTGAGCCATTCGGGAATTGGAGTTCCGTAAGTGATGACATTTATGAGAAACAATCGCGCAACCGCGTTCACGTGCACGTGCACCTAACCTTAGAATAGGGTTTATCCAAATTTGGTCGTTTACAAAACTACTTTACTTCTTCCCCGCTAAACCACCGTGACCGTCGGTTAACCGTGATTCGTTTGGATCTTCTTGGTTGCCTCTGTCTGGTCTGTGCCGTGTGCAAGACAGCGGAGGGCACGTCGAACCAAGACAACGTGCAAGGTATTCTTTTCCGAGTCGCAGTAAGTAGTCTCGTTTTTTTATGTTTCTCGCACATGCCTACAACACGTGTTTGCCTTGTCTTTAGCTGAACCTCTCACCACTCCGCGACTGTGTTCCTTACAAGTTCAGAGTACAGTCACTCTCAAATCCAGCTCAGAGACAAAGGTGCCTTGTATGTTATCCCCTAATTTAATATTCATGTTTCAGAACTGATACCTGCACAGCTTAGCCCAAAACGAGGCTCCACTTCCTTTCCTGAAGTTGCAGTAGCTGATGAGGCTAGGTCTGACCATTAAACGCACAAAGAAATCTTTGCGTATTTTCGTACCATGACCGCCTTTGCCCCACCGCCTTTTGAGCCTGTAGCCATTCGTCCCGCGCGGAAGGAGAACAGGGTGCGTTCGCTTATTGTCAGTCTTGCACACACGAGCTTATGCATGGTGTCATCAGATCGTTGCCTTCTTTCGCTCTCGTTCTCGCTCCAGATCTCGCGCCAAATCGTCTCCCAGTTCGAGTGCTGCCCAATCCTCTACGGATGTACGACTTCTGCCTGCCTCTAGGCTTCGCATAAGTCATGCGCGTTCTACCAGCCTGGTACATGAATCGGGGCCTACAGCCTACGACAGTCTGGCTGCCACAGGAAGTCAGGTAAATTCCAAGCCAGGCACACGTACTTCGACACGTCCGATATCATCCACAACCACCGCCACACACTCCACGATCACCCCTCTTCCTTCCGACTCTATCAGAAGAAGACAAAGAATGTCGCGTCATGTTTACTCGCATGACTACACCCAAGGAGAAGATGCCGATCACCACGCCAACGGTGATCATGCCACATCTCACGATGATCACGATCGTGCAACTCGTTCAGATACCCCCTCTTCTTTCAATCAGCGCCGGAAGTTAGAGCTGCGCTCCATTTTTGGCATTGGCCTGTCACGGAAATCATCGCTTGCCAACTCGTCCCGGAAACCATCACCAGGATCCTCCGACCGCAAAGTTTCATCTTCATCCCTAGCAGGGAACATTCTTTCTCGCAAACGATCATTCAGGCTCAACTCCAGACCAAACACTCCAAAGTCTACTGACGAATCTCGCGTTACGAAGACATCCACCGGCACAATACCCACTCCCTCTAATCCCCTTCCACTGTCTGCCGGTCCCCGCAGACTTTCATTTGGACTGACCCCAAGTTCTCGTACGCATTCCCCAATGACATCGTCGGGCCACCTTCCCCTAGCTCTTCCTTCACGTCACAAACGGCACTCTGTCGGGTCTCATGACACTGCTCATGATAGTGCTGTTGCATTACCTGATGACCGTTCAGACAGTGCTATCACTTCGTCAAGCCATCTGGACACAAGGTCTAATTCAAAGACAAGCGCTTCTAACCTTAGCCACACCGGCAAATCCCGCAAAGGCAAGGAGCAAGAACGTGATGCCAGCAATTCAAAACCGCGCAAGACATCTCGCACGGGTGACTCGCGGACTGGCATATTTGGCTCACTTATCGGAAGAGACATCTCCCATCATCAGCATATCTCCGCCGCCACCACAAAATGACTCACGTGGCAAGTATGATCCTGGTGGCCTCGTGGTATCAATGTTGCCCACGGTAGAGTCCCTGGCTGAAGAAGACGCGGTAGAACAGCCTCTAATTCATGCACCGCATGCAAGACCAGCCATACCACAAATTATTCATACCCCACCGACTCCACAAAGAACAGCGGAATTAGATTCACCTGTGCGGCCCGCTACCACGCCACCAAGATTGAGCGGAGGACAAGGGAAGCCGCGCGAAGTCCTGCTCAGTCAGGAACCGATCGCTGTTCACAAGGAGCTTCCAAAGTTGCATGCACGACCAATTCCGCCTACTGGATGTGATCCCGCGCACAACCCACGTATGCGCAGCAGATTCTCACCCCGGTTATTCGGGGGCAAGGATTTGTCCAGAGAAAGCAAGAAGCAGAAGTCCGGTTGTGTGCACGAATCCGTTCATCCTCCAGGGGCCGCGGGTCCTCCGCGAAATATCAGCCGTCGGATCCAACATGGCAGTTTTGACTTTGAGAGACCTGTCTCTGGTCTAAACAGGAGCAGCTCGACAGTCAATGGATCGCTAGTGAAAGGCGAAGGCTTGACTCAATCTCGTAAAACCGGAGCCGCGACTCATCGGCCGACAGCCTTAGAACGAACGGCATCATCATCATCTGATCATACAGGGAAGTCGCGAACATACGCGTACCATCCCACCCGAGCCGACTCTCCCCTCCTCGCCCAGCTCACCGCGAACCACACGGGCGAAACCTCAGTTGTTTCCTTCTCATCTGCATCCGCCTCTGCACAGTCGAAGTCAACGGGAAAGTCTGCCCCAGCTGCCGTACAATCCTCCAGTAGTTGGGGACGCGCATCAGGTAGACGAACTCAGCGCACGTCACATGGACCATTCCCTTTCGAGCCGGCCGCATCAGTACCAAATTCTCCGTTACCGACTTCTTCTGCACTGCCCCATTATTCACCATCCCCACGCAGACAGGAGTTCGACATACCAGAAGGACCTGCCTCGTTGCCCCCTAACTCTCCTCTACGGAGTGAGTTCGGGGTTGGGGGAGGATCTCTACGCGACAAGAGCCAAAGCGCTCGCGGCCCTGGGCAACAAGAACGCGAGGGAGGCAGCGAAAAGAAGGGTAAAGGTCGTTCACTCGATCTTAAACTCGGTTTATCTTGGGCACCTAATCGCGTCCGTCAAGAAGCTGTTATACCCGGACTTCTCCTTTCGCAAAAGCAAGAGGAGGAGCGGCACCGTGGGAAGGACGTCACGAAAGTCTTTGAGAACGTACTATCTGAATCTGGATTCGAGACGTTCAAGAAGTGTTAGTATACTTTACGCCTCTATGTGCTATCTTGTTACTTTGGATCACCTTGTCTGACTGTGATGTTACTTCCTTATGCAGATGTTCACCGATTTGACGCGCACCTAATACCCCTAGACGGCCCTCGGGGACTCCTAGTGCGCGTCGAAAAATTACTCACCACCACCCCGATGTCACAGGCAGAAAAGGTAGAACTGCTGGACCAGTTCGCTCGATTCGTGGAGGGACACAGCGAAGTTTAACGGATAATATCACGTCATGTAATGGGGATTTATTGGTTATGAGATGAGTAACTTTTTTCACTATATAACGAGTTTTCGTCATGGTTTCACGTTTCACATACCAAGCATCGCCTTTATTATCCTACACCCTGTGATACACCCTCTTTATCATTTTATATTTCACGCATTCAACTTACACGGGCCTGTTTATTCTTGTCGTCACGATCCACACGCATTTTCTGTATTCACTCCTTGCCATGCTTTCATGCTATGATACCGTTTGCAGTTACGTCCTACCAACTAGGTTTAATGGAAGTTTTGGTGCTATCGTGTCCCTGCGTAGTACAGGCCTTTCGCGCGTTCTTGCTGAGCTACTAGGAAGTCCAAGTTCAGAGAGATATGCAGACAGACAATAAATTCAAGTGAAGTACAGCAAATAATATATGCATTCTCCATAGATGTCGATGTCACCCCACAGCTTGCGCGTAGGGGAGCACATCCACCAAAATATCGCAGCGCAGGGACAGCGATGCCACTACGTATTCTTTATCTGCGGTTGTCTCGTGGTCTTGATGCTCGAGTGGAGCATCTTTACCCCTGTTACGAGCACTGCAGTGAGGGGGCAGCTATGTTGAAATCTGAACTTCCTGTTGCGTTTCCCTCCTGTAGCTGTCTCGTATTTTGGCAGTTCATCAATTTGTTGTGAGCCGCGATTACAGCAAGCTTGTCACTGTCTTTGCGCTGTGCAAGTCGAGCTTAAGTTTCTGCAAGGTTTCAGTGTGACGGGAATGCTCACATTTAGATCCATGGACCCAGCGGACAGAGTCCTCTCTGTAGCTACGGTCTCTGTCGAATTCTATAAGCACAAGTGAGTTCAAAGAGTCGATGACTTGGAAGGAGTCAATGATGAGAGCCCATCCTTGAGCGGATATTTGGTATTGGAGGATTTCCCTAGAGCGTTTTGAGAGCGTCCGAAGTACGTTGTCATGAAACCTAAGGCTGTTCAACTTGAGAATAGGCGTCCGCAGCACTACTAGTAGGGATCCGGGGCTGGGGTGCTCTTTATCTCACAGAACTTCCGTTCGGAAATGTGTCAATGTCAACTTCATAGATGCGTGCAAGAAGCGGCACAAACGGAGGCTGTGGCGACACATGGCATGCACTGCAAATTCTATAGCAGTGTCAGTAACCCAATGTTAGTCGATAACGCAACCATGTAACATATTAATAGGCATGGCTTGAATTCAGATCCATGAGGGAGTACCTCCATAGTCCAGATGAATTTTGCGGGTTGCCCGCACCTTGTAAGAAGTTCGCTAGAAATGGCTTGAGTATAGATCATGAAGCAACCGAACTCGTGGCAACTCACTGGGTATTAGGTTCCTAAGGCAAACCAGGGGAGGCTGGATCCTGAACGTTCAGAGCTGTGCTCCGCGTAAATGCAAGCCGCAACACGTCGGACCACACAGATAGCGTTCACTAAGAATCAAGATGCGATTCAGGGGTGTGCGCGCCAGCTCACGGTCACCAGCAGACCACAACCGCGTTCAGCAAGGCACGGCAAAGAATATTCATGCTGAATGTAGTCAAGGTGACGTTCCTGCGGGGTCACGCGGGTTGGTTCCATAGGAACAATCCTGTAGATCGATAGAAATGCTGATTTGGCGCTCTGCCAGGCCTTCGCCTTTACGCTATGATAACATTGAGTCCGACTTGAACAGTTTGATTCCGTAACGCGTGCGTCCGCATCGCAGATCTATGTCCGACGGTTCGGTGACTAGATCGGAGTTTCTCAAATGGAGGAGATTCATTGTATTCCCGGAAGGCCTTTCAACCTTCTCTACCATGAATCATGAATCTGTCGATGCCTGCAACATTACATATTACGCTACAACTTTCAACCAGTTTGGTTTCAACTCAGCGCACCAACAGCACATCGTGCACAGATCCATTTGCGCTGCATCGCGATTTCCACAGGATCGATATATTTCCATCTGTAAACGAAGAAAAAAAAGTAGTTTACTCCAATCCGGTAATTTAGATCATCCACCTAAAATGTCCACGTCCGAAGGCGAACGGATTGCTTGTTTAGGTGTGTAAACGGTCCACTTTGTTCATCAACACCTCCAACCTTGCCTGAATTTCTCTAATCTCTTTTACAATCGAAGCTTCGCTAGACTGCGGGGACGTTGGTGGACAACGTAGGATGAGCTGGAAAACACTTACTTGTTCGGTATTGGGCAACCTCTTGACAAGCTCATCAAAGGGGATTCTGGTGATCTCCAAGCCTTGGTCTGCGTCCGGCCCCTCGACTACAGGATCCAGAACAGCGGGGTTTTCGGTGTCGACCTCGTCTTCTGCATGAAGCCAGTTGACCACCCATGACTTTCTCATATTTGAAGTCTCGAAAAGCGCGATGAAAGTCAACGGAACGAAGAAAATTACGCTCATAACGACCCGATTGAGCTGCAGAGGGGTCAGTGGGACAGATCTTAAATGGAAGAATCGCGCCGCACCTTTGCATATGACTCAGGTTTCGAGGTGAACATTCTCAAAGAGCAGTCAAGTCAATAATCGCGGGAAGTCGTGGCAAAAGTAGAGAACTTACTCAAAAGGCGCTACGAAGAAAAACTCCACTAGATTGAATGGCGCAGGATAGACATACGAATCAGGGGCGCGAATCATGGCAACAGTTTTCCCAGCATAGAATGTCATATACTCTGCTTCAGCATCCTCGATGACCTGATCATTTGTTGAGTATGAAACCTCGTAAAAAGATAGAATACTGACATCAGAGTACGCAGAGGCAAACAAAGAAATGAGGACATTGAGCAGGATAATCGCTGTTGTGATATTCCAGCTGAGATAGAACTTGTGAATCAGCAAGCACACAAAATCATCAAACGGCACGAACAGGTAGTACAACGCAAGTCCCACAGGGCTGCAAACAACATTGTTCAGAGGCTTCAAAAAGATGAATAGAGGCTCTACCTGGCCGAGAACTTTTCGTAGTTGGGAGACCTAATGAAAGTCAGCAGGGTTTCAGAATTGAGAAAACGAAGATCCAATCTGACTGAAGTAGGCCTTGAACAAGGACATGAATGATCTGACCGAGATTAGACAGAGCTATGTGAGGAAAGATCGTACATACGACTGATGCATCTTCGGTTGACCCGTCAGCGGCATCTATAGCATATAGACTCTGCAAGAAGCCAATCCCGAGCACTGACAATAGCTGCACAGGGGTCAGAGAACTAGGAGATCATATGCCAAAAGGAGACGAACCGCGAAGAAGATGCCAGACTCTTGTAGCATGCGAGCCACACATATTTGCATTGTTCCAACATACCTGCGAATTCATGAACACCTGTACTAGTACAACGCGATATGTACTTACTGGTAACCATCGAAGACTGTAATGAGTTCTGGTGCCAAAAAAAACATGAGTGGATGAAACACAGATAGATATGTAGAGCTCAACTCATCCTGAAACAATCAGTTAGATGTTATGCCTCGTGGTCATTCAAGGATTGGCTAACCATATGAACGGAGCAACGAAACTCAAGACTTGAAAACTCCTCAAGCGTAAGGTGTTGGACTGATCTCCCATGACGTAAAGGCCAGCAATGCGAAGTGAACATGCAGCCAGTAACAAGGAATCCGTTATGAAGGCGACGACATTCCAAAATCCAAAAGCGCGATAGGTTGCATATCTGAATAGTTTGTAAAACTGAGCTGACTTGTGAGACTTTGCAGCGGATTGACACGCAAGGAAGTTACCCTGTTTGTGTCTGGAACATAAGTCAGCCCACCGCTCAAACACCAGCAGGATACCCTCACCTTCAAGTGAGAATGCCAGCGCCATAACATACAATATAATTTCCCAGACATCAACCACCGTGTGGTCGGGGTCAAGTCGTTCCAGCGGTTGACGAACTTTCAATTGGTTTGGATAGGACTACTCCTTGATGAGATCAATCTCTTACCAGCTTGAGAGTACACAACGAGAAAGAAAAACCAAATCTGTGCCATCATGTCAAGCTAATGCTTGTTCACCCAATATACGACGAACCACAATACGGAGGAAGTTCTGGTACCTGTACCTAAGTAAGAATAGGCTACCATGCAGCTGAAGTGACTCATACCGGGGAACAGAAATGCGTGAAGGGTCCATGTGACCCCAGAACCCAGTTTGCCGCGATTTGTGGTAGGATATATCTGTCTGGTACTTGAGCGTGGAGAGTCAAAATCATCTATTGGCTCACATTGGATATCATCCTGATCTGTTAGTGTCTGTACAAGCTCTCCGTTCCACAAAGACTTGACAACTGGTGAAACAATCATTTTAACCGACTAATAAGTTACCTTAGGAACTACTCACCGCTTTGCGCTTCACTAGAAGACAAAAATATCGTGCTACATAGCAGCGTGTCAGAACATAGCATATATCTCTACAAAGAACCGACCAATGGGTGTCAATGGCAATTTCGAGAGCACTTGAGGCCTCGCTGATGTCGCCATCAGGCTCACAATGTCTATACCGCGTGGACATGAGAGATTTGATCTTCTCAGATGGACTTTGATGAACAATGCGACGAGCCAATACTTCGCATGCCACAGCTGTCGAAGTGTTCATGAGGAACTCATCCTCACCTGTGTAACAAAATAACAAAACGTGTTCTACTTACCTCTTCCTCGGTTCTCGTCAAAATCAGCAGGGTTGTGATACCCCTCACGCATGAAGTCCGCGCGGGCACGGAGCAAACAGTATGGGAGCTTTGTACGATGAGCGCGTCGAACAATTGCAGCACGATCTTCAGTCGCTCACCGCTTCGCCAAAATCACCTGCTGCATCAGAGAAAGCAGATATAACGTGGGGAGTAATAACCCTGCTTGTAGGGTCATTGATACTCTTCTCGTCGACTTCTACTGGAAGTAGCTTCGTTGCTAGTGCCCTGAGACGCTTCACAAGTTCTATATAACAGTCAGAGAATGACTTGAACACGAGAGTGGATATAGCATACTCGTTAAGGTATCTGGAGAAGGTTTCTTCGACTGAGAAGATATGAGAGAGGCTTGTTCATCATCAGTTTCATGATTTTGGTACATGATTTCCAAAGTCGCTGTTTTCAAGGTCGAACAACGTTGAACGTTGAACTTGCGTTGATGAAATGCTCCTGTCACGGGACAAAAAAGGAAACGCCACTACGTAACTCCGTTCACGGTGGCTGTGCACCTGCAACCAAGTTGTCCCGCTGCGCCATGCCTGTGAGCGAGTCCAGAATCTGGTGGAGTTTTGAAACTAACGACCAATGAATTATCACAGGCATACCACTCTGCTTTTAATGAGGTCTCTGATGCAATGCAAGCTGGCAATATGTCCATCTTGCCGATCAGAACTAAAATCCGTGGCCCTGCTCCCCTTGGTATGTCTTTATGAACCATGCGGTCACCACCGCAATCACGCTGAATGTCGCGTCTGTAGCCGATCCTGAGCAAGCAGATATCGTAGACGAGACCCTTGACCTCTTTCGCGCCAATTCGCTCTTCCGCAACTTTGAGATCAAGGGGCCTGCGGACCGACTGTTAATCATCTTGATCCTCTTCATCTCAGATTGCTTGGCAAAGATCGGTTCTGCTCGCACAGTCCCAACGCAGATTGAGGCATCAAAGATGTTGAACACGTTATCAGTAGACAATTTTGCCATCCCAGGTGATGCCGGATTCCCTCTCAACGCTCATTATGCCCCACCTGGGAGTAGAGCAGATGCAGGTACGTTCACTTGTATTATTTTAACCGAGTGGATAACGCATATATCATGGCAGAGTATCTACGGACGTACTTGACGCAGGTTCGCCAGGAACTGGCGGCTCGTCTGGTGGAACGCCTCTATGCTGACGGGACGGGCAAGCCAAGCAAGTGGTGGATGGCGTTCCAGAAAAGACGATTCATGAACCGCAGCCTGGGCTCGTAAATCGAAGCAGCAAATGTAAATTCCGTCCCAATTAACAGGGTATTGTACTTTTCAGCAATGGATATATATCACTTCCGTTTCTTTCTTTCGTTGGGGTTCTTCTTTCCGTATCCTATATGTGGCATGTCTCCACCAGTGCCCAACGACCGCCCTTTCCCTCCAGTCCCGACGCTCAGTATTCCTGGCATCCAATCAGGATCCGACCAGCCGCCAACGCTGATGCCGCCCTCGCCACCTTTATCAACCAGGCCCTTGACCATTCGCTGCTCCTCCCGGTCCCGTTTACCGTCTGCACGCTTTTTAGCGCGCATATATTCTAGTTGGTCCTCGCGTAGTACTAGACCTTCCCCAGGGCCTGTCTTTGCCGACCCATGCTTGGGTGCAGGGATTGAATATTTCGTCCCCCTCACTTTATACTGGAAGTTCTTCTTCAGGTGGACTTGCATCGCAGGAACGTCCGGTGATGCGTCAGGGGACGCAACAGTGACTGATGTTCGCATTAGTGTTGGGTTACCGCAAGACGGGCAGAATTGCTTTGAGTTGTCTTTGCAGATCCTAGTTGTGATGTGAGATTAGGGTACCAATCGATGGGACACGTTACTCACTTAAAGCAAGCATGACACCGAAGAACCCAGCTCTTCACCTTCTGTATCCGCTTTCCTTCGGTCCCGACTAATGTTAGACCCATCTGCAGTAGGACGTTCTGAACTGCGAAATCTCCAGTCATGCAACCTGCTAGTACGAATTTGTCCTCTTCCTTTTGTCGCCCTTTCTTACTAGCACCACTGTCCGAAGGTAACAGCTGCAGCGCTTGTGATTTGTGCAATGCAACATTTTGAGGTGTAACCCATTCGCCCTCGCCATCATCCTCATCAGAGGGGTCCTCATACAGCGGTTGATCCAATGGTTGAGCCTCGTCACTCGTGGAGTGAAGGGTTTCTTCTGCCATATCCTCGCCCTCTTCTCTGTGAAGTTCGATATCTAACGGTTCCCTCTCGTCACCCTTGTCATGCTCATTATGGACATCTGCCGATGAATCCGAAGGGGAAGCTGGGGGAATTTGGGCATCATCATCAATTTCCGTGGCATCACTCTACTTGCCAGATGTTAGATCGGGGCAGCGATAGACATCGAATCTTGCCTGTTTGGAGTCATTCTCCGATGACGCCTGCTCGCGCACATGAAGCGAGTGGGTTAACGCCAAAACGCAGATATCTGCATGAGACAAGACAGCGTAATCTCCTGTCTTCTTCGCAAACTGTACCACTGGGGAGCAGGTAGGTAAGCAATCAACATGGTACGAGACCTGTGCTGACCATGAGCCAGCGACGCAGCATCAGGGTTGCGTACATCCACTTGGACACCCGCAGATAGCCCCAATCGTTCAAAGTGTTCGCGCGCGCGCTTGTCCTTGAGCTCATCCAAGACTTGAGGTACGGTGAGGTAGATCTCTGCCAGGCCTCTCAGCGGTGAGAGCGAAAGCAGTGGACCAGCATCTAAAACTAAATTTTTACAGCGAGGCTTTGATTCTGCCATCGATATGAAGTTTTGTGGAGGTTAGCGCTTCTGCTGACTTGATGATTAGGATCCCTGTATAGACGTGGGAAACGTTATCCTTATGCAGGTGGGTCCGAAAAAATAATCACCTCGGCCGATGGCGCGGGCCGCCGAACTCCTCCTGGTAAGTTTAACGATGTTAAAAGCAAGCAGTAATTAATATCAATCGACCATCTTTCACTTCCCCATCTTCTCAAATGTCTCCCAAGTCGTCAGTATATCGATCCCCATATTTGATCGTCACTGATTTCCATATGCAGGTACCGCATCGTCGTTCTGCCAGGAGATGGCATCGGTATGTCCTTCCGTTGATCTAATCAACCAACACAAGGCTTAAACGGTATTACAGGACCAGACGTTGTTGCACAAGCAACGCGAGTGCTAGAGCTCGTCAGCGAAACATCTACATCGGTCAAGCTCATTCTTGAGCCTCATGACTTTGGTGGATGTGCCATTGACAAATATGGCGAACCCCTGCCTCCATCGACCCTAACCGCATGCCAAGAGGCAGATGCCATTCTTATGGGTGAGAATCCTGACAGACTATACTGTCATGAAGCTGATTAGTTTCTAGGCTCTGTGGGTGGTCCCAAGTGGGGCCCCGAGGCGAAAGTCCGCCCTGAGCAAGGTCTTCTGGGCATTCGCAAAGCTCTGGGTCTATATGCAAACGTTCGCCCGGCGAACTTTGCATCCGACTCATTGCTTGCATACACCCCTCTCAAGCCGGAGATCGCCAAGGGTGTCGACATGATCGTCATCCGTGAGCTGATCGGTGGTCTTTATTTTGGTCCTCGTCAAGAACAAGGGGATGGCGATACTGCATATGATACCATGGTTTACAGTGTTGCCGAGGTTGAAAGAATTACCAGGGTTGCAGCACAGATTGCTCTTGCTGCTAACCCGCCCCTCCCCATCCACTCGATCGACAAGGCAAATGTCCTTGCAAGTTCGAGGTTGTGGAGAAAAGTTGTCACTGAGACGCTGGCAAAGGAATATCCCCAGCTGACTGTTGACCACTATCTCGTTGACTCCGCTGCGATGATCATCGTAGGCTAATCCCAAAAAGTTGAACGGTGTGGTCTTGACTGAGAACATGTTCGGTGACATGTAAGTCCCACTCGGTTGATTATCGGCGATATACTCATTGATTTTATTTCAGCTTGTCAGATGAGACGAGTGTTATTCCTGGTTCTCTGGGATTGCTGCCATCGGCATCCCTTGCTGGTGCACCTGCACTGGTTTCGGACCCCTCCTTCAAACCTACTTCAGGCATCTACGAGCCTATTCACGGTTCTGCTCCCGACATCGCTGGCAAGGGCATTGCCAACCCGATTGGCACCATTCTCAGCGCTGCCATGCTGCTGCGATACTCCCTTGGTCTCGAGAAGGAGGCTCAGGCTGTCGAGGCTGCTGTTCGTAAGGTGTTGGATGAGCCAAGTGCTGGTGGATATGGTATCAGAACAGCTGATCTGCGTGGTAAAGCAACAACTATTGAGATCGGCGACAAGATTGTCGAGGTGCTCAAAACCCTGCTATAGACGGATTTAGTGACGGACAGAAATATACGACTATGTCAGGTAGAATCGATGGAAATGTACATGTATCCCGCTACTCAAGGTTAAAAGCCGATTCCATCAAATATCTGCACTCTCCAAGGTCGAAGACCAGCATTTTAGTCTGACAGACGAATAGCAATCGATTAAGCAATATCAATCCACAAATAACTGAAAGCATGAACCATCCTCTAAATGACTAGAACATATTAGCAAGCTTGCTCGCTGCTACCCGTGCATCCAAGCGTGGGCGCGACGGGTGTACCCGCATCGACTGTGACATGTTCGTGGAGGCGAACATTCCCCCCAGAGGGTCCACTGCCTGTTGTGCGCTTGCGGGGCGAACAGGACCGTTAGAGGTCAAGTGACCCGCGAGAGGATGGCTGGTGGAGGACGGAACAGGGGCATGAATGATTCCACCCAGGGGGCCGCTCTGTGGCAGAGAAGGCGAAGAGGCGGAAGCGGCTACTGGAGGGCCCAATGGAGATGATGTGGTATTAATAAACATCGACTGGGTTCCGTCTATAAAGCGGCCGGCCACAGGCGGGCCAGTCTCCCGTGGTTGCGGGGTGCATGCGGGGTGCGAAGGAGCTCCGCTGGGGCGTTGAGGGACCCGCACCAGGTGATTGAGGAGGAAGTGGGTTGTGTTTGAATGGGGACTGCGCGGGTGAAGGAGCGGATGGCGGTACCCAGTTAGGAGGCTTTGCAACGGGAGGAACTGATGGTGTAGCCCTGGCATGCATGGGCGATGTATCGTCCTCTAGAGGTAAGACAACAGACGGCTTGGGAATGCCATTCGGGTTTGGAGGGGCCACCTTCTGGTTGGCATTGTTGACATCTGTGCGAAGAGCCTCCAATTCCCGGAGTAACTGCCTCTCGTACATGATCGACGAGCGAGCATGCTCAACTAAAGCAGCAGTGATGTCATCTGCAACACTACGCTTATGCGTATCCAACGCACGATGAAGGTTCTGGGATATGTTGTTAGCTCGTTGAGCAAGTACTTGCTCGTATTTATTGGCCTATTACAAAAGTGCAGACATCAGCACTCTCAACCTAAGGAAGTACTAAGCTTTTCACACTTACCTCCTCTATGTCCTCCAGAGCTTCATCCACGCGCTCGGGCCTGATGTTAGAACTCGCTTTCAACCGCTCTATATTCCTCCGCTTAGATATCGTCGCTTTCACCGCAGCCTGATACTCCTCCAGTACACCGGCTCGTTGTAACAATGCTTCCTTTGCCTGAACGGGCGTTCAGACCTTGGTACCCAAATGTATCCCCGATGACAACACATTCACTAATTGCCTGCGCTTGATCCAGATCTGTAAGACTATGCCATGCTCTTCCGAGCTTCCGCAGCGCATTTCCAAGAGGCGGATGCGCTTCAGTAGTAGCAACATTAATGAGTTTGTTGCCCATCTCCGCGTGTGCAGCAGCCAGAGCTACAAGCTCAGATCAATAAATTGACAAGCATCACCTTGGCGTCACTCACTTTTACGTGTGATCGCAAGCTTGTCGATTGCTTTAGCGGCATCGAAGAATTGGGTTTCAAGCTTCGTCAACTCAAATCGCGCACGTTGCAATATCTCGTCTTCGTCAGGCACGCCTCGGCGTATCAGCGCGAACCCTGAGCCTGTTTTGCGCCGAGGACGTGGCGTTGGCTGATAACCAAAGTCACTTTCGATAAATGAGCGCAGTTCCTCGTCGTGAATCACGATCGGGTCCTCGCATATCCGCGTCAACCACCTCTGCAGCATTATTCGTACAAGACGATCATCCTCCTCATCTGTAGGCGCCTGAGGTCTGGGCAAGGGGTAGTGCGGGGATGATGGTATGAGGACAATTGTTAATCAATGCTTCGTAGAACTGTTGAAACTCGAGATATGAGCGGGACACGTTGCGGTATGTGGTTCCCGTAAAATTAGTCAGGGTTGTCTGCCAGCGCGAGTCTGATTACCATACATATGACATAGTCTAGCTAGCTTACCTGGGCATCGAGTTTGAAGAGGATATCCCGCCTGTTCCTGTCCATTCCAGCGATTCGCACTCGTAGATACGGCTCTATCTTCTCATATTTTGTGCCGTTCGAGCCCACATGTCGTTTGCGGAGAGACAAGGCCAGGTTCGGGCTGGCCATAGATTTTGGGTTCTCTACCATACAGCCCGTCTGACTCTGCCTTCTGGGCACTCACTGGTGATGATAAAGGCGGGGAAGCGCGACGCAAATGGGGTATTGGAGAATTTCGCTCGTGGGGTGTCGTTGGCCATGGCGGCGACGTGTCGGTGCTTCCGTTGGCAAAGATGGAACTAGTAGAGCTAAGAGGGTCAAACATGGTAACTCTGTCGTGCACCGCAGTACTTGGAGGACGTTAATGGCGGTGTGCGCAGGAAACTTGATGAACGCCCCAATTTGATGCAGTGGTAGATCACATAAGCAACTCGTTCGAACTTCGGAATCAAACGCCAAAAATGAAGTCGTCGTCGAATTCATAGCAGATCAATACAATTATGAGTACATTCCATCTAAGGACAGTAAGAAGGAGATGGGGTAAATAGATGATAATGATAGTCGTGTTGAATCTCCTATATATTATCTGTGCGGAGGGAGCGACGTGGATTAGCGTCATGACGCGGCTTGCCCGCCTGCCAAGTAGAGCGGCAACATATGCCCCATGCGGAGGATCTTGGTGCGAAGGTACTTATCCAAGTCCTCCCCTCTAACTGCCTCTCCGCCAATCATCGTTACACCTGCGGCTTTACCTGCATCCAGTTCAACATCTCCCGCGACTGCTTCAGGGTGAGAGCGATGTCTCCAACTTCTAGGCACCATCGGCACCCGCTCTACAACTCTCAGACCCTCCTTCTCAATAGCCTGAACTTTGTCTGGGTTATTCGTCAATAGCCGAACACCCTCGGCAAGCTCTGAACCAAGCCCAAGGTCACGCAAGATGGCGACCGCAATTTCGTACCCACGTTCATCAGCCCGATGCCCGAGCATCAAATTGGCTGTGACCGTGTCGTGGCCTAAGTCCTGCAAATTATAGGCGCGAATTTTGGACAGAAGGCCAATTCCACGGCCTTCCTGTTTCAAATAAATTATAGCACCCCGGCCAGGCATCGTCCTTGAATTAGATGATGCATTTTCGGGAAGAGGTGTTGGTTGAGAAATGAGCCGAATAGCTTCGTCCAGCTGTTCGCCACAGTCGCAGCGCATGCTCCCTATTGTTTCACCAGTGAAACACTCGGAATGAATGCGAACAAGGGGAGACGGAATGGAGGTCGTGATAGGTGGTTGATGTGATGAAGGACGAGAGGGGTGTTGGGATGTAGCAGATAGTTTTCCTACATATGCGCCGCGTATGATACGGTCCATGTCTGTTTCGTCATCACTCCAAACAGCGTCTAGAGAACGGCTGCGGATTGACGGCGCTAGAACCGAATCATTGTCGGAGTACTGTGCCGGGTCTACGACGATGGCAAGATGTTCCTTGTTGTCGCGATTATTATGATAGAGGTGTAAGAAGACTGGACCATGCGGCGTGGGTATACGGGTGCGAGCCATGCATTTTACTTCTATGGAGGATGTGGGCGATGGTCCATCCAGCGAGATGATTTCAGAAGTTGTAGCTGGATGCGGAGAAACGGCGGGCTGCAAGCGTAGCCTTCGAGGGCCTTGCCTGCTCACATATGACATGCGCTTGCGTTCCTGGGGCTTATTTGTGTCCTCTGCAGCCCGCTTCCCTCGCCCGATGCTCTCGGCTGGGGCACCCGGAAAGAAATCATGCTGATAGTGATTGCGAGTGGTGCGTGCGCCTGCAGACGCTGCTACAGCAAGCAATAATGGGTCTAAAGCAGCATCCCTTCTCGAGAATTTCTGTACACCTTGCCATCGAGGGCTGGTGAGAACGTCTAGGAGAGCTGCGTCAGAATCTGCTAGCAATGGGGAAGAGATGTTCGGATAGAACGATTCTGTTAGGGCCATTGGAATGGACTACAAGCACAGACTTTAGCGGGGAACGAGTGGGAGCAGATGCCGGACTATGCGCATCTGAAATTCTTGCTTATAAGTTTGATGCAGTGTCATAAATCACATGTGACGTGACACCTTGCCGATGATGTGACCATATCACACATTTGAGGACGGTAAAGTACGTTATTGGTCGAGAAAACAACGATAGAATGTTCAGCAAGAATCAAAGGGTAAGTACTACTGGTAACGTTTTCCCAGATGGGCCTCGGAGCACTTGCCTTGCTTCACGTCTCTCAGTCAGCGTTATAATTCGTAGAAGGCAGGTAAGCACACGCCATCCGTATCTTTGGGTTGAGTGTTTCACGGTCGTGGGCAGTCACTTACTATCTTGAAGATCACCTGGACTTTCTAGACGTTTCGTTCAGGTTTGTCATTGCAGAATCCAGATTGATTATGCATGATACTGGTGTCCTCATCCCTAGTATTGCGTGATTGGCTAGTCTTAGAATTGGCGCGATTTGGCCGCTCATCATCTTTAGCGAGTAAGCTTCAATGTCCGTTCTAGGTACGTGTACTTTCATCTAGCCGACTCGGACACAGTCGAATTCGCCCACGAGCTTTCCTAAGGACGATATTGCTGCCAGGGCCCGTTGAACATCGGGCATGCGTCGCGGCTGTTTCCAACTACGGCATGACCAGAGGGAAATTTCGACCCATTCAACAACAATCTCCAGCTATTTCCCACTCAGGTCCGCATATAAGTGACTGACTACTTCCCATAGTCATCGGCATTCAAATGCACTTCCAATAATAGTTCTCATCATCGTTGGCGGGATATCGGTGTTATGCTTACATGGTTCTTCGGCCGTTGTTAGCGTAGATTTGTAAAGACCACCACGTCATTCACACCAGGTCGTGGCCGATTTCCTCGAGGGAATTGGCTGCGCGGACGCCTACCGGAGGTCTTTGGCAGCCTCCTCCGCCCTCGTTCAGAGTAAAACTCAGGGGACCCTTCGGTATCCGTGAGATTGCCCGACCTGCTCAAACGGTTTTTTTTCCTGTCCGTTGGGGTAATTGTCCCTATGTCGGACAGTACTGTGCTCGAATGTTACGGTGTACCGGGGACGGACTCGAACACCAGGGGCTCTCCCCCCGCAGGCCAACCTCGACAGGCGCCGGATGGATGAGATCTACGGACTGCTGCGCCAGGGACTCAACGGGGCAGTGTGGAATGATGGTCTAGAAGCGCACCACGTCCGCTTGGAGAAGAGAAGGTCCTTTCTGGCCAGACACTGCTTCTGATCGAGATGTTCGCGGTGCAATAGCTGTCAGGTGCGTTCGTGTTGAGGAAAGCATCTATACCGAGAGCCAATGTCAGTTCACAGTGATCAGATCGTAGCGGCGCTGGAAAGCGCCAGTCCCCGACTCCGAGAAACGACGATGTATAATGGCAGCAAACAGTATATCAATATATGACATTCGAGTATGTACAACAATCAGGCACTTCGCAGGTCAAATGTAGCACAAGACAATATTCAAATATACTCCTCATCAGTCTCCAGCTCCATGTCAAATATGTCACGACTCTTCGCGGGCATCTTCGAGGTCTTAGCAGGTGACTGGCCTTGGAGCTCGCCGGCGGCCTTCCTTTTTCCTTTCAAATCGTGAAGAGCTTTCTTCGTGTAGGCTGCGCATGGCAGCAACTGCATATGCCGCAGTATAAGTTGGTATGCGCGGGAGCCATTAGCGTCACGACCATCGTTTCTCCAGCATGAGACCATCAATCAGATCGTTTTCAAAAGTGAAACACGTCGACATGCCTTGAACAACGCACTTTTTGATAACAAAGTCATCTGAGACGCGGAGCAGATCTAGATTCAAGGACGAAATATCTCCTGATAGACGAACATCAGCAGCACCTCTGTCATACTGTGAACACACGGCACATACAGGCGGCTTAGTCCACATAGTACCTTTCATATAGCCATTCAAACACTCAAAAATAACTTCCTTTGAAACGGGCATTGGCCACTCCCACGCTCGTTCTGTGCGAATAGTATTCACGTCCGCCAGCGCATTCTGTTTTCGTTCTAGACGGGCTGATCTGTGCTTGACGGACCGCAACACAATTTCCCGCAACAGACGTTCAGTAACGAGCGCACCGAACTCGTGAGCGATAATCTGATGGAAAACGTCCTTATCTGAGAGTGAGTCAAACATCAAGAACGGAAAATACGCGAGATACATCACCCAAAATACTTGCTCCAGCGTGAAATAGGGACAGCACACGTTGTCGAACATGATTAGCAAGCACATTACATGTTTTTCGATGAGAGAGCCTGTTGTAGAGCGCGCGATAGCGAGGTGCAAATTGACGAATACACAGCTGGACGTCAGTGCGTCTCAGCTTCTCTAAACGGCAAGCGAGATTGTCAACAGATGCCGAAATCCACGGCAAAGACATGGCTTCAGAGGTTTGCACAGCCGCTGAATCAATAGCAAGAGACACGCTAATGACAGGACTAGGAGTGCATAGAGCAGTGGCCACCTCAGGACCATACAAGTTATGAAACTCGGTGGCAAGGAGAGTGCCCTGCGTTGTCGTGCAGGCAGGTGGGACAGGTACCATCGAGAGACTCTTGAAGAGGACGTCATCCGACATGCTCGCAAGTTTCGTGCGTCTAGCGGTGAAATGAGACATGATTGCGTCGAAATATGGTGTTGGCGCGGACCGCGAGTCTTGGATGTGTATTCAACGCTCACATTCCCGGCCAAAACCAAATTTCACGCAAAGATAGTTAGGAATCATGTCATTGAGCAACCTCCATTGCGATCCCCGTTTTATGAACCCTGACTTTGGGAGCATTTGAGTGTGATAGAATAATGTGATTCGAGAAGCAATTTCTCATCATTCATTCGATCACTTGCAAATTAACACAAGAGATCATGTTGAGTCCGAGAACACTGCAGATAGAACACTGATGTGAGTGAATGGCCTAGCACCTTCAGCTGAACTCCATGTAAGACTACTTCCACTTCCCTTCTCTGCCATTTGATGCAATTCTTGGATCGCTGATAGGTTTCTGAAGACGTCATGAAGATCAGAATTCAATCAGCTTCAACGTTGAAGTTGTCAGCCGTGAATGGTGGTGGTGGGCCACTCGTTGTCACTCGAGACGATGACTGAAGTTCGGTCCGTCGTATTCAGGTGTGCAGCGTGGCGGCGTGTCTCGCCCTGAAAATCAGTGGCGCTTTGCTCGTAGGGCTGCTGCCGTGGAGACATGATCGAGAGACCATGTCCGCGGCATGTTCGCGTTCAATTGTGTTGACTCTTCTTCTGGAACTACTTCTACCTATTCCTGGGTGCTTTCGTGGAGAACCTTATATGCTGTTAAATGACTATGGAGTAGCTCAGCTAGGGCGAGAGTGATAAGTAAGACAACCGGAGACGAATTAATGTGATTACAGGATTCACTGGAGAATCCTTGCCGTGGAGTCGGACGGGATCAGAGGGGATCAGGTGCTCTACGGTATTAAGATAGAAGATGATCGCGGATGTAGTAGCGTTATCTAAACGCGTTGTAGCCTTGCTGCTTTCCTTTTATTATCAACCTCCTCATGTTTGCAGACAAAGAGCTCACAACTGCACAAAGACACTGCTGCTGCTCTACTAGTACTACTAGTTCATTGACTTGCTGTTCACAAGCCCAACGGATCACCCTCTAGCGCCCAGAGAGGGTTCACGGATCAAAAGTTTAAATAAACCCTGACCTAAGTCATTTTCGACAAAGAAAATCTCCGCCTACAAATTCGACAAGTACTCGGAAGTTTTGCCTCTATTTTACTTCTTTCCATCGATTATCATCATCATATCGGCTGTTGAATGTCACCTCCTGAAGGACATGTCGGGGGTCATCCCTCGCATGAACCAGATACAAAGCAAGTCTTTGTTGTTTCTTCTCATATTTACGAGGTTCTAACCTAGACGTGACGTTCAACAGCATTACAAATCCTGATGCCAGACTACACTCCAAGATCGTCGAAATACTTTCGTCCACCAGTAATGACTGCCTCACCGAACTGGGTTACCACCCGAGCATGATGGAAAAGCTACAACAATACATACAACGCATTCAAACACTCGAAGGGGATAATGCAAGATTGTATCAAGACAACTGCCAGCTTACTACTCATATCCGAAACCTCAGTGAGCGCATCGTGTACCTCTCTGCTAGTCCGAGCACCCAATCCCAACAATCCTCTACCATGCAAGAGAGGATAGGTACTCTTGAGGTGGACCGCAACAATCTTATTCGACAAAACCAGGACATCCTCATCAATGCCAGCGCTGGCACTTCAAACCACCTTCTTGGCCTAGAACTGGACCGCGTGAGGACACAGAATACTCGCGTTCTTAGAGAATTGCACTCTCTCCAGATCAAATATGCCCACCTACTCGGGCAAACGTCCCCAGGTGTATTATCTCCCTCAAGTTAGACTGTTCTTTTCCACTGTTTCGCATCTTTTCTAACTTTGCACTGCAGATTCTGTTCCTCAAATTTCCCAACCCAGAATCCCTACCCCTAGTGATGTAGGTACTTTCTATCTAATTCCACAGAGCAAGAATAATACTATCCATAGGTTCATCAGCGACGTGTATCTGCCGAGGGGGTACCCCGACACCACCCTTCGCGTTTATCGCAGCAACACGTGCAGCAGCAAGGACAACACTATGCACGACAAATGCAACAACAGGCTCAACAACAACAAGTTCAACGCACCCTGCCACCCCAGCAGCTGCAACACGCTCATCAAGCATATGTTCAAATGAGGACTTCAGATGTTGTTCACAATGTACGTATATGTCCCTGCTTGCAGACTTTGAAGTAACTCTCGTATCAGCCCTACCCGCATCATCGACCCCTTTCCGTGCACCCTCCCATGTTGGTCGGATGGAGGGGTTCACCGCCGGCGTCTGCACCTCCAGCGTTCGGGACAAGGTCACCCACAGACTCCGCACACATCCCTCCCCCTCCCGTTTCAGCCCTGATGAATCACAACCGCCCACAGCAATCGTCTCACACCCATTCGCCGACGTATCCATCACAATCAGGCCATCGCACTGCAGTACTAGCACCAGCCATGCCTTTCAATACGCACTCTAAGTCGTATCCCCCACCCCCGCTGTCACGTCCTACTCTATCTGTAGATCTGCCCAAGGAAGACGAAAGAATGACAGAACAACAAGATAGATGTGGACGTATTGATCAGTCCAGCGGTCTAAAACGCCCAAATTCTGCCGTGGATGGTGCACTGGCGCAGGATATCGAGCTGGTCAAGAGACTAAGGACCGCACAGCCCCCTGAGACACCTGAGGATGTTACCTTCGACGTGAAGCCTGAGCCAGAAACAGCCTCTCCAGACACTGTAGTTGGTTCCAACCCAACTTCACCAGTTTCACCCTCGCCTCCTGCACCACTTGCTCAAGAAAAGAATGACGCCACCTCAGCAGGCCAAGCGGGCATTCAAAACGACGAGGTTGCGATTGCGGCCACGCCTTCAGACACCGTAGTTCCTTCCAATCCAACTTCCCCGAGTTCCGTCACACCATCACCTGCTGAAGAAAATATGGTTAGCTCACCGAGTGGGGATAATCTGCGATCTTTCAAAGACTGCGTCCACATGATTTATGAGCCAGACGCTGAAGTAGCCAATGGATACTTCTGTGGTAGATGCCTGTAAGTCAACCCTCGTTCTGAATGCTTGCAACCCTCATTCTCCCTCACCAGTGATCGCTATGAATCAAAGATGTTAACCGAACTTCCGGATGTGTTAGTGAATCCAAAATTCGAAGACCTCTTGATGCACTGTATGCAGGAACACCCCTACGATCTGGGAGGATCTTCGCCATAAGAAAGACCTCGAGGCACTGCCCTCGTGACTCTCTTTACTGTGCAGCGATCACCTTTCATGTCTCTATACTAGTACGTCTCGTGCATATTGTTATTATACCCAAAAGGATTGTGATAATTTTATGCTACGCCCATCATCGAATGTCAGCCATGCATACTTATTGAGCGGTCTCAACCTTGATTCGAATTCTGACCGCCCATGAGTTGGTGCCACAGTGCTTTTCATCTTACTTGTCAACTACCTTATGCTCAACTTCATCATGATCGATCGGACCTGCGCACGCTGTCGCCGAGCCACCCGGTGCAATCCTCATCAGCGTATTCTTACAGTTCTTTTTGCAGGGCATCGTGGTCATCGAAGCTGGAAAGTACTATGAGGCATGTTATGAAGATTCCAGGAGTCGTAATCTTTTCGTAGCTTTCGTCACTTTACTTTCTCTGTGAGTGGTTTCATTTCGTTTGAGTATTCCATGTGCTTAATGATCGATGCTCGCGGAAGTGCCCAGACGGCGTTTGAAGGATATATAGCTTGGCAGGCTAACGTCGATCGCAGGACTCTGGTACGTCAACATACTATTATTCCGGTCTCAACCAGAGCCAGATTTCTTGTGCTTAGATGATGATCCCTCGAGCCTGGTTCGCGCTTTTCCTCAACGGCTTCATCGGCGGAGTAAACAAACTCTTCCTCCTCCGACGCTGCTGGCGGGTATGCATTCCTAAGTACCAGTGCTAGCACGAACTCTCAAGTCTTGCTAGGTTACGAAAGGAAGCTGTTGGATAGCCGTGTTGTTCGCGTTGACCATAACCACCTTTGTCGCGAATATTCTGATCGTATGTGATTTGCCCTTTGTTGTTTCCCCGCAGACGTTAATGTTGGTGTATTCAGGCGGTGTCGTTGTCACGCCTGAACGTCGTCAATCCTCGGCCTAGCGATGTCATAGTACGTGAACACTTGCTTTTGACTTCACATGCGTGCCAATACACGTGTTTAGCTGAGCATTGTCGCACTTTCATATTGGATCACAGCCGTACTCGGTATGTCACTGTGAAGCATGATCTTATGTGTAGAACTGAGATCACCCTTTTCAAAGTGCTCGATGTCATTCTCACTATTATCCGTGAGCCTCTTTCGCCCTGGGCAATACCTCATTTGGTGATGATTCCTTGCAGTCGCTTTTTTCTTGTGGCAGAACAAAACTGGTGTCCACCACCTTGACAGAGCGCTGTTGCGGTTCTGCGCTGTTGCCACGGAGTCTGCGGTATGGCCATCGTTATGCGTTGCAGTCTCCGCAGGGCTCTTTTTCTCGCATAATGTGGGAGTACTTCATCATATGCTGCCAGTGACACATCTGACTATAATACATCTAGGCAAGCGCCAACCGCCTCGTTTTCGTGTTCTTGCTACAAACAGGGAAACTCTATACGCTGTCGATCCTCCGCACGTTAAACGCAAAGGTCAAGCTACGGGAGAGAATGAAATCAGACGACCTCGCGCGAGGCTCGTTGGCCAATTGGTCGTGGCGTCAAGCTGAAGACCATGAAACATCTGCAGCGGTGAGTACAACAGACTTGGGGCATGCATACACAAATGTCAACGTCCGCGTTAAGCACTTGCGATCATCGATAGTTGTACGGACTACAACGAGAGGACGCCCGTTATCCATCTCGATTGGCCCATCGGAGACGAGTGTTGCGGATAGCCGCATGTCTGTGCTTTCTCAGCACCTTCGGTCGCCTATTCACTCGAACTCACTGACCCACGTCTGACTCGGTGACTTGGAGGCCGTTGGTAGAAACCTGCATTGTCATTCTTCTCTATTGTAAGTAATAGAGCGCTTTTCTTGGCTTTTCGGTAACCTCCATATATACTTATTACTTAGTCCCCTCCCAACTTTCCAACCAGTACTAGGTTGAGTATATTTTTCCAAGAATGTTCTGTGAAAAAATGTGCTCAACCTACTGCATGACATCCGATACAAGGCGATTTCTAGACTTGTCCACTACATAGTTTATCATCCTATAAATTTTCGTCGCCGCAAACACTCCGCAACGCCTCTTGACATGAAGTGTTCAACTTTCGTCAAGCCCAACCAAGCCCTGCCGTCTACCTGCCATGTAAGTCATGCTTTCCCTTCCGTCTCGCATGATCTCAGGATCATTTTATCTGCTCAGGTAACCCGACGACGCTCAGACTGTTACAACATCTGAACCCTCACAACACCAACCCTAGCCGCGTCGTCGGTGTGTCATCCGCCGGCCAAAAGTCCTCGGATATGTTACATTTACCCAGTAGCTCTATCAATGTGGTCTAGATCATAACCTGCAAGTGTATATTAGAGGGGGATTGCCCCTGGGAACACCATTTGGAAGCCCTGCATATAATCTTGAAACGCGTCAAGGGGTGTGCGACACACCAATTCGTGGTTGATCCGACGTGCCCCTGGCGGTGTCAACCTAGGTCTCGTTATCGCAAATGATGTTCATCCTTCTCCTGAGAAGGTGAGCGCAGAAGATTAAATGCTCAAGGCTGCCAGGGAGATCACGGAGGATCCGACGTGGCTTGATGCCTCGTCCTTGACGCATGCTGGTGAAGTAAGTCACTTAAGGTAGATTGATAATTGCGCTGACCAAGGAAAAGACTTTAGGTGTGTTCCCTATGACCCTTGACAGTAATTAGAAATGGCGGCTTTAACCCCCGTACCACACAGAGAGCGATGAAGGACGTACAAGACCTTCCTTGTACTCTCCCGTTACCTCCTCAGATTCTCCTCAAGCCTCCACATCCCTAGTCTGCATTTCTTTGCTTACCGTGGTACGACCTTCACAGTTTTTCATCAGTGATGCCGTGCCACCGGCATGTCTTTCGCAATGCAAACATAAGCAAGCAACGCGGTCAGGTGCTTGAGATGCGTCCTAGGGCTATGGAGTCTCGATGAAATATCAGACCGACGCGCAACCGAACGATACCAGTTTAATTCAAAGGAGTTGAAAGGACGGACACGAGTATATCCGACGCATTCTTAGTGTCTACATGCCCACCGACACTAACGACTTCTGAGTCAAAGCCATTAGCTATCTGCGGCTTGACGAGTATGATGTGCTTCTGATAGTTGCGACAGGCAGTGGGAAGACGGGCCTATTCATACGGCTCATGCACGTTGTCAAGCACGTCTCGTTAGCATAAGGGTACCGTAGTGACTATGTATGTCGTCAGCTCGTATGCTTAGACTTACGATTTCTTTCATATCTTTGAAGCAGGGAGACAAGCTGCTGATCAGTGATTGACTAATTAATGTCACAAAAACGAGCTACTCGGCAAATACCGGATGGTGCTTGTCTTCTCTCCCGGCCCTCAGGAAACGAAGCCGGGACGTTGTGGAAAGTAGGCTCTTGACTCTTGCTCCAAGTTGCATTCACGCTCACATTCACGCATTATATTTTCCGTTGTATTTCACTCGCTCATCTCGCATTCGACCTATCATACTTGCGCAAACCGTCGCTTTCTTCCTGCGACGCGCTCAATCATCCTCTTCCATGCTATCAGCTCTGACTCGACTCATTCGCGATCGTGAACTTATTTCGTTTTCAGTGTATTGTAAATACTACGCAATACAATGGATTCTATCCATGTACCTTGCAGTTTGCTAAAAGACTAGCCTTCCGAGTGATACAAGTCAAGAACCGGTGGCAAGACTAGGTCGGCACCACATGGCGCTCTGAGACTTGTTATGACTTCTCCAACTGGCAGCCTGGCCTATCGTGGGCCACTTTCGCTGATGGTGACCGACAACGACATTGCCTACTTCATTAGTAGACCCTCTCCCGCTGTCGTCTGTATCATATGTTGGTCTCAGCGCTAGATAGAATCGAGTCCAGTGTCTATCATACCAGCCGAGCCGTCAACAACACGTAGCTACACGCACTGCACTCTTACTTATTTCTCTTCTCCATCCCACCTGAACTTCATCTACAGTTGCCGTATCATATACCCCTTCTCCGTTCTCGATCCTCCGCGTCGCTCGTCCTTTACTTCATCACGCCATCACATACCTGGTGGCTCGGAATGTCGGTGGATCAGACTTCAAGGTGGGCTACTCCATACGACCTTGGGATTCGGTTCATCGCTCTATCCACAGTCATTAGCGGAAAGAATATTAAAGTCCCTTCCGGGCGCATACCCGCAGGCATTTACATATCCATTAGTGTCGACACTGGAAATCAGCTGTCCGAGTACTATCATCCGACAGTTCCGTAGCTTGGGGCGATGTTGTTACCTTCTTCAGAGAATCGCGGACGCGATTCCAGTGTTCATCATCGCTTTGCAGATTACCGGATGCGTCGCCTAGATTATCACTGGAGATCAGGGCCTCCTTTGAATTCGGTCGAATGCTAGGCCATGGTGAATTCATTGCCAAGCTTCGAACGTCGTGGGATGAGCTACTCCATCGTGGAAATGAGCCATTTGGTGAGTGATATGTTTCCTGTTTGTGTACATCTCCTAACGTGTTGTAGATCTGTCCTTCCCACCCGTTCGTGGCGTCTACTCTTCTGTCACGCTGAAGGTCCCTTTTGTGCAAGCTTACGGAAATGAGGATGGGGGACAACTTGACGTAAGAGACGCTGACCCCCGTGCTTTTGGTTCCGGCTGACAGATGCATTGTAGTCTATCGTTTGTTCCGAGATTGGTTGGCGCACATATGCAGCTCACACACGATTTGCTAAATATATGGGAAACAACAGTATCTCTACCCTGAATGATGCTGTGGAGCATTTCTAATTCATTCTGGATAAGTGTTCGGTTGGCCATCCCGACCATGCAGCCGCCCTTGCCAACCTCACATGGGCCCGCCTTGAAGGCTATATTCAAAAAGATCGACTCTACTGCCTCCCTATTCCACGATGCCCCTGCATTGCGTCCGCAGGGCTACCTTGATCATCCCTTATCTCTTTGTTATTTCACCAAAGCACTGAACTGGCGCTACGACTATCATCATACCCCCACTGATATCCGCAAATCTGCCTGGCTCTACAATGAGCTACTGACTCTGTCCCGAGGGCACCTATCTTCGGAGCATCGCAGCAGGTGATGTTGATTATGTGATCAACAAATGCAACGAACTTCCAATGGACACATCGGATGAAGGCATCCAACTTCAATGAATGGTGCTCGAACACTGTCCTCTGGGTCATCAATGCCATCTCAGTGCCCTGAACAAGCTTTCATGGGCTCTCGATACACGCTTTACACAATGTGGCGGCATTGATGATTTGGACGAGAGCATACGAATTCGTCGTGACGTCATGTCTCTGCTGGGCCCCGAAGAATGGCATGATCGTGGGACCTTCCTGAACAACTTGGCCCTTTCTATATCATGGCGCTTCAATCACCAGGGGAAATCTCATGACCTCGACGAGGCCATCTCCTTGTACGAAGAAGCACTGCGTCTGTGGCCTGTTGGGCATGAATATCGTGGTTTTTTATTGGACAACCTAGGGGACCCCATCTGCGCCTGTTTCCGAAAATGTGGTGACATTAATGACATCAATAGAGCTATCAACCTCTTGTGCGAGGCACTGACATTGCGCCCACCTGGGGATCCAACTCGTGGAACCACGCTTAACAACCTTGCCACCGCACTCCAAACCAAATATCATAAATTGCATACTACTACTAGCAAGGATCTTAACGATGCCATTGATTCGTACCGCGAATCACTTCGGTCAGAAGAGCTTGACCGTCCAGAGCGCCATAGAAATTTGATCAATTTGAGCTTGGCACTCCGCTCTTGTTTTACACAAACTCAAAATGAAGATGCCGAGGAGGCCATTTGTCTCGGCCAAGAATCATTGGTGGCTTTGCCTCCACTGCACCCCGAAAGACATTTCAGTTGCAAGTGGTTGAAGGAAGCTTATCTTTCTCGTTATGAGGTGCAATGCAACCCTGCTGATTTGTCCCTCGCGTTAGAGAACTTCAGACTAGCGTCAAGACACCCCACTCAAAGCCTTCCGGCATGCATCGTCGAGGCATATAATTAGACTGTTGCGGCAGAGCAGCATGATCATAGATCTGCACTGGAAGCCTATCCAGTGTTTTTCGAGCTTCTTGTGCTCATCTGGCCACACGAGCATCGACCACGTCGCTGTGTGAAGCCGCTGCTGCCTTCAGTTATGCCAGAACGTTCCTTGTAGATGCTGCATCGTGCGCCTTACGCCATCATGACCCGCGAAAAGCCGTCGAGCTTGTGGAGCAGGGCCGTGGTCAGCAATGGTCGCTGGCCTCTCGCCTGAGGACTTCACTTGAAGACCTCGAGATCCCAATCTAGCTCACAAATTTTCGGAGCTCAGCAAGTGTCTGTCTGGCGCTCGGGGTTCTGCGGTTGGCACAGACCGAGCTGAAGCTAATCTGGCAGCCATAGAGTACAGGAGACTTACGAAGGAATGGGAAGCTGTGGTGGCGGAAATTCGCAATCTTCACGGTTTCTCGCGATTCTTGCTCCAACCCTCCTACAAAGACCTGCAAGCGGCAGCGAGCCATGGACCGGTTATCATCCTCATTGTCAGCAAATACTCGTGCAACGCCCTCATTGTCACGACGTCAGGGCAGTCCCACCATGTTCCCTTCCCGCCTGTCATTCTCGCAGATCTCGAGATGTTCAAGATCGCCTTCACCAAAGAGATACGGAACGCAGGTCTCATGGGTCCAATAGAGTCGAGGAAGGATTTGCGAGTACTCTTGCAGATAGTATGGGATGAGATCATGCTACCCATTGTCGATGTCCTCTAGCGTGACCTGAAATTGCGACGCCAGTCTCGAATATGGCTGTGTCCGACGGCAGCCTTCACGTCTATTCCTCTCCATGCAGCTCACCCCTGTCGGCCAAAAGCAGATCACTCTGGGCAGGAACCATGTCTGGAGAATTTCTACATCTGTTCTTACACGCCCACACTGCCAGCTTTGATCAGGTCTCGACAGATGATGAAGACGCGCGCAACTCCGTCCTTCGTGGCGATAGGGCAAAGTCGACCAGGTGCTAGGCAAGGCATGGTGCTCGCCGATGTTGACATCGAGCTAGATCTTGTGCATAAACTTGTTCTCTCCAACTTCAAGTTCATCAATCTTTCTGGCGACGACGCTACACGGACAGGTGCACTTCGCTTGTCACGGCAAGCAGGACCGCGAGCAGCCTTATCATTCACGTTTTGCCATGAGAGATCAACCCCTCACGCTGCTCGACATTATGGAGAATGACCCTCTGCATGCCGAATTCGCGTTCTTATCGGCGTGTCATACCGCCGTCGGCGATGAGGAGACGCCCGACGAAGTCATTCACTTCGCAGCTGGTCTGCAGTATTCGGGGTTTAAGAGCGTCATTATTGACACTCTTTGGGCGGTCAATGACGCTGTCGCAAAACACGTCGTCGAAGCTTTTTACGAGAATATGTTTAAGAAGGAGGGTGTCATTGACTGTACAAGAGCAGTCTCGGCACTCAACTATATGCTACGGATGCCGTGAAGAAAAAAATCCCGCTTGAACAGAAAATTGTTTTCATTTATATTGGTGTGTAGTGACTAGTTCATGTCGTATCTCTCGTGCGGATTTACAAGTCTTGAATCTTCGGTTCTCTTCCATCCATGTCGTACTTTAAGTCGTTCTTAGAAATTACGATACATACACTTGCACTGCATCAGTCACGACTCACTAGTCATCTCCGCTAAATACGAGGATTTGTTTGGCTACAGCTTCAGAAACAAACAAACATCCCCAGCCTAAGTTGTCAACGTGATATTACTTTCAGTCACTTCTGGCAGCCTGTGTGGGTATTATGTCGAAGCCAGATCAGAAAGCTCAGGATTCAACTCAGGCCTCCTCGAGTGAGACGCTGGAGCAGCCCATACCAGAGACTAAACTTGATCAAACCCCGCAACCGTCCGTTAACCGCTCAGAACTAATATCAAGAGCTCGCACCTTCCTATCAACTCCTCATATCCGCTCGCAGGACAATGCTGCCAAGCATGCGTTCCTCGTAGAGAAGGGACTTTCGCAAGACGAGATTGATTCACTACTCCGGGAAATCGTGAGTACGCAAGCTGGTGTGTATTCATGTTACTTATGTGCACTTAGCCTCCACTAGTACCACCACGGACGTATCCACAACCTCCTCCATCCAATCTCCCTAACATGCTCATTGGGGTTGCGCGTATATTCACGTGGCTCACTGGCACCTCAGCATGCCTCCTCTTTATCTACTACGTGAGCGCAACCCGCTTAGCACCGAACTGCAGCTGATTATCGTTTGAAGCGCTTCTTGCTGCCAAGGATCTCACAGACCTACAACGCTCGCCATGCACTCCGCGCACATCAATCCGGCCTCATGCTTCGTCTTAATGAGTCCCTCGTGGGATTCAAGGAGAAACAGGTGGAATGTTTCGCTATCCTACCAAAGCCCGTGATATATAAAGAGGAACCGGAATACGCAGACTGCCATTCGCTAGATGAAATTCTTGCATGTCGCCGCAAGGCCGACATTGATGACGAGGATGCCAGTGACACCTCGAATGTCTCGATTTTGCGCTCTGCTGTTGAGGAACTGAGTCGTTCAAAGGAAAGCACGGAGGGAATAGGCACAAGTGATTTATTCAGCCATCTCGAAGACAAGCTTCCATGGTTGAAGGGAGAACAAGGTGCTTCATGTCAGGTTAGTACTCTATCTACCTTTGACGTCACAGGCTCACCCGGTTGCACAGAATGACCTCTGGCAAACACTCAATGAATCCCCTCTGTTCACTTCCACCTCGCCAAAATCTTCGTCTTCTTCGTCTATCCCTGAGCATCCCTCTCGCCTCCTCTGGACATATGTTCCTCCTCCAGTATCCCCTCCTCCGCCCATGATGCTCGCTCTCGACACTCTGCAAGCTGCGCTTCCACGTAACGCACCAGCCGCTCCGCTCTCCAAACTTGAAACAGCGCCGCTTCGCCCTGCACAGCGAACCCTTCAAGCGCTCACAGATTTCACCGGGTACATCACCACTCGAACATATTCGTTCGGGTTAAATATGCGCGGCATCAACGGGTCACCTACGACGGGCAGTGCTGACGTAGATGAAGTACGCCGCGAGATACGCGCACTGAAAGGTCTAGTTCTCAATAGACGGTCGTTTTTACCCAATGTCGGGCTACCGCGTACTTCAAGTGAGCCATCGAAACTTGCTGGCGTATGAATTGTCGCATCTCTGTACAGACAATGTGCTAGTTCTATACATGTCACGCACCTCTAGGAAACTGAATGACGCAGTTCATTCCAACCCGTCGCCACCCGCGCTCAATCTATATTGAAACAACTCATCCACCACTGCTTGCCCGATCAACTTTGTCATGAAGTCCATCTTTTCCTGCCCAGGACGCTCTTCAAATTGGTCTTCTTCACCCGAGCACACACCGAGTACGTCAACTCCGAGTGACGCCAACGAAGATCAACCCACTGGTTAAGGAGACGTTTCCGCTGATGGTCGTCATCCAGTTCATCTCCACCCCACAGCCCTCCGTTGCCCGTTGAATCCAGCGGTCCTTCCACGCGAAGAATTTGATAAATTTGACGGCACGATGATTTTGAAAGAGTATTAATGGTACGCGACTCACGTCGTCACTGGTCAGTCATAAATACGGAGCGTACATCGCTTTGCTAAAAGTTCCGGAAATGGTACCGAGACCAAGTTTTGAGAAATCGCACTGCAGTTTAATATGCAATACACTGTAAGCAGAAGGGGAACAAGCTAATCTTGAGCTAATCAGTCTTTGTTGCGAGCTGGCGTTGACCTTGCTTGGCAAGGTGATGTTTTGTTCCACACCAAATTGTTAACGGATCTTGCTTCACAAGGTAGTTCTTAGGTGGCAATCTGCTGGCATTGCAGATATCATCGGATAGGTTCTTCCGGTACATCGCCATGAAGAATAATATCCAGCACATAAAAGCAAGGCATCTTCCTACTGTCCCCTTCAGATTTATTTGATCCTATATCACATCCTCAGAAACAATGCGTTTCTCCCTTGTCCTCGCCGTTGCTGCTGCTTTGACAGCATCAATATCTGCCAGCGATTTTGACAGTGAGGAATGTGCTTATTTTTGCCTGCATGACAGCCAGTGCGATACCTGCGCTTTTGTGTCTAGATGTGTGAGTATGAATAATTTGTCCTGGATTTGACCACATGACTCGCTGGCGTGGTAGATCCTTTTTCAATGCCTCCCCTGGGTGAGTCGTGTTTCTACTTTCACATCGGTGCAGTATGGTTGATGGCACGACGCGTGAGTTACTAGTAGTAGTTTGTTTGTTGCGGATCAACGTGTTTGCTTCTGAACAACTTTTACTGCCGCTCGAGCCTCGAGCAATGGAGATCTTGGAATCTCAAGCACTTCCAAAGAAGTAGAATACATAGAATATGACTGAAATACCTACGACGTAGTTTTGTAGTCTCGTTGTAAGCTTGAACACTCACTTTTAAATGCTGCGTTTGTTACTTGATACTATCATTCCGGGTAATCTGCAACTAGCATGTAATATGCAAAATGTTCAAAACACCTCAACGCGCTGCTCGACTCACTTCAAAAAAATTCAGGCATATGTAGACTACTTATAGATGATGTATTGTCTAAGTAGAATGAAAATTTCTTGAGTGTTGCAGCTGCGAGAGATGAAATAGTGGTAATTTGTAACCATGCAGGAACATAAATCATCCAGATCCCATAGATCCTACAGATATATTCACAAAGTTATACCCGGAGCATAACAATCACCTCGTCAGGATTCCAGAACACAATTTCGATAAAGGTCATCCTGTTGTTTTAAGATGCTATAGAGGAAGAATTGACGACATGTATGAAAACGTGACAGCAGATAAGAGAGTGTAAGAAATTCAATCTCCTCTACGGCACACTCGGCTAGTGCACGGCATCTGCACTCTCCACAGTGCTAGTGTACGGTCAATTAGGAACTGTCCGAGATTCACAGGGTAAATTTACAATGCGTCCAGAGGCCTTCAGATTCACCAGCGTGAATTACAGTAAATTAACATATCTGTAAATTAACGCTAATTTACAGGTCAATTTGGTCAAATGTACTGTGAATTAGGGTGAATGAGGTGAATTAGGTGAATTATTTCCACTCGTCCCAAGCAGAAGGGTCGGGGACAGACGAGGACAGGTTTTTAGCAGCAGCCTTCTTTATTGGTGCAGAACCCAGGTGTGAAGGTTGTTTTCCGATCAAATCGAGCAGTTCACGTAGGTAGGGTGCATGTAAATCAATACTGCTGGATGCTGCAAGCACAAACGAGTCTTTTTCCGCTGTCTTAAACTCTGAAAGAACAGCTGGACCATCCAACCAATCTGCGCCATCATCAAACTCATCTTCTGAGTCCGAGTCTGAGTCCACTGTTCTCGCTTCAGGTGGAGGAGGCATTCGACCAGCGAGAGGCAAATCTTCGGCAGGACACTTGCCAAGGATAGTGGATTCCATATCACACCACTTGATGAGAGGTTTGTATGGTGTTTTCAATTTCTGTGGAGTCACTGATGAGACCGAGAAGAACGCTGTGGGGAACGTCCCCACTGTAGGCCCGTATCCCGTATAATTCCCATGCCTTACCACCATTTCCCCATGCGTTCCGCTACCCATCCGCATCTTCCCTGACCCGTCCGCTACATGGAACCAAGTGGAACCCAGCGGAACCCAGCGGAACAATCACGTACCACACACATTATATTCCTTTAGCCCTCGGAATGTCCTCCTCTGTCCTGCCCATGTCCTTCCATCCTCGCTGGTGAGTACTAGCTACATTCCCCGTGTTACTAACATGTTCCTATCTCATTTCCTATGTGTTATGGTACTTATACGGATCCTTCTGCTACTTGGGACCGATTCCTTATCTCACAGCCTCACCAAGTTGTAGCATAGCACATTTCGGAACCCCTTCCTATATAGGTAGCAATAGATGGGATCTTAGTTTTTTACCTTCTGATTGACTCAACTCCACTTCCACTTACAGAGTACTTCCCAGTACTCCACTCACTGTCTAAAATATCTTCCTGAATCTATTCCTGATCACATTGCATTGTTCCTGCCCCCATGAGTTCTGCTCGAAACGCCCGACATCAGATCCGACGACTTGGAGCAAGTACCAGACACAAGCCTGGTCCAACTTTGCCCAATCATCCTCCTGCAGGCTCATAGTTTCTTTTCCCTCTGTTTGTTCCCCATTAGTTCCGTTTGTTCCCTGTTTGTTCTGTTTGTTCCGCGTTAGTTCCGTTAGTTCCGCTCGTCGGGAACCCTCTGCATCTTTGTGTTTCCAGTCCTAGTAAGGACCGGAACCCTTCAGGTCGCTAGACAGAGTCTAGTCTTTGTTTCCTCGCACTTATTTGAGGACTCGCTACCCAGTAGCAATCCCCTCGGGACAAGTATAAGTCTCGCACCCTTGTTAGACTTCTGAATCACCCAGAGTCTATTTTCCTCACCCACAACGCATGAAAATCGTTACTCACATTAGAATTGAAATGATGCCATTGTCGGATTTTAATATGATCTTGAAGAGTACTGATTTCCTGCCTACTTTGGCGAGGAGAGTTGAGCCAAGTAATCATTGACATGGTGCGTTCATCTGGCATGGATGTCAGAGACACTGAAAAAGCCTTGATTGCGAGAGGCTGTCAAAATACTCAGTCACCTGTCTTGGATGCAGGAGCCTCGCAGACTTACTGCAAGAACATTAGCTAACTCGTCTTTTTGCAATGCTTTCCACCAGCCAAGAACACTTTCGTTCATTCTCATCTTCTGATTGAATGGGTCCTCGCCCTTGATGTAGGCTTTGAATTGGGTGCAAAAAGAAACCAATGCATCCGTGGGGCTGAACTCAGCGAGCATAGGATTGTGCAGCTTCATCTCGACTACTGGATCAGGATACTTTCCGGCCTCATAGGAATCTCCATACTCACGTCGCAAAATCCTTTGTAGGGCAAGGGCAGCACGCGTTACCATATCCTGAGGAGGCTTCGTGGCACAGGTGATAACACCAGTAACAGATTTGGTGATTGTGAGAGTCGGGCCTGCCATGGGGTTGACCTGCTTGTAAATGGGTGCATTTCGGTATACTACATTGTGGTTAGATCTGATCAGAGCGGTGTGGTAATCCCAGCAAACATACCTGGATTCAGCACAAAGGTCGTCACATACAAATCGTGAGACTGCAGTGTCTCATTAACGAGCTCATCAAAATGCCCATTCCCAATCTGGCAAGTAGATTCCATCGTACTATTCAGTAGCCTATGTTTTTTTTTGCGAAATTCCTCTTCATGCTGTGACCGGCACCCTCGAGGCACTTCAGCCCTCTGGCCCAGGGTCCAACAACGGAGAGGAATTTTGGAAGGTCCATCTCAAAACGGTACCTTGGCCCTCCAGGGACAAAAAGTTCATTAAGGTTCTATTACCATCAGCATTAGTAATGATGTAGTAATGCTTGATAGCATCAAACTCACACCTTTAATTTCAATCCCAAGGCTCTCATCCTCGATGATTGCCTGAAAAGCTGGTATTCCTCTCTGGACCAACAAAGCAGCCCAGTAGAGGGTACTGAATCGAGTATCACTGATACCCTCGAGGCCTCGTCCAATGTTCAGTAGAGCACATTGGTGGTCAAAGTGCTCTGCAGCAAAAGTTGAGTGGCTCATGAACAAAAGAACTCCCCGCACTTGACTGAATTACCTAGTAACACCATGTCAGTAATAAAGTTTTAGCAATCTGTTGTCTCCCTCACCTCGGCAAACTCAGGGAGGAGGCAGATATCCTTTATGGCAAGGTTAAGTAGATGACAGGGATCCTGGAGATTGAGCATGTGAGGATAGCGCTCACAAAGCAACCTGCGAGCTTTCTTTGTATTGCCTGCATTGTCTGAAGATGTGGCTGCTAAACTTGTATGGACCTATCTTGCTGTATGACCTAAATTTAGGGATGAGTGACAGATAGGTGATGACAGGTGACGACATTGAGGTACTTACTTCGGTTGAGGGCGGCAAGTATATATTCCACTGTGTGTTTCTTGTGAACGGCATCATTAAGCTCCATGCAGAATGTTCGACCGCCAGGGACCGTGATATGGATGGTATAGAGGGATCTTGGACGGCATATTTTTCCACCATCAAATGTGATTGTGAGGTGGCAAGGTGCATGGAGAAAATCTTTGATGCCTTCACTGATTTTCACAGCCTCTTTGATAATCAGACTTGTGGTAAGTGTCGTGGAGCTTGAAGTATGGTAGTTCGGATTCAGGACCAAAAGTAACTTCTTCCATTCTTCAGAATCCACAACCATCAGAGGAATACTGCAACAGACAATGAACTTTATTACAGCATGGTCCACTCGTTCCTTGAGATCCTGCTTCCCCTTGGAGACAAAAGGGTTGAATGATGATTTTACTGACTTGTTGTTATGCGTAACCTCTCGGATAAGATCCGGCGGCGCTAAACCCGCAAGGGGTGTTCGAAAGTGTGGCCTTTCGACGCTAGCCCAGCAAGGAGCTTGCCTGCGCTAAGTCTGAGTAAGGGATGAGGCCCTTACTTGCGTAGAGTCAATTGGAGTTTCTCTTGGATATGATCCAAGAGACGGAGTTTCAACTCAAGAGATTTGTCTCAAGAGAAGATGATTCTTTGTACAGAGGGAGTTCTCTTAGGCAAGAGAAGTTCAGACCCAACGACAAGATCAGATGAGAACCGAGTAGATTCAAGTTAGAGAATCTATCTACTGTACAAATGAGACATATATACGTAAGGGTGATATACCGGTGGAACGGTAAGGGTACAGGGTAAGCGGAGGCAATACCGAGTTAGCGGTAAGGGTCAAGGGTTGTGTGAGTCATAAGTTAAACGGGTAAGAAGTACCGGTTGAGCGGTAAGGGCAAAGGGTATGGGGAATCCCCATCAATGAGAGAACCGAAACAGTGGAGAGGGCATAGGGTTTGGTAGAAGTGAGAGCTTCTCGCGTTTCGGAACAACAGGATCAAAAAGAAAGAGATAAAAGTAGAATCGTAACCATGGTTCAGGTCTTAGACAAATTTGAAGAATGAAATGACATGTAACGCTTGTGTTACTGTAACACTTGTCAGTCTTCTTCTTGCTGTCACTGCCATGGTGAGTTGTCACTATGACTTCTACATCATCCTTCACGTTCGACTGTTCTGCATCTGGAATGCACAACTTGGGACCTTTGGCAGTGCTAGCCAAGAACTCGGTTGCACGATCCTGGATCTTCTCGTCAATGTGACTACACTTCGCAAGATGTCCCATGATTTGGTCACGAGAACGAGGGGCATTCCATGTTGTCCCACATTTTTTTACTACCAATGCACCGCACTCAAACTTCCACTTTTGCAGGAGCAGTCAAGACACCACCCTTCCAAACCTCACCATTTCGGACCTTATAACAGCACCTTGTTGCCTCAAGAAGGAGTGGGTGTATCCTTACACCACTGGTGTGCAAGATCAGCAACTTCAGGTAAGTCAATGTACTGTGGGTCAATGGAGTTTGAGAGGGGCTGATGAGCCGCTGGCTGCTTATGGCACTTTTTGGCAGTGGTTATAGTGGGCTTTGCTGCCATCGTGTGAGATTGTAACTGAATTGCTGGCAACTTATTTTTTGCCCCTAAATACAGTAAAATGAGCTTACTTCAATGCTGGCAGATTTGAATGCAGCTACTGCTGCTATCGTAAGGTCATCCACCCATTTGATGAGAAGTACCGTCTCTGGAGACTCATGATATTGATCCAGGTAGTCCCCGAGTACATTGGTCACAACATTGAGGCTAGGTCCACACTCCTTAAAAGAAATGGGACCTTTGTTTCGCTGACCCATGCGCACTTCAAGTTCACGGTTCAGTGCGCCGATAGGACCATAATCATTGATCTTCTCGTCATTGAAGTCGAAGCTGTACTGTGGGCTCGAAGGGTCTGCATAAGGAATGGTTTCGGGGAGGTTTTGAAGATAAAGAGATAGTAGCTGTAGTTTATTTCTCGTTTCACAATCCATGGTTGAGACTTTGTCTGTTTGACGAGCTAGCTGCTATAGATATTTACAAAAATTCACAGATACACCACCATGGAGACGCCCAATGCAAATCCCAGATTCACCCAAATTTACACCCCCAAAACGCCCTTCCCAGATTCACATGTGAATTAACGCTAATTTACAGGTGTAAATTAACAGGTGTAAATTTACACCCCACTATTTGACCGTACACTACTCCACACCAAGTCTTGCATTGTGTTGTGTTGTCTCCTCTTGCATCATTCTCGCATCCTTGTTACAATGGCACCAAACCACAGGCGTACTATCCGTCAGAAGAAAGCCGAAGCAAGACATGATTCGTCAAAATTCAATGCACGAACCATTTAGTGGCTATTAACCACAGCCTATCCCTCCGAGTCAACCCTTGATGTTGCGCATGGATCTTCCCCCACCTGGGTATACAGTGGCTCAAAAAACTGTCCACATGTTTGTGCTATTTTCACTATTTACATTATTGTATATGAATGAACAGGTAGACTGGGGATATGCCAGTGGGGTACTCTGTAGTACTCCTTTGGGGCATGAATTTGAGCCCTTGCCCGTGGGAATTTATGGTAATGTGGTGGCACTATAAGCCTTACAAAATGATGACTCATGTGGACAGTTTTTTGACCCTAGATTAAAATTATATAAATCATTAGTTATGACACCATAAAGTCATGCCACTATTAAATAAATTATGAAGTGGTGTCATTATGACATTATTAAACCTATCTCTAAGTATATAATGAAGTGTGTCCCATATATCATAGTCATAATCACCATGAAAACCATCTTCTCTGCTCAAAGGGATAATATCCTTTCTCTGTCTACTACTGGCCTCTCTACTCGTCAAATAGCCTCTAGAACTGGTTTATGTAAGTCTACTGTAGCTAACCTTATCAAAGAATGTCACCCAGACAAGGAAAACTCCAGTGGAGGTCGTCCATCCAAACTCACCTCTACTGATAGGAGGGTTATTATTTAACATATCACCACAGGAAAGGCTGATAATGGAGGATATCCATATACTGCTCAGCATCCATCCTCCCCTCAACTTCTGCAAGCATTCTCACACCAGAAGTTCCACACCATACATCCCCATACCATTAAAGAACCTCCTCCAAACTTGAGAGTTCCATTAATCTCTCTGTCTGTAAGAGGGCCCCCCTTCTTTTTCCACACATGTACCTTCCCATCTGACCCAATTCTATTGATTTTAGTCTCATCTGACCATATGACCTGCTTCCAGTCTTCTACAGTCCAGTTTTGATGAGCTAGGGCAAAGGCTAGTCTTCTCTTCCTATGAGTGATGGAAAGAAGAGGCTTTTTCTTCTTTGTTACGACCCTAAGATTGGCTTCCTTGAGGACATTCCTCACTGTTTGTGAAGAAACTGGAGTAGGAATGATGGAATTGATATGATGAGTGACTTGGACGGCATTATCAGCCTTTCCTGTGGTGATATGTTAAATAATAACCCTCCTATCAGTAGAGGTGAGTTTGGATGGACGACCTCCACTGGAGTTTTCCTTGTCTGGGTGACATTCTTTGATGAGGTTAGCTACAGTAGACTTACATAAACCAGTTCTAGAGGCTATTTGACGAGTAGAGAGGCCAGTAGTAGACAGAGAAAGGATATTATCCCTTTGAGCAGAGGAGATGGTTTTCATGGTGATTATGACTATGATATATGGGACACACTTCATTATATACTTAGAGATAGGTTTAATAATGTCATAATGACACCACTTCATAATTTATTTAATAGTGGCATGACTTTATGGTGTCATAACTAATGATTTATATAATTTTAATCTAGGGTCAAAAAACTGTCCACATGAGTCATCATTTTGTAAGGCTTATAGTGCCACCACATTACCATAAATTCCCACGGGCAAGGGCTCAAATTCATGCCCCAAAGGAGTACTACAGAGTACCCCACTGGCATATCCCCAGTCTACCTGTTCATTCATATACAATAATGTAAATAGTGAAAATAGCACAAACATGTGGACAGTTTTTTGAGCCACTGTACACCCCCATATTATCCCATGCACCATTCTGCACCTCAGCTTCAGCCACCACATATTCCTCACTTTGCACTGGCTGGTAGAGCAGATGTTCAAGCTGGTAGTGAGGCACAGATATATGATGTCGCAGGCCATCAGCTCTATTCAGGACCATATCACCAGTACAATCACAATAACTACATGAATCACAATACTTAATAATAATATATTGCTGTATTCAGTATTTTCAGAGCTTCGCACAACTTCAACTTCTTCAGGTTCGACGACTCAACACCAATAGATTGAGAGCTGTGGAGAGTCAAAGTTGACGGTGCCGGTGCTGCGCCAAGGCATGACATGACGTGACCATATTTTGCAGATTAGCAGTCAGACCCTGAATTTTCTCGGCTTTCATCCGACACCACACCACAACATCCTAAAAATGAGGAAAAATCAGATCTATATAGAGGTGGTACGAATCTACAACCTTCTAAATTCATGGAAGATCAAATGAAGTGGTTGACGAGCTACAAAAGATTTGCTGAAAAAGTTGCAGATTACCCGGAATGATAGTAGTGTTTAGCTGGTTCGCAAGCCTTATTGCAAGCTTTGGTGCAGTGGATGTGCATATCTTGTATGCAAATGTATGCTGGTCACACTAGTCCCTGGAGATGTTGATAACTAGGGTAAGTCTAGACTGAGTCAAATTTTCCAGTCTGACATCCTTGCAATTTCTGTGTTTGGACATCCCACACAAAGATCAAGCCACCTCCCCCCGGTGGGTGAATAACTTTTGAATTTGAATGGACCAGCCACGACTTTGCCAGTGTCTAAGCTCCATATCCGCACTGATGATCATCCCATGACCTGCTCGCCAGCAGCGTGCAACCCGAGGAGATACCCGAGATGCAGTTGACACGCTTTGAGTGACCTTGAAATATTTTCGCGATCCCCCTCTTGACATCATGGACATTGAGCTCCCCAACTATCGACATCAGAACCCCGACAACCAAGTGACACCCCATTGATGGTCCATACTGTCTGCTCACAAACTCCCGCGCCGCCTCAATCTCCTTCCCAGCCTGCAAGTCCCATTTCCGGGCGGTCTCGTCGTTAGATCCGCTGATCATTCGCTCGCCGTCCGGACGGTAGGTGATGGATGAAACTTGGCCGTTTGAGGTCTATTGCTTGTGTTGGAGCAACCCACAGCCGAAGGAAGATTCATTTGACGGGGAAACTGAGCCAAACAATCCTCCTAGCGCCCATACAAGTTTCCCTACCACATACGCAGAAAATTACAACCGCTCGAGCGAAAACCTGTTCGCGGATGCACAACCACTTAGAAGAACACACGACCGAATCCGTCCAGTACTTGGTGCCTGTTGGAATTAGCAAGTCGTTCGGACCGAAAACGTTATCTCTCCATCGTATGTTTCACTCTTATATGTTTGCTCGTATATCTTTATTCTAGTGCCTGCTGTCAATGTCAGCTGTCTAATATACCACGCGCATAGCGCATCATTGGTTCAACGTCGTTAGTATGTAGTCTCCTACGATACGTGATTCGCACCTCAGGCGTTGTCTCTCTCGAGTGCGCGACTGAGGTTAGTACACATTTCATTCCTCATGTTCTTTGTGCTCGTACTTATGCCGATTACTTACAGTATACTATCTTCGTATAGGTAATGTTCAGGCGTTGTCTCTCTCTTGAGTGTGCGACTGAGTATACTATCTTCGTATAGTCACGCACAGCCGAAAAGTTATACTTCTATTAGTGCCATCAATGGACAATTCAGGAACCGGGGATGCGTTGCGTCAAGTATACAGAATGGCTAAGTGTTACAGTATACATATAAAGGTCCGACCCCATTCATGATATCACTCTTGCAGTTCTGCGCTGTCGCCACAGAATCTGCGATCTGGCCATCGTTATACGTTGCCATTTCCGCAGAACTCTTTTTCTCGCATAATGTGCGTGTATTCCATCGCACACTGGCACGGCTGACTACACTATGACCTACCTAGGCAAGCGCCGACCGTCTCGTTCTTGTGTTCTTGCTACTAACAGGGAAATTCTATACGTTGTCGATCCTCCGCACGTTCGCAAAAGTCAAGTTACAGGAGAAAATGAAATCAGATGATTTCGCGCGAGGGCATGTATACACGAATGTCAACGTCTGCGTTAAGCACTTACGATCGTCGATGGTTTCGCGGACTGCAACGATGGGACGCCCGTTATCGATCTCGATTGGTCCGTCGGAGACGAGTGTTGCGGATAGTCGCAATCTGTGCTTTCTCAGCACCTTTGGTCGCCGATGGGCCTATTCATTCGACCCACGTCTGACCCGATGACTTGGAGCAGGTCACTGGTGTCACTCTTCTCTGTATGCATCCTGGAGATTGATGAAAGGACGCGAGAGAGAATGTCAGCAGTAGCTAGATACACGGGTCACCGGTCACGTTTCGATCATTCCCGCTACCTAGAGTAGTGGGCTTTGCAGTGAGAGTTTATAGTGTGAGATCTCCTGATTTTTTTGGGCATCTGCCAAGCGTCTGCTGCGTAGTCACTGTAGTAATTGCGGTGAAATCAGAACTTCAATGCATTTGATTTCGCGACTATAAGTTGCCAACGCCGTCCCGTGACCCAGGCACCATAGGGAACCATCCGCTGCGACGTCTACTACAGGGGTAACGAACACCCGCTCCAGGCTCGATGCTGCTCGACGGCACGCTATTGAAGAAGCCAGGCACTCGGTTAGTTATAACCATCAAACGTTTCAACACTCACTATTCTTGACACTGGCGGCCCCACTGGTGGAAGGACCAAGGTTGCTCATGAAAACTGCTGCCTGAGGCAAGTCCTAGCATCCATACAGTAACAAGCTATACACCGGGACGATGGGTATCACGTCTTTCATGCAGATCAACTGCCTTTCCTGCCAGTGATTTCACGTTTCATGTCAATCATCAATTTGTCCAGTGTTTCAATTTTCAACAAACACAGTATCGCCGCCGCGGCCCAGCGGGTTTTACGGAGACGCGCTGATGGTCCCACCCTTACGCGAAGACCGCCGAGGTGTACTGTACGTACATTTTGTCGTCGCAGCCGTAAATATAAGAATCCTGACTCTCGTGGGCAAGCGGAAGCTGGTGGAAGATCATGAACGGTTAATCATATTAACCGATCCACCACTGCAAGAGTCTGCAATATTAAGTGTTGAACTTCACTTGACGCTGATTCGGCGTCACCAATTAATATTGGCCAAACGTGTCCCGGGTTTCTCAGACACCATCAAGATGCGACGAATTCGAAGCGCCTGTAACATCATGCAGCGTCGGCGAGAGAGCGTCGGCCACGTCAATCGAACGATTCGAATATTACTTACGTACTTCATTGGCATGGGGAATTACATTCTCGTATGATATATGTATCGTACAACGATGCATGAAGTTCTCGTGAGTACACACTGGCATTCCCTGTGCGTTGTGCACTGACGATGAGGGTCATCACTCTGTTTGTGTTCCCTTTCGCAGCTGCTCTCGCTAGCGCAGTACCCTTCAAGGGCTGCCAGCACAAGGTGAAAGAGAGCATCCATGGTCCGCCCCGTGGATGGTACAAGCATGCTCCCGCACCCAAGCACTACATGCTCGAGCTTAAGATCGCTCTGCCTCAGCCCAGGTTCCCAGAGCTCGAGCAGCACCTCTGGGAAATAAGCGACCCGAGCCACCCACGCTATGGGGCGCATCTCTCGAAACAGGAGACACAAGCACTCATGGCTCCCCATCCCGAGACTCTGGATGTGGTCAGAGAATGGCTTGCCTCGCACGGCCTGGTAGAAGAAAATCTCATTCGTTCATCTGCAAACGATTGGGTCACTATTCGTGTCCCAGTCGGCCTCGCCGAAGAGATGCTGGATACTGTGAGCAATATAAACTCATTTTTGGAACACAGTCCATTGACCGAGAGATGTCTAGACATACCATGTTTACAAGCACGCTGAGTCCGGAGACAGCACCGTCCGGACCACGAGCTATAGTCTCCCCGAGATCTTGCACGACCACGTCGATCTCATTCAGCCTACGACCATGTTCGCTCGTTTCAAGGCGTTCAAGAGCACGCTGCACTGGACTAACCAGGTGCAGCCTGCGGGTTTGAGCCCATCCGGCGGAACGATCACAGGGCCAGCAGGCAATCAGGTTGATGCAAGTTGCAACAACACGATCACGGTTTCATGCTTGAAGCAGTTATATAATGCGGTGGATTACAACACATCTGCCACAAACTGCAACAAGCTGGGTCTCACTGGTTATCTTGAGCAATATGCAAATAACATGGACCTGCAACAATTCTACCAGTCCGAAAATCCGTCTGCTTATGGCTCAAACTACACCTTTATTTCCGTTAACGGTAGGTGCAATTGGGCTTTCCATAGTGAGGTGATTTAGACCATTCACAGGTGGAATGAATAACCAGAGCTATGTGGTGGCAGGTATCGAGGCTAATCTTGACACTCAGTTCGGGTTTGGACTCACCTGGCCTACTCCTGGCACGTTCTACTCGACCAGTGGCAAGCCCCCTTTCGACCCTGATACCACCACGTCTGCTGATTCAAACGAGCCTTACTCATACGTACGTTCGAGCGACCGCGATTGCAGTTTAATGCATTAACGACCATGATCTTTCAGTGGCTTGAATATGTTCTTTCGCACGACACAATTCCTCAGACGATCTCTACTAGTTACGGTGACGACGAACAGACCGTCCCGTACACCTACGCGACCCGTGTTTGCGCCGGCATGGCAGCTCTCGGTGCTCGTGGAGTCTCTCTGATATTCTCCTCTGGTGATGGTGGTGTCGGTGATGGTGACGGTGACCCTGCGACACAAATGTGCTACTCCAATGACGGGCGCAATGTCACGAAATTCTTACCCGATTTCCCCGCTTCTTGCCCACAGTGAGTGATCTGTACCATCGAGGAGTACATATCGATTACAAATCGAGTATAGCGTGACTTCTGTTGGTGGTACTATCAATATCCCAGAGACTGCCGTATCGTTCTCCGGTGGTGGTTTCAGCAACTATGTGAGTAACCTCCGCCCCATGTAAATCCTTCTGACCCGTATAAATCATTTATATTAGTTTGCTCGTCCTCCGTACCAGGAGGCTGCAGTCTCGGCGTACTTGGCCATGCTCCCCCCCGGCACCTACGAAGGTCTCTATAACTCGTAAGTCGTCACCAACTGGCGAACGTGCTATGCACAATTGACTTGCTATCTCCAGCACTGGACGAGTAAGTCGACTCTGCAACCTGCGAAGATCTTATGGCTACATATTTCTAGGCATATCCTGACGTGGCAGCACAAGCGCGGGATTTCCTTGTCTTTTTTCAAGGCAAGGCGGCCTCAGCGGCTGGTACATCTTGTTCCGCGCCCACATTTGCTGCGTTCGTGTCCATGCTGAACGACGCACGCATCAATGCTGGAAAGACTCCTCTTGGCTTTCTGAATCCATTATTATATTCCAGTGGCTATCAAGCATTAAATGATATTACCAAGGGCAACAACCCGGGGTGTGGAACTCAGGGCTTCAATGTGTGTCATGTTCGCACACCTTAAGCTTCATTACTAACGTGATACCTGTACGCAGGCCACTGTTGGATGGGATCCTGGTGAGTTTGTGAAGGCAAATGACATGCTAATATGCTGAACATAACTATAGTCACTGGATATGGCACACCCAACTTCGAGAAGTTGAAGGACTTAGTCTTGGCCATGCCTTAAAATGTAGGGACGGAGCGGGTTGGTTCGGCGGATGCAATTCGGGCAGCGCATGACCTCTGTAATATCTTAATTCGACTGGCAGTTCAACGCAACCGACTTTGTTGCAAGCGTACTGGGCAGCCTCACTCTCCATCAGAGGGGGACCCTATGCCAAGGCTTGTGAGTCTTGAGGAAAGTGTTATTAAATGTAGAGACCTTATGCTGAGGCACACCCACAGCTAGTAAATCAAGGACTGCACGTACATCCAGCAAAAAAATGTGAGGATTGTAGTTAGTTTATGTGATTAATACAAGAACTCCTTGTACGAGTCCTCGCTTCAGTTACATGTAAGCTAACTACGATAGGGAAGTAATTCGAGGGGTGCCGTCACCCACCTATAAATCTGCAACATCGACATGCAACGAGCGAGGCGACAACAGTACAAAGTCCACGAGCCAGGTCAGAAGCAGCCACAGAACCGGCCGCTTCCATGCTCTCCGGCGGTAATCTGCCCTTCGGGTAGTGGTTGTGAATTGAGGTTCGGTGAAGGAGGAATATAGTCTTCATCACGTAGTAAGTCATCGTCATCTTGGTTGGGAGCACCCACAGCATGACGCTACAAATTGATACATCAATATTAGAATTAGAATTATTTGTTTGTTTTTCCAATACAGGTTTGTCAGACACGGTGAGAAAAGATATCTGGCGCACCAATTCACCTCACGCGAGAGGAACATTGATAACAGGCGGAGGTGCATGACCTGGACGAATAGGCCACCAGATTGATAGGCGGTGTAGGTGGGCTTTGAGGTAATGGGAGCAACAGCAGAGGAATGGGTGGCAGGCGGTGATGATGTGGATCGAGACTGAAGAACGTAAGTCAAATATGATTACAGCGGTCGAGACTTACATTCCGGTGGGGATCCATGTGTGGACACCCCTGAGTCGTGACCTGCGCCAAGGGAGAAGCGGTTAGGAGGTAGGGCTGATATAGCGGGGAACTCCAAGAATACACATCGAGTCAACTGCGAGTGAAGGAGGTACAAGAGGCATACATCTAGATAACCACAAGGCTAATTGTTCCGAACGGGAAGAACTGCGTTCGTACGAGAAGGAAGGAGTTTGCGCAGGTAGCGAAGGAAAGTGGGTCGCTGAGGGTCTACCGTAGGCAGAGGTCTTAGCGGGCGGGGGACGGAAGGTGTGACAGGCAATGGCGCTGGGCTACGGCGCATGGCACGACGTGTTGCGTCGGACTGCAATAATGGCATCAACGAAGTGGTGTAGAAGAAAGGTATATCCCGTACGTTGGATTTATCAGCAATGCGTGTATTGTGAAGTGCGCCGATCTGCAAGAGAACGTTAGTGGACCAACGGATAGACCTATATATGCGGACAGCAAACACATACACCAGGCTGTGCTTTTTGTGGCTAATAATGTCGGGTGAAACGTCGTATATGTAGATTTTGGAACCATATGTCGTGCCAGCCAGTTGGCGTGAGTTGAGTGAGTATTTGATATAATGAATGAGACGAGAAGGCCCAGAGCTTGATGGTACCGTCGAGTCGGGAAGCGCTAGCGAGGAGAGCGCAATCAAATAAAAGTGCTAGACAATCGATATGCCTTTTTGAAGGGAGCTCCAGCGGTCTCCAGCGTCGACACGTTAAATCATCTCATCCTCGGTCCGATTCTTGATCTCATCCTCGACGGCTAAAATATTAATGGTTTCGTGTTTCGTTTGCCTGGTTAGTAGATAAAAACGCGTCCGAGTCCAGTATGACCAACATACATTCGCGTATAAGATATGCACATCCACTGCGCCAAAGCTTGTAATACTAAGGCTTGCGAACCAGCTGAACCCTATTATGCAAGTAACAAACGCAGCATTTATGTAAAGCGAGTGTTCAAGCTTACAACGAGGCTACAAATCTGCGTCATAAGTACTTCAGTCAGTATTCTGTGTGTGAGATTTCCTCTATTCCAAGTTCTCCATTGCTCGAGGCTCGAGCGGCAGTGAAATTTGTTCAGAAGCAAACACGTTGATCAACTCAGTGCGCAACAAACTACTAGTAGCTCACGCATCGTGCCATCAACCATACTGCACCGATGTAAAAGCAGAAACATGACTCACTGCCCTGTCGCATAAAAAAAGGTCCTACCACGCCGGTGAGTCATGCGGTTAAATCCAGGATGCAAACTACTCATACTCACGCATTTTTGGTGAGTGCAGGCTGAGCAGTCTACATTATGCCGGCAAAAGACAGGACATCCCTCACTATCAGCGTCACTAGCAGATATTGATATTATCAAAGCAGCAGCAACAGGGAGGACAAAAGAGAAACGCATTTTTGTGAGGGATGTGATATGGGATCAAATAAATTTGAAGAGGACAGCAGGACACCTTGATTTTATGTGCTGGATATTGTCCTTTGTGGCGACGTAGGACTCGAACCTAGCTATCCACATGAAATTCCCTTTCGAACAGATGATATCTGCAATGCCAGCAGATTGCCACCTAACATCTAAGCAAGGCCTATTGCCAATTTGGCGTCGAACAAAATTGAAAATATCGACCTTAAGTACGATATTTCACCTGAGTACCCAAAGGTGAGTTTCGACGCGTGAGCGATGACTCACACATCAGTGGTGAGAGCAGTTTGCCAGAGTTGTCAGCCATACTGTCCGCGCCAGATTTCAGTGTGTCCCGGACTGCAGTGGCAGAGTCCTCTGAGGCAGCCTGTTGCAATGCAAAGTTTTTAAGTAAAAGTCTAAAAGAGCATTAAGATGGTACGCGACTCACGTCGTCGCTGATCGGTCATGCTTTGACTAATTTAGTTTTCTTATTGGCTACAGGTCATGTGACTACTCCAAAGCGCGCACTTAACGGTGGTGAAAGCAGTTTGCCAGAGTTGTCAGACACACTGTCCGCGCCAGATTGCAGTGTGTCCCGGACTGCGGTGATAGAGTCCTCTGAAGCAGCTTGTTGCAATGCAAAAAGTTTTTGAAAGAGCATTAACGGTACGCGACTCACGTCATAAATATGGAGCGTGCACTAACGTGCATCGCTTTAGTTCCTAAATATTTGGCCACAGTAAAATGACAATCGAAACACGTTGGGGGAGAAATTTAATCTGCGTGAATGACGTCTTTTTTTGCCCCTTACCAGCCTCTCTTTCAACTCCGGTTCAAAAAGGCTTAATGCCAGCGCAATACTGGAAGATCCTGGTTCACATGATCGGGTCTCCTCCAGGCATCGTCACCCTGATAAGTTCCCATAGTTTTTGCTACATGCACAAAAAATTACGAACGCGCGAGCGAAAACCTGTTCGCGGATGCACAATAGGAGGAAGCAGAAGAACACACGATCGAATCCGTCCAGTACTTGGTTTCACTTGGTGTGCCATCAATGGACGATTCACGAACCGGGCACTATCCGCTGTGTCAAGCATATACAGAATGGTTGCGCGGTACAGTATACGCATAAAGGTTCGACCCCATTCATGAGCTCAAGCCTTCATCCGCAAGTGAGGACTTGACAAGAAACTTCGTTTACCTTTCCTGGAAGCCATGCTCCGTGCACTCCAGATGCTACGCCGTGCCGAGCTGTAAATCCGGCACCCTTCGCACTCTAGATGGCGTGTCATACTGCGCTACTGACCAGGCACCTCCGCACACGTCCCCAGAATTTTCTGTCCGCAGCTCGTCTCAGACGCGACTCCTCGACCACCTTCGTCCGCCAGACGCGCCTCCTCCGCTTTTGTTAGGTAATCCTGTGCAGGACTGTCAAATTTCCCATGATCAGCTCCGCTTCGGACGCTTGATTATGCCAAGCTGCCGATAGAGCACCTCTGCACGCACACGGGATGATGACGATGTCGAGGTAGATCGTCCACGGGATGCTGTTCTGAAATGGAGGCTAGGGACACGGCGATGTAAGAAATCAATACTAGTAGCACAAATCGTGCCAGAAGAAGTGCAGCGGCAGTGGGCGTAATGAACGGCCAGTCGTTTGAGTTGCTAGATCGACTGTCAGCACGGGAATTAAGAGACAGGAGAGGGAAGTCTATGATCTCTAGATGCCTTACTGCCTGTACACATATTTAATGTAATCAACAACCTTCGATTTGGGCGGAGCACATTGAGGAGAGCTCTAAGTCCATCGTCGCGGCGCGTAAGCAGGCCCCGGTTTTCATGTTTCATCCATAGACGGAAAGGCACGCGATATATATAAGGTGCATGTCGCCATGGTGTGGGTGAATGACGTCTATCCAGCCTTAAGTACATACACATGTCGTGAATGTAAGTAATGCAACAGTCCGCAGACACGTTCTGCAGAATCAATGATTCGTAGTGTAGTCTATTGGTGTGTACAGCGTTCCTACTCAATACGAATAATGATGCAATGGTTGAATTCCATGGAACCACGTCGAGCGTACTTAATTGTAGGCCGAATAAACGGGGGGTGATAATCGAGTAATGGGGCGAAGGAGAGACGCACAAATGAAAGCGAGCGAAAACGCGATATGCAAACGAGCGATGGAATATTATGTGAGGCATATGAGGAATATGAGGAAGGGCACAGGGAAAAGGTAAAGTCAGGTGCAGTTGTACCGATACAGCGAAGGGGTTAGAAAAGCAATGTCATAGACGTGATGGGTCGACAGTTACAGGCAAAGAAAAACAATCTAGCATTCGCCTAGGAATGAGTTCTTGGGGAAGGGCTGATTGTAGTCGTTTTGCCACGTGGTAAGGTTGGGGTTGGTATATGCCTCGATGTACCTAACGAAGATGTGAATTGCTTCGTCGAATCAAGTAACCAAGAAACATACGTATTAATATAATCCGCTGTTGGGAATTCTTTCGGGTCACACCCAATGTTCCGCGCGTTTGATGGCTGGTATACACGGATATAGTCCACGCGCATGTTTACAGGGAAAGGCAAGTGGTCCAGGTCGACAAGACCAAAATTAGTGGACATGCCCAAGTTCATAATGATGTACTGGGAAGGAAGTGAGCTCGTGACTGTCGTGCAACACAAAATAACAGACCATTGGCTCCTGCGGTATAGGTCGAGCAGAAATGTTGACAGCGGGATCGGGCCCCATGCCCGCGACGTTCAGTGTCCAAGCAACTTCATTGTCGGATATCCACGTTATGTACTATGGAACAGTCACTTAACTTCTAATACTTTGAAACATCATGGGAAATACTAACCGCGTTATCGAATCCAGGAACATACTGGATCGAGATCAGTCAACGAACGATCAACAATTGTCTCATAGACTAACCTCGAAACCGTACACCGAAAAACATCCCGTCTCACCCTCGTAGCAACCTTGATTCGTTTCTGTCACGCCGGAGGTAGCCTGCTGCTCCACTCCACCGATGTAGGTGTTTAGAACTGTGACCGATGGGTTTGGTATTATTTCGTTATCGCTTGTATTTTTCCAGATGTAACCAGCATTGAAAGGCTGAGTAGAAACAAGGTAGGTGAGCACCATTTTAGGTAGTAAGATATCGCGCACATACACCCCATTGTGCTGATTGGGAAACCTGACCTGTAAGAGGCTCCCCCGTAATCTGGACGGCGTTAAATCCTTGATTCAACCAACACGTAGTCGAGACCTACCTGTGCCTCGAACATGTCGATCTCAGGAGCCGCACGCCCGACATATGTCCCATCTGAATGCATAGGACCTGGGTGCGACTCGCCTTTGCAAGTGCACCGTGAGAGCCGCTGACCGGGGAGGAAAGACAAGACCCCGCCATGAAATGGGTCTCCACCTTCAGTGGCTGCTACGGGCGAGCCATTCACGGTTTGATTTGCTACAGTGCCGACGTCACAAGCGTCATAGGTGTACGGCCACTGTGAACCATGATTAGACCGATGAGCGAGAACAGAGAGACGAAGGACAGACCATTCCTTCTAAGGTTGCGCCATAGCCGGCCCGACCAAGATTACCAAGAGTCCAGATAGCGGGCCATAATCCTGTGGCATACATTAACTATGCAGGGTTATATGCATGTCACGCTAACTTACCAACCACGTTGTTCACGCCAGGCAACGAGACGGACGCTTCTATGTATCCACCAGTGAAACAAAATTTATTCCTGCATACAAATGAGAGGCGGTTTACCAAATGCCGATCAGAAGAGGACTTGCCATGTGGACATCATGCCTAGTAAGAACAAGTGTAAGCAACTTAGGAACAGGACGATGGATGAGGATTTAAAAGAAGAGCTTAGAAACCTCATAGTTCACCAAGTACTCACCGCCCTGAAAGTTCAGGTCATGTGTCTCCTTTTGAGACAATGTCAACACAAGATAACCGTCTTGCGTGGTGATCGCCTCAGGGTCATACCACTCCAGGTTGTTCGTTTGCTTGGATGGACATTAGTATCTCACCGTAGATTATATCAAAATAAGCTACCCAGTAATGTAGATTGGCTGCTTCCCAGTATGGATCATCACCGGGCCAGAATGTTCTCCCTGGGGTATTGAACTCGTCAGAGAAGACGAGCGCCATATCCGGCCCACCATTCCAGGAGGGCTTTGTAAACGCGTTGTTGGGCGTGTCGGCGTCGATCAGACCCAACTTGCCGGAGATTTTTGGTATCTAGTGAGGGAAATACTGTGAATTATTGAAGCCAAAAACAATTATAAGACCTACTTGTCCGCTTCCATTTATTCCCCCAAGGTTGAACCCACCTTGATTTGTTAGCGCAGTCCCTGTGAAATACGTAATTATTGGGTATCCGGCGCTGTAGGTGGACAAGTTCAGTCGAACATGATACTTGAAGAATCAAGAACCCGAAGCGCTCACAAAAGGGTAACTAATCCAATGCAGACGACAAGCAGGCACCCAACGTTTGCTAGACCACGATGAGGGCCCCAAGTGTGATGATCCCCGACATTGGGATTGTGAAGGTCGTCGTCGGGTTCCTCGCAATCGTCATATAAACTGGACCCCCATTCACGAGGGTCTGGCGATAAATTGAACTGCAAAACACGAGTCAGGGCGCATATAGTCGACCCATTGGGGCTCAACGTACTTGGTCGGATATTGTAACCAACCTCGAACCCGCTCCAGCAGTGTACGGTGACTCTGTCTGCAAACCTATTCGCAAGCGAATATGGAAGGTAGTGGCACGCAGCTTACCGATATACTTGTGAAACTCTGTACTCTATCTGCCTGCGAAAGAGTATGTCTACGGGGCGACAAACTCAACCTCGACGGAGAAAGGGTAAGTTCTCCACCTGCTGAGTGTGCCATGAGTGTTGGGAGGAGAAAGAACGAGGACGGTGGAGTAACCACGCACTGAATCTATAGTTACCCGTAGAAGAATAGGATTAACGGCTTCATAACAAGCCGCGCCATTCATTTACCAGACAGAAGAGGAAAGTGAAGAGCTCTCTGTCGATGACAAGTTCTATTACGGTTCAAGTTGTTATGGGAATCTTGAAGCTACCAAAAGATCCTCTGCAGCAGACTCGGTTGAAAGTCACTGAAACGGTATTTTGAAACAAAAACACAAAGAAAGAACAGTAAAATCCATTTTCAATGGAAAAAAAAGGGTCCTTTTTGGAAAACGTTCATTTCCGCATTGGGATGTTAATCACCGGAAATAGGTAGTGGATTAGACTTTCTCAACAGCTCGCCGCCGTGACTCGAAAAACTAGAAACAATTGATTCGAGAGGATACACTATGACCAGCATCTCGAGATATAATAAAACTTCCCGCCTGCCGTACGACCAACCCCGACTGATGGCCCGACCTCTTCTCACTGTCAGTATCAATCAGACAATGACGTATGCCCGAAGACGAAGAGCCCGGACAGAACGTAAGATTTCCAGCGTCAATCGCCAGAGGGAGCTACGATGGAACATGATGAATCAACGTAACTAGTTCGACTTCACCGTCATCTATCTATAGCGCGTCCACTGCGTCACTGGCACGTTCGTCTCCGAAGACTGTCCGGACACGCTCCTGTATCCTCCGCTTCCGTGGGGCGATCTCGAGCCCTGCGAAGGGACTGCACGTGCCAAGTCGTTCCACAGGACCTTTTCCTCTGTCATCTTCGTGCCTGACTGCATCGGCACTCCATTGAAACCGTTGTGCTCTACTGCGTTCGGACGACCGGATTGGTTGCCACTCCCGAGTGCAGCAAGAGTATCCGTTCTCGGAGAGATCCCTACACCCATCGCCTGCATTGCACGCAAGAGTTCTAAAGACTGATTGACGCCAGTCCCGGAATTCATCGCACCGCGCTGGTGGAACGCTTTCTCGTCAGAAGCTCGCCACGGTCCGATGGGCTGCAGCACCTGGGCCGGCTTGGGTGACGGCACAGCAGGCCCGGTGACGTTGATCGGCAGTTCACGCTCTCTTGAAAGAAGTCGTTCTAAATGACGGATGCGTTCACTTCTTTCCAGCGAGTCGGTCATGCGCGGAGAAGGTGGCGTGTAAGGCTTATTCAGTGGAGAAGCGTGGTAGATAGGCGGAGTGTGCATGGCCGTCGCGTTGTCCTTGTTTTCATTAATGCGCTGATGAGGAGGCTTGTAGCTCTGGCGTATAGTGCGATCTTCTTCCGTCCGTGCTGCTGGGGGCTTGTAGTTCTGATGCACAGTGCGGCCTTCTTCCTTCCGTGCTGCTGGGGACTTGTAACTCTGGTATATGGCCTGACCTTCTGTCCGTGCTGCTGGGGGCGTGTAACTTTGGTATATAGTGGAGTCTTCCTCCGTTCGTGTTGCTGGGGGTTTGTAACCCTGGTATGTAGTTTCCGTCCGCGCTGCCGGGGACTTGTGCGCAGGGTTAGGAGAGGTCTTTATCGGAGGCGTCAATGGGACCGGCAGTTTGACTCGCGGAGAGTCTCCCTCGATGATCTTCTCCGCCTGATTCACTGGGTGCGCCGTCTCTGCTACAAGTGCCTTGACAGGAGTCGTCCTTTCAGCCTCGGATCTCCTGAAAGAACTGTGCTCGGGATAGCGAACCTTCATCGCAGAGGGGCTGCTTGTCTCCATCGCCTTGCGAAAGAGCTCAGTGAGCAACATTTCTGCGTTACTAGAACGTCGCCCGAGATAAGTAGCTATCGAATCTGTAGCCTTGATAGCACCAGCACGATCTTCGCTCCTCAATAGCATAGCACCGTGCTGTTCTTGGATAGGAGCTCGTTTCGGCGTCGCAAATCTCGTAGGAGGTGGAGTCGAAGGCTGCATTTCGGTTGCGAGACCCCAGTTCGCGTCGCTGTCTTCTCGTTGGTAGCTGCCCGTTCTCTCTGTCCGATTTTGTGATGTCACTGGAGCTGCATGACGATTGGTCTGGAGCGACGGGGCACGTTCCACAGCTGGACTTGAAGTAGGCAGCGTAGGATTAACAGACCAGTCCGGCTGCTGAGAATCATGCGTGTATTGGAACCTGGAGGTTCCTTTCGGATCGACCACGCGCGAAAATCCGGAAGCGGAACTAAGATCCTCCTGGTGGGATGGATGAACATCAGGTCCCGGGGTCCGGAAGGATCCTCGACTTTGTTGCTGCGATTCTTCTTGATTGTCGCGGGAACGTCTACGCCTGTGCCTGCGAGTACGATGACGCCTGCGCTTGCTTGGCGGGCTGTCCTCGATCGAATCCTGTTCTGGTGTCAGGGCAACTTCCTGACTTGCGGTGCGCTTCCGAAGTGGGGAGACGAGGATCTGGGAGGCTAGGTCTGGATATTGTGCGGCCAACTATAATTGTTATTCAAAATCCTGGATGAAGACATCAAGTAGTACGGCAACAACTTACGTTCGTGGCGTCCGCATATGTGACGGCAACAGGCACCTCCGTGCGTCTGATCTTGGTTGGAGTATTTGCATAGATCCTGTCAGTATTCTCAATGCTGTATTCGGTGGCGCATCTAAGGGCAGAAGACGTGATATTTGTAGATGCTACATCGGGTATCTGAAGTTCGATTGTTAGGTTCAAAATATCAGAAAAACAGTCAATTAGGTGAACGCTCACGACAATGCTGTTCTTGCAAGGAGACACAGTGCTTTCTATGGATGTGGTGGTGATACGTCGTTGGGTGATATTAGAGTGGATATTTGCAAATGGCTGTTGTACGGAACAATGAGATTGAGATTCTGATGCTTCAAATGATTCTGGAATGATTGTAGATGAAATGGAGTCTATAGAATTATTGGCGTCCTGAAGAAAATGTCAGTGCCACAGATATCGTCAGTAGCCAATGTCACCAACAAGTTCGGCGGGATCCTCTTTGGGTATGACAGACAGGTTTCGTTCGATTACCGGCATTTGATTAACATTCTGCAGGGATTAGACTTTGTACAACAGATGCGCCGTCGAAGTTCCTTACCCCTGACGCGTTAGAGCCTGTGGCAACGATAGCTTCATTTCCCGATGTACACGGAGGACCTAGTAGTGCGACGTCCTGAACACAAAAGCCTCGGTTGCATTTTGTCTGTGTGTGGCGTGAAAGCAGTTCCGTATCGACCGTGAGCAAACTCACCTTGACTGATGCGGAAACAAAGCCGAGTTTCTGTGACAATAATTAGATATCTAGATTTCGAAAGACTTCGTAAACGGATCCAAAATCTCGTACCTCTCTGCGGCTACCTGCGGTCTTGTAGAACTTAAGATAAGATAATCCAGGGCTGGTACAAAAGGCACTCACGGCATCTACCGCGTCGAACGCACTAGACTTAACGTCGTCCAGCACAGGTGCAACGACAGTAGCTTGGCCTTGCTGCATAATAGTCTTGAGATTAAAGGTCATCATTACTTATCTCGCTGTCAAGCTGTCAAAATAACCGACCTCGTTCCTAGTAGACGCAGCCGCGCCAGAACCCTGCTGCAGATTCTCAGGACCCGCCACACATGCCGAATCGAACGACTTACGGAAGGTGCTTTAATATGATCCGGCGTGCTGTCGCCACTGGAGGCTGCGCCCGGAGCTTGAGGAGCATCTCCGCCCACAGTCGCTGACTTTTCTGAAGAGCCGATGGGAGCAGTAGCCGGAGGCCGACTTGCTTCGACCCCCATTTGTTGCCCGAGTTATAAATGAAGAGAAGTACAAGGGTTCTAACTGGAAGAGGAAGCACGTCCTGCTCGCTGGCTTCGGAGGAGAGCGCGAACGTACTGTGTCCGCTGGATGAATACGACCTACAGGCTAGTTGTCAGGTTTATATAATGACTGGCGTGCACTTCTCTGGTGTTTGAAAGCGCAGGGATTGAGGTAAAGAGAAGAGAAGTTCAAGTTGACATGGGCTGACTGAGGATCTGCAAAGTGGACCAAACAGATCTGTATACCAAACGTTAATATGTTTTGGCTCCAGTATGCAAGTGGATAAAACGCGTTACTAGTACGCGCAATAAAACATAGAGGAGAAGGGGACATGCCTTACTTCTGAAGTCTGCGGTGGTACCGGGGCCAGCCTAATATCCGACGCCCTGAGCGTCAATGACTCCAGTCTAGAAGACTACTTACTACGTGGGTCAATATTAATCTTGCCAGACGAGCTCGAACCTATCCCGACGGTCTTCCACCGTGTTGAGCATCGTTTGCAACCTATGGCTGTGGTCTGGGCACAGCAGTGATACTGATGCGAACAAATCACGACCGTGATAATCATCTCACGCTGTAACACTGGAACGACGCAGCCTGCAAACTACTCAGTACTTATTGTCAGTGCCCATCAGACGGAGTCTCATACACCTTCCTTCTATCCTTGCTATCGGCTGTGCCGTTCAGCAGCCCTTTCTTCTTACACTAGTCGTTACCTTATTTTTGACTGGACCCACTGAAACATAGATTCGAATTTCCAGCCGACCTAGACAAATATGAACGCACCATCCAGCGACGACCCGGCGCCCATCTACGACAGCGTAGATATCGATATGGTTGTCAAAGTTCTGTCGCAGACTGCTTTCAGTTCGTCCCTTGTCGTCCTTATCCCCGTGATTAGACATTAATTTGCTGTCTGTCCACAGGTCCTTTCTTTACGTGTTTCATACCCATATTCTACGCATTTCAAGGTTACGAGTTCACGAATCCAGTTGTGATCGCTCCATCCATATACTGTGCAGCTGTTTCTGCTTTCTGTGCGTCCTTAATATACGAGCGCTTCTCATACTAACATACAGGCAGGGCTCTTGAAATGGATCTCACAGCTGTACCGCAATCAAGGTAGTCTCTTCTTCAAGCCCTGAGCCCTTAGATTGGAGCGAACAGATTCGTAGTCGTCACTGGAGGTACGACCCTTGTCGGTCACTTTAGGTACTTCCGTGACTTAAGACAAACATAGGCGCTTCGGGGGTAGGAGAACTATTAGCAAACACACTCGGCTGTCCGCAATGTCACGGTTGTCGTGCTTGATATCAAACCAATAGTGACCGAAAACTGTGCGTCACTCTTTCCTAGTCACTTTCCTATTCGATGCTAATTTCGCCACCAGATAATATCGCCTATTACCCATGCGACGTTTCGAAGTGGGAGGAAGTTGAGGCCGTTTCGAAGAAGATCATTGATGAGGTATATTGCATTGCATCTTTTTCGTGACATGCATTCAGTTTCCATTATAGATCGGTCAACCCACTATGCTCATCAACAACGCTGGCGTTGCTCAAGGAAAACTCATCATCAATCTCAAGCCAGAGGATATATACCAGTACGTAGCCTGCATCTGTTTTGTGCGTTGCAAGCTTGAGCATAGCCTTCAGGACATTTGGTGTGAATACCTTGGCCCATTTCTGGACCTTGAAGGCATTCTTACCGGGAATGATCAAAAATAAGACTGGTCATATTGTGAGTTTTTTCCTCCATTCTGATGAATCGTTATGAAATGCCACCACAGGTGACGATGTCATCTATCATGGGCTTCGTTGGCAGCGTCCAGATGAGTAAGTTTTTAAATCCCTAGTCCCATCCTTCACCTCACACGGTCCCGCAGCCGATTATAGCGCATCAAAGGCCGCTCTGGTGACCATGAATGAGTCTCTGCGTTACGAGCTTGACAAGGTGTACGTATGTATATATTGCAATGCCGCGCCGTCCTGATCTCGCTCTTAGCTATGATGCGCCTGGGATCCGTACTACCCTAGTCTGTCCAGGGCATATCCTAACGCCCCTGTTCTCTACCATCCAGCTTCCAACCAATCCGTTCTTCAAGTTCCTTGCACCATCCATCGCGCCAGTGACTGTAGTAAAAGCAATCATCACTGCACTTGACGCCCAACAGTCCCGAACTATTTACCTGCCGTTTTACACGAATATGGCTCCGGTGTTGAGGATGATACCTAGTTACCTTAGGGATATTTCCCAAAAGGTATGTTATGTTATTATGCATTAGTATCGTTTAATTGACGGTGAGCCAGTTTTCTGGAGCTGATTATTCGATGAGGAATTTCACTAAGGTAACAGCACGGAGGCCGGATGAGGGAGACCTTCCCATAGCTAATGGTAAATACTGAGGGTGATAGTAGCACTATGCCGAGGCTGTGAATATTGCTGCAGTAATATTTATACTGGACGGACAGGATACCTGAGCTAATATAGGATATGTTTTGATCATGTATCTGGCTGTGCAGTGGTAACATCGAGTCCCTATCAGGATCGTTATCTCTGGGTTCAAACTCCAAGGCTTCGCTGAACACCTAAGAAGACTACGTGTATGTGCAACAAGCTGCGCGCTTCACTCACTCGATATTAATCCCTGGATGTGGGATGTTGTGTTCCTACAGGAATATCAACAAGAACGCCCTGTTGTTGGATAAGAGCTGATTCGCCACCGCCATTGAACAGACTGCTACCGCCGATCAGCACCAAAGATGGAAATGAGGAGTGAAAAGTCCAAGTCTGCGTCGGAGTGTAACGGTTTGCTACCGTGCCAGCAACACATTACATCTGGACGTGTGCCTGTTCATATTCCTGTAGAATCATCCACTCCGCTGATGCTTAGACAGGGCCAGAGTACCATGACAATAGGTCAGCTGCACAATGGCGTGGTACTGTGCTAGTACAAGTTCGAAGTATACGTACCAACCAACCAAAAGTAGTAGACATCCACAGGACTGCTGATCCACAGTTCTTCACAAAGGGTGCAGTGTCCTCAACTTAAGTGGTGTGTGGAATTGTGGGCAACATCCACAGTTGCAACAAAGGTGCGCTGCACGTCAAAGAAACTCCGCTTGGCCACAGCAAAGCGCTCCGGGTCCCTATAAACAAGAGAGTTCAGCTTAGACCAGAGTTCATCTCAATCACTGTTCCAGACGCGCCAAGATAGCGCGATTACACCCATTGCTTCTACTACCAATACTCCACCGACATACAACGTCATACCTATCTTGCCTGGACCTAAAACGCGTCATCATGCAAATAGCGGACCCGCATACAATTATGAGGGATCTTATGGAGTTCGCAATTGCGATTATAAAGTCGATGCTGGCTGTTCCAGAGTCGATAATGTATACAATCCCACACGACGCGATCAAGGAGGGAAGATGGATTGAAGCGTGGGAATGTTTGCTAAAGACGTTTGCGAGCTTCGATAAACCCTATTTGGACTCGCCTCTTCTACATGACACCAAACCAGTCAACGATGACAGTGAATACACAAGCAAGGTGAAGTTTCATGAGTAGTTTAATATACTAGCCTGATCAAAAACTCATTGCATTAATAGGATGCCTCTGCCACACAAATCGGCATGCCAGAGCCGGACGACCAGGAATTCCCAGCGCGTCTGAATTTTAACGCTTCTGGAATCCAGATCCAGGATGTCAGCATGCTGCTGGACGCTGGCTGCGCATTTGCCTCGCCTTCGGACGCACACGAGCGCCTTGCCTTTGTCTTCTCGCCAGAGACCTCGACTGCCTTTCAGCCACTTTCTTGCACAAATGATATGGTATTTTACGCGTTTTTTGTCACACAGTTCTCGCTTAATGATAATATGTTTTCCAGAGCGGTGGCCTAGAAGCTAAACCCGACGAATCCGTTCCCGAACAGCCTCTCGTGGACTCCCACCTCGTCTGCGAAGAAGAGATAGAGAGCGTAGGTTCTCACCCTTTCGTGTGCTCCTGCCTCATCTGCGAAGAGGATAGAGAGAACGTGAGTGTTCTCCCTCTCTTTCTCTCTACTCATTCCAATGCCTTTCTATCAGGATACCCTCCTCGAATTGCGTCTGGATGGCCGCAACATCGTACTCGACTCATTGTATCCACATATCGCACCTCATATAGTTATAACTCCCCCTGTCTCTTACGCAGACGACTTCTACATACCCAACCACAACCGGGTCGATCCCCAGTGGCCATGTTTCCTCAACGTGCACCGTTTACCTCCTCACATATTCTACCATCATTATCCCCTTTCATCATCCCACGGTGAATCGGCCGACTGTGACTCTGGAGAATTCCAGTCACAGTCTCTAGCCTCATCGGACGACTATGAGGTCATTCCGCCGCAAACTCCCCCTCGTGTGTTCAGTCACAAAAGACTTCTTCTCGCTGTAAGCAAAGCTTATGTCACTCATTTCCATACAATCTCTTACTCTCCATCAGGTCGAAGCTTCTTCAACTGAACGTCTAGTATTCCGCGAGATAGTGGACGGAGTTCTCCGACACCGCCTTAAAGCTGTGGTAGGTAGCCTTTTAAAATCCCTCACTCGAGCCTACCAATTGAAACTTGCATTACCTCAGGCATTCGAAGCATCCCTGTCGGCGACCGCGGCTTGTGCGCGATTCAACAATTCGGGGGCTGTCTCCGCCTTGGAACAACCCGAATTCGTGTGGACTGATTGTGCTCAGGTACGCTTACGGCAGTTGTCCTTTCAGGCCTCATGTTGAAACTTCTCCAGCACATTCTACTCGCTTCTAGATATTCCTTGGGCATCTCTATTATCGAGTCCGACAATCCCTTCAGAGCGCCCCATATCATGATCACGGCGGCTGAGCCGCATGACCCGTGGATATCATGGAGCAATAGACTCGAAGACCAAGATTACGACTATCTCCCCAGTCTACCCCAAGCGAAGTTCGGCACCTCCGATCAATTACTCTTCTCCTGACGTCGTCTCTGTTCCTGGGCCGCACCATCAAGACAACCCTGACAGTGACAGGTTCTCTATTGAGTCTGACTACTCGCGGGAGACCGATTTGATAAACACTCCTCTGTCCCTTGACGATTCGAGGTATTTTCTCACACCTCACGAAACTTGGGAAATGGGGCCTGATCCCGATCACGCATATCCTACTTCAGAATTCAATACTCTAGACAAAATGTCTGTCGGTCTGTCAATCATTCGCTGTGAGACGCCCGAGCCGGGCTTCGACGACGAAGACGACCTGCCTCCGTTTGATGATTGGTACCTGTCCGTTATCGAGCGCTCTAAAGTCATTGGCACGTAATATGACATGCTTCTTTAGTCATTCTTCGAATTGTTGGTACCTGCCCCGCACAGTAACGTCATATATATCTGCTCCATACCTGCAGTTCTTTGTATTTTTACATTCTCATCTTCTCCACGACCCTTGCATAATCATTCATCATATCGAAATCATCAGTCGCCTTAAAGGCAACTACGTCCCCAAAGCTGCTCCCATAAGGCACCCTCGCCGCGGTAACAATACAAGATGCTACATACTATAGATAATCCCTGCCAAGTATGTGGGTGGTGGATGGATAATAGAACATTGGGTTAGTAAATGCCCGAGATGAAATAACAAACAAATGACGATGTGTGACATGCACATGCTGACATGTACAATGGGGGTTTAAAACCAAAAAGAACGCGAAACAAAAACTCGGCCGGTACATTTGTGGAACACCCATAATGATATAGGAAGGGGGTATCATAGCGCGTAACGAAAGGCGGAGCTTGCGGAAATATAGGATTTGTAAGTACTTCTAGATTCCTTGGGTATGACACAAGGGATTGGATTTGTGTGAATGCAGGCGGCACCGAGCGCTACCTCGTTTTGGTGATGGAGCTGTGGAGGCCATAGATGCGATTGGTAATGAAGATGGCGATCGGAGATGTAAGAAGTATTTCAGCAGCCCTTCAACAATGCTCGGGCACGATTGGCATGCGCTTTAGAAACCTACGCGGGGACAGCGTTATCACAAGACATGATTGATGAAATGATGTGCGCACCAGTAGATTAGCCGTCTTATAAGTCGAGCTATACATGTGGTTGATGCCATTTTGTTCAAGTACTCTAGAAAAGCGGTTCACTAAGCCATGTTTATCTGCGTGAGACAGAAGCACAGGGGTCAATGAAGCCATCCGGAAGACAGCGAAAGAATGACTTACCAAGCCCAAAACGGCGCAGATCTATCTGCAAGCACTTAAGGGTACCACCTGATGAAAGCGTGTCCTCGTCTTCCTCGGAGTCTGAATCTGTGCTCGAACTCTGGGCATCAAGAGCATCAAGTTCGCCAGCACAAATCATCATGTGCCGTTCATTCGGAGGAAATAGGGCGGCTAGAAGGGAGACATCAGTTGTTAATGAGGTGCCTTCTTGCGTTCGGGTGAAGCTGAAAAATGGAACTGCGCCACGTATTGCTTCATCAGCAGGCTTCTTGATCGTAACTGATGCATCCAAATGATGGAAGGTAGGTTTGCGATGTGGTGCTGATTTTGATTCAAGAGGGGAAAGCGGAGCAAGTGGGGCAACAATATGTTTCACGGAAGGTTTGAGAGGTGACGTTTGACGAGGGGCAGCCATTGATATATCCGGGAATGACCGGGAAGCGACGGAAGACAGTAATGAAGTGGACGACAGGTTACCAAGAGGTGAGTGAGAAAAGTACCCTTCTTCGTCGTCGCTCAAGGAAGAAAATTCGTCTGATGAGTCTGAAGGTTCTTCTTGACCTGACGACGATCGCGGAACTCCGTCGGATGCGTTGCGAGACTGTAGCTTGCGTGATCGTGAGGGGTGTTCCTTAACGGGGATCAACTCGGGGAATGCCACTAGCTTTACGATTTTAAGTCCCCATGTGTCAACATTGTCATCAGAGAGGCCAACACAAGCGAGCTTTGGAGACAATAAGCGCACTTCTCCCGAGGTCGGGGAGTGCGATTTGTGACGTGATGGAGGTTTACGATGAGTGGGGCTGCCTGCTGGTGAATCATCAGGGCACATGGTGAGATTCAAGTGCTGCAAGTTAATGGCAGCAGCGGATACAGTGTCAAGACTGTTTCTCGTCCGAGTCAGAATCGCACCCGACTCGGCCGTGATATCTTGAGCTATATCGGTGATAAAGGAGTCATCGGGGGATATTGGGGAAAGCATTGGGGAGACTACTCTGGAAGTAAGTAGTTCCGGGTCGGAAGAATAGAGGTCGAATCCCGTGGATCCCAGCAAAGACATGACCTCCTGGAGTCTTGACTCCTTTACCTGGTGAACACAGTTTAGAATCCTGGCTGTCAGGTAGCTGAACTCGTGACGTACAAATATAAAGTCGCTCAAATAAGTGGACTGGTACAGAATAGAAATACCAGCTGCAGCTAATGGTGCAGACAGTTCATGCACACGGGCTCCGGAGCTATCTGTAATTTGGGAAATGCATGACTTTCCGCATAGGAGTTGCACGGTTGAGTCACATACCGAGTTGATCAGAATGGGAATCAATTTGGAGGACATTCCACTTTTCGTAGGAGATCTCGAGGTGGTCTTGAGGTGATTCAGTCATGGTACGTTTTGAGCTTGTTCCTGAGCCAGAGCGAGATCGCTGTCTCTGCCTGTCACGTCTTGCGACCGGTTCAAAATCTGCTAGCATGTGTGATTCTGCGAAAAGACTAAGTTCGATCTCATTGCAGGTGACATTGAGGAAGGTGGGGTTAGGTTGCAAGATCTGCCTCAAGACAGGATGTGATAACTGGGGTAGACGAGAGCGAGGAATATGTACTAAGGAAAGGGATACTGGAAGAAGGGATATTGTGACATTGGAGGAGGCTTCTGCCATGGACGATATGATGGAGGAGAAGAAGAAGGAAGGGACACGAAAATATGAAAGGAGTCATGCGAAGACGTGCTGATTTTCAAGGAGAAAACTAAGGTTCAAGATCCAATGGACTTATCACTTATTACCCAATTCATTGTCCTTAGCCTTAGTTGCGGACCGAAGCGACCGCCCCAGTGATCGATCATTTGCATTTTGCATGTTATGTTGTTTCTTCTAACCTCCTCTTATCTTTACGTCTGAATCTGTATAAACGAGTCCGAGTCGTTCAAGTCTTGAGCAAGTATGATTTTGACAGCTCAGCATTTCAATACGATCCCATACATATTTGGTACGTCTTCTTGCACATTCGTCGGAGTTGTCCTTCGAGTTTGCACATGCGTCGGAGTCATCTGTTCGCGGAACATCAATACTGGTTGGTGGTGGGAGGTAAGCCATCATGCGTGGTTTCATTTTGATGGGCGCTCGGCGGTAGTGAGTACTTGACTTACTGTGACGCGTGGATCCAATCTGGATCTAATTGAACTTACTGAACGTGGTCCGTTTAGCTTTTGTCCATCAATAAAATGAACAGCCCACCGGCACTTCCCCCCCTCGTGAATCGTCACCCACAGTGGCGATTCGTGCCCAGACCTTACCACGCTTATTGTCTTTCGTCCATCTCCGGCCTCAAAGACATTGAGCTATACCGCTCTTTCGATCATTTTTGTGGCTACATGCGGCTGCCGCGATGGCAGAATTCCCTCATGCAGCCACTGCGGAAAAGATCTTCAAGTTTGACCCGGCCACTCACGACGGTCGCATGCAGAGTAAATGAAGCAATAGCACCATCATATCTATCAGATCCATCTTATCGTTGGTATAAAAGGGGCGTCCCAGGGCAATCCCAGGGCCTCCCTAAGTGTAATTGATCTTAGACGTCGGCTTACTCATAAAAACAGAATACATTTCCCCAGACTCAGGTGACGAAGATTGGGAATCGGCATTTCATTTCGGGACTAGTTCACTACCAAGCTTGTGAGGCGCGCACCGCAAATCCTTATAAGTCCTTGACATTCGATCTGGGCGTTGTTTCGGCGACTGAATCAGTAAAATGTCATGCAGTTCCAAGATGACAGCCAACATGTTCAAGTTAAAAGAGGAGCCGCGGATGAGAATACTAGTGCACTTCAAATGCGCTGACGTGATGTATACACATGGCATTCCATGACTGTGCTCGACGCAATGAAAATAGCCAGAAGAAAAGAGAGAGAATGACTGTCCTGACTGATAGCGGTGCATGTATACATGAAACGGTCGATCAACTAGCACGGATGTAAAACTACAGGGAGCATCACTGCAGATGGTATACTCCTCGAATGTTTGTTGAAACAACAGCAATAAAAATAATTTAAACCCATCCATGTCACCAAGTTGTGCGATGATCAACGAAATCAACATCTAAAATTCACCTGGATAGCACAGACTGCTGCAGGCGTCTACAGCGATGTTGCGGAGAAGCCTTTGGGCTTCCTTTCTTCGTGGGAGTGAGTGGATGGGGATACCGAGAACGTGTGGGAGCGTGAGTAGACAGTAGAGATCGTCGACGGAGAAGGTAACGAGGCGATGTCTGAGCGGAAGCTTTGGTCGTGGAAGCTTTCACCCCACGCTTGGGTTCCCGACGGGAATCTGGTATTTGTGGAATAAGATGCGATGACTCGAAAGGATCAACTGCCTGCAATGGTGGTGAAACGTGACTAGGGGTGCCGGAAGACCGTATAGGAGTAAGGAGTGATGTAGCAAGTTGTGAGGCCTGTGGGGAAAGCCCCAGCTGGGGATAAAATATTTCTTCTGATACGAAGGCCGAAGAGGCTGTGTCTAGCTTTGAAGCTGGTATCAAGCTGACGTCTTCCATATGCCAGGACACAGGTCCAGCAGGTGTCATCACTAACTCTGACTCTTGTGATGCTTCCTGAGAAGGCTCTTCTGAGGGCGAACCGAACAGGGGGGAAGTGAGTGGGCTCGTGGGTGATCTTCTCGGTGGGGTACGATGGAGCTTAAGGGTGCGACGAGGCGTACGAAATGGTAGCTGGCTGCCAAATAGGACAGGTCTGCCCAAGTTTGCGCATCCCATGGCGCGCTTTGAAACAGGAGGAGGGTCAAATTCAAGTGGCTCAGTGGCTTTCCGCACAAGAGACATGGGATTGCTGCCTGCTTCCATGCCAACATTGGTGGCTTCGCGTCCGAATGGCGGGCGTGATGGCGCTCCATTGTCTTCCTCCCAGTCATTTCTGGTACGTTTCAACGGTCTTGCACTAGGTTGAGTTTGCCGTGGAACACGCGGAACGGGCGCGATGGGTGGCAAAGTACTTTCATACGCAAAATCTCGCACTTTAATGCCAAGGGACTGGAGCGTTTCTACGGTGGGTTGTTGAAACGACGGTCTCATAACTGGGAGTTGCACATTGCTTGGGGCTGCGGTGAAATTTGGTGGCTTGAGGAATGACATAACAGGACACACTTAAGGACTGATTGCGCGCGTCATCAGACATATCTTTTCACTTACATTCGTCACTTGGGATGGGAGATCAAGCTCAGGATCATCATTGACGATCGCGAAATCGAATGTCTTCATCGTCAATAGGAAATCTTCCCCTTGTTCTTCGATTCCCACAGCTATCGATGGTTGCACGGCTGAATCATTGTTGCCCGGACTAGTCATCCGGAAGAGCTGTTGCTAAAAGAGATATGTAGGACTGAATGAACTGAATTTAATGGACAACAAAGGTCCTTTGAAAGGAACAACTATGGCACAGAGCACGTCGTGGTAGCAGTACAAGTTGGTGTTGCTCAGCGGCTGACAGCAGCATGGGAAGTCCACTGGATTTCAATCTCCGACGTTACGGTCGGCTCACGTACACGTGACCGGGCGCGTCTTAAGTCCGAATTTGGCAAGTGTCGGTCAAGCGTCGGCTGACTTGCGGCTGACATCGTTCGGCGCTGTCTTAAGCAGAAGGAAATACCCTTTGTGAGTGTCACTACCAGTGTTATTAATTTTCACACATTCGCTGCTTCTCACAAACCGTTGCGTAGTTGCTGCAACGTTTCAGGCTTGCCGCGGTAAAGCCAACACCAGACTGGCGCTGTCGGTAGACTCTCTGCCTTTTTTAACGTGCGTGCTCTGCACACTTCGTGAATTACGTTTATCGTTTCACAGCTGCAACCATTTATTACTGTATACCAGTTAACTGCTCTCAGGACTCTCGGGAATGCTTCGAAGAGCGTGGAAACCACTGGCTGCAACCACCGTTCTTATTGGCACGCCAAGTTACCTCTATTATACTTTCACCAAGCAGCAGACATTTGACCTTGCCGTCAAAGTACGCGGCGCGGACGGAAAACCGGTTATGACCAACCGCACATTTTCTCTTCTGTCAAAGAACGCTGTTAGAGACCGCCTTATAGAGAACGCGTCTTCTGACAGTTTTTCAAGACCTGATAACACACTATGGAAATACGCCACGGCGTCTGTTGCCGCCAATGATCCCCTGGAAGATGCACATGCACATGCTATAATTGCCCGTGACCCCTCTGACCCATCTGCCCCAGGTGACTGGTTGTTCTTCACCGTTATGGATGGTCACGGTGGACCTCATACATCTCGCCTTCTTTCCAAGACTCTCATCAACGCCGTTGTCCTGGAATTATCCTCCCTGATTCACTCCATAGACGTCCCGAAATCCGGACTTCTGGAAAACTTAAAGTTGATTTTTCGCACTTCTTTGCCAAAATCTCCCGAGGACCCTCAAAACCCAGAGAGAATATCTCTTGCCATTCAGAATGCGTTCACCTAAGCTAGACCAGGAACTCGGTCAACGCACCTCTCTCGGTTCTCGCTGCGAACTTGGATGCTGAGTCCATAAAGAAGAACATCCTTCCTGATCTTAGCAAGCATCCGCTGGCACTACAGACGATGCTTCCTGCTGTTTCAGGTACGGCGCAAACTCTACATGTCTTTTCACGTCATGACGTGCTTTTCTATATCCAGGTAGCTGCGCACTGATGGCCGTTTTCGACACCGCCCATCGGCATCTATACGTAGCTTGCTCAGGGGACAGTCGCGCAGTTGCCGGCATTTGGGAAGAAAACGAGGAAGGTCAGGGCTCGTGGCGCGTCGAAGTTCTTAGCGAAGACCAGACCGGTCGAAACCCAAATGAATTGAGGAGGTTTGCTAACTCAATTAATTTTAATTTCCGTTGCACCTTCTTACTGTATCGATACTCAGGATTCAGTCTGAACATCCTCCCGATGAGGCGGGTAGTGTCATACGAGCAGGTCGCGTACTTGGTGGTCTTGAACCCAGTCGCGCGTTCGGAGATGCCCGATACAAATGGCCCCGCGATGTACAAGACGTGTACGTTATTTTAAATTTGCTAATGGCAAGATCGACGGCGACGATTGCTGATTGTCGGTCTATTCAGACTAAACCGCGCCTTCCTTGTGGGGAATGGTCAACCATTGCGTCCGCCCCCTTCGACATTCAAGACTCCACCATACGTTACTGCCACCCCTGTCGTTACTCACCGCGACTTTGACTTTGGCAGTGTTGCCCGGCTATCAAAATCACCCGCATCACGTTTCGTGGTACTTGCAACCGACGGGCTATGGGATAAACTCAGCTCAGAGGATGTCGTAGCCCTTGTTGGCGGACATTTAAAGGGTCTCAAAGGCGTCGTCTCCAAAAGAGCCCTTCCAGACCTCGTACCAACAACCTCAGGAGCACCGACTGTGGAAGGCAAGGATAAAAAACGAAATAACAGCAGTGGCTCCTGGTCGTTTGAAGAAGAGAACATCAGCTCACATTTAATCCGGAATGCATTTGGTGGAGGTGATGCTGAGGATTTGAGGAAGCTGATGAGCATACCTGCTCCGCTTGCCAGGAGCTATCGAGATGACACCACCGTGACTGTTGTCTGGTGGGAAGACGGACAGGAAGGCAATGCAAAGTCTGTGACTTTCTCTTCTGATAATATAAAAGCAAAGCTGTAGTAGAGAGCTTTCTTGACCTTCAGTACAGGGTCGTGAACATATGATGTGAGCTTATACTCTAGGATTGATACCAAGAACAACTGGTCTACATGATCATCCTTTTCTTCTTCTTACCATACTGTTGCGGAGGTCTTTGCCAACTATCCGATCGATGTTGGTGCAGGGTGTTACTTCCTGCTAGCTTGCTGTAAGGATTAACAGCACCACCGCCAAACGATGACTTCCGGCGACTGTGTGGTTGCCTGGAAGATTGGGTATGCAAGGGTACGCGGGCGTAGTGCTTCCGAGGCGTCTGCTCGTCATCGTCATCGTAATCTGGCGATTTGCGCTTCTTATCGTTATTCTTTGATGACGAGGCATAGAAGTTGCTTGGCGGAATGCCCGATGAAGGGGTACTGTTTAGTTGTGTGGAGCTAATGGATGAGGTACTGGAAATGGGAGGCGGAGGTGATGTAGGAGGACCAGGGGGAGGCGGTGAAGCAGTGGTGAGTGACTCAGTGGTGCTTGAAGGCGGCTTAAGGTCAATGGGAGTTCCAACTGGCGATTCGCTGTCGTCGTCATCGTCATTGTATTGCGAGAGGCTCGTGAGGGCAGTGCTCGTGCTCGTGCTAGGAACCTTGTGAACGGCCTCAATTTTCTTCTTGATGCTCTCAGCCTGAGGATCCTTGTCATCGATTTTAGGCTTTTTATGTACCTCCGCATCATTCGCCATTGGGGAAGGGAGGAGAGGCCCGATGAATGGTCGGTCAGTTTTGACACCAAGGTCGTCACCGCCGTCGTCTTCAGAATCTACAGCTTTCCTCTTCTTCATTCCGGCAACAACATTCCGGGGAGTCATCGAGGGGCGAGTGATGGCAGCCTCGAGAGATTGGCCTTTCTCCCTGATGTAAAACAGCATATATGCATTCTTCAGAGAGCCAGGGGTGCCACGGTGAAGTGATACGCTGTCGTCGTTCATCTCGTACCATATACCATTGGCACCTTTGACCATGGCATAATAGTGGCCCGAATTTGGCCCCCCGCCTGCATGACAAATGACACCGTATAATGAATATGTTGGGCCAAATTGACCCTCACTCATGAACGGCTTCAGGGTGATGCGGTCGTCGTAGTGGACAAAATGTCCGATCTTCCGACCGAGCGGCGAGAAGCGCTTGAGGTGGATAGTCAACACTGCAGGCGCATCGTGAATGGTAAACCGCTTTTCGGCAACGACCGGCTTCTTGCACCTGCAAGAGTTTTGCGTATCAGATGTGACCATGCCTACTATTAAATATTGCTTACTTTTCGCACTTATATTTGTCTGACCCTTTAAGATAGTCGACAGCGACAAACTTCCGAAAAGCGTCTCTGACACTATTTGAGCCATATATGTCTAAGCTCACGTCCAACATGCTATCAAATGTGTCACTGTTGTGGTGGCACTCTTTGCATGTCACTCGTGACCGAAGCCGACCGCCGAATATCTTGTGAACCCAGGTGGTCTCCGCAAGTTTGGGATCGATTTTTCTTCCGAGATGCTTGTCAACGGCCACATAGGTGGAAATGGAATAACACACTCACTGTGGGTAACCAGCTAGGCATGATTTTTGTAAAGCGTCGATGGCATAGCGAAGGAATTCATGAGAATCCTCCTGCCTGCCCTTCCGCATGTGTTTTGCAATGACTAGAAAAGTATAATTGGACACATGTTACAGTAAGGGACGCAGGACGCACTGTGCAACTTCGAGACAATGCCGTACGGCGTGGAAGAATGCTTCTTCTGATGGGAGTCAAGCATCACTTGTCGAAGACTACATGACATGCAAAAGCCCCCTTTTACTCGACCTACATACCAGAGTAAGATTGACTGATAGTTATCAAGATTATCCTCACATGGGTCAGACTTTGAGTGCGCCGTTAAGACATTGAGGAGGGGAGGCGTGTGGAGAAGACATTGCAAAGCACTGTTCAAGAAGCATGTATTCCCCGTATTATGAAGGCCGTTACCGATATTGTGACCAGCAGGCCAAGGCCATGAAAAGTCGAGGACTCCGGTGAATAACGAGCCATGCTTCGTTGACGAGGGAGACGTCGTTTGTTTTGAGGGCGAAATTAGGGGAGCGGAGGGTGTTCGAGGACGTTCGCGAACCTGGTAGGTTCTCACAGGTGAGCTGCTTTGTGATAGAACCATTTCACGCACTCACATTATTTTGCGATGCCTTCGGTGTGGCATTGATAGGCTCATACTTACCCTCCGCGACTGCGAGAGCGCCAGAAGATGAGCCTTCTACGAATTCGATCGGCGGTGGAAGTAAGCTATTGAAAGCTTCGATGTCTCTGGCAGGGCGAAATTGGGAATGATCATCGGATGCAAGCTGAGGAGCAAAGGAGGACGTGGGGTACAGTGGTGATGCTAGCATGTTCCTTTTTGCAGAGCAAAAGCTACCAGCGCGACTTCGGACACGAAAAAAGCTTCGCAGGGGAAGCCAGCGGTGCCCCACGCCGCAAAATTTGAGCAAGGTTGACTATGAAGATGGACAGAATGGACAGACGCCTGAGGACCTTGAGAAATCCTTGGTGTCAGCAGTCAGTGGGCGTTATTTACGTTTGTTGTCAGATTGTGAGTACTCCAAGCTGTCACATCAATATCGGGCGCACTTCTTTCTCTACTATCATCAGAGGCCTCGAAAGGATATATATTAAGGGCCATTGGTATCAGGGTAATAAGACATGAGTGTTTCATAGAACATATGATCGAGAATATTGAGAGGTATGTAGTAATACAGTGGTAATCAGTGACTGCGGTATAAATTATGAATAAAAAGTCGAGTTCCGTTAGATGCGTAAAGTGTATTAGTGCGATAAATCAAGCGGTGCTGAACAAAAGGTATGGGTTCGGTGCATTGTGGTCAAAGAGTGCGTTGTGGTCCAAGAATGCATAATCCAAAGGAGCATCCAGTGCAGAGCTAGAAGACGTGGCCGGTGAAGAGGACAGCGATCGCATGCGAGATCCAAGACAGTCTGTGAAGCCGTCCAGAAGAGGTGGCAAATGCGGCGTCACTGATGCGTACGGAGAGGGTAACCGAGAGAACGTGTCATTGGATTGTAAGTATCCGTCGTATCCGGCGTCGAAAATGGAATCGTCGATATGTGTAGGAGGGCACGCAGACGGCACTGGCGCGGGTACGGACGAAGGAATAGGTTGTCCAGTGCCAGTTTCGGACGGCCAAGTATACTCATACATGCCGTCAGCCACGCCGGAGGCCCCACCATACTGAGGAACGAACGTCTGGTAATTGCTCGTCGGCATCGGAGCAGGGGGATTCCAATGTGCTAAATCGTCGTCAGTAATGTCTGGAAGTGGCATGTGTTCTGTACTTACCAACAGCAGTTTTCGAGCCCGTCCCTGAAGGAGGCTGGTAAGGAGCATCGGATACGAAGGGAGGCAAAAAATGGAAGTCGGACTCTTGGGAATTGTTCTTATCTGCCGACGAGGCGATGGCATTCAAGTCTAGTGTGCGGGCATCGATTCCATGCTTCTTCATGTGTGCGACAAAAGCGGATCGCCGTTTAATTCTAATAGCGTATGAGCTCGACTTAACAGAACTAATGGCAATATTCAAAACTGACCTCGTGCCACATTCTGGTACAGTGCACTTGTACGCGCCCTCGCGTCTGTGAGTTTCCTTTCGATGGCGAGTGCAAGACGAGGGATCACTGAACGCCTTCGTACAAGTACCAATGCCACACACGTAAGGTTTGGCCTTGGTGCTATGGAACAGTCAATATGATTCGGAATGCAGAAGCGAACGCACGTACTGTGTGTTGCGATGCGTCTTGAGGCCCGAATACTGGGCAAACCCCTTTCCACATGATTCGCAGATGTGTGGCCTAGAAGCCAAGACTGTCAACTTGCGCGATGCTTCAATATGACCACAGAACTCACTTGATTCCGGTATGCAGCTGCTGGTGGCGAGTAAGATCACCCTTACGAGTGAAGTTCTTGGGGCATGAAGAGCACATCCACGGGTGTAAGAGCTAATCATAATCAGTCAACCGAATCTCGTTCTGGCAATGCATCACTCACCGTCGGCATTGTAGCAGAATATAAAAATGATAGTAAGGAAGGTGGGCGACGTTGGCCGGCGACGTCGATTAAAAGAAATATATAAAAGCGATAAAAATGTGCAGGGTTTGGTCCACAGATTGAACCACATTTAAAGGTAAGAGGCCACCTGTCCGGGGTCAACATCCGAGCTACAATTCCAGTTTCGCGGACTTTCACCTTGGGCAGAAATCCATTGTTGCAGGGTCGAAGCGATATCAGCGCCTAATGAGGAAAGATGACCGACATGTTCCTTACTGATCTATGACGAGGAAGACATATGAAACCTTCGATGTCGCTGCCGTGCTGAGAAGGACAAAAAGCCGGCCTACCGTGCAGAAATTGACAATAAGAGCAACATATGACCGAGGTTGCTGGTCCTGACCGAAGCCCAGCGGACAAGGTGCCATGTCTCACCTTGGTCAGCCCACACGACAAAGATCGCGAAGTGATGTAGCTCATGCTGTGCAGGTGGTGTCACAAGACTTGCCAAAGAGCACAAAGGTATGACGAAGTTCAGGTGGAAATATAAGTTCATGGAAGACGAGAAGAGACGAAGTGTTATATTCCGAGACCGGGACCATCAATAACTTTGGTCACCCTCTCTTTCATCCACGGTGCTATTGTTAGTAGATCCTGCCAGGTGAACGAGGCAAAGTGATTCCAACTGGCCCCAAACTCAGACTCAGTCTTCCACATACCCTCTCACCCTTGGTCTAATCACCTGCACCGTGACCCTGGTATATTGCCAGTAAGTATCTCGAACGACAGCAAGGCACTTCCACAAACATTAAACCGCCCACCCACTGTAGCCCTTGCTCCTCAAGAGATCCCCATCGTCTATCTCCCCCGCCGGGAGTGTAAAACGGATAATTGCGATGAGATTCCGCCGGCAAGGGATGCGTAAGCTTGTTGTACGAGACAACTATCGGACTGCGAAACCGCTAAGAAATAAATTTATCACAAATGGAGCAAGAATATTGGTTATTATTACCAGAAGGGCCATCACGCTCATGTCCATAAGGGGAGTCATGCAACACCCGGCTATTTACTCCAAGGGCATCAGTGGCCTCGATACCGGGAGGATGGAGAAAAGCGCGCGCATTGTGATTGTCAGTCAACGACGACCGACGCATGTGAAGAACTCCAATCGCGATGACCCGCACGTCAGAAAATGTGACGACCACCTTCTAGCACGTTAGCGATAACACGGCTACACGGAGCAAATACCAACTCTTATTGTGGGTGTCAGATGTGAGAGGTTACTTTGAAATCTGTTGCTCTGTAAGCGACAAGCGTGTAGCGGAGGATGGACGTTGATCAACAACGTGCTATGAGCTTACTGCATCTCGGCAAAAATGGCCATGGGGCTAAACCCCCGCGAGGATGATTCTAGTTCGTTGACTGAACCATTGCGGTTAAGCACGACATATCTAGGTCACGTCTTGCTTAGAAACATCTATCCGCATGCATACACACAATTTACTTGGTCCAAGCTTCATCCGTAGTGCAGGATGTGTAAGCTCTGTGCCAGACACGATACAACATTCTACGACCTGTGTCATTCATATTTCAGCGACAACGCGAGATATACATACTTGAGATAGGACACTCTCCAAGTATTCTCCTTCTTCCATTTGAGCCATCCAGGAAGAAATCGTTTGCGGAAGCATTCTTCCCACTCGGAAGCCTTCAAGTTCGGAAGGGATGATTCAAACAGCAAGAAACCCGGCGGCGCGAGCGCAAGGATGTCGATCCAATTGCTTCTGGGTACGATTGAACGAATACTAAGGTGGTATAAACTCTGTTCGTAGTTACCACTAGCCAGGGTTTGGAGAATTGGGCGCCTCCACGGGTTTAACGACGAGTCTGAAGCAACATGTCTTAGTCTCCGAGACAAACACGACACTTTGACTAGCGACGCAAGGTCTAATTCGCCAAGGATCGTAGCAATGAGCTCAACTGGGAGGGACTCAAGTGTCGTTGGCATAAGTAATGACGTGGTGAGGTGCGAGTCAGTTGGAACTGGTGAGAACATCCTTCTGGTCAATTTCTGGTGGCTGTGGATATAAAGCCTCATACTTAGTACATACCCGCCAGCGCTTTATTCTTCAATCTTTAACAGAGACAGTGCCAAGAAAATTACAAGATTAATTTCATAGTGTCGAACCATGTGCACGTAGGTATCAGTTGATAACACTGCTGCCAGTAGCTACGGAGTTCTGCAAATCGCGTTGTGGGCTACAACAAAACAAAATTCTGAGACGATGAGAACTCAGTGCAAAGCAAAACGATATGCAACTAGATCTTCGACTTTGCCGTGCATAGTAAGTCGCGCTGCTGCTGCTGCTGCCTGCGTGATCGGGTAGCCTGACGATATCAATCAGTGATAGCGCAAGGTAGGCAGAAAAAGCGCACATCGCAAATATTTGAATACCACATTACGCCCTGCTTATTGGGCGAGCATTATAGTCACGCTTAAAAGTATCAAAGTCGCGTTCCTTCGCGGTATATTGCTCAGCAAGGTTGGCAATGACTTTTCTGATCTAAACATACGCAAGTATCAGGAAGTCAGGTAACATCTTAGAAAAGAGTACATACGCCTTCGCGATTTGTTTGCAAAGCAGGAACTACATCCTTGACTGTACGCTCAACTAGAACGCCGCCGATCAAGCGGAAGCACTTCCGACCAGGTTCCACTTGAAGTGCTTCGTTCAAAGTGGAAAGGACAAGTCTAATGCAAGTTAATTTTGATGGTGGTAGAAAATAAGGAGGAAAAGCGTACCCGTGCTCTTCTGCCTCTTGCTCCAGCTCGCCTATCTTCCCAGCAAGGTTTTGAAGCTCATTCTGCAGACGAGAGTATGTCTGCTGTATGTCTATCTGATCGAAGAAGTTATTAGAAGCGAGGGCGATATGTAAAGTGCACGCGTGCCCTGATCGGTCAGTGGTTGAACTTTTGATTTTGCTTTCGAGGTCGACATGGAGAGCAGCGATGGCCTTGATGGTCCAGTGGTGAATTAATGTGGGATACGCGATTGGCTAATGAGAGTTGTCACACTAGTGTGACAAGTGTCACGCCAGAAGTTGTTCGCTGTTAAACAACCTCGCCGACTTTGACCGCCATGTCTTTCGCCCGCCCACGTCTTGCATTGGGCTTTTCGCCCAGGATACTGGCGACACAGCGCTCGACTCCGCTGCCCTCGTTCCTAGTAGCATACCGCAACATTCATAGCACCCGCTGCTCGCATGCAGAACATCTGGAAAGCCACGGCCGACTGGAAGGCCCGATAAAGTCGCCGCCTCTCGGTGCAGGAAGTTTAACCGCGAAGGACGAGCCTGGAAAGGATATCGACCCATACAAGGATGGGCAGAGTGCCATTGACAAAGCCGTCCATCTCTTCTTCTTTACCGAGATCGTCCGAGGTATGCGTTTTGAATGTCATTATTTCGAGTTTATGCACGACTCGTTCAGGAATGTGGATTGTTCTGGAGAATTTCTTCAGACCGCCGTACACCATAATGTATCCATATGAGAAGGGTCCTTTGTCTCCCCGTTTCCGTGGAGAGCATGCTCTCCGGCGATATCCCAGTGGGGAAGAACGGTGCATTGGTTTGTGGACACCTCCAACCTCGTTGTGCGCGACTAAGACACTTATAATTAGCTTGCAAACTTTGCGAGGCCATTTGTCCTGCCCAAGCAATTACCATCGAGAGTGAAGCCCGCGCGGATGGTTCAAGAAAAACAACTAAATACGGTAAGACTGGTACCGTCGTGATGTGGAACGGCTCACGACTGATATGGTCCTTCCTAAGATATCGACATGACGAAATGTATTTACTGCGGTTTCTGTCAAGAAGCTTGTCCAGTCGATGCTATCGTTGAAAGTACGTGCTAACGGGCATCATTGATGATTGACGCTGGAATGTTAACGGCATCCAATCAGCACAAAATCAGGAGTTTTCTACGGAAACTCGCGAGGAGCTCCTGTATAATAAAGAGAAGTTGCTCGCAAACGGTGACAGGGCTGAAGCCGAAATTGCCGCTAATTTGCATTGTAAGTGTCCATGACATTTTTGGGGTTACACGTGTTGAAGCCCTATACAGCGGACCATGTTTACCGGTGAAGTAGTAGTTTAGATGGGTCGTGGCAGGTCGTGTACTTATCTCCTGGTCCAAATTTTCATTATCTATCTGATACCATCAAGATTGAACAGTAAGCCTTCAGACAGCCATATTATAAACACGTTGATCCGGCCGCCTCGTTGCAGCTACGATCTAAACGGTGTGCGCGATATGTGTGAATGACGGGAATGTCTTCCATTTCGTGCAAGCTGCATCAGTTATACAGGAAGAAGCTCTTCTCAGTCACAATCTTCTGTTGTTAGGCTTAGGTTATCGATCCGTGTGTGTTCGAACCATTGATCTCAAACCTTGAGCGTGCCAGTGTGTACCGGTTTTTTTCGAGATTACTGTTTGTCAAGATTCTCGAATTGACTGATTTGTCGACAGGTTGTATTGGATGAGTCTCCACTACCACGATATCGCCAGATTTCAAACCAGACCACTGCATACATGATCTATCTCAGGTTGATCAGACTGAATGTAAATGGAAAGGCATGAATGAGTTCGCACTCCATCATTATGGAAATCTTCTTCTACTCGTACCGCAGTATTCTAAGCTTCAACTTCATTAGTCGGGTAGTTCCGCACCCATCTCATCCAAAGAAATCACACGTCTTCATGGCAGACAATAGGTGAGCCATCCAAGAATGCCTATACTCGGAAACTAATCCTCGGGGTTTCACCCTAGAGCACAGCGGCGGTTAGCCCCGCGCATCTCCCCTGGCACCCCGTATTATTCTCTTCTAGAGCAAATACACCTCATAAACAACGGGTGAGCCATCTAAGAATGTAACTCGGAAGCTAATTCTCGGTAGAGCACAAGGCCCGCTCGTCTCTCCTGACACTTCGCATCACTCTCTTCTAGCGAAATCGCTTCTCATAGCACACAATAGGTGAGCCATCTAAGAATATTATTTTACTGGGAAACTAACCCTCGAGATTTCTACCCTAGAACACAGCAGGTGGCCCCGCTCGTCTCCCCTGACACCCCGTCTCATTGTACTTCCCACATCCAGTCAACAACTCTGACAGTCCAGCCCCTCTCCCGGACCCGTCATCTTGGAAGATTCACAGACAAGCGGGGTGACGTGATACCGCCTCTCGTAGACCGTTCTTCGTCTCCCATGTCCAATCGCACGCGACAGCGGCTATTGGAAGCGCGGAAGCGTGCCATGTCTGAGTCAGTCCGCACAGGTCGCAGGGTCACCATCATGGACGTCATCCTGGATTCCGCGCCGCCATTGACGACTGTGCAACCTTATTGCTGCGCCGCCAAGTCATCTTACCGTCCTCGTATGCAGAAAACTTACGCGCCCAAAGCCCCTCTTGGCAAAATGGAGCTGTACAGGTTTAAGCAGAACCATATCACTACACTAGCTATGCAAAAGGCGCGCGGTCGGACGGGGCCTAACGTTTCTGCGGAAAGGTCCACCAGTCTGTGGCCGCCGAATATTGGATGACGGCAATCATGATACTCGCATGGTTGCGCTAGGGTTCTTTGATCAGTGATTGCGACGTTTCTGTTAGTGTCCCTTATAGTATACTACTGGGGGCCATTGTTATTCCCCTTTGCGTAATACATATTTTGGGAATCCCCCTAGCCGCCATTGCTTGACGTCTATTGCTGTACAGGACAAAAGGGAGAGATCTACGCTTTGATCCGCCGGCCTACACATCTACCGCGATTATTCGTATGTACCCTTCTCACGACAAACATAGTTCGACGTTGTTCGCTAGTCAGACCTATCCGATAGAATTCGAGAGACAGTCGTTCTTTCATATGTGGCGATAAGCATGGAGCTGCGAGCACATGAGACGAGCACAGTATGACAAACGGGGTATATGAAACATACAAAGGGCTAGCGAGTGCACAGAAATACTGAACAACATATACATACATGCAATAAACCATGAAAGCATCTCACCAAGTACTGGGGCTCAAGAAGATCTAAACAGGCAACCTACTTTTCAACGACGCCGCCGCAAAAAAAAATAATTAAAACTTCTCTAAGCATCCGAAACCCCATCCTCTTCTTCCTCCTCCTCCCGCTCGTGAGAACGCGCATCCTGGTGAAGCCTCTTGGGGCCACGATCGTCAGAAAGATGACCGCCCGGGTACCTCAACGGGGCTTCCCCTCCGCCCCCTGAACTACCCGCCGCAGGGGAATCATCGACGTCATCCCCATCAATCTCCATGTCCTTACGAGAGCGTTTCCTCGATGAGTCGACAGGAGGGCGGTGCTGTTCTGGAAGTACGTAATGCCCGCCAGTTCGGTCGCGGCTGTATGAGCGGCCATCTTCATAAATGACATCTTGGTCCTCACTTGGGTTACGCGGCGGATTTGCTTGACGGGGTGCATAGGGTCCCCTTTCTCGGTCATAATATTGAGTGTGACCTTCCGGCCGTGATAGTGCATCCCCGCCACCATTTCCGGAGCCAGATCCGGAACCAGATCCCGATGTATCAGAACGAGATGACCGACCGTGCACACCGGGTCCAATGGGCTCGCGCGAGTATTGGTAGTCTCCCCTGTCTACAGGAGGTCTGGGCCTCAGGTGTGAGGGAGGAGATGCATGCATTGCACCCGAAGGCACGTATTCTCGAGCAGATTCGCCCTCGTGACGAGGCCACGCACGATCTCTCTCTAGATCGCGCTCATATTCTGGATCTGGGTGACTAATGTTAGGCCGATGGCTATGGAGACGCGACGATGCTCGAGGGGAAGAATGTGAAGAAGAATGTTGCCGTGAATGAGTGTAAGGATCGCCATGGTAGCTGCCACGCTCGAGTGTCTCATGCCTTCTAGATCGTTCCCTATCACTCGGATGTGGCGGGCTGTGATGCCCATGCTGCACAGGTATGAGGGAATCCTGGGAGTACTGTTGCGGGTGGGGAATACCTCCTGAGTGGTATCCCGGGGGAGGTGCCTGAGAACTTATCGGATGTCCACGCGATCTGGAAGGCGAGGATTGCGAACGCGAAGAACCATTACTGTGAGGATGAAGATGAGGGCTATGAGCCTGTGAATGTCCATGCGCCCTCGGAGGCTCAAGATGTTGTATAGGAGTCAACTGCGAGAGGGGTGGCAGCTGCCGGGAAGAGTCATGACCTGAGGCGGAACCGCCTCTCGACATGTGCACCGCAGAAATTGCGTGGGAAGGCGCAACTCCTGGACCAATGGGCCCGTCGGGTGCTTGCATAGGTCGACCATCTGGACCAGGAATAACACGGAAGTTGTTATGATTGTGCATGTACTCAATAGCATTGTGATCGTTCAAATCTACGGGTTGAAAATCACGATGGTCACGATGTTGGTGATGCCCAGTAGCACCCGTATCACGCGGGTGTTGGGGAGGAACCCCAGGACCAGAGTGAGAAGGGGGAAGTGCATGACTGTGAATGTCTGGAGAAGGTGGCACAGCAGAAAGACGTTCATACAAGACACTTAATGTCATATTAGATCCATGTTGAGTGTGCAGGTAAAGATTACTCACGCTCGTTCCAGTTTCATGCGCTGGATTGATTTTTTGGCCATGAGGACCTTGTACTGCATCTTGTCATTGTCCTAAAAGCAGGTACGCATCAGGAGTTGAGAATACATTGAGCAAAGGTCGTTATTGCCAACCGTTTCGATTTCTCTGACTTTTCGCTTCAGTTCCTTGTATTTTGCCTGATACTTTTCAACTTCAACGCCAGCTGCTATACCTGTAGCATAAGCTTTTGATTTTTGGCGTGGCGCAGTAGCAGCAGAGACGGATTGTGCAGGCATTTGTGGATGAGAAAGAGCGGCGGGACTTGGGGAGTGGATGTGGGACATTATGGCAGTGCTCTGAGGTGGCAGCGCTGGGCAGTATTACTCATCGAAAAACTTTTGGTTGGCGGCGTTGAGTCTTCCGTATCACAAAGTCTATCTTACTGGTCACAGAATTCGAGTAATCAGTGTATCGTGTCTTTAATTTCAGTAGTAATTTTGAATCCAGGGCGTGCCGCGCGGTCGCATCTTTGATACGACAGTGCACTGGTGTAAATTGTATGTACGCGATTGTTCTAGAGTCTGTACGAATGATTTCTCGCCTCACTGGTGAAACCTTCCAAGACCTTCCAAGAGGTACCAACTTAAATGGTGTAAGAGCTTTGAGTTTCGGCACCAAGGATTATCGGAAGATGCGAGGCACCAGGACAAGCGCGCCCCACGGACTTTCGAGATGGCACTTCGGGGGCGAATGAAAGACCCTGAGGCGAAATCCCATCCTTAGGTAGACTAATAGACAGTCGTTTACCAAACTTTGCATAGGTGCGTTATGTACCCAGCCTGGGCCCAAGTGGATGATCCCGTGTCGTTATTTGCCACAGCTGACCATCTTCCCGATCCAGCAAAGCCTGCTGTCCATTCGTTACGCATCAAACAAGGATATGGTTCAACGCGTACGGTTATCGATAACACCGCGTGGTAGAATACTAAATTTCGAAGCTTGAGTTAAGGCCGAGCAGATCATTCAGGTTGCATTCAGGGCAGGTTTCTTCAGGTCACGTGGCTACGCTGTTTCCTGTGACCTCCGAAAGCCGCCTTCACCACCATCCACTACGACGCGTTCAACATTCAAGGAGTGAGTCATTTAAATATATGTGGAACATGACAGCGCTAATTTACTGTTACCAAAACTTAGTGTCAATACAGTACCGACAGTGGGTGTAATGAATTGTACAGGATGGTCGTGAGCTCAAAGATAGTGCTCGTAGAGACATGCCTCCTCCCGGGGGCTTCGAGGCCGTCAAGTATAAACGAAACCTTCCTTTCCGTGGCCCAAGTGGCCTAGTCATTCTTGGAGCCGTGACAGCCGTGTGTGCATACGGGTTCTATCGTGTTGGGATGGGAAACCTAGAGAGAAGGTATGTTTATCTTCTAAACACCGACCGAGTGGCGCATGGTGTCAGTGGGCTGTTAAACGTGTCTTTTCATGGTGTGCTCGCCATGAAACGTGGCCTTGTGAGGATCCGGCCGCTGTTCTTATCAGCACTGCGCCCTATTTTATTTTTTCGGGCCGTACCAGAAAAAGCCAACTAAACTTATTCGGGCTTTGTTCTCCCGACAGGGAACTGCAAAGAGAGCAAGTTTGGTCACGCATCCACCTTGTCCCTTTGCTGGTGGCGGAAGGAGATCGAGATGCATATCGTCGTCAGCAAGCTGCATTGGCGAGGGAACGAGAGATTATGAAAGATGTCAAAGGATGGGAGGTAAGTGATGACAAAATATGCATGTATAATTCTGACAAATTGTCAATCATTCCTCGATACGCCTCCCGGCATCTTATGTACCAATCTCAGCCTGGTAAAAGTGTCTATAACAATGCGCGATATCGTACCGCAGAATCGATTGTAGTTCTATGATTGGTTGACTTGCCTTTCTTTGTAGTCACAATCAATAGATCAGCTTCCATGGTAGAACAACATTGATATGCAGAGTTAACGAAGAGAGCGCCACACAGGTTTTTACTAATGGAGCGTTGGAGTAGATGACATGATCTGGTCCCGCCATACCTATATCGCGAACTATAGTTCCACCGGTGGCGGATGGCGATGATGGTACAATAGTAGCCTTATCTTTGGGACCAAATTACTAGTTATAGTTCATTAATTTAGGGCCGGCCGCGCCTTTCTTTACGCTAAACTTTTTGCCAAGTTACAATTTTTAGTAACTTCAATTTGCAACGTTACGCGCTTTCTGGCTTTCGCTCACGCCGCTGCCAGGACAGCTGGCATAGCTTAAGTTCAAGGACATTTGATTCTTTATCTTACGGACTAAGGTACTACTAACGATTTCGCAGGGATTAGCGTTCCTTCCCAATCTAGCGCGCTAGTTATGTTCATATCGAGCAACGAATCACACAGTTCCAAGGATTTTCCCCCAAGGTGAGTACAAACTTATAATTGGTTTCCTCCCCTTTGCTGTAGCCTGATTAGGTACCGATCCCGAAGTGACTCCCCTTTTCAGTAGTACGGGCCAATTGAGCTCGCAAGAATCACAATCTGCTGATTCAACCCGAGTCAGGTTGTCATAAATTCACCGTTATGGCATCTATAGTCAAGATTCGAATGCCGCTAAGGATAGCCCCTCTTAAGCAGGCCCGATGGCGTTCGTACATGTCCTCGAATCCCGTTGACACCCCTTCCGATTCGCTGTCCCCCCCTGCGCCTCCGCCCACTATTAAAGCAAACATCCCGCGTTGCTTTTTTCTTTCACATATCCTTCCTACCTCTATAATGCCTATGGCAGATTATCCCCATCGCGATCCTCGTTCGAATATCCTTCCTCGCATTTCTCTATCTGATACCGGCATGAAAGATTCGATGAACTACTTGGACACTTCGTCCTACGATATGTTGTCGCCAGATTCTGATCAGATGATGTTTCCTCTGGAATTTGAAGAGGGCCCATTGATGAGCTCATCCATGGCTCCTTCATGGGACTCCCCAAACAACTTTGCATATCATCACCCATTATCCTCTCCTACATCCGACCACACTTCCTCTCCACATCGCCTCTCAGACTTTGATATACCAGACGCATCACCCAGCAGCGCATTCTATGATTCCGCATTTGGACAGTTTGACGATATGCATTCAATGCTTGATCTTGATGGCGGCCATTTGTCGCATTGGCTAAACGAACCTGTACTCCAATCACTGGAGTCTCCGACTTCTCCCATACCAATCCGTGGTGCTGTATCTCATCCACAATCGCCACCCTCACTATTTTCCTACCCTAGTCACAATTACACCTTTACGCCCAACGCGTCCTTTTCGCCGTCAGAATTTGCGCTACCGAGATCGTTATCGCCGGCCGACGGCTCTGATGGTTATCTCAGTTCACCGGGTCTTCGCGTGTCATCCATATCACCTGCGGAGACTTCGCTGAGACCGCCCCCATGGGCGACTCAATTGTGGGAGCCGCCACAATATGAGGCATCCACGTCGTCAGGGCGTGTCCATCAGCCCCTATCCGACCACCCTTACGGAGTCAAACGCCAACGCTACCAGCCAAGACGAGACATGTCAGGCTTGGGTTTCCAGTCTTCTAGTGCTCCAATGCAGATGAACATGCCGTCAATGACGAGGAACTACAGTTCCCGTCGCGGCGAGTCTGTAAGCGTTAGCGATGATCGCGACGCAACTGTGCGCCGCAAGAAGCGGCTATCGACTGAGGAACCTTCCAGGGAAGAGAAATTAGCTGACTCTTGTATGCAAATATAGTTCTGTACCGTCGTCGTCTTGCTAACTTTTGCACTAATTCTACTGTAGCTCCTCTCAAGTCTGTCCTCAAGCAGCCGAAATTGGCACCTAGTGCTTGGCAGCTGTACTTCACGGACTGGATTCAACGGCACCAAGCAACGAGCACAAGGAAGCTCAACTGTTGCACAGGCTGCTAAAGAAGCCGGTCAGGAGTATGCGAACTTGACTCCAGAAGAGAAAGAGGTTTGTTTCATTTCTCTGGCCAGGTCTGCACAAGCTGACAAGTTATTTACAGCCTTACAAGCGACGGTCTGCTGTTCTCAAAGAGGCTCGAGAGCGTGAAAACGCTGCGTACATGAAGAGTCTCACTCCCGACGATATCAAGAGGGAGAACGCTTTCCGCACCGCACAACGGAAAGCGGGTCGTTCTAGGAAGAGTAACATCAAGGATCCGAATGCGCCTAAGAAGCCTCTTAGCGCGTACTTCATGTTCCTGCAGCGCATTCGATCCGATCCTGCTCTAGTTAGGGAAATTTTTGGTGACGAACAGGAGACGACTAAGCAAAGCGTCTTGGCCGCTGCCAAGTGGCGATCGATGACTGATGATGAGCGCAAGGTACGGAAAAATGCATGTCACAATCTCGTGATTAGCTCATCGAACATTTTAGCCGTTCCTGGCACAAGCCGAGCAAGAGAAGCTCGAGTACGAGGCTGCACGGAGGATGTACGAGGAAGGCACCACTGATTTCGGCACAAGCATTAATTTCAGCATCTTGCCCGGTGGCCCCGCTGAAAGTCCTTTCCGTGCCTTGCGAGCGATCAAGACAGAACCATTCAGTTCGGAAAGCGAGAGCGATGGAGTCGCGGCTGATGACAGCGTCAGTCGGTATACTCGTCTATGACCATTCCATTCCATTTTCATATTCCAAATTCATTTCTCTGGGTAACTACTCTATGTTCTTTGGTCACAGCCCACATTCGAGGGCGTGGTGTTATGTTATGTTCTTCTGTTCACGACACTGGACTACTTTACGACCTTAAGCCTTCCTTTTGTATTGGTAGATTCTCCCTAGTATATCATGTTCTATACCTTTCTTCATCTTACATCAGGAGTACACGAACAATGTAATCAATTACTCCGATAATGATAATCGAACCACCATCTTCTGATGGGGTTCACCGTCTTCATCGAACAGATCGCCCTGATACGTTAAGTTTTGACAGATAGGATGAGCAACGTCATTAGGGTCTTGCGGAAATCACCGTTACCTCTTCTTCATAACCCAACCTAAGATAACCGAAAGTGAGTAGTTATCAACGAGTGTTATTGATGACGTCGTACTTGCGATAGAACGCTACAGCGCCAGGCGAGTCTGAACGAACTGCTTGGGAGTAACAAACTATGTTGACGAAGTCAACTACCCCTGAGTATCTGGCGTTATCCTTGGCCCAATTATGCAACGCAAGCACGAGACTACGCCCGAATTTATAATGCCGGTATTCCTTCAAAACGACGAGGCGTGCAAGTTTGTAATACGAGCCACCTGCGTGTTCCACTTTGTGGGCGCGGATTGTCCCTATAGGCTCGAGAGAGGGTAAAAGTCTTAATAACCAATGCGTCGCAGTCGGATCATGTCTGTGTTTCACCAAAAGGATGAGGGCGTTTGAAGCAGGTGGTCATTATCTGAAACAGATAACGTACTCATCGACTTCAACTTCCAAAGGAAATCCTTGTTCTGTGACGAAAACGGCAATCCTAACTTGGATGCACTGCTGAAGGAGGTCATGGCGGCCTTCGTGCCCTGCAGGGGGAACAATGATAATCTCGTGGGTAGGCGGGACCCGGGGTGCAGCGTCATCTGCCATGTTGAGAAATGAAAGGTATAAAAACAAAAATGATATCGAAGAGCGATCCGAGCGGTTTCGCGAAGGTGGTCAGATATGGGTTTGGAAAAAGACCTCTTCGCGTTGAAAACGGATGAGGGGTACACGAGAATAACCGTAAATAAACGCACGGGTGTCACATGGAGTTTTATTGCTAGATCAAACTCAACCCTCGGCTCGGCGATGCGGATGCAAGTGTGCTATCATGGCAAGTATCAATCCGTTCATTCTGTAACCGAAGATATATACAATTTGCTGGAAATGAACAGCACGGTGCCGGTAGCACGTTGGCGAATCAAGATGAGGCGCAGTTCTCAGCGCTCGAATATCCGAGAAGACTCTTCCGGGTCTCGGTTGGCCCGTCAATGAAGATAAGTCTTGCCGTCGGCTGTTTTGTAAAGGAAACTGTGGCAAGAAGGAACGAACGAGAGCATGCGCTGCTCTTCCCCTAAGTACTAAGATAGCTTGAGGTACATTCGCCGGGTATTTGGCGGCATACAAGGTTCGAGTAAATCGGCCAAATAAGGCCAAACATACCTGGTCCTTTGGTCACTAATTTGCATAGCGAGGAAAGCCACCAGCATTACTATACTGGTGCTATCATTGGTTTTGTTACGCGTGAGTTATACAAGTTTAACTCAAACTTGCAGGAATATCTTTACTTACAGCAGATTCGAGTTTGAAGATTGCTTCGACGGCACTCCAGGACCCAGGTGCGGGTGCCCATGATCGAGCCTTTAGCAGCAGCTGTAGTAAACAGTTTTCTGCTGCGTACACCCGCTGGACGTGCCTCTGCTCTTAGGCCTTCTTTTGAACACATGGGTCGGTCTATACGCCGTCCTATACTACGCGACTTTTTTACCCCGACCGCGAGACAGTGGAAAGGCAAGGAGAAAGCCGTAGAACTGCAGGATGTGGAATATGCTCAGTGTGCCGAGTGTGCCGAATGGCTCTTGGGAACAACACATGATTCATGTTGCGTCATGAGACACTCCGTATGGTGTCCGAGTGCGTGTTATTCTTTCAATAGTAAATTTGAGATTGACAGCGGAACCACTACAGGACGAAATCGTATGTTCATGATCAGTGACACGGTGCCCCGTCGACCGCAATCATTGAAGCGTTCTGCAAGTCCTCCAAATGTTCGGCGCTATTCTTCATCTCTCCCGTCGTGTTCAAATTCTTCACGATTAAATCCTCTCTCGACGACTTTGATGTCCTCATTGGCCCCTCAAACATTCGAGGTTCCACCCTCTCCTTTGAACCACTTCCTGTCCCTCCTGCCAGAAAACCACCCATTTAACCCGGATGACGCATGGAATACTTACCAGACGCTCATTGACTCTGACGATCACCAATACCTGGAACCGTTAGACGTCTTGAACTTTGCTCAAAAGCTCTCTACTGCTATAGAGGCGGGCAGTGACCACAAGAGTGGTGTATCATACTATCAGGAGTGGGGCACACGACTTGCCGCGCTGAATCAGCGGCTGGAGTCCAAGTTCGAGAAGCATTCAAGCGAAGACCTGATGAGATTGAAACTCGTTGCAAAAGCCTACGCATTTATAGGAGATCTGGACCATGCAACCGTCCGCCGCCCGCGAGTTGTCGGAGGTACTTGTTGACCGACGGAGAGGAGAATTGTTGGATGTTTATCGGACCCTTGTGCGGTCAATGGCGCTTCATCAAGACAGCGAGCACGTCCTAGATTTTGTTCTTGCAGAGTGGGCCGACATTGGCGCGCATCTCTTGCCTCTTTCTCTTCGTTCTCAGGATTGGGACACCGATGTGGGGTCCTCATCGTTCCAAGATACGATTTACTCGATTTTGGCCAATATACCGGATTGCGCATCTCTGTTAGCAAATCGGCGGCACTGGGATAGGGAGGCACGGCAGCGTATAGCAGTCCTGCTGCTGGACGTCTGTTGCTGGGAAGCTCTGGCAGAGGATGCGTATGCATTGCTGAAAGAGATGCGAGCACAGCAGCTATCAATACAAATTGACCTGCAATTACAAGTGGTCCGCTTGCTTGTCCGCGCCGACTCCTTCATTCGCGCCAATGAACTCTACAGACTCATATCAAACTCGACGGATGCCCAGCACAAATTCTTCATTTCCACCGGAATGTTCCTTGCGGCACATCAGGGTGACTTTGACCGCGCCGAGGAGTACTATACCCAACTCAACGCAGCGCGGTGGATTGCATCGGATGATAAAGCCATGCTCATGCATGCATATGCAGTTGCTGGACGAGTGCGCAAAGTCGTCGAACTATTTCACGAGTTCTTCCCCGATCCGGCGAATCCGCGACTCGCGTCGAAGCCGTCAATCGTGCACTACAGCATCCTGGTGTATGCACACGCAGAGCGTGCGGATTACGATGGGCTCAACTTCTGGCTCCAGGCTATGTCGAAGGCTGGAATAGTTCCGGATATCTATGTCTACAACATCATCCTCAAAAGCTTCGCTATGCGTGGAGAAGTAGAGTCCGTCTCCGCTGTTTTGGACCAGATGCGCGCTGCCAAGATCATGCCCACTCGTGTTTTGTACACAACCGTCATATCCCTTCTCGCACATAGGAGGGACCCGGTATCTGCTGAAGCCATATATAAACGTGCATTGCGTGAAGGGATAACTCCTGACCGCAAGATGATTACTTCTCTCATGAATGCACATGTGGAAGCTGGATCTTGGGCGGGGGTAGTGCGCATTTTCGACTACCTTAAATCCTCTCGAACCCCTCGCCTTCGGCTCTCGGTAGAAGTCTACAATACTCTGTTGAAGGCTTACGTCCTTATCGGCGCCCCATTTCACGTCGTCTCCGGCATCTTTCGCAAGCTCGAGTCCATGGGCGTGAAGCCTAATGGTCGAATGTATACTCTCATCATCCAGTCAGCCTGCGATGCAGGATTCATGAACATCGCCAACAAGATTTTCGCCGAGATGCAGGTAGTCGCAGAAGACTGGCACACAACTGACCGCGTCGACGCCTTCGTGATGACAGTCATCATGGCTGGTCATTTGCGGCTGGGCGACAAACGCAGTGCAAAGGCTGTTTACGATGACATGTGTGGGCGGGGCATTCAGCCCACATCTGCCACATTCCATCACATCCTCCGTGCTTATGGTAACGAGAAGACCGAAGAAAGCCTCCAAATTGCAGAGGGTTTTCTGAAGACCATCATGGCTGGTGAGTCTTCGGAGTGCCCGTGGATGCCTCCACAGACTCGCGCAGCTGCGCTTGAGCACGTCTACGCTCCACTCATGCTTGCGTATACGAAAGACCAATAGGCCGGAGCATGTAGAGCGGTTGTTTCAGTCTATGTTGGATGCAGGTGGAGAACCTTCACTGGGTAGCTTGACAGTGCTCCTCGATGCCTATCGTCGTTCTGGTGACATTGAAGCCGTCCGTAGGCTTTGGCCGCAATTATGGCAACTCGCATTACGCTTCTTGAAGACGGATTCTCTCTTCGAAGGAGAAGATGATAACCCGTCCGACCCCATGAAACGACAGGCGAATCTTCTCTGCGTTCCCCTATCCATTTATATCGACGCACTTTCTGCGGCTGGGGAACACTTCGCCATTGCCGAGATGTGGGGAAAAGCGAGATCTCAAGGTTTCAGCTTCGATTCACATAACTGGAATCATTTGGCGGTTGCTCTGGTCCGCGCGGGCGAACCGGAGCGGGCCTTCGAGATAGTCGAACGAGTGTTACTCCCTTATCAGCGCCAGAGCGAGGCTGTACTTCGTGGTAGAGACTTGTCTCCCGATTCGCCTCTCACTTTCGACATCAGTCCCGCAGACGTTAGTCAACCAGCGTCCCAGTCGCCAATGCACCGGAGCGAACGCCGAGCTTATCAATCGAAAGTAGCTACTAAGAGATCCGGCGACGCGTTGGAAATGGGCCCAGCCTCGGATGATTTTGCCCATCCTTTACACGTACTACACCAAATTTCCCCTTCCTGGAACGTTTGGCGCCCCCATCGCGCTTTACTGGACTTATTGTCAGGAGTGCTGCGCCATCTGGGATCTGGAATGACTATCCAGCCGGTGGGAGACCGTAACTCTGCGCCACAGGAACTGGACCCCGACTCTGAAGAAGTTTTCACTCGTGGAAAACTTCCGCGAGAAATGCTTGACCGCATATATCTCAATTATCCTGATACAATCCAGACCATACGCTTACACGAGCGTTGGACCACGCGGAAATCTTCGTTGACGCAATTGGACAATGGGTGGTAGATGATGAGTTCAGAATATATGGGGCACCGAGTACATTATGGAGTACATTGCGGGTAGAGGAGGCAATAGTGATGAGGGTGATACATTCTCTGAACACGCAGATCATCAAAAGGCAGTATATTACGTGACTCCCATCAACTATCTTCCGACTCGTCAGAGGGGTCGGAGTCAGCATCCCGTCGACGACGCCCAGGCTTGCTAGTTCCGTGACGATTTCGCTGCGATCGTGGAGAGTTCGTCAACCTCCGACCTATACGGAGTATGGAAGGATCTTACCAGTGGTAACTTCTGGCCTTGATTGCCAAAAGCGATTGACAGCGCGGTCGTATCTATCATGTCATAAGAGGTTATAATCTTTTCTGTATAAAGTAAGACCGGCAATTTAGACCGTACCGGGAACTCCTGGGAAGCGCTTGGCTGAGAAAACGACAAAGGGTTCGGTGAATGTTTGTGCAAGGACCGGAGAAACATTAGTATGAACTCTAACTGCGCCTGCTTCTGGTGCTGGTAGTCTGCAGACGCTAATGTCAGTTTTTACTGTTATCTCAGACATAATAGCACGTTCTTACTCGCCAACGTTCATTAGACGTAAACGTAGCCGGAAGGTTCCTAGGATGCGTCACAACGTCAGATAGAAGAACACCCCCGGCGGTAATGAAAACATACCTTCCGTCCGAACGGATAGATCCTGGAAGAGGAAAAATATCCCTGGCTGCCGATGCTCGTCGAGCAGTCGGCATGCGTTGGACGACAACGGGCCTACTAAAGTGCGTGTGTATGAATGTCGGGGTAATGGAGCATGTGTGGTTGATGGAGAAGATGAGGAGCTTTGAGCATAATTACTCTGATAATATGGTGGCTGTGATGGCGCGCCATAAACATGGGGGTGATCGTAGCTATTGCCTGCACCTTGAAAAGACTCCTGGACGTATCTTGGCGAGGATTCACCCGCAACATGTTGTTGGGGCCAACTACCGGTCTCAGGTTGCTGAGTGGTGTGTTCAGGATGTCTCATCGATGGGTCCACTTCTTGAGCAGCGTACACGCTTGCCTGTGAATTGACAATTACCGGATAAGATGGTTCCGCGGCTGACCAATTGCGATAGTTGGCCGCATCAGAATCCGTACGATATGAGGGATGTGCTTGCCACGGTTCACCCGGGGCAGCCGCAGGCATGCCGTTCCGTATGCCGTTGCGGTTGTACGACGACATTGATGGGTGAGGCTGGCTGAAATTATGCGAGCGATCTAGGGGGGTTCCTGATGATGCATATCCCCATGCGCTGTTGGACTCGGATGGCGAGCCGTAGGAATCTTGGTCATCATAGGTTATGTTATCAGGGATCGGTGCTTGCTGGGGATAAGGGTAACTTGGGTTAGCGTATCCCGACGGCGGACCCGGAACCATCGGGTTCATAGTGGACTGTATTGACGCACAAAGTCAGTGGGAAAAAATATTTATCAGATATGAGGTGACATGCCACTGGTAGGCGTGGATGTTGGTGAGCAGAATTTGGGGTGGAATGAGACGACGTCGGGCTATGTTGTTCATCGTGGGGAGATGAGGGAGCATTGGTACTCCGAGGCTTCCGCGATTTTTGAGCGTTCGCTGCGACGTAGCGGTCCGAAGATGACGAGGGATGTAACACGAGATTCATCTCCCGCTTCCCGTCAGCTGACCAAAGGTCGACGGTGACCAGAAAAAAAGAACAGTCAATGTCCCTGAGAAGTAAATGATGAGAAGCGCACAAGGTAGAATAAAGATGTTTACATACTCCACGTCCACGATAGAGTTATCTTCTCTTCGAACGAACCATTTTGGCGACCGCTGCAGGTGCGAGAGGCCTGCGATCCTGATAATAAATGTTATGATATGGTTAGACAAAGGCGCGACGGCTCGCGCACTTTATCACCAAAACCGCACATACGGGCGCGCAAAGGTTGTTGTACTACTTCGAGGGAATAATGCCTGGTATTATTGTTGAAGGTTTAGGGAATAGTAACGGAAGGAGTTAGAGGTGATTGACTGACTTTCTGCCCCACCATTGTCCCCATTGCTCGACACCTGGATCAGAATCTTGGCGAGCTTGGTGATCGATGCTGGGGCGGTGATTTGTCTTGTGAATCATGAAAGTTTGCGAAAAAGAAGGGGAAAGGAGGTGGTGCGGTATAGGGGAAGGGGAAGGGTAGTTGTTTGAAATCGGGTTGGTTATGCCCAGACTTTAGACTCGGTTCGTGATACAGGATTTACAGCAGTTGGGAATCAGATAAGATAAGTTCTCACGTCGGGAAGGTTGCGGATGATGTTGTAGAGACGAGCCTGCGAGGTAATGTCAGACAAGGTGGTCATTTTTGTCGGCGTGCGTATAACAAGAATAGGTTAGGATAGAGCGCACCTAGGTTTGTTCTCTCAACTGCCTGGACTCAAATAAACGCTTGTAAGGCGTCTTATATCTGATAGGAAGACTATAAAAGAGTCTTAGTACTGCAGTCAGTGACCTCTGAAGAACAGTGACGGCTTGGATGTACGAGGATAACGTTGCTGCCTTGATTAGTTTAGCTTGAGGCACGTTGCATAGGACGCAGATCTTCTACAATTTACCTTACAACCAACTGATCAAATACTTTCATCCAATGCTATGCAAAGCCGTAATTACTTACAACCTTCAAAATTCATCTTGATCCACTCATCCAAACCTCACTGGCCCACATGTGGCAACCGAACAAACTCAAAGTTTACCCTCAAATTAGTTATCAGATAACAAACTGTCTCTCATCACCCTGGGAATGCCGAAATTCCGTGGGTAACTAATTATTACAAGTCAATCAGAAAAAAATAATATAATATAGTAGCGAGTAAAATGAACTTACCGTGTCATGATAGAATTGAAATAATGCACGTAAAGATATTACAATGAGTCTTCAACTACATGGGTTTACAATATTATTTGATTAAATTTGGAAATAGTTCACACGCTCCAAAGCCCAACGAGCAACATCCAAACTAACTTTTGACATCGACAACCATGGATCAAGTCGCAGCAAAAAAGATCCTTCAAGAACTCATAAAGCGCGATGACCTCAAGAACAAGATTTGTGTAGACTGCGATAATCCAAATCCACAATGGGCCTCAGGTGATTACACGTGTCACATCCCCTTACGTTCCTCATTCATCCTCCGAAAGTTAGTTTTGCGATATTTCTGTGCTTGGAATGCGCAGGTTTACACAGAGGGTTCGGAGTGCACATCAGGTGAATTTACAAACCTATGTGCACATTCTCCGACAACCAAATCTCACGCGACAATAGCTTCGTGAGATCAGTTTCAATGGATACTTGGCAGCCCGATCAGATCAAGCGTATGCAGGTGGGTAATCATGGGCTGAGTTTACAGTCCTCGCTCACTTCCTCCCAAGCTTGGCGGGAATGCTCCTTTCAGACAATTCGTCGAGTCATACACACCAGCAGATCAAGGCGGATATAAGCAAGGTACCAGTGCCTACACCACCTACCATTGTTGGGCAGCTTCGCAATATCGGGAGAAGGTATGCCGAACGTCGTATCTTTAATCTCTAACTGAATTCTCCAGTTGGACGCGGCCCTAGCCGGAAGGTCTTGGTCTCCATCTGCACCACCAGTAGATACACCAAACTCTGGCAGTCGGACGAGCTCTCCAGGACGTCCGTCCTCTGCGCAAGGTTTGCGCAAGTCGCGTGCCTTGGCGCGTAACCACCTTACATCCCCGTCCTCCGGAAGTTCGCCGCAACCTTCTCCTGATCAAACCACTATGGATCAAAAATCTGCCAACGAGTCTTTTTTCACATCCCTCGGTCAAGCAAACGCCACTCGCCCTGCAGATTTACCCCCGTCCCAAGGCGGTCGTTATCAAGGTTTTGGAAACACGCCTTCGCCTCAAACCTCTCAACACCCATCATTCGGTCTTTCATCCACCGCAACCCCTTCGCTTCAAGACTTCCAGGATAATCCTGGGGCCGCCCTAAGTAAGGGCTGGTCCCTTGTCTCTGCAGTCGTCGCTGGTGCATCACGTGTTGTAAATGAAAGTGTCATTCAGCCTGGAATGGAGCGTGCTTTGGATCCAAACTTGCATGCCACCGTCCGCGGGTACATGTCCGAGGCGCAACGTCGGGCACAGCTTGCAGGCTATTCGGCAAATGAATGGTCCAAAACTCAGCTGGGTGTTGATGTTGCCGATCATGTCGGAGGCGTTGTGGGGACAGTTAAAGACAGGCTCGGATCAGGGCCACAGAGCTCAGGGTATGGTGCCCTGGCCATGCATAACGAGGGGGAGACGTCGGCTCTCTATCAAGATGACACGGATGATTTTTTCGGCGAGTATTCCGATGGACGTACGAGCCTGAGTCAGCCGCCAGGTACGTCGAAGACACCTGTATCTGCTCCGAAATCCAACGACGATTGGGGCGAGTGGAAGGATTTCTAGTTGGGTTTGGTAATATAGATTTAAACCTGGAAGGATACCCTGTTCGCATCTCTAGTGACTGTAGTTATCTGTAGTTACTGCTTTACTCGTACGACATATACATAGTCCTGGTGATCGACATCGCCAAGTACTGCAGATCTATTTACGTGAAAGTGTGGGTCCCCGACGGCTAACTTGAATGATCCATCTTAGTTCCGGCCGCGTTGAACACCCATGAAGCGACCGACCCCGAGCGTTCTTATCATCCTGTGAACCTCTGCTACTGTTCTTGTCTTGACTACGGCATCTCGTTGAATTGTTTACTATCATGCAGACTGTCCTCCAGCGTGCAGCGCGGTCAACGCTCGCGTCTGCACGACGTTGCCGGAGGTATCATGCTTCGGTACTCCCTTCGCTAGTCTCACCTGCCTCGCCCGAGTTTCGCGAGAAAGCAGATGCTATGAACTTACTAGTTGCGGATTTGGAGGCTAAGTTGGAGCATGCGAGACAGGGTGGAGGTCCGAAGGCTGCAGAGCGCATGCGGAGCAGGGGAAAGAAACTACCGAGGGAACGGTCAGTGAGCTCACTTCACAATCGCACTTTCTGGACTCTGAACTTTGTGGCACTTGTCGCTGAACATGGTTAGTTTGTCGTTGCTACTGGACCCATATACCCCGTTCTTGGAGCTGTCATCACTGGCAGCGCATGAAGTTTACCCAGGGGAGCATATTCCCGGTGCCGGGATGATAACAGGCATCGGTAGAATATCAGGGCGGGAGTGCATGATTGTGGTGAATGATGCGACCGTTAAGGGAGGGTCATACTATCCTCTAACTGTGAGCAGAAACTAGCACAAGCTACTTGCAAAATTCACATGTTCATAATTCTTCAGGTCAAGAAGCATTTGCGAGCGCAGGAGATCGCACGGGAACACGGACTTCCATGTGTCTACGTTGGTATGTTGTTGATTTTTCTGCTACGTTGCTTACCAACGGCAATATTTTCGAGACAGTCGAATCAGGGGGTGCGGCACTACCTCACCAGGCCAATGTAAGTCTGTGGAATGGAGGTCTGCATGTGCGTGGTCGTGACCAACGTTCTAGGTGTTCCCCGATAAAGAGCACTTCGGTCGCATATTCTACAACATGGTATTGATCTAACCATACGTGTGTTGTACGCCATGTGATGTTCACCCGCTTATCAGGCTCAAATGTCTGCTCTGGGCTTGCCACAGATTGCACTAGTGCATGGTATATCTGTTGCGGGTGCGTAATGACTCCCAAACACTGGATCTGTCTTACTATGGTCCAGGTGGCGCATATGTTCCCGCAATGGCTGATGAGAATATTATTGTGGCGGAGCAGGGGCGTATCTTCCTAGCAGGACCACCCCTGGTCAAGGCTGCCACAGGGGAAGAAGTCGATGAAGAGACTCTTGGCGGTGGACTGATGCACTCGAGCGAAAGCGGTGTGACTGATCACCTCGCGCGAGATGACGAACATGCTATTGATATTGCAAGGGGTATGGTCGGCGATCTCGGTGCAGGAGGGTGGAGAGCAAGTGGTGTACGTCATGACGCAAATTTAGTTGTCATTTTCATTGACGCGAAACATTAGCCCTCAGCAGTGTCAGAGGACCCTGTGTATCCCGCTTCGGAACTACACGGTATTGTTGGCACTGATTCACGTCAGGCTTTCGATATGAGAGACGTGATTGCTCGGATAGTAGATGGTAGCCGTTTTAGAGAATTCAAGAAGGAATATGGTCCGACCATGATTACGGTATTAATTTTCCTCATTCTCGGCCAACATTTCCTTACAGAGTTCAGGGCTTTGCCCATGTACATGGATATGAAGTCGGCATCGTTGCCAACAACGGCATTCTCTTCTCGCCATCGGCCTTGAAGGCTACCCACTTCATCCAACTATGCTCACAACGTCAAATTCCACTTTTGTTCTTGGTCAACGTTACTGGCGAGTGGTGCCGTAGTTCCAGCTGCTAGATCATCTGACCTACCCCTCTTAGGTTACATGGTAGGTTCGAAGGCTGAGAGAGGAGGAATAGCGAAGGATGGCGCAAAAATGGTTCGAGCAGTTGCGTGTGCCGATGTTCCGAAGTTAACCGTCATCGTCGGAGGGAGCTTTGGAGCTGGCAATTATGGTAATGTATACTCCATTGAGGATCGTCTCTGGGATTGACGTATTAATGTCCCTCTTTAGGAATGGCTGGGCGCGCTGTAAGTTAAAGTAACCCCATTTAGCAATGGCGTTGGCTCATTCGCGCTTTTCGATCTAGTACTCCCCACGGTTCCTATGGATGTGGCCCGTAAGTTCACGACCTTCTCGAAAACCAATTCCTCGTAATAATAGCTGTGTCAGAATGCGAAGGTATCGGTCATGGGCTCTGGTCAGCTGTCGCAAGTCATGACTACGGTCTCTAAGTCAGTTCCTTCGCACGAGTTTTCATTCCCTTCTACGGGCTGAGCATCAATTGCAGAGACCCGAGTCAGCACTCATCGCTGAAAGCGGATATTGAAGCACAGTCGACAGCGCTTTACTCCACCGCTCGATTATGGGACGATGGTATTATCAAGCCTACGGACACACGGGATGTGGTTGGTCTTGGGCTCGCGCTAGCAGCACGGAAGCGCCCTACGTCGCGTGGAAGGGGGTCAGTTGGTTCAACCACATGGGACGGTGATGGCAAAGGATTTGGCGTGTTCAGGATGTGAAGATATTTATTCTAGTCGGATATTCGGACACTTGGATGGTCTGCCATACCATTTGGAAGAATTGTAGTAGTTCAAAGCTTGCGGAAAGACTTAGGTTGTGGGCTTCGAACTTTTCGAAGTTCTGTCAGGCCAATAATTAAATTTGCCACATTTGTGTATTTGGTTCTAAAGCTTTTGCCAAACAACGCCCAGTTTCATCACGTGTTTTATGGTTGTTCGTCATCTTGGATACAATACTGCTCCTCAATAAAATGCGTCATTCATAGAGCAATTATTGGTTCCACCTTCCTATCATGTCGTGCGAAAAATCACTGAACCAGCTCTCTGTGGAGACCCGTGCAAAGCTCCGTTCTGCACAACTCCTTACGTCCCTACCACAAATAGTTTCAGAGCTGCTGCAGAACTCCCTCGATGCAGGAGCATCTCAGGTGGATATGGGCGTCAATTGCGAAGAATGGAGCTGTTGGGTGCGAGATGACGGTGCTGGAATCAACAAAGGTGGTTTGAGTATGATTGGCAAGGGATCGGAGGAAGGAAGATACAGTGAGTCGTATTTGTGAAATGATTATGAGACGCGTCGCTCAGCTAGTAACCGCAGATACATCCAAAGCATACACCCCAGCATCCCTAGATTCGGTTTCGACATTTGGCTTTCGCGGAGAAGGTCTTGTGTTATTCCATAATCTATCCAATGCCGCTGAGACTTTCCATAGCTCTATTATCAATGGCTGAATTGTGCTGCTTGGAAATATCGTCACGGACGTCTTTGTCTCAGGAAAGCTGGTCGGCCATCCTCAAGGTTTGTACATGGACTTCTTGTGCGAAGACTGCTCAACTGGTGTTTCAGGGTGGAAAGCCCTTGTACTCAGGACCATCGATTCGGTGGCGAAGAGAGTCTGCAGGAACTGTCGTATGCGTTAGAGATGCATTCTTTAGTGTGAGCCAAGTCATTCAGTGTCACGCATAGAATCTACTCTCATGACACATACGCATAGCTTCCTATTCGTCGTCAATCTCATCCTTCTCCAGCTAAGACGGTAGATACAATCAAGCAAGAGCTTGAGGCATACGCTCTCATGTTTCCCGAGGTGTCGTTCACCCTCCAAGATGACAGTAAATCAAAAGACAATGTCTCGAGCAAAGGACACGTGCTTCGGGTTCCAAAGGTTTGTAAATCTCTTAACATGCATGACATGTCGTTTCATGCTGGCATTGACAGACTCGTTCAATCTTGGCTGCATTTCGACACATGTATGGTCGCGCACTGACTGAGGTGAGAAGATAGATTCGAACTCAGCGTCAATCACTTATGATCGACGGTATAGCATGTAGAAGAGATTAATACTACATCTGGGGATCTGAAAGTGGAGGGGTTTATATCTCTTGTCGGAGCACGTTCGAAGGTGAGATTACCAGTTTGCGTGGCAGTTTTCGACATTCCTGACGACACAATAGGTTTATCAATATTTGTGTGAGTATGAAGCGAGCATGATTGCAGTGTTTGCTGAGTTTGTTACTCAAGACATTAACAAACATCCGATATCGTTCTGCGACCTCCATCGCGTAATTGACAGTAAATTCTTGACTAGTACGTTCGTAAAGCATGTGAGTTGCATATCCGATTATCTCCGCTTTTCTTATGCACTGCAGGCATATGATGAAGGAGGGGAAACGAGTCTGCGATCATGTAAGTTCTTCTGCTCCACTGTTCAAGATCTTGTTTCAAATTCAGTTCCAGCCGTGCGCCGTTCGCCACGCAAAGGCGAGAAGAAACCTATTTATGTTCTAAATTTGGTCATACCAACTCGACATATTGATAACTGCCTTGAACCAGCGAAATCCGTAGTTCAGATTGAGGTATGCAATTCATTGACCACGACAGGCTGCCGGAAGATCTGAATCTGGTATAGCATAAGAATGTCGTGACATCTTTCCTCTCTTCTGTGATAGATTCGTTTTTGGTTAGGCATGGTTTCGCATCCGGTAAACGTGCGGCTGAAGAAGGCCGTGCTTCCCCGCCAAAGAAGCGAAAAGTCACAATGATTCCAAATAGCATGACCAAAAACAATGTTCCCCAGCCGCCGGCTACTGGGAAGGCAGAGCCGAAGGAAGCACCGGCGGCGTTCATTCATCCAGTAAGCAGTATTCGAGCATACCCTTTGATACTCAGCTAATCGTGATCAAAAGGGAGACATCTCCGAAGAAATCCCGCAAAGAACGACCGTTTGGAAAGATCCTGCCACGGGTGAAACGTTCATTGTGGACGCTCGTACTGGAAATTCATATTCTCAAAACTCGCGCCACAAGATTGATCCAATGAACACGGCTAGCATGAGCCGTATTTCACGAATTCCCCGTCTTCTGAAGAAAAGCAAATATCCTAGTCATGGTGCATGTTCCGATCCTGCTCTTGATAGTATGCCCGATTGGCTACAGGAAGCTCTCTGTGTATGTTCAGAAATGTTTGAGATTGGCATAATTTAACTTTTCACTATCTAAGGCGAACGAATCATATGCTACCACGGAACCAAAAATTCCCTCTTTGCCGCTCTTTGCCAATCAAACTTCCGTTGATCATGGCTATTCTTCTATTTACTCCAGTAATCATTCGTGTTGCGCCCACACTTTTGGGACACTATATCCTCAGTCAGGATCATTAAGCTCCGAACATGCACGGACCAGGTTTCACAAAGCAGACCTTTTGAAGGCACAGGTCATCAACCAGGTTGACCGCAAGTTCATTGCTTGTTTAGTTGATCTAGACTATTCTGCGCATCAGGAGAATGGAAAATCCCTAGATAAGTGTCCAGCGGGTGGTTCAACCCTAATCCTGATTGATCAACACGCTGCGGATGAACGCGTCCGAGTCGAGCGCTTTCTGAGGGAGATTTGCTCTGGTTTCCTTCGGCACTGCGAGGGAACCGGGGGCGTCGACGTTTTGGAACTGTCTCCTGCTGTGCCTATTCTACTCACGCGCCATGAAGCTTTGCGCTTGGCGAGTGTCGACGAAGTACGGTCAGCGTTTGACCGGTGGGGTGTGCGCTTCGAGGGATTGGCCAGGTTGACCTCGTTGGAATCAGAATGTATGGGGGATGAAGCTAGTGGCGGGTATGCACAGGTCTTCGTCAATGGAATACCTGCAACTGTGGGCGATAAGGTATGTTTAGACACTTGTGTGGTGTTGCGGGCTCATCACCATTGCATAGCTACTCCTGAACAATGAGTTGCGAGACCTTATTAAGGGCTACCTGGGGACTCTTGAAAGCGAGGAAGCACCCCCTCCTAATCTATCGCAGCAAATAGACGCCAATGATACCAAGGATGAGGAGTCGTGTTGGCTCAAGGCTCTTCGCTGGTGTCCACGGGAGCTTCTGGATTTGATCAACTCAAAAGCGTGTCGCGGTACTAGTGTAAGGTGTTTTGGATAAGCTCTTACTCATTACTTGAGCTTTCAGGCGCGGTCATGTTCAACGATCCACTCTCACTGGAACAATGTGAACGCCTTGTGAGGAATCTTGCTGCGACTGCATTCCCCTTTCAATGCGCCCACGGAAGGCTAGTATCTCCGATTGTCTTTAGGTTGCGTTTGTTCACTTCTGCATTTCTCCTAGACCTTCCCTCGTTCCTTTGACCCATGTGAGTACCAAGAGCGGCAGGCAAACTGCACCAGCATTAGATTGGACGAGGCTGAATTGACTGTATCATTATCGTGTTCGCCTTGGAAACCTTCATTGAGAGCCACTTTCACCTTTGTTATATACGTTGTTTGTAGAAAGCTCTGGCATGTTCAACGCCCCACGTGGGTATCTATGGTCGCGTGGCATCAGTGGATACGACATGTGACGTCATCGCAAGTGGCGTGCGGGGTATAAAGCTCTCCTGCCTCCTCTTGATCAGCATCTCATCCAGCATCCATCAACAACTTCATCGTTATTACTGAACCATTCAAATCGCTGTAATACCATCCATTTATAGCGTATCATACCCGATCTTTATCCATCATGACAAAGTCCCTCACTAAGGTTGTGTACAAGCCCGACACTCAGTCGACAGACGAGTTTATTGTCATTGTCAATCCAGCAGAGGTAAGCTAATCTCGAGTTGGGACTTCAGTGGATAGCCGATCTCATGTTATCTTAGTACAAGAAATGGAAAGCCGGAGGTAAGTATCTTGGCGTTTGACTATCTGATATGATCCACGACCTGATTCGTATTTTGCAGACAGGTAAAGTGTACGCTTACCACCTAGTAATAAACGATTCTTACGCATGCGTAGAACGATCGCTCTGGCAGAGGTTGTTGATGGTGAGCACTGATTCAATCATGTGATTGCGACCTAATTGCATGACTTTCATAGCTTTCAAAGTGTTTTTCTCCAATCAAGGCGCTCAGGGCATTCTGGGTGCGCCGTCAAAGCAACAACTGGATACTACCTTTGGCACGACAAATGACGTTGATGTCATGACGCAGATCCTGGAGAAGGGGAAAGAACAATCTGGGAATGGCATCAGTTCTGGAGGGACGGCTACAAATTTTGCACGTGGGAGCATCGCCCTCGACAACAAGGGCAAGGGACTGACGGGCATATAATGTACGCTTAATCTGCATCATGGGTCATGGTTGCGGAAATGTTTGTCACAAGATCACAATGTATCACTAGAGCAATCGCTCGCACCCGTCCCTGACCTTCCCCGGATCTTGCACGTTTTGTGTGGTCAACTTATCTACCACCTGAACGTAAGGATAGGTAAGGATCTGTTGCTGTCCTGGCAGGTTCTGTCATCGTAAACGTAACATAACGGTGATAATTATCGCTATGTGATGGGCATTGGTTGGTGCCCTAGGTTACACGTACTCACCTCTCTGGACTCTCCCGTCCTAACAACAGCACCGCTCCCCTTGCGCCCTTTGCATCAACGACGTATCCCACGCCGTTCCTCAAAGTTGAATTCATTCAGGTTCGTTTCAGGCTTTATAGCTGATTTTTGTGAACAACGTAGAAAAGCATTTGGTAGGCGGAAAAGGAATGAACGCGTGACGAGCTCGTCCATCGGCAGAGTTGACAATCGCATTGAGCTTTTCTTTGATCTGTGCCGATGTTGCGGCAGTCGAGTCTGACCCTGAGGGTGGCGGTCCCAATCTATGTGTGGATTGGCTCAACTGGAGTCGAATCGCCCACCGATGAATTCCGGGCTGCTGGACGCAGTTGCATTAATCCGCCTTTGAAGTTGAAGATCTGCATCGGTGCAAGAGCTCGATAGCTCCTGGAAGTTGGACGGCGTTGTCGTTTTCATCGATTCAGCATATGATTTTGGTGACAGGAGTGTTTGACCCGAGCGTCCTTCGCGCCTTTATACGTAGCTCGTCAAGGAGTGGCAACAATTTAAAGCCCATGACTTCGAGACATCGTTTATGCGTGATAAATCCAGAGCATGGGCTTCAAGAAATTTGAGGGAGCGCGCCGCTGGGAAAATCGTTGATTAGCGACTAGTCAGGCCTCAGGACTTGGTGTCTGCTGATTAATGCATTCCCCACATCAGATACAAGAGCGCCCACTGGGTCACAAGGAAGAGTTGTACGTGAATCGGAACCGATATACGACGAGAATAAACAAAAACTTATCAAGCGCCGAGGGAGATAAGATGGATGTACAACACATCTGGATTCTGCGGATTTATGTATGTCGCTGTCAAGGAAGTCTGCAAACAACCACAAAGAGGTTAGCGTATCGCGGTCACATCGTAAGCGATGCTTACAATGACGATGTAGATAGAAGAATATGTAGATGTTCTTAGATTGAGTTCGTATACAAAAGAAGGATCAGCAATCCAAGTAAGTAGCTAATTTAGATACTTATGCACCAAGGAGCGCTTCGTTGTCGCGCGTCCCCCGGTAGCATCTACGTGTCTTTGTTATTGGGAAGATGTCTCTGCCCACTCTTTGCTCCCCATCTGCACAAGACGCGAGCAAGCGCGCGCGAAGGCGAATATCTCCTCGTCACCTGAGAACATCGAGCTCGAGCCCACTGCTTCGGGTGATAGGCCCTGCACAGAAGTGAGATGGCGTGGAAATGAAATTGAAATTGAAGAAAGACGCACCAGATCATCCATCACACTTCGCATATGATCTGAGATGCCCTTCCCTGAGGCCGCCGACTCATCAGAGAAGATCTGATATATGGGTACTTCTGACGATATAAAAATCTTCGTCTGCACAAGCCATCAGATTATCGATCATGAGCATGAAAATAATAGCTCGCCTTGGATTCGTAGCATGCGTCTATGAACGTGATGAATCGCCTTGCCTGGAGAATGATGGTTAATTCCGATAGAATTTCCGAATTGTGGAGCCGTACCATATCCTTCTTGTCCATCCCCATTTTCGGCACGTCTGTAATAAACAGAGTACCAAACTGTTTCGTTACCTCCAAATAATCGGCAGCACTCAATGGACGACCGCAAATTTCCTCGAATGAGAATCGTGCAACCTTTGATGTTGACAGTGGGACGTGAAGTGTGCGACCCCACGTCGTTATTGGGCGATTCTTAATTACGGGGTCTTGAAGTGCAGCAGTAGGAGTTGGGCAGGTCAGCGAATTGAAGATTTTGTCTATCTCGGCATTATTCTCTGGCGTTAGTGGATGATAATAGACGTGTGAGAGGACGCGGGGTATCCGTCTATAGTCTGTGCATGATAAGTTGTGATATCCTACTCTATAATAATGCAGACTAGATACACACCAGTTCCTGAGTCTAAGTCCGTCACTTCAAAGCGTGTCTTGAGTAGTTCTATGGCGGGTATGAAGCTAGACCGTTGGATTCCATTCTTGTAAAGATCGTCTGGGTGTCGACTGTGTTACAGTCAGTCTTAAGAGTTGACATGCAAAGCTAGTCGCGCACTTAGATGTCATTACACAGACTACACCATGATTCATCAAGCCCTCCAACAAGCGCCTCAGAATCATTGCGTCCGCGATATCCGTAACCTGGAACTCGTCGAAGCACAGCACATACGCCTCCTTTGCTAGGTCCCGCGCAACAGGAGCAATTGGGTCGCCACCAGAATGCCCCATGGCAATTTTACTAGCGTGTATGCGTTTGTGTGCATCGATCATGAATGCGTGGAAGTGCACGCGACGCTTGCGTGTGATATATGGGGGCAGTGTTTGGTAAAAGAGGTCCATAAGCATTGTCTTGCCTGTGCCAACGTCACCATAAAGGTAAAGACCTTTTGGTGTCGATACAGGAGGACTTTCTGGTGCTGAAGGTGCACGAGAAAACAGACGATGTAACTACCAGAGAATGGGTCAGCGGTCGCCATGAAGAATGAAAGAAAACTATTTACCAATGAATTACTTGTCGTCACTTCGGGTATAGGCGGCGGATCGTACTTGAGCAACTGCTCCCAGAAACGCTGGAGTTTGCCAATGATGCGAACCTGATGATCGTCACTTCGAAGCACCCCAGACTGCACGAGCTTTTGATGTTGCTTTATCGGGGAGGTAGATTCCAGGAACGTTTGTGAGGTCTCGAGCTGGTTGATCGTAGCGAATTCGGCAGGATTGCCAGACGCGATGCTGTCTACTGCGAGTGATGAATTGAATGCCTTCCCATGTCCATGTCCAGGCGGTGAAGAGCTGGAAGGTGAGGCAACTGGTATTGAAGTAGTCAACACCCGCCTACTTTGTGCTGGCGTCCGCAAAGGAGCTGCTTGCAATAGGAGTCGATTCCGGTGATGAAACACGCAAGACCGCGCTGCTTTCATATTAGAATCCACAAAAGAAAGGGTAAGTACTAAAGCAAGGAGATAGTTAGAAATTAGATGGTTTCCTGCGCAATACCTGCGCACGAGTGTTGGGCGCCGCACGATAACGGCCGACGGGGTGCGGAACAACCACAGCGCCCACCAACGTCTCACCCGGGTCCCGAATAGCCTTCGGCATTACTCGGCGCTTAAATAACCGGTTCCATACTCATCTACCTCTGGTCCACAACTATCATAAGTATCCAGTTATCCAAGCAGAGGGATTTACGATATGATACGGTTACAAGCATCATTTCAAATTTTTAAAAGCTTGTTGTTGACCAGTATAGACACTTTGAGTCATTGGTTACCATCTTCGCAGCCCGCGAACAACGGTTCCATTGAACAAGAACCTGGCGAGAAGTTAGATCTACATTGCTGACCTGCAGTAGCCCTTCCATTTGCTGGCGTTATGCTCTCAAGCCACGTCGAGACTGCTCGAACGCCACCGCTTGGAAGGGTCTGGAGGCATACGAATCCACTGGTTCTGCCAGCATAAGAAGCACTTCCCCCAGAGGACCTACTCTGATGCCAAAAAAGTCTATACAAGCCTCACTGCACTAGCAGATCTCGATGCAGGAGCAGAGTACGTGTTACTTGATCATACTCGTACGACTAAGGGCAGTGCCTTGATATATGACACAGGCCCCAGGGTCCACGACCCTACAATCAGATCCAGAAAAATATGTTCTAGCTGGGCCCTTGACAAGACCAGCTGTGTGAGAATAACGTGGCAACAACAGCCTCCTTCCAGACGCCGTGGGGTCTTTGCGGACAGCTAAGGACAGCCACGCATCATGTATTTGCACGCGTTATATCGCCGCTGTAGTTGGGGTTTGCTAGACCGACTCCCTCGGCTGATCTCTTCGACGACCAGATGCCTTCTCAGATGTTCTTGTACCCTGTCTTCCCCGAGCCAGTCCACGAAACACGGCACAAGTATGGCTCTACGCCTAATTTACCCGTGTGTTTTCAATCTGACTCGATGACAGGAACATGGCGGAATCGCCTGTAGACCTAACTGGTCATATTCTCCGGTTGGATGACCATCCAGTTGCTGGAGGGTCTTTTGGAAATGTCTACAGAGGCATCTACCGAACCACGTCAGGTCAAATTCAGGTATGACCGTCTTCATTATGCGCGTGTCATCCCATGAATTTTTTTCTCAGGTTGCTGTGAAGGCTTTGCGTTTTCTGCCTAGCGCAGATGACATCAGGGTCAGTGGGATTTTCTCTCCGTCATTCACACTGAAGGCTGAACTTCTCATTCACATTGCAGAGAATCCGCAGAGAGATTAAAATATGGATGAAGCTGATCCATCAGAATATCGTGCCATTCATAGGCGTAACAGCGGGATTTGGACCCCCTGAGACCATTTCTCTCGTCTCACCCTGGATACCCAATGGAACTCTCACGAATTTCTTGGAAACCTATGGCGGAAGGTTACCACTGACGTCGAAGTTATGGTTGGTGAGACTTATCCGTCTTTCTAGTTAGGCTGAGCCGTTAAACCACACCAGCTTCACGATATCGCGGCTGGTTTAAATTATTGTGAGTTATTCTTCTGTCCGTCCACTTGTATCATCTCAGATTTTCAAGTGCACTCATTCCCTCTGATCCATGGAGATCTCACTGGCGTAAGAGGATGGTTTTTTTACATACATTTCTATCTGATTAGATGATCCGTAGAGTAATGTCCTGATCAACACAGAAGGCATGGCGTGCCTTGTGGACTTTGGACTTTCTACAGTCATAGGAGGACTTGAAGGTGGATCTTCGATTGCCCCATCATCCCACCGCCCCGGCGCAATACGGTGGACCGCTCCCGAGCTTCTTGGAGATCCAGAGATTTCCTATTCACCCACACCGAAAAGCGATATTTATTCTTTTGGCAGCGTGATGCTGCAGGCAAGTCTCTTTTGCCACCGATTTGTCTTCGAGCTGACCATGCCCCCCAGATCCTCTCTAACAGATTTCCATGGTATACAGATACTGGCGCCACGGCCGAATTTCGCATCATAGCGAAACTAATTGTAGGAGAAACTCCACCGCGGCCGGATGATCCACCCATTTCAGAGGAACACTGGACCCTTATCTCAGAATGCTGGCGCCCGATCTCAAACACTGAAAGTCGCCCGACAGCTGCACAATTGATTAACACCCTTGGTCAAGAAATCATCAATCACTCAGGTGGTACAAAGGATGCATCCCATCTTCTCCGGTCCGAGCAGTCGCCCCGATTTCCGTATAAAGACTTCCATCCCTTGTCCAATCCGTTAGCTCGATCCACAAGACACAGACAGCGGCGGAAGTCATCACGCCCGACTGAGGACGATTCTGTGGATTCAATCTTTGCGTTTTCTCCCCCAGACGGCGAAGATGAGACGGTCGTGCCTCACCCTCCTGGAGCGTTGTCGCGACGAGAGTATACCAAACCTCGTTACGAGAATCCTCCAATAAACACGCTTTTCGTTGGCAATCTTCCGAGGAGCACGGGGGATTATGACAACTATCTTGAAACTCGTTTAAGAGCCTTGTTTTCTCCGCGCCCGGGATATAGGAGGTTACTCTTCACCCGCAAGAGTGACGGGCGGATGATGTGTTTTGTAGAAGTAGGTCATATACAGAACAGCTTGCTCTTACAATGTTCTGATGGCTGATGGTGATTGCAGTTTCAGGACGTGCATGATGCCACCATGTCTCTCAACGATCTCACTGGCTCCAGTCTAAGCGGGCTCATCAGAAACGGCGGTATCCGTCTGTCGTATAGTAAAACACCCATGGGTTCCAGCCGGCCAAACAGTGCGGGCACGAGCACATTCGCGACTCCTCCAAGTTTCGGAGCCTAAGCATACTTATTTTAGTAATTAGTATGTATGATATTGTGATTCTCCATGATTGTAATCAATATTACATAGCAACGACGGATCAAGTCCTGGTCTTCAAGTAGTCGGTTGTACTGAAGTGTATGTATCGTAAATGACTCGTGGTCCGATGTCCAGGAGCCAAACAACGTATGGAAATCCATTCATTCGGTTTACTTCCACAGTGTAACTGATCATACAACCAAAGGCCGACAAGTTAGTGGCTACCCTCTTAGTTTCTTATCTTCCTCAAATGTGTCCATGACCTGCAAAACGCGGTCAAAAAGAATTTGCCTGAACGACGCGTGACACGTACTTTCTGGAGGAACGCCTCGTCAGTCAGCACTCGCATGCCTACGGCCGCGAGCGCCTTCGATACCACCAAACAGGCATCATGGGATAGTTCGGAACGTGCAGCGTCCGTAAATCCTATGGTATGGTTCCCACCATCTGGAATGGTCGGGATGGCTTGAGTAAAAGTCGTCAACACCGTGCTCGTTCGTTCTGAACCTGCACCACTCACAAAAACCAGGGTGGAGACCAGGCATCACTGGCGAACAAGAACTTCATGAGAAAAGGTTGCCTGCCCCAGTCATGGAGAGACGCACAGTATGAAATGTTCCCCTTTGGTTCCGAAATGTCAGCTCTGTCACACTTTCTGAATGTGCTAAACACTCACGAAATCAGTAGAAGCACTCTTGATACCCCATTCGTAATCGATAGCGCCATAGCGCTTCAGAACAACATCAGCAAGTTCGTCGCCTGGTATAACATTCAGTATCAAGCCACTGCACCCCGTGATTTCATACCCAGTGCTTTGTTTTGCCTGATTTCGTTGCTTACTGATTCAAGCGTAACTTGAACTTTGCATCCAGATGCGAGTGCGGCTGCTCTGTGACGAATAGATAATGCCGCTTGATCAATCGAATGTGTCGATAGTGAAAGACTGACTCGAAGCAGGAAAAGACGCGCTCTCTGGTATCCTCCATCTCTAAGGTTGTGGGAGCACGGACTAACCACCTGTACTTGTGTATAGAGTGCCCGAAGTGGGTGGTTCCTGAGATCGACTTACTGCATTATAGCGTGATCCGGGATGACTGGTTGTTTATTATCTTCAAGTGTTTTTACGGAAAGGGTGAAAATCTTACTGTTTGGAGCCCAATCCTTCCCTTCAAAGACGCCGTGCACGCGATGAGTAGGTTTAATTTGCTGACGAAGAAGAGAAACGTTATTGTATGCAAGGACAGCTGCATCAAGTGCGTTTTGTCCCTCCCAGGGGCTTAACCCAGCGTGGGCACTTGTAAACGCGAAGAATTGAGTACCACGAGTTAATTCGGTAAATAGAATGAAAGTCGCTCACGTATGACCTTGATACTCCACAGTAATGCGAGAGACAGCCAAGGAGCCACTCAAACTAATGGAGTGGCGGGGGCCAGGTGCGGGATGGCACCTTCGAAGCAGGCTGAGTAATCCTGTCTCTGATATAGACCACCAGGAGAGGAACTGACATCAGGCACACATCCATCTCGTCATAAGCCCCCTTTTCATACAACTTGACCTTGCCAATCCCACCCTCCTCAGCTGCCTCGTGTTACCCCGAAGCTGAGCATAGCAAATGCAAACACCGACGCACCAGGTGTACCCAGCAGAACCACCTTTCCATCGATGTTCAGGTTCTCCATTGCGGCCTTAGTTGCAAGAGCTACCGCTACTCCAGATATCCCAATGAGATTGTGTCCACAAGCGTGTCCGATCCCAGGGAGCGCATCCATCTCAGAGTTGATACCCAAAACGCGCCCTCCCTGTCCATGGGTGTAGGTGGCAACCCAGGCAGTCTCAAGAAGATAGTTCTTAGTTACTGTGAAACCATGTTTTTCCATAATCGCAGTGTATGCGTCGTGGGCATATCTGTGACGATGCTCTAAGCGTTTGCGCATAGCTATGGCGTACGATGAGATCTGACGCACTTTTCTTCGAACTTTAGCTCTGGATGGTCTTTCGAAAATGTGTGAGCGTAGGATACAAAAAGGAAGCACCGCTATAAGGGTTGATTACCATGAATATCGAGACTTAAAGCCCTCAGCTCTCCGCTCAGTCTATCGAGCGACGTCTCAATCACATTGAGTATGTCTGGCCTGTATACCTGACCTTCCTGAAGGGGGGGTCTGATGTTTGGGTCATCTTCTGGTCGCCAAACTGTGTCAGACATGGTGAGAGTAGAGAGAGTACTCAAGTGACTTGAAGACACTCATGTGAGCATACTACTCATCATCATCATCATGTGATGAAACAGGCGCTTGATTAATGAACGGATGAGCTTCCTCGGATCTGAGTCACAAAATGACATTGTAAACTTCAATCGGAAGCGTTACGAAGGCCCAGAATGCCCAAATTTTGTAGATATGGACGAGTGCTCAAAGGCAGTCATCTTGAAGGGTTTAACTTGAACTCTTGACCGAGGAACCAAGGTCACGTGGTCCAGATCTGATCGGGGCAATGTCTTCAAGTCCAAAGTGATCGGCTACATCCAACTAACAAGCAAGCAATCCATCCCTCCAAAACCCGCCTCAGCTTCACTGACATCACCAAATAATACGGACGCACTCCTCGGAATATTGGCCACCAAAATGACATTGCAAATGGAACGTACGAGATCAGTGAAGTTTGTGCTTTGATTTTGTTCGTTGCTCTAACAGTATATTGAACGAGAGCGTCCAGAGGCAAGAAACGAGCACGAGACTTGTCCCCGAGCTCTTCTTCTCTCTCTTCGACGCACTCGGAAGCTCTTGCTATCGCGCCTCCGGTGAAAAAACGTGCGTACGTGACTTTCTTCGATTTGTGGTCTACCCTAACCGATGATAATAGCTAAGAGAGCAGAGACAAAGCCCTGCCCGGCATGCGCTGAATTAATTCCTGTGCGCCTGCTTGCTGCTCATGCTGCTCTTGAAATGCAAAGGGTGGAAGACATCATTCGGCATATTGGTGAGGCGGAGGTCTTAGCAGAAGTTGATGACTTAGAAGAAGGGTGTGTCTAATCATCCGCTACTACATTGCACTAATCATCAACATCACCCATTTCAGCCCGAGCAACCGCGCCCGACGCTCTGCACTGAAGGCCCGCAAATCCCTTACCACCTCTATCCCTTCCTCGTCCTTGTCTCCTTCCGCGATTGGCAAGACCATTCAAACCATTACGCGTCGACGAAAAGCACGACACTTGCGCCTCAAAGAGCTTGCTAAAGAGCATGAAGCAGAGTCCTGGATTATCGAAGTTGAGGGAGGAACGTCATGTCCTGTGTGTGCACAAGTAATCAGAGGTGATGGGGATGTCGTTGAAGCACATGTGGATGCATGTCTAGCCCATGAAAGCGCTAGATTGGAACGAGAGCGGCTACAGGATGAGGATGAGGAACTCGACATCGGTGGCGGTGGAGGTGGAGGTAGTGTTAGAACGAGAGTTATTGCAAGTGCAAGTCTACGAGGTCAGCATCGAGACCACGAGACCAAACTGATGTCTAATTGCCGCTTACTCCACGTGCAGGCACTGGAATCCATATCAGAACATCCAATTCACTGGACGTTGAGGATGAAGTGGATATAGATGGCGAGGACGAAGAAGTGTTCGGAGAAGCACAGTTTGGCGAAGTTGATGTCCTGGCTTTGCCCTCAAGTGATCGCGTCGATTTGCGCCCTGAGAACGAAGATACCGACGTCGACATAGATGGACATTTAGGAACTGCCCAAGAACTGCAGACACTCAGACATCTGGTAGTTGGGGGTAAGGTCTTAACGAAGCGGCCAGATGGTATAGAGAGCAAAGCGGTCCAACCGATCGATATGGACCAGCTCGACCTGGATATCTTCAACGCTCGCTCGCAAAATGACCCTAGCGCGCTTATTATGGCTCTGGAGAACAAGATCAAGACGCTGGTAAGTTCAAGGCATGGATAATATCTCCCCCGACTAAGCTTTCATTATAGGAATCTAGTCCTGGATCGATGTCTTCACCTAATAACCTGTGCCGTATATGTCTTTCACAGTACACCGAGCCAACGGTTTCAACAGGATGCTGGCACACGTGTTGCCGTGAATGTTGGCTTCGTTGTCTGGGAGCAACCAAGCTCTGCCCAATGTGCCAACGGATTACCAGTGCCACTGAGCTGAGAAGAGTGTATATTTGACCTTGTGCATTTGACCTTGCTTTCGATACCTTAAATATAGCATATCATATTGTATTTTGCACGGTACACTATATTGTGGTTCCTGGAAGAAAGCTTGATGAGCCTTCTATTCTTCCAAAGGGGAGTACGTGTAGACAATGCTCATATCTGGCCTAATACCATCGACATGTGCCACAGAATAAACCAGTTCAAGTTGGAACGGTTACAAGCGGTGGAAATTCAGGACCCTCGCATGGAGAGCCACCACGGAATAAAATCTTGGCAAGTAGAAGAGAGGAAAGGCGCAGCTTACCAGAGTCGACAAATGCGTCCGTCTGCATCACATGATAGACAACTCAGATTTCATCATAGGACCTCAAACCTCTAGTAGTATCTGATTGAGTGAAAGACTGAGCGGAGAGTGGGCTCTTTTAAGTAGACTGAATTATAAAATACAGCAGGGGTGCTATGCAAGGAGCAATGGTAACATGATTTCTCATGCGAGTGGGCTTATGAGCCTGGTTCAACGTGTTAAAATTTTCTCAACTGAAGGAACTGGGACAACACACTTGATGAGGGTAGGCTGGGGCGTGCTCCGAGTATAGCCAATGTAAATGATGAGTGGTATCCAACCATAGTGCATCACAGTCTGCAGGAAGTCAGTAATCTTGTTCAAGCCGAGGTGTGAACCAACGTACGCGGCCAACCTCGACAAGCTTCGTGATACGTTCCTGCGCAGCATAATGAGTATTGAGCACAACAAACATATAGGCATTGGTCGAACCTTGGTCTCTTCGGAAGGCATGTTCTGTAAAATGTTTGATGACGGCGAGAACCAAGAAACTTGAACGCCCACGAAAAAGGCAAGGTCCTTCATTTGCAACTCCGACTTCTTTTTGGCTTGATCACTTGCAGCAAGATTAGCTGCTTATATCTCTGAAAATGCCATCCTCAACGGCGGCGTACTTACAAAACACTTCACCAAATTCAAATGGTGCACCCTCGTAAGCTCGTCCAAAATTCGCCGTACGATATTGTTGGTCTGACGATCTACTAGGACGCGCTCAACTTCATTAACGATTCATCCGTCCGCACTCTTCTCGATCCTTGACCACTACCTTCGCCGAACAGATGCTCAACATCGTGTCATTGGTACCCTTCTTGGTACCCGCACAGACTCGACCGTTGTCGTGAAATCTGCATTTGCTGTTCTCCACTCGGAGACCGACGAGCAGGTTGCCGTAGACATGGACTACCACCGTGCTATGTACGACCTCTGCATTCGTGTTAGACCCAATGAAACCATCGTAGGATGGTACTCCACTGGCTCAGACCTGAACACGTACTCTGCCTTGATCCAAAATTTCTACTCCCAAGAGACCGCGCCACATCAAGCGGTACACGTTGCCCTTGATACTGGAACGGAGGATGGCAAGGGTGCTGGAGTGAAGGCATACGTAAGGTATGTGCCATACCTTTTGTGCTGCAGTTCCCCTAAGTTCATTTCGACCGATCCAGCTCACCAGTTGGGATCTTCCCAAAACCTGAAAATTGTGTATTTGTTCCAATCCCTTGCGAACTCCGCTTCCACGAAGCAGAACGCAGTGGCCGTAAGCTCGAGTTTATTATGTGTATCAATATGTCACTGATCGAATTTTCTCGCTGTTAGTTGACCTGTTGTTGTCTTCGAACCCGTCATCCACCCAAACCGACCTCGATGTTCTTGCTTCCGCATTGACAGAGGTGCAAAATATGCTCAACAGAGTACTTGAATATGTTCAGTCTGTCTTGCGTGGTGAGGTTGTTGGGGATAAGGCAGTCGGAAGGTACCTTATGGATGTATTGGGCACCGGCGTGGAGGAGGATGGCGGCTGGACTGCTGGACTCCAAGACACTTTGATGGTGACCTATCTCGCGAACTTGGTTCGAAGCCAAGCCGAGGTTTCTGCAAGATTAGCGTTGACCACCGCAGCATGAGCAACGTGGCGGGTATTCCTAGTGTCCGAACGCGATTGAAGCCATTCATTATATCACCTAGCTCGATTTGCTTTCCGCCGATGATCCACACTTCATCTGCGAAAATTTTGGCTGCTGTATCAGTGTTCTGTACCGCTGTATCAGTCATTTCATTTCATCCTCATGCGCCTCTGCAGAACAGCTGCACTCAGCAATCCCAGTTGATGTGTGTGATCGTCTGCGATAATGTCGCAGTCGCCACCTTTTTTGTTCACGTGGAGGGGAAAGATTATGATCAAAATTAATTTTTGATTTGGTGAACCTTTACCCCCTCAGGCTAGCATGCCAGACGTGTGTCTCCATTCCATTGGGGCGGTTGTCTTAGATATTAGATATGCATTATATCTAAGCTTCGACTTTACTTAAGGACCGTACTGTTCATGACGCGGTGACAAAGTAAAAAGTACTGCACCCTGGCACTTCCCTCTCCCTACTTCGCTCAATTATGCAGGCAGCCATTGTCTTCCACCAAAATAAAAGCAACGTACAAGGCTGATTAACTATTGAATATTCTCGAGTGCTGTAAATCATGTCGAACAGCGAGGATTTCGCCAAGGGGCCATGTCGTAGCAGGCCAATCATCCGCATCATTACAATGCATGCCCCCCAAAATTCCGGTACGTATATCCTTATTCTGTGATACTTCCGCCTCGACCAGGGGTTTCACTGAGTGGAGCAAAAGCTGTTGTGAACTGTAGGGTCCTATCGTATTCAAGCGAACAGCCGAGGAAAGAAGTGAACGGGCATGGAGAAACAGAAAAAGGTGTTGAGCTCGCACTGGAAAACAATTATAATCATTTATCCAAGCAATTCGGATATCAAACATACGAAGTGAAACTCCGAGAGCACTGGTCAGCACCCCCCAGCACACGGGCAGATGTCCATGCGTCTCTTCTCCGCGAACAATGAGCTTTAGACGATCGATGAGGACGGTCAAGCTCTCTGAAAGGTGGTCTTCATCACTGGGGCATGAAGGGCGAGCAAACCCTTTTGAGTACAGTGTGAGGAGTGCTACCCCCTGGGCTTTCGAGGCGCGCTTAGCCACATGATTGAGTGTCATAGTTTCATATAACTCATCCAGCTCCAATAATTTCCTGATTGTAGCGTCATGGCTGGTCTCTGGCTTGCCCTCGATCTCCTTGAATGCATCTACTACACGATGAGCGTCCGACACGAATGGTAGAGCGCTTCGAGCGTAGGTATGCAGGCTGTCTTGAATGAAGGCGATTGTGCCCGCTGTAACTGTTCTTCCCTTGCCCGCACTTGATACGGGTGCAAGACGGAGTAAACCATGTGCTCCGTAGGACTCAAACCCAGAGGACGCAACGAATGAGCCCGTGGGTAGATTAGAGTCTGCGAGGAGAAGCAGAATGTATGTCTCATCGAAATTAGTGTCCATCACGGTATCTGTGCTACATAGTTTTTTTAATCCAGTCGTAGTTCTAATGAAACACACTCACTCTGGGGCTCCGGTCCAGTCTATGTGCAGCGGCTCTGAAAGGATATGATCTACTCAAATGTTATCTTAAGTGGAGGTCTAGACTCAGTAAATATCGAGGTGTTTATATTTCATTGACGATCCAGCAATATCAAACCATTCACAGTAGAGTAGTATACATAACGCGTGTAGATGGGAATGTCAGGAAAAAATGCTGGGTGGTAACCCGAAGTTCAGAAAACAGGTGGTATGCAGAAACGAAAATATGAGGTTGAACGCGAAATGTAAACCACCAAGTCAACGCAGGGACAAGAACTCGAAGGTACCTAAAACAACAAGTGCTAAACTAGTATAGTAGAGATATCAGCAGGTTGACATGCGAGCAATAGGATAGTTGAATCTGTGGGGACGAATGACACGAACGCAGAGACGAAGAAGAAAACAGCCCGATTGTGAGTATGTAGGATGGAGCATTGCGATTAATGGTTGCGAAACGGGGAAAAATAAGAATGGAGGCGACGGCGAAATTGACAGTCCGAAGAAATGGGTTCAGGGGAAAAACCATGCGATCAATGAGAAGTGGAGGGATGTCAATCATGTCGTGGAGTGGTAAGTACAGATATATATATAACTTGCAGATTTGTGCTGTAGATGCTTGCATGCGGACAGTGAGAATAGGAGGGAATTTAAGTTCATCCCTTTAACCGGCCCTAGCGGCCTCTAGTGTGGTCGATGGCGACAAAGCGCGATGCGGGAAATGCTGAGGGTGATCATGGGTCAGGTAGCCTTCTGAGCTCTGATCGGGTATCAAGGAATGCGATGGGGGGAGACCATTCGCGCGCGAACGAGGTGACGAGAGTGGCAGACCGAATGGCGAGAAGGTCGAAGGTGCACCATTCGGTGAAGGCAGCCCAAAGGCTTGCGAGCCACGAGGGAAGGCGGCCGCACTGCCAGTGGATGCCGTCGGCGCCATACTGAAGTTCGTGGATGACGGAGGTGGGGAAAAGAACCGTGGAGGGGGCGGTGATCTCGAGTAGCCATATGCCCCGGATAGGGATGTTGCAGTTGAGCTTTCGCGCCTCATCCCCAAGGACGTGTCGACATCGAAGGGGTGACGAGCTTGGTATGACTCAGAGGGGAAGGGGGATGCAACACCAGAGTGAGTGTTACCTTGCTGTTGTTGAAGCAAGGATGTACCGGTGCCAGCACTGGTTGGTGTGCGTACACCCAATGGGTTCTTGCTGTATGATAGGCGGATACCACCATTCTTTACGATGCCGCCGAGAGTATTACCGTACAGTTCGTTGAGAGCTTTTGTGGCGTAATGTACATCGTCGAACTGCGCAGTTCTCAAATGAGCCACCATCCCCTGAAGACTAGTGCAGTTGCTTACCTCAACGAAGCACATCGGGCCGTTACTCTTCTGCCTAAAGCATAACTTCCTATACCCTGGGCGACGAGAGAAAAGTTCCCTTAGGCTATCCTCCAGAAACCCTGCAGGGTATCCACTGCCGACGGACCCTGTCGGAAGGTTGCCCACGTACAATGTATTGATAGGCGGGTTCTGGTCGACAACGACATTCCTCGGGCCTGCGCCGGCAACGTTCCCGGCACTGGTTGCACTGCCACCTCCATTCATTCCAGCAGATGAGCTTGCTGATCCCGACTGCGAAGCAGCAGGTGATGGAAGCTGAGGTGAGCCGATACCAGCACTCCCCGAACTCGGTTGTGCACTAGTGCTGACTGCGAGGAGGACCGGCCTGTCACCTTCAAACCCTCCGACGGAACTCGAAGTAGCGCTGCCAGGTAACATCGACTGAGGCTGCGTCTGCAGGTGTAAAGACTTGTCCACCTGAGAGGATAGGGGGTAAAGCGAGCGAAAAGCCCCAGAACGGTGCGGTGGAAGCATCATATCATCGTCATCCGTCGGTGAGAAGGCTGGGTTGGAAGGAGGAGACTCTTGTTGAGGAGACGGAGGTCGAACGGGTATCATAGACTTCCGAGCTGCATAAAGAGATGAGAGGGTCTGGGGAATGCCGGATCCCTCCCGCTCACGCGAAGAAGGCGGATCCCAAGGTCCGATACTTCGAGACTCGCGGTGATTGTTGTGGTCAGGAGCCATATTGCTGGTTGCATCCCGGCCAGTCTGAGCGATGATGTTGCCATATCCATTTCCCATGAGTGGGCTTGGACCATTACTTCCGCCCTCCGTTAGGCCAGAGAGGGACATCGACCCACCTGCAGGGGAAAGTAGACCGCTTTGTGAATGACGGGAAGGGGCTGAAACCGCATGGAAAGCGTCGAAAGCGGTATTTCCAGGCAACATTCGAGGAGCGTCAGTCTGGAACTGCTTCAGGTCCTTGCTACGCCTGACCCTGTCTTCTTCATCAGCCTGAGCGCGTTCACGAGCACCACGCATCAAACCGAGCCCAAGGCCAAGTGCCTCCCTGCGCCTGTCACGGACGTTACTCTCCCGCTCATCCTCACTGCTGTCCCCAAGTCTCCCCTCGCGCCAGCCAGAGCCACCAAGACCCACTGCGTTTAGCTCCCTCTCGCGCGCGGAGAGGAGATCAGAGTTGTTGCCGGTAAGCGCAGCAAGATTGTTCAAATTGAGATTGCTGTTGAGGCCCAGGCCGGCGAGATTGGCGATAAGATCGGCATTGCTTGCGAGACCGTTAAGCGATCCCATGCCTCCGCTTCCACTCAAACCTCCGATGTTCCCCATGCCACTACCAAGAGAAACACTCCCACCACTTCCAGACGTCGTGGCGCCCATGCCGACGCCTCGCTTGGTGTGCAAGTTCTTCTTCGCCATCTCGGCCTTTAGGATGGCACCTTTCTCAATGTCAACGCGGCGGCCCTGAAGCAGGTCTCTTGCCTCGAGCGCCTCCTGACGGCTGCGGAACTTGGCGAAGCCTATGATCTGCTTTCGGGGTGGCTGGCCACCTAGCCCTTGTCCTACTTGGAAGTGCGAAGGCTCATCTAGCGGCATGGCGAGGGGCGGCCACGAGGTCGTTGGGCCGTCTCGACCGTTGTCAATCAAGACCCCTCCTTGATTGACGGTGACGACGTTGTATGGGTCATTAGAGCCGGCACCCAGATAACCGGCATAGGCACCTCCACGGAGAGGGAGACCAGATGGAGTGGTCGATGTTGTCCCACCGACCGACCCGTATGCAGTATACTCCTTGTTTGGTATCTTGAGAGTAGCGGCTTCAAAGCCAGAGGAAAACGTGAACATATTCTGGAACTCACGCTCCTACATACAAGCTGTCAGAAATCGCGAGATGTCGCAAGAATGCTCAGCACATACCTGCATATCATCAGGAAATCCAACAACAAAAATGGTCGAGATCTCTTCTGGCAGTCCATTATTAACACTCTGCGACTCGAGACTCAAATTGATCTGCCCAGCGCTAGCCATGGGCCTTGCATTGTTTGTCGAAGCTCCTGCATTCCCACCGTTAGACTGCAAGTGGGGGCCATAAGGCGTCTGGCTCTGAAGGTGCATACCATTCAGGTAAGGTATCTGAGAAGCAGAGTTACTGTGCGACAGTGGATGATAAGAGTCGTGGACTTGTGATTGGTGTTGGCCCTTAGAAGAATGCGCTTGGAGGAACGGGTCCAAGGAGGAAAATTGTTGAGAGACCTTGCTACCTCCCAGCGGAGAGTTGGCTCCGAAGTCAAACCCTGTGTGTGACTCGAATGCGGCAGACCTGGAAGAGCCCTGCTGAGATTGATGAGAGAGCTGGTGTTGTAGAGGCTGATGAGACGCAAACATCTCGTTCGCATTTGAAAACTGTTGCGAGGGGAGACCATCTGATTGACGGAGGCGGTATGAACCGGTGGCACCAGTGCTGGAAGTATTGCCACCACTGATCCCGTTATAAGCGCTCAAGGACGACCTGAACGACCCAGCGCCGAAGTCGTTTTGAGACTTACTCCCTGCGAGGCTCTGTTTGAGGGAGATATCGTCTGAAAGGTACTCCGGAATGAGATGGAAATTATGGGATGTGTTATACATGGATTGAACTCCGCCGTGAGAGAACAACGACTCCGAATTTCGGTGATGGTTATCATCGATGTGTTGCTGAAGAAGGGAAGTGCGGAGGATGCGATCATTCTCATTGTGGTTGGGATTGAAATCGATATTGTTGGGGGAATCAGACCTATCCATACTTGGGATATGAAACTGCGCTTCGGGAGATGGTGCTCCAGAACCTGAGTTGGAGTTTGACTGAGACATAACAGGCTGGGGAGGAGAGAAATGAATGGGTTCTGCGTCTCCTTGGGCTTCGAGGGAATCGAGAAGCGAACGATTAATGAGGTCTTCTTCGAGCCTTTGGGTGGGCGGAGGAGTCGAAGCTATGGACGCCAGATTGATAGGATGGTGTACGAGGATGGTTACAGACAAGTATATGGGATGGCTAAGACTAGAAACTGGACATCAACAGCCGTAGAATGATATGAAGGCGACACAGACGGATCGTGGGAGGTAGCGCGCGAGGGTGATTGCTGATATGGCTACAATCGAAAAACAAACTGACGAAAAGCGTGTGTATAGGCTATGAGCGATTGCGAATGATTGAGAGACTGTGGATGACGTCGTCGACGAACGTGACAGCAATGAGCAACAGCGGTCGACGTGCGCGACGCGTGGGAGTAGATAAATAAGAGAGGTCAATACTGAATAGACAACGAAGTGACAGCAGATGACGCGCACGAAAGTGTGGCAGACGACGAGCGGAGCAGGTAGGTCGTCGTCGTGGACGACGAGGAAGGGTGTCTTGTCGCTGTTGTTATCGACGAGGAAGATGCGATCGAGGTTGTCAAAGTGTGAAGGAACAAAAGGAAGCGCGCGGGGCCGACGCAGAATTCAAAACCGAAAAAAATAAACACCACCAATTATTTGGGTCACGAAAGTCACGCTTTCTCCCACGCACGGACCCTAACCTTATTACTTTTCCACGCACACACCCTCCCATTCAACGCACAGACCATCTCTGACTCCGGTGCTGTAGCCTGAAAGAGTGCGAGAAGAGAACGAGGATAATGGACCGGCTGCGTTATAGACAATATTGTCTCAGCTCTGTCATTGTGTAAACATTGTTGAAGTTACAAGTCATCGAGGTTGAGGCAAGTCGTGGACAAGAGGCAATTCCCTTGATTGGTTGTCAGATTGTAATCCTGGTCGTCTGCCTGATAGGTGGGTGTCGTTTGGCAACACCACCCCACGACTAATATGAAAAGGTCGAAGCTGAATCTAGCTGAATGGGGTCGCCGCGCAACAATTCAGAAGGAACGTTTTATTTCCTCGTAAACTATTATTATAAAATTCCGATATTCCGTTTATCTTCGACCCTACCGGCTCTCGTAACCATGCGCTCAGCGGAGCGCTTGCGCAATGTATTATTGCTGTATGTTGGTGAAATATTGAATCGACGAACATACAGCAAATGCAACATATGAGACATCCGCGTTTATTATCAAGGTGCCATTGATCTGTATCCACTCTTGAGCTCGATGCATGCACCAAGGCAAATCATCTTGACAGTAGTTGCGGCTAGAATTTGTGCTCCTAACAAACATACTGCGCACATAATACATCCTTTCTGAAGTGTACCTGCTCTAGGTCATATTGTGATGGGTCCTGTCCAGTCGCAACAAGGCTCGTATCCTTCTGGCCTAATTAGTTGCCGCCCGGGGATGACACTCACTCTGAAGTCAACCTTGTGCTCGGGTACTGGTCATTGGCACACAGGTTATCATAGGCTCTGCGTTGTTCCGCGGAACCGAGTTACTGATTTTTGAAAAAGTATGAATGTCAACAGGAACCACTACTGAAAGCTGTGAGACCAAAAAAAATGTCGCCCAAAGTAAGGAGTGCCTTGCACTTCATGCAGTAAAATTGCCATGGGTATTGTACAGGATACAATATGTTTACATGGAGCATCTGCAGACAGGGGAGAAGGTGATCAGCGTTTGTCTGAAGAAGACAGGGCAGAACTATCGTACATGGAAAAATCTATGCGTGCCGGCCAAAATATATCGTCCATATGAAAAGCTGCATTTCGCGCGACTCAGTAACAATGAAGATGGTGACCCCGGACCTACTTACTACAGAATGACACATATGCCGCAGGTGCCTACATATCTCGCAATCCTCTGAATCCACCGACCACGAGCAGCAATATGGTGATACCGACTGCCCACAGGGAAGCACAAATGAAACGCCAACGTGCACGGGACGTCGCTTCCGCAATGGCATACGGGGAGCGCAGGTCGTAATATGGCAGCAGCCCTAACGTAGGGTCAGAGTTTAATAGAGGAGTGGGCCCAAAATGTGATGGTGGGATGAACGATGGTGCAGCATTTGAACCGAAAAATGATTGAGATTGAGTGCACTGAGGGTAAGCTCCGGGTATCCGTTGATGAGGAGAAAGTGGTTGTTGCACTGAGGACGAGTTATGTAGATGGACGGAATATGCTGGAGGAGGCACTTCCGTATTTACGCCCGACTGCTCTGGCAGTTCGCGGGACATGGTTAGTTCCCGTCTATGAACCGGGAGGGACGAGAGGAATGTTTACTAATAAGTAGAAGTCGTACATGCAACAGCTATTACTAAATTTCAAAACCGCCGGGCCTGCAGGTGTGGCGTGGTGCCGCGGATGTCGATATCGACTTCTCTAGATCTGTCCACCACTGCGTCATGGTGTGCGGACAAATCTAATCCAAATCGATCGAAAGTAATAACGTTTATTACGATGCTAGTAGAACATAAGGGCAAACATCAACATTAACATTATGTGCTTGTATTCTTGTATTAAATGAATATAAACTCGCGCGCATCTTGCAACACCCCAGGCTCGTTCATTTTGATGCCGGCATGCATGGCCAGCCATGTGCATGCATGCTAAACAGGACGCGTGAAGACACAACATGGCGTAGCACGATGAGGGCGCATCATGTTCGCCATGTTCTTGGAAACAATGAAAACAGAAACATCGAATGAAATGACACTGGCATCAGGGTAGCTGCCTAATGACCTTCAGCAAGCGAAGGTGCTACTGAAGCTGCTGGAGAAGAGACAGGTGTCGGAAAGATAATATGTGTTCTCCTCTACCTCGCTAGTGCCTGGTAACTGAAACACACCCATATCGATAGGAGATAGCCCTCTCGGCTGATGGATCGGTGAGAAAGGCGTGTCGTTCCGGCTCAGCTGCCAGTATTCATCCGTCATCCCTGCCTCCGACTGGAAATTAGATTGCGGCGATTTGTCCAAGCCCATCATCATTAATTCTGACATTGGAGTTACCACCCATGTGCCATGAAGCTGCTCGAACTCTCCAATCAAACTGCTGTCAGCGCTGAATGACGTTGAACATGTCAACGATGTCGCCGACATAGGAGAGAAATCGAGGCTGTGCCATGAATCCGGCGAAGTCGATTGTGGGGCCTGCATGATAGTCATGGCATGAACCTGTGAGGGGGAATGGGCATTGACGGTGTCTGGGGGAAACTGCGCGTTTGCTATTTGAGCAAATTGCTCTAAAGAGGGATCATTGTCCGATGCTACGCTATACAGCAGGGCATCAGGATCCTGTGATACTGTGCTTGAATGAGGTAAATGCTGGGGCGTCCCCACTGTGGGGGCACGAGAGTTCTGCGATGAGTACGGGGAAGGTCCCGGGAGCAAAGCATACAAGAGCTCTGATGTATAGGGTTCCAAATGTGGCTGGATCGACGGCAAGGTGGATCCTGTACTAGATGAGGGTATGTGTAGCGTCCCCTCCGTCCCGGCTGGCGTAATCAGAGCCACTGAGGAATGGGCAGCAGTGACATCAGAACACATAAGATCAGGTCGACCTTGTGTTCTCTCGGGCACAACAGAGGGCATGGGAGATGTAGGCACGCTGAGGTCCCAAGATGGTGGAGAAGACAGTTGGTGTCTCCTTAAGCCTAACTGACCACCAGTATCGTGGATGGTGCGGGGCAGGCTTGGAGATGGGTTGGATTTTTCAACCTTATCCCGAGCTTCATGCTCCATAGCTAAAGGACCACCAAATTTTAGGGAGTTATATTTTCCATCTGGTGTTATGACCCCAATGTCATAATCGCTTGGTTTTAGAGCATAATATTTGCGGCACCATTTCAGTCCCCAACACGGTTCGAGCTGTTGAGAGGAATGGACGGTCAGACTTATCAAGAATAAAAATGAAGTGTTTACGACTTACGAATATTGTTGGTATACATCGGAGTTCGGTACCTATGACACGACCCCGGCCATCTTCACGTCCGTCCATGAGGTATCGCGAGATATGAAAGTAAAAAATTGTGAAATACCAAAGCGTATGGGACCTTCGTGAAGGGGAATATCAGGACCATTTGACGCATGTCCTTATAACGAAGTTCGTTTCGGTTCAAGTACAGCCCACGACCGAAGCATTCAGTGCGGGAATACCTTATTCTGGGGTGCATGTGCAGGAAAAACGTGTTCACCGGCGTTAATACACAGAATGTATCGCGCGTTAGTGAGACCAAGCGGCAAGATAATGCACCGCTTGCAGTTTCTGACGCAGAAAATATGCTGTGCCATGCTACTCGCCGGACCGATGATGACTTATGGGTGGGAAATATTTACCGCCATCAGCGACTTTGTGGGCGTATGTAGGCGCCACCGTGCACGTCAGATGAAGTTCCACCGACGGCGTGTTTCGAACAATATGACACTTGCCTCGAGGCTATTGCGTGGCGGTTCATGGATGTCTTGATTGTCGTCGCAGCTCGATAAACTCAACTGAGCGAGAAATCAGAAGCCCGCTGGTGCGACAATGATGGATGGGCAGCGAAGGCAGCTTAAGGCTGGAACGAGTGAGAAGACGATAGGTATCAGATGCATATGGCGACTGCCCGCAGGGGAGTTTCATGACCATGGATACTGTGCATGGCTTTGACTTTGACCGGATGCCGCGAAGGAGGAGACGCCAGTGAGAAGTTGTTCTCTGAGTCTTTGGGTGGGGGCGAGTTAGCTTGTTGGAGAACGTTGCCGTTGGTGCAAAGGCTGCACTCGCTCGAATCGCAGCGGCGGTACACATTATCCTAAATAAATAATATTGCAAGGGATGCAAAAGCGATGTGCGAATAGAGTAGTTGTTGACAGATCCAAGGAGCTTTAATTGCGAACACGTTAACAGAGGGCACATTGGCAGCATAAGCAGAGTTCAACTTTCCGTTTCAACACTTCAAACGTTATAACCACAGCAAATGAACTACGCCAAGACAAAGACCTTCCGATACTCAATAAATGATTTACATGCAATGTAATGTGTATGAACTGCGATAGCAATGTGGTCTCGTGTACAGTGAATGTCAATCGTTGGCATGCGTGGATAGAAGGAGAGCTCAGAAAGGGACTGGATCAAGTTTGAAAAAGTCATACAACCGACATCAAGTCTTGTTTCGTGCGGTCCCTGCGCGAGGATAGGTTCCAGCGTCTTGCGACGGCGGTTTCGACGTGCCTCTTCGGGTCTGTCCGCGCAATGTGTGTTCGCTGGGAGGCTAATCCTGCCGTCTGGGGTGCAGCACGTGAACCACCACGAGTACGGTTTTTTTGCGCAGGAGCAACGACTTTCCCGCGAGCGGATGCTGGGAGGTTCCTGGTAGTCAAGGGAGGCTTCCGAACGTTTGTAGTGGGCTTAGCGATAGGACGAAGGTGTGTGGTTCGCCGGGTAGGCTCAAGAACTTTTCTCCTCTTGGCTCCTACGCCACTATCCTCACTATCAATGTCCTCATCATCATCGTCAGTTTCGCCGGGGCCAGAGTCGAGGTCGTTTTTGTAAGATGCGGCCGCAGTAACCTTGCCACGTATGGTGGTATTTGTTTGACTTCTTGTAATAGTCGGGTACGAGCGTTTTTGTCCTGCATAATATGCCGAACCAGATGTATGGAAAGAGCGAATGGACTCTGATGAGTTGCTGGTACGCAGGGATGACGCATTATCGTTAGTGGTCAAAGTACTGTGCAGGCTCGCAGCAGAGGAAGATGCGTTGGATGCCACTGACGACGGGGAAGCGCGATAAGGAGTCCGTAAGGTAACATCAAAATCATCATCATCGACATCCGTGTACGCATCCTCGTCCTGGCTGCGTACACCGCCGGATGATTGGAACCCGTCCACACCAGGATGAACCCGTGGTAGGCTACTGCTTTCGTCGCTCGAGCAGCTGCTAGAGCTGGGGCTCGTGGGCTCATGCGCCTGCTGGAGCGACACATCAAAATCCTGGTTGTGGTTCAATGTGTCCTCCAGAATGGGCGAAATTACGGTAGCCTGGGCAGGAGGTGAGTCGTTGCAATCATCCTGTCTAGATGGCGTGGTTCCAGGAAGAGAATGAGATGTAGGCAAGGGCGTTGGTGGGTATGCCGAAGGAAAAGCTGGATACCCTCTCCAGTCTTCGTCAGGAGGTTCACTGACGACAACGGCTGGTGGAGGGGTCATCAAATTGGGAGTAGATGCATTGGCTATTCCCGACCGTCCAACGGATAGGCGGCTTCGTCTGCGTTCCTCTTCGTGCGCAGACGGTGGGGGATGCCAGATCTGATATGCAGCCTTTCTGGTACTGCTTGTGGCGGGGCGCGCATGAACACGACCAACCGTATTATTGGGGTAGTGTGGAAGGGTTGTCATTGAGGACGACTTAGAATACCGCACACGGCGCTCCAGTGACGTGCCCTCGTAGTATTCAACAGAAGGTTGACGAGACTTGGGTCGCGCCCTATTGTCAGAGACGCTGCGGATAGTGACTGGGCGCCTGTCTGCAGCCCGGGGATTTGCATCCACGGTGGTATATGCTTTAGCTGCCATGGGTATATTAGAGTAACTGCTGGAGCGTGTCGCGTTCAACCCTGAAGCTGAGATTCCAGAAATGTCGGTGGCCGATTCATTTTCTTCTGTGTGCCAAGACAGACCCGAGGACAGGGAGAGAACATAGTTGAGCGGAACTTGTGAGAGAGCAAACAGAAAATCTCCGATATCCCTTGCTAGGTCGAGCATTGGGTCAAGGGTATCCACATATGGCTTGATAAGTGGACGCAGAATATGCAAGTACAGAGGTTCAGCACCCTGAGTGAATAAGGCATCAGCTTCGCTTGCAAGGAAGAGAAATTATTGTCGTCCTACCTTGGCACGGGTGAGCAGGAGAAACAGTAACGTAACCGACTTGATTTCGCTGTAGAACGGTACGATGAAGCTGACAAAACGGTCAAATGTTCTCTCATATGCTGCAAGGCAGCACTACAGCACAATAGCACTGAGCATGAGCACGCTACGTAGACTACGAATTACACTGGCAATGTCTTACCCAAACAACCCAAACTGCAAGACACCCTTTGAGGTCTCTCTTTCTCTGAGTCATCGCTCTGGTGCTAGGGAGCCCGCCCTTGCGTCCAGGTGGTACTTTGAGAGTCTTGTACGTGTCATACACGTTCATAAAAGTCATAAACAAACGGAGAGCAGGAACGACGAGTGGCATGTTGAGAATAGGCCCGAAGAAGTGCCCAACAGAAATGTCCAAGGCGCCAGGTCCGTCAGAAAGCAAAACAAAACAAAAAAACTCCTAAAACGCGGTCGGGTGAGTTACTAGACTGCCTGATGGATGTTGTGGTCGACGCTGTTGAAGTAGACTTGTGCACTATGAACGTGCCTCCCACAACCATCGTGTACGGCACCGCCTTACATAACAGACATATAACGAACGACAAGTCAAACGAGGCAGATCAAGTATCATCTGTTTGCGATGCTAATTCTCTTGCGCATATTTGACGAAGTCCAGAAGCCCAAGGTAAGGTGTCCAAGGCGCATGAATTCGTCAGATGGCAGAATGTTATTAGAACAGCATGAACGAGATCCATAACCTCGCAACCTAACATGATGAGTGTAGAACTAAGAATATGTACGGAATTCCCGTAAAGTCATGTGAGGAAAGTGCACATTATAGGCCGCGAGGTCAGAACATCGAGCGATATATCCGCAGTCACACCTAAGGCAGCGAACGTCCGCAGCCACTATTTGATGATGTCAGTCCACTGCCTCGCTACGATTTCCACCGCCAGGTTTTCAATCGCAACTTGATACCTCCCGTTCGCAACCAAGTAAAGAACGAGAAGACTGAGACCAGATTGGATCATCAACGCTCCGGAAGGAAAGGGAGTAGATCCTTGATACGTCTTCCACTGGTGTGGCTCCAACGCGCATGTGGGTCACCGGCATCGCAATGAATCCAGGAGACCGGGCCCATTGCACAGAGCACCGCTTGAGTACTTTCGAGGGCGGATACCTTGCTAGCCTCACGCACCAGTTGTTCCATGTAGAAGCGACGGAAACAGCAGAACAGAAGGGTAGACGGAGAAAGAGGGCAGTGATATTGATTTCGTTGAAACTTGTACTATAATTACTCGCCTTGAGAAAGTTCAAACACGACCGCCTTGTGATCACCCATACCAGACATGTATGATAACCTTAGTAATAAGTCCAGCCGGTCAACAAAGTCTGTGCTCATCGCATTCGTAATTCCCGTGTTTTTGGGACCTTCGAAGAAGCGATAATCGGCTGTAGGAAGCGTCGCGTTTATACAACAAGGATGTTTGAGATAGGCTTCGTCATGACGAGTCAAGGGAGACGAACCCCTGCCGACCTGATGTCCGACCGATGTGCCGTTCACCGGCCAGAGATAAGTCATCCCTTAGAAGGTAAGTACAATCTGCACGTTCAGTGAGCAACGCGTGACCAGCCGATATGATGATAGAAGAAGAAGATACAAGCAGCTGGGCTCTAACAAGTCCTTACGCAATGATCAGACCTGAACCATGGGAGAATGACTGAACACTAGACTTCTTTTGACGCGACATACGCGACCTCATGGCTTCGTAGGGGGCCCCGACGCCAAAAGAAAAACAAGACACAGCCAGAGAACGTACAACGTCGACAAGGCAGGACAGACACAACAGATACTAAAATGGAAAGCTTTGTCAGAACTTGGTGTTGAATGAAAGTTCTCACGGGTAGACCTCACCTCCCCGCCGTGACCAACGATGCCCAGAATACGCACAACGAGGACGAAGAAGCCCCCGGAAGGCTTCGAAGATATTGAGAGCGTAGGTAGTGTTCACGAGCAGTTTATTTCCATTTTGACCATGCTGTAGATTCTCGATGACTACGCGAAGAAGATGAGAGACGCCGAAAACGAGTCTCATGAGGGCAAACGCAAGGCCGAGTCCCTCTGGCCCATAATGCGTATCTCACATACCCGGTCGCGTTACATCTATGAGCTCTATTACAAGCGCGAAGCTATCACGAAGGAGCTTTACGACTGGCTCTTGAAGGAAGGATACGCAGATGCAAAGTAAGTTAGTTGCTAGTCTTTAAACTTTGTCACATACTGAACATCAATTGCTTTAGCCTGATAGCCAAATGGAAAAAGACAGGTTACGAGAAGTTGTGCTGCCTCAGATGTATCCAGACCAAGGTATTACTCACCTTTTGACTCGCTGAGACGTCGCTCACTCATTTGTCCAGGACATGAACTATCAAGGCTCTACTTGTATCTGTCGTGTCCCGAAAGCACAGGTACGGTCGGGTACAGTTGTCGAATGCGTACATTGTGGTAAGTGCTCATATTTCGATTTCTCGCTCGTCACTGACCTATCCGTTAGGATGCCGTGGCTGCAGCTCAGACTCCTAGGCAGGGGAGGTTCATGTCAAGGCATTCACCAAGCAAGCAGAACATTATAGCTAGACGTCTGTCTTAGAGGTGTCCACCCAAGTTTTGTCAGTCAAGGTACATCAGGAGGACCGATGGGGAAGTGTAGTTGCAGTGTCCGCGCCCTGAGGTCCATTGCGTCCATTTGCATACAGTAACGGCTTTGCTCAGAATGTTTGTTATTTAGATATTGAAACGTACTTTGTATTCGTGCAATCATTGTCGAGGTGTTCTCGCGATCAACAACCAAGAATGGGGCATTTGAACATTACAAGACTGTCGACATGGTGAGGTTGCTAAATGTCTTGTATTTTTCGAACATACATTTCGGCATGCCGTTGTGGCGCGCATGTAAGTACAAGGATTTCTTGTACGCATTCAACAAACATTCAGGGGAGGCATGCAATCCCTTCTGCGGGTTGCCATCCACCGATCAGCTTGCACTTCTGTCTCCAGCGCGACCTTCATGTCGAATTCAAGGCTTGTTCTACGAACCACCCAAAACGTGATGCAATACAACACTTGCTACTGCGCGAGCTTTTTATAAGCTCGAGGGTGGGATCGTAGCACCCCGCTGCCATCAAAGCAATCACACAGCAGTCGGTGAGTCGTGTATTCTCTTGACGTCTATTCAGAATCCTCACTACAACCTTCCTGCACTGAACGAAACTACCTTCTGTTCTATTCATGAACAGAAGAACAATCTTCACCCAAGAATACGCCGTACAGAAATGGTTTTTGCCCAGCGCACCGTGACTTCGCAAAGGAAGCGCCCGATGTGTCACAAGTGCGGGTCGACCATGGCGGGCCATACGCGAAAGAACAACATATTCGTCTGCCCTGCGTCTTCTCAGCGTACATCGCACATTCCTTTGCCCCCCGACTCCCCTCCACCTACATACGAGTTCCACGGTTTTCAGGTTCCACCTGGCGACCGTTGGCACTGGCGAAATCCTAATTGGATCTCGCCACCGCGCGAGCGACCCCACGAAACCGCCCACCGCAACGAGTCTCTCACACCTACAGAGCCTCTGTCCGACGGTGGGTCTGGAAAAGAAAATATTGCACCCTTCTCTGTCGGAGGTTCTCCTGCTCCTAACTATCCCGCCGACGAGTGGGACGATTCGGACCCTTTGTACTACTATCCCGACTTTTCCGTCAAGGAGGAAACCCCTGAGCCGGTGTTTGATTCATACATATCGGGTTGCACTAACTCGCCGCCTCCCCGCGAGTGGTCCCCGTTCTCGCAGTCACCTATCACCGATATAAGCCTTAATACCGCCCTCCGTGCGGGCACGCCGCTTTACAGCGTATACCGCGTCCCGCGTCAAGATGTTCCCAAGGTCCAACGCACTGCACAACGTGAGGGGAAGCTCTTTAGCGTAATGAAAGCCCCTCCTGCACACCCCGCCAAGATCCCGCGTGAGAAATCGCGAGAGACGGTGTGGGTCATCCTCAGTGACCGCGAGGAAGACCTTCGGTATGCGGTACATTCACAGCGCATGCCAGGCGCCCTCACACAGGGCTCGATGACTGATTTCAGCTTTCCAAAAAGTAACGCGGCAGCTCCGGTCATACAGAACGCACCGTTCTGCAATGCTGTGGATCAACCTGCCGCTCAGCGTGATGTGCGTAATGCGACCTTTGACCAGTCGATGTACAGTATTCCCGGTGGGCATGCGGTTCAAGGGCACCTGCGAACAGCAGGTCATGGGTTTCTTCAGATGGCATTTGCGGGGATCATCGGTGGCCTTGTCGTCACCTACGGACGGGCCTTCTTGTAGCGATTCGGGGCGACCGTCCATCAGTGGTGTTGGTTTGGGAATGATTAATGAACGAGCACTGTACGTTACTTCCTCTCGTTGGACTGCCTATACGATCTATGCCAAATTATGCTACAATATGCGTTATGTATTCTTTGTACATTATACCTATGCCAGACTTTCTTATGATCGACTCATTCAGTTAGTGTACAATATTGAAACAGTTTAAAAATGCAGTGCTCAGCTACTCAAAGTACACGAGAATGTAGTACGTGTCATGAGAGGATATGAACAGTGTATAGTTATGTTAAAAGGTCAGTGGACGTGTAAGAAATGTACGCGGTAACAGTCATGACATCGTCGTAAAAATACCGCGCGAAAGCAAATTAGAGAGAGAAAAGGGAAATAAAAACACATTCATATACACCCCCATAAATTATCCTGGCCGTTCCGACCGCGACACGAACTTTATACTGCCCAATCATCCAACGTTCCACCTCCAGGCCGACTCCAGCCTCGTGCCATGCGTTCCTCCATACGCTCCTCCATCCGTCCAGATCTCGCAGGTCCCACATTGAACAACGCCTCTAGCCACCCACGTGTCTCCCCCTCTTCCTTGTCTTTCCCCTTGCGCTTGCGGCTCTTATTCTTCCGCTTCTCCGAAAGCTTCGAAGGCCCTGGACGTGTGCCCGCATATGACTCTGGGAGCTCTGCAAAGCTGATGCGCTTGGGCGTCGACACGCCTGACGGGGGATCACTCCCGAGGACTTTGGCCACCCCGTTTCCAAACATCTCTGAGAGACTGCCTGTGCTCGGCGATGAACGAGGTGTCGGAGGCACAGAGCGCACCTTCAGGGAGGAATGCGTAGGTGGGGAAGGGGGACGTGTGGAGGATGAATGTCTGCCTTTCGTGAAAAGACGGGATATGGAGGCGGTGGCGGTGGATGTGGAAGCAATTGGGGCGGGCGCAGGCGTGACAGGCATGAACGTGGGTGAGCGAGTCTTTTTAGGCTCTTTTCGAAGGGAGTTGACGGAGATGGAAGAAGCTTGTTCGTCAAGGATTTTACGGAGGGATTTAACTGCGCGGTAGCCAGTAGGCTGATCGGATGAATCAGAAGAGCCAGCGGAAAGCTCCTCGATGGGTGGAGTCATTATGCGGGGAGGAGGGGATGGTCGCCTGGGCGTCGTAGAACGAGATCGTGTTGCAGACTCTGGCTTGCGACTGCGATCAGGAGATGCTTGTTTCCTCCGTACCGAGGAAGGGGACATAGATAACTTTGATCCTCGATCAGTGCTGCATGTGCTCGTTGATCCACGCCGTGATACGAAAGCATGAGGGGATGATGTAGTGGATGGTGGAGGCGTGGCTGACTCTGAACGTTTCACTATGTTGGAGAGGAAATTGTATGCTGGAGTTGGTACCACCTGCGGCTGCCCTGACAAAAGAGGCAATGACTGTGAAGACTGCAGTTCCTGCTGTGAAGTAAAAGTGTGGTCCTGCCAGTCGGCCGAGTGCGATGAACCAGAGGCCCGTAACCCCAGGGTGGAGGGCAAGAGTATCATGGAGGGATCAGCTGTTGATTCAATATACTGGGTAAGTGCCCTAGGGGCAGGTGCAACGAGCACATCACGTTTCAGGTGAGAGAATTGCAGCTGTGATGAGCTCGAACTCGAGCCGTTGAGCTCCAGTAGTGACGGTTTCCTCCTATGCCGCAAATCCCTGATATTTGATGTGGGTAGACTCTGGCTAATTGCAGCATCATCCGGCTTGACTGCACTAATGTCTCCACCCTCCTCGTCAAACAGCCCATCCACACCTTTCGATATCTCTTCCAGATGGGTCATCCATGTCCCGTGCACATCGCTGTTCAACCTTATGCGCGTTGAAAGGTTCCTCGCACGAACCTCGAGAGAACGGTCGGGTCCAACTTCAGGCGAAAGCAACGCCGAAAGACTGGATTGGGTAGAGATTGAGGTCTGCATGAGAGCATTCGACATCTCGAGGGCGTGTACACTGCGCTCAAGCAGCGCGTCGAGAAACGGGTCGGCGGCTTGCACAGGAAAAGGCTGGCGTTTCCGTCTGCGTGTGTAAGATGTGCGTTGGAATGAATTGAGGTGAAAACGTTGCGGCACGTAGGTCACAGCTTGGTCCTCCGTGTCTGCGTCTGCCTCCTCGCTGTCAGGGTAGTCGGGTGGTCTATCGGATTCGTTACCCGCCGAATTGCCGAATGGTTTGCTCCAATTGAGTGGGGCCGAGTACTCTGGGAGAGTCTGCACTGTGTCGGAAGACAGTCTGGACAATGATGAACGTTTCTTGTGCGTTCTGCGAGAAGACTGGTGATGGTAGTGAGACGAGTTCATGGCTACAGGTGACTAGACTGATAAATATGGTGGGTACGCGCAATCAATGACGCTTGACGGTTCACGGAACCGGGTGAGAAGTCGAATCAGAGCAAAGTTGGAGCAGAGGGGTAAGTATAGCCAATTGAATCAGTCAGCACAGTCTAACCATGCCCCAACCACATGTGGACATTCGCCACATACGGCCCGTCGAGTCACAATAATTGATATAGCATTGACGTATACAAGCATGCGACCACAAATTCTACTTATCCATCGTGCAATCGTCTGGCAAACAGCAGTACTAATCACCGGATATCTAATTCTATACATTCAACCCAAATAATGAAGTAATGGACACATAATGGAGGTATTAACGCTACGTGAAACGCGGACATAAGAAAATGGTAAATGCAATCAATCTTCGAGAATCCTTCAAGCCACAACAGTCGCAGACGCCTCGGGTGTTGCAAAATTGTCGAGTGGACCTGCACCACCTTCGAGGTACAATCTTGCAGCTCTATTTAGCAAGACAGGCGGCAGATAAAACTTCCAATTCGTCCAGAGGAACCATCGGCTGTAATGCGACAGAATGGAGTCGTAATCGACTAATAGCACAGTGAATAACCTGTCCACGCCAATTAAACGAGTCCCTCACCTTGAAGAGCGGCACGCAGTGCAAGCCACTTCTTCGTCACGTCCGTGATGATGACATCGATGTCCCATCGTACAGCCTGCGTCGGGAATTGAGACCAGAGGTGGCGTTATAACAATGAAGCCACCTACCTCCATCATGTGCTCCGGCTCGTTCACTGTCCACACCATAATCTTCTTGCCCGCAGTCTTGCATTCATTTCGGAACCTTTACCATGCCGTCACGGCACTGCCACTGAGACAACTCAAGAATGAAACTTACTTCTGGCCATCAGAAGTGGTCAATGAGGCGAACGACATTGAAAACACTTCTACGCCATCCCAGAAGTATTTCCGCGCAATCGAAAGGCTCGAGCCAATGTGTGAGCGCCTGCAATATGGCAACCTCGCTTTCGCAAACGCCACGAAACGCGGATGCCAAAGGCCCAGTAAAATACGGGGAGCTAGTTTCGTCCTCCACTCAGGCTGCGCTGAGATAACATCATGCATGAGCAAGAAGAGGCGGTCTGGGTCATTCTGAACTTTGACGTCAACGTTAAACTTGACATGCTGGTTCTCGGGCTGCAAAGAACGTGGGCGGAGATCACATGGTGAACGCACGGGTATCATGAGTGTGGGGAAACTTACTTTCATCAAAAGAGCAATAGTCTGCACGAACGTGGGGATACATTGTTGAGGTTGTTTGATTGTACGAAGGTGTTCCATCCCATCTTTGCCGTGCCAATCGCGTTCCCTAATTAAGCCTAAGATCATTGGTCAGACCACACACGTGCCTTGGAATGGATTGCCATAAACAAAAATCACCTTTTGATCCGGTGGTCCTCTCTAAGTCTGTAGAACGCACGCAGCGTCGAATGAGCGAATCAGAAAGAAGAGTCAACTATTCAACATACCCGGGTCGTGGAACATGACGACGACACCGTCCAACGATACGTGAACGTCTGGGATAGAGGTTATGGAGACCAAGACAGGCCAGGGTTACTAAATACCGCTCTCGATGCCATCTGCCCCATCACTAATGGCGGCTTCAAAGCTGGCGAGCGTGTTCTCGGGGAAAGCTGCTGAAGCCTACGAGCAGTGACTTTAGTGCCAGGAGCGTTGTATACATAGTACAACTTACTCCACGATGACCCCAGCATTCTGAAACATCAATATCAGTCCAACTCTATTGTGACCAACATTGTGAACGGCATTACCTGGAAGAACTTTAGTGGCGGTCATGTCTAAACTGCACGCAAGCACTAGAGACGGGGTATAAGAAAGGAGTCCTAGAAGTATATGGAGGAGAGGAGATGGCGGTTGAAGGCAACAACTATTTAGTAATTATATAGCAAACTTAAACCGTAATACTTCTTTTTGTAAGTACTAGCTGGGAAACAAGCATTTACCCGAGCGAATGTCGGGCAACTGGGGTTCGGAATCGTGGGCGAATCCCGTTTGACAGAATGAGAGAGAAGCACCAAGGATTTGGAGCATTATGACACTTATGTACATTGAAATTTCAAAATTTTGCACCGCTCGAGCTGGCGATACATATAATTGGCTACGTGCAACGGACCGAATCCCCTCAGAATGCAAAATCATTTTGGAGAAGTTAGAACATCATTGGTTTACAAGAACAGCTGGCGAACAATCAACACGGGGAACTGGAGCGTGACGCGACGCGAAAATTTCTCTTCACCTTTTGGAGAAATCGGCGCTTGTTCGAAGCAGCCTCGAGGCAGCACTAAAACATATAAACCCTCACATTCCGAATGCGGGGAAATGTGTGGGCTTTGTGGGGTAATCATGTTGAATCAAGGAAGACAAACATCGTATATATACTTAAGCGTGTCGGTCTAGAGTGCCAAGATTACGAACAGCTATATAATGAAGTCGAGAATGGTATCGTGCACTGCAGGCGCTACAATATTACCTGTTCAGCAGCCAATGTCATTTGTTCTAGTGATGATGTCTCCCGACAACCACCATCCCCTCATCGTCTGTCTCTGTTCCATATTCACTGACACTTCCTTCTTGCCTCAAGGACGACCGAGACATCGCAGCATCAACGCTCGGCGCCTCACTGCTACTCTCGCTTGGCGTGTCCGGAACATCATCGGACACAACTTCAACCGCGGTAGCTGGTTTAGGATCCGATTCTTCAACAGGGGGCAAATTGGTCTTCATTTCTGGTTGTTCGGCTGTTGTCATCTCCTCTTCTGAGGCGACTTTGACCGAAATGTCACGTAACGTCGACAGCATTTGATCTCGCACTAGCGTTGTCAATTCAGGGACGTCTGATACAGAGAGTCCCGCGGTTGAAATCGGTGGGAGAACTGTAGGGTGAGCGTTCATGAGTAACGTTGAGCGGCCATAGATTGAAAGGAGCTAAGTGCGCGAAAAGGGGAACTAACCTCGGACCTTGATGGTACCCGTCCCAAAAACGCCCTTGTGATATATTCCCCAGTAATTCTCACAAATGACGGGTATAATAGGTATCCCAGCCTGGACGGCGAGGTGGAAAGCACCTTTCTTGAAGGGTAGTAACGATGGTACTTCCTGGCAGTGCCGTGTGCCTTCAGGGAACATCATCAGCGAGACACCCTTGGACTTCATCTCTTCTCCAGCTGCTGCGAGCGACTCGTGTGCCTTTGAACTGTTTCTACGATCTACGAACACGGCGCCCGACATGAACATCCAGGGACCCAGAGGCGACCATTGAAGCTCTTTCTTAGCCATAATGGATGCTTTCATAGGGAACATCCTACAAGCGCCGTGTGAAGCAGAACGTGAACTAGGTCAGCACTCATCGTAAGCTGCTTCAGTAAATGACACATACCGCCCCAACCACAAAATATCGAGCATACTCTGGTGATTGCCTACCATGACCATAGGGCATGTCTGCAGGTGCTCCTCACCCTCAACCTCTACTTGGATGTCGAGAATACGACTAGGCAATGGCATAGAACGACCGAGCGACGACATAGTTGACGTCATGCCTACGACCGATCAGTGTCATTCCGACTGCAACACAGAGCCCCCATGTCGAGAATACTGCAAGCGTCCCAAGGTAAATAGTCAGTTGGGCATAATAACGCCCAACGGGAGAAGTCGAAGCGACTGTTCGAAGTAAGATAACAGGAACAGAGATATAAGCCAAAGGTTTAAAGAAGAGAGTGAGAAAAGACATGAAGAATTGCAGTCTACACTCTAGATGGTTAATCACGTTGGGAGATCGATAAAGACGCGACGCAACGCACGCTGTAAGACAGCGGACGTGCACGCGGTGAAAGTGCTGTGACAGCTTAGATGGGAAAATAAAGTATCATATGTATCTACTTTGGCACCCAAACCCGTTAAGCACACCTAACGGAGTGCGAAATAAACTCCATATTCCCTACGAAAAACACACCACGCCCTGCGCGTGACGAGCGCGGATTGAATTTCTTTCATTTTTGCTAATATCTGGTATCATGCCCTTTAATTGCAGCCGTAAATCTACCACACAAAGTTCCCCACGTACACCCGACGGTCGGCTCCACTTGAATCAGCATTGCACTAGTGTATGATGTATGAATAGATGCTGACTTCAGTGAGTCGGTATAGTCGAAACAAGGAATGGACTGAACGCCACAACATTGTATCTGCTGCGCTTCAGGTACGCTTCCTTCACGAATTCAGGACATTCGTGATCACGGCGGATCATGGCGAGGCTGTGGTGGATGCTGAGTGGCCGCACTATCCCTGAGTCTGATCAGTTCTGGCACTCCCCGCGCCACTTCAGAACATGAACACAGGATGATAGGAACAGCGACGAAAATTGCCGAAATGAATAGCATAACTGGCGCTCGGCACAATGCACTAGGTAGAATTGAAAGAACTGCACTACAGCTGATACATCGGAGGTGAGGACCGGAATGACAAGTGCCACATGAGCGCAGATATGTATCAAGCCTCCTTGGTCCGCAGGGAACGTCGGCGGGGTACCTCCTGCGTTTCAGTGTCAATATCAGATGCTTTCCTTTTCTTGCCTTTCTTTGGTTTGACCTCGGCTTCGTCATCGGCACCAACCTCTGCCTCGACTTCGTCGCCACCGTTGTCGCGCGTTGGAGTTTTCTTCTGGATAGCCCGAGAATTCTTTGTGGGTTGTCTCGGACGATTCGATGTACCTGATTTTGTCTTCCCAAAAGTCATCCCCTCCCAACCACCTTTTTCTGTCATCATCTGGATGATCCCCCAACATTCCTCACTGACCCGCTGGACGCTCAGCCGTCCGCGTGTGACCAGGGGCATCGCTACATGAAAAGCACATCGTGAGACACATTCGGGCAATTAAGTGAAGTCCGAAGCCCCAGCACCTTTCATAGCTTTGACTCCCTCCGTGCCTATATACGCGATTTCATCCGGTGGGTCCGAGTCTGCAATATGACGGAGAAGGGATAGCGGAACAAAATGTTCAGCGCGCGATAGGAATGTGGCATCTATCATGAACCACTTCGGATCATCTCGCTTAGTTTTCTATAGATTTCGGAGGATGCGGTTCAGTGCTACGCACGAACAATCATTAAGGACAAATTTACCGGATCGAAGTAGGGGTGAGAGCTAAAGTGCAGAAACGTCAGTATGACGAGTGCTGAGAGGGATTTGTTTTGAAGCGAACCTATCCCAGGCCGTGTCTATAGAATAAGTATGAGCTTATCAGGGAGATGATTTCAATATTTATCTCCAGGACGTACAGTCGGGATATGCTTCCTTCGACACCTATTAAGGGGGATAAGTGCAGGAAGCGAGAGATACTATTAGGCAACAGACCTCAGCAAACCCAGCGATGCCTGTATACATGTTAGAAACAAAGGTCGCAACGACAATCACTCACTGACCAGGATTTTTACAGTTGGAATGATAGAATAAAATCTGACGAGCTTGAAGATAGACTGTAATGTTGGGGTCAGGAGATACACACCTTATCTCCAAGGGACATCTCCTTCATCAAGTTGCGCGCTTCGAAATTCCGTACTCCTTCCCATGGCGTCGTTCTTACAGCTTCGAAATCATCCACGCTAAACTATCCGCATAGCGCACGCATGTAGCGGGCTATATTGAGCTCTCGCATTTCTGGAAGTACCTCTTGGAGCAAAGCACACACCTTGACATCTTTGCCCTTTACGATACGCGAATCTGGCTCGGCCTTCATAAGCCAATACTTTCTGTCTGTACTTGTCATAGCTATGTAGAAAATTAGATGTCCTCAAAAGTATGCTAGATGATGGCCGCCACTACTCGCCAGCGTTCGGCTGCACCAATAAATTTCAAACTCAGTCGTTTCTTGGCCAACGAAAAATTCGAAGGGAACACTGAACCGTCTCACTGAAAATATGCAGTCACGATGGTAGTCTGGTAATGAGCTGTGCTTGTTTAACGTTCAGTCCGACGTACCCGCTACCTGCAAGCCTCAGACGTTCTGATGGAGAAGGTCAAATCTCCCATGCGTCATAATAGCGCCGTTGCTGTGCATGTCGGATATTCACCGAAGCTGTCAAGTCAAGCTCAAACTGCGCACCTTGAGCCGATATACGCGAAAGATCTACGCGAAGGAGGCAGATGCATTACCCGAATATATGGATGTATCTTGGAGAGTGCTACATGTGCCATGTAGGACTAGGACTGTACTCTGATGTCGGCCGCACTTAGTAACTGCGCAACGGGTCTTATTAGATTCACATGTACTAATACAATTCCTGTGAACCACGCCTTGTCTTGCTCTTGGCGCTTATCAGATTCTTAAAAGCTCACTCTACAGGCTACAACTCGTCGTATTCACTTGTAAAATGTCGAGCAGTCACATCGGAATGCAGTCCATTGATCGCAAGGACCGTATTCCTTCTCCAAGCAGCAGCTCTTCCCGTGGGAACGTGGTGGACCATGACGCTCCTCCTGGTAAGCCAAGAGTCTGTTTCAGGTTACTGCTTTGAATGTATTCTCACCATGACTGAAGTTACAGACGAGTTCGCATCGAGGAGGAACGGTCCAGAAGCTGCTGGTAAGAACCGCATGATCAACGTCCACCCTTTGAAACGCAGCGAGATGCAGGTAAGATAGTATCTTGGGAAATACAGGTTATAATGTCTGACAACATCTCTTGTTTAGCCCTCGTATGCACAAGACCTCGGTACTGGCGAGGTATGTCAGCTCGTTTATGTGATATATTTCTCTTCTTACACTGGCATAGGTCACGCATGGTTTCTACGGATCATTCCTGCAAAGTCTCGGCGCATGTGTTGGGTTCTGTGGTGCTATTCCTTGCTGTCCTCTCCCAAATCCATTCCGAAATGTCCAACAAGGTAAGAGTTACAGTCTTCAGTCTTCAGATCATGTGTTCTAACCGAATCTCTCAAGGTTCGGTTGGTCTGGTCACACGGTTCGGCCACTTCTACAAATCAGTAGATCCTGGTCTCGTGCAAGTCAATGTCTGCACAGAAAACCTGCGCATCGTCGACGTCAAGATTCAAATCAGCCCTATTGGCAGGCAAACCGTCATCACCCGTGACAACGTTAATGTTGAAATGTGCGCTTGTTTCATATTCGTGCTGCATCTCCATTAGTTAATTATGACATCGTCTAGTGATTCTGTCATATACTTCCAGATCGTCAATCCTTATCGTGCCGCCTTTGGTATTACTGACCTACGTCAAGCGCTCGTGGAACGTGCTCAGACCACCTTGCGCCATGTTGTCGGTGCTCGCGCCGTTCAGAGTGTCGTAACTGAGCGCGAGGCTATCGCTTTCGAAATCGCTGAGATCGTCGGTGACGTGGCCGACAAATGGGGCGTTGCTATCGAAGGTATCCTCATCAAGGATATCATCTTCAGCCCCGAAGTCTCCGCTTCTCTCTCCTCTGCTGCACAGCAGAAACGCATTGGAGAGTCCAAGGTCATTGCAGCCCGCGCAGAAGTTGACGCTGCTCGCCTCATGCGTCAAGCAGCCGATATCCTCGCATCACCGGCTGCTATGCAAATCCGTCAGCTGGAGGCTCTACAACAGATGGCCAAGTCTGGTAACACCAAGGTCGTTTTCGTTCCTATGCAACTCCAAAGCGATGTTGTTGGTAAACTCAGCAATGCTGAGGCATCTGGGTCTGGGTCTGGGTTTGGTGATGGAGGCGAGGCTCTTACTAGTGTAGGTCGTGCGGGCGTTCTAGCCAGCATCGCGGATGTATGATCTTCTGTTTTGATTTTATTGGACGGGTCCTTCTGTTGTTCTATTTATCCCTGTATTTTCCGCGGATATCTTATCAGCCACTGTTCGTTTATGACCCGACGTCTCATGCCTTCCTTAACGTTCTTGCATGATCTTTTGTATATTTTGTTGTCTTAATGCCATCTGATGATTTCACGAATACATATCGGATCCGACGCAAACAATTACTTCCAAGTGCATAGCAGTATAAGACAAAGGTAAAGGTAGTAACTGAAGTGGGTACTACTGTAAGATTTGCTGGCAGGTACTACTTTAGACAGGATGTATGTACACTTCTTTGATTCTTTCATGCACAGACCCAAGCATAGAAAAGACAGATCGAAAACAGATTGAGGAGAAAGAGGGCAGCAGGGGGGATCGAAATAAGTTTAAAACAAATCGTGTATGAAGGCACATCTCGAGAGCGAACAACGGGTAACCGACAATAGGAGCATAACCCAGCTCATGATCCAATGTAATAGTATGTCGTGGTCCAAGGCAAACGGGCAAACAAAACGAAATCAAGGAGATGAAATTGAGCAATGGAATCGAAAAGAAAGGAGTTTTGAATTAAGGTGCGTGGCGGAGGCGATGGCCGTTCCGAGCAAACGTTCTTTAAGATGAAGACGACGGATGGGGGCGGTTGTCAGATCCCTGCGACTTCCAAGGATGGTGCTGGTCCAGATCCAGACTTGCGAGCGTGCCATTAAGATCGTGGATGGGATCATGTTCCTCCTGCCCATCGTACTGGCTTGACCGCCCTTGTGATGACGTCTGACTGGAGTTCGGACGGGAGATTGGTTCCTGGCGCGCCAGGCAACGACCACTTTCAAACGACTTGGCAGAACCATCCATGAACGGCACATATCGCTGGGACCCATTTGGCGTGCGCACAGGGGGCACGGGTCGTTCATTAGGATTGGCAGTCGCAGCCTTGAACTCCATGATATTATCATAGCGCGATCCGTGGTTCATGGAATGGGGTAGCAGATCGTAGCTGTCTGAGCCTCTGCGCGTGTACATATTCGGGTCCGGGGAGAAAGGCGAGAACGAGGACGCGAGATGAGATCTGTTGTGATGTTCAACAGAACTTAGGTTTGACGGTGGACGTGGTCCGGATGCCACTGGATACACATCGTATGGCAGTTGACCGTCAGAAAGCGGTTGGTTCATGATGAGCGACCGTAATTTTTCCTCAGAGTACCCGCTGCCTTTTGTAGCGTCGCCGTAGTTGCGGTTCGATGCATCACTTGCACCGTTGGATTGACCTTGACCAGTTAGGCCGAGCCTTTGCAAGAGCTGAATCGCCTGCTCTGGCGTCATCTGACTCTGAGGAGCAGGAGCCTGGCCCTGCGCAGATGCCATCTGGGCCTGGAACTGAGCTTGAAGTGCGGCAGCCTGGGCTGCCTGAGCCGCAGCTTGCGCGGCTTTGTCTGAGATACTAATATCAGTCGACTGGGCATGACGCAACACACGAGGACATACATTGACTTCTACCCCAGCTCAACCGGATTCTACTCCCGCCGATAGGGAAGCCCTGCATCTTCTCGATAGCTCGCTCCGCATCAGCCTTTCGAACAAACTGGACAAATCCACAATGTTTCCCGACAGGAACCTTTACCTATGCGAATACCGCTGTATCAGCATCCCACCAATAGCGCAAAAGTGGAGCTCTCACATAATGGATCTCGCCGAACGGAGTAAAGAATGTTCGCAAAGTCTCCTCGGAAATCAAAGGCGATAACCCACCAACGAACACGGTCGTGTTATAAGGATCGGTGGACGTGAGCTGCTCGCCGTTCGGTCCGATGAGGTTCCCCAGGATGGCACGCGCTTGGGCGTGGTGCTTCCATGACTCTTCGGAGATGATGTACCGCGGTGCCACGGACCGATCTTGCGAGTCATGCGCGGAACCAGAGGGAACAATGCTTTTTCCATTGCTGTTCGACCCAGCGTTGGCATACTGTTGCGCGAGGGCAAGGACGTCGGCGGAGAGACCAAGCATCTCATCCGATGACATCGAAGACAAGGCTCCTGAAGACGCGACGGTACTCGCCTCAGATCCCAGGGAAGGTATAGAGCTCGAGCCGCTCAACGTTGATCCCGAAGCAGAGGGACCAACAGGCACGCAGGGCAACGCAGACGAGGATCCAGGGCCCGTCGAAGCCGCTATGGGTGCGGAGACGCTCCTTGCCTGACCGCCAAGCGGGAGGGCGACGGTAACCGGGTTTGGCCGCTGGTCAGAACCGGGGGAACCAGGGAACTGGATTTGAGGGAGATCCGTCGGCATAGGAGGTGGCTTGAATTTAGCGGTGGCAGGAGATATTCGCACTAAAAATCACGTTGGTGACTTGTCAGGAGTAGGATATGGAGATGACTAACTAGGGCGCGAAAGGCAGTACAAGCCATGCATCTCTATTAGCGCGCGTTGTTGGTCCGACTCCTCAGTGAATCTGTATGCGAAGGGGACGATGAGTTCATTCATCTAGCTGTACGACTGTGGCAGAGACTCACCGCACAAACCCATAGCCTCGGGAGATGCCAGTTACAGGGTCGAGCATGATCTTGGCACTCTTGCAACTCAAGAACGGCCGGATGAACTTGGGTTCACGATCATTCCGTAGGCCAAGAACAGGGTTCCGAAACACGGCCACGAGGTCCGAATTGGACGTTTCTGGGGCGAGATCACCAACGAAGATGCTGTACTCTTTTGGAAACTGTGGGTGCGCCGTAGGTACAATTACACCAGCTGTTGGGAAAGAAGGCGGGACCGGACCAGTAGGAGCAGAAGATGCCCAGTTAAGGACAAAGGGCTTATTTGAGTTTGGCATCGTAATAGGCTGCGCATTCCCGCCACCATTTACTTGGTTGAGAACAGATGAAGCGATAGCTGGGGAGGGGAAGGTGAGGTAGCAGTAACCAGAGTTGTTGGTTGGTTGAGCGGTAGTGGCGTCTGGGCCCGGGTTCGGAACTTTGACGGTGACTGGGTCCCAACCCATGAGAGCACAAACCTGCTTTGCGTATTCTTCGTCCATCCAAGGTTCGAGTTCGCCCCACCAGAGAGTAGAGCGTAGTACGGTTAGGTTGGAGTTGGAGTTGGCGGGCAGAGGGAGATCGCCGGAGGGTACAAAGTACTTGCTGGAGGGGGATTGAAGCTGGCGATGGAGATAGGCTTCACGCTCAGGGTCAGAGGGGGCGTTGTAGTAATCTGTGTTGATAGTGAGAGCGGCGGGCGAGGTGCTGTGGGGGAGAGAAGGAGGAGGTGGACGGTGGTGGTTAGAAGATGAGAGGTGTTGGGTAGATGTTTGTCTATTTGGTGGGGCTTGAAAAGGTTCTGAAAGCATTCCAATACTGCTGTATTCCTTGTCTGGATGAATAGCAATAGAACGGGGTATTGCCGAGGTGCCAGTGTTGGGAGGATAGACACTAAATCCGTTGGACATGCGTCGATCTCCTGACACAGGATGAGTCGGAGAATTTGAAGGGTAGTTGTTTGACATGTGATCAATTTCCGAGGTGGAACGAGTGTAAATCAGACCAGGAGGACAGCTAAAGTCGTGAAAGTCAAGGCGAGACATATCTAAATGATAATCTGGAGGTAAGTCTGGTAGAAACTGAAAGGAAATTGCGCACAATTACGACGAGAGGATGATCAAAGGGAACAGTGAGCGAAAAGAGGACAGCAGATGGTGTTAAAAAAATGAGAAAGAAAAAGCAAGTAAAAAACAACTGCAGGAGAGCAATAGAAATAGAAAATAAGAGTGATTGATAGCGATGCGATGGAAGACGAAATGCAACGAAGATTTGTTTTAGAGTCTTTTAAGATAACTAGTAGGAGATCTAGTACGTCGTTTGAGTAGATGATTGGACGTACTAGGTCAAAGATGATATGTATAGCTGGTCGATTAGCTTGGGCCTGGCCTATAGTAGTGCGGAGTGACAAGATCGGAGTACAATTTAAAATCTGTCAAACGTCCGACTCATTTTCACTGAGATCATTTTAGTGCCTTGTCGAGCACATTCATGATATCCATCAGAATCATAGAACTCAGTCTGATACCTAGATCACATCTCATCAAGTCGTCAGTAAACCATAACATACGTCGCGCTCACCTAATTCAGCTAACAATGGCAGCTCAGTCAGTCGAACAATGAGAAGACTACTCACCTTTTTATAAAGTGCTCTTCGGGAGTTCTAATATATATGGGTCCATATTTATGCTTTCGTGGCAGTGTTCACTGATAGGCGCCCATCCTTCGATTACTAACCTGTCCTTCTCATGTTTTTCTCTCCATTATCATGAACGAGTCTAGAATTTATTCTGCATCTGATCCTACAGACGTATTTACATTGTTCAGGTCAGTCCCTTTGTCTCCGGTGATGGTCTTTGGTTTGCAGAAGTGGCGACACACATCACTTCTCCGATGGTTGGGGACCACATTTGTCCTGTATGTTCGTTGGGTTGGCTATATACTCTACCGTGTTCATATAGTACCAAGTCGCTACTAGTAGCCAGGCTGAATTCGTCAATCCCTGAGACTTACATAATCAGAGCGGAACCTTTGGTTGCACTGCAACGACTGGTAGTATTTCAAAACACAGGCTCACACCGAAACAAAACTGCTTTAACTTAGTACTGGCGGTGGGCATTTCCAAGCCATGCGCCGCCGTTTATCTGTTTCAGCAGACCATGCAAATTCAGCTCAGAACTCAAGCAAGGCTCATAGAAGTAACGATTCTCACCATCTTCACACAGGAAATGGCGGTCCTATCCACCCGCCTTCCATAGCTTACTCAGGCGCGTCTACTACCCCGCAACAGAAGATGGTCGTCCAAGCCCTCATAAATAACAGAATAAAGAACAAGGTACATCACTTATTCACTCCGGCCGTTTGATCAGCTCTCTAACTTGTTACATTACTCACAAGCTGCCAATCAATTCTGGCCTGTCTCTGGATGTTGTCGAGTCCGATCCTGCAACACAGAGAGCAGTATGTGCGTTAGTCGAGATCGCACACGAGTCGTTAGATATAATATCATGGTCGTTAAGTGAACTTCTCGAACGACTCGCAAAGGTACTTCCGCGGCTTCTGCACTGAAATAGGTGCTTATATGCGCGTTATTATAGCAAATTGATGCAGACGGGCAAATGACTACCGAGGCATTACAGTCTCAGCTGTTTATTTTGAAGATTTTGTCGGTATGCATGACATCGAGATGGAATCACCGACACGAACAGGACGAGACCCGCCCCTCTCGCGCGGGCAAACCCCAGAATGGCAGCAACACTCCTAGTCATGTAGAGTCGCCAGTACCGTCTTCGAGTCAACCGAGTAGAAGGTTTCGTCAACCTTCCACCGAATTCTCCTCATCTACACCTCCTCCATGGACAGAGTCTTATCCTCTGGACGACAACTGCGCACGTTATATCTTGAGTGTGATGGTTCTTTATCTCCGTCAGACAGCAGCACCGGAAGCTCGGCTAATGTCATCTTCAAATCTGGCTCCTGATGCGTCATTGCATGACTTCGAGTCGGTGGATCTACCGACAGAATCATCAGCATTCGACGATTACACGGGCAAGAATGGCCCATTACTACCTCCTCACATATCGCATGGGCCAAAACCGATCCTGAAGCTCAAAAACTCAGCTGCCTCATTCCAATCAGCTGGCAGCGCAAACTCAGCGCACTGGCAGCTAGGCCGTACGTTCCAGTTCGAGAAGACTCATATGGCGCTTGTCAAATCCGCACTTGCGCTGAATCTCCTTATCAGCAAGTTCGCAGGACGCATCGTCTACCATCTCTCCGCGTCAAACTGGCTTGTTGTTTTCCACCGAATACGACAGAAAATACACTTCCTCGCCAGCACGGCGGAGGACAATCCTGATACGATTGATTTACAGCTAATGACGCACAGTGCGATGGATAGAGCGCGACTCGTTCAGGTTCTGCATGAGCTTTCTTCGCTTCTTGTAAACATGAAGCGACAAGCTCAAGCAGCGGTTGCCATCCCCTTGCGTATGGCAATCTGGAACTGGATAGAGATGTGCCCGCAGGAATACAACGAGGCAGTGAGATCAAGAGGGAGACTCGAAGGCGCACCAGAGCGTGTCTTCGACCTCTTGCACTCCGCGAACGAGCCAGGTCGAGAGCGTGCACTTTGGCCGACATTAACTGTACTTGCTTGTCTGGCCGCTGAGCGCTTATCGCCAGACTATCAGGTCGATGTTGAGAGTCGTTCCGCAAACATTCACTCTTACAAATCCTCGCACAGGAAGGTGAGTTGACGTGAAGTGGTGCATAATTTGATCTCATTTTCTTCGTAAAGGATATCCGATTCGTAGAGGACCTACTCAGGCATGCGAACACGACTTCGAAGCTCGCTGATGTCTCTTTCGTTTGTGCGATTGACATGTGTAGAGCGGGATTTCGGATATCGCCAGAAGGCGAAATGCCCCTCAGACATATTGCGGCAGACATCTCACATGAAGTTAAGGTAGTGGTGACATACTAGAGTCCAATATTTCCCATGCTAACTCTTTGCAGTTGACCCTGCAGAAGTCACCAGGACAGAAGCCGTCCTGGGACTCCTGTGAGGAAATTGACGTTGCTACGTATGCTGAGGCACTTGTCGCTGTATTCCGTTTCCTGTCGGAAGAGGAGTCGATATCTCTATTCATGGATTGCTTGGAGCCTGAACGGTCTGACGCAGTGAAGATTTGTGCTATCAAGGCTGCTACCACCTTGGCAATTGAGGTTTGTGTTTCAAATGCAGCAATGTCCATGCTTTGGCTGACCTGGTTTATAGGCACCCCGTCTTCCTTGGCAGCAATCATTGGAGAAGCTCCAGAACGATATCGCACCACGCTTGAGAGACATCTACAAGGTAAATGTGTAGCTGCGGTGCTGCACCTGCTTGTCGGCTCATCGACTTGATCTACAGGCTGCGTCCGTCCGGCTGAGTGAGTACGACAGTGATGGGACTATCCGTCGTGCAGCATCTCGACCCAAGGCCAAGCGCTTCACGTCCGAGACGCTAATCGACAAAGACCTCATGCTCCTCTCCATTCTTGCCCTGTGGCGGGCATCGCCGGATTACTACATCACCAACATCGGACAGTCCCACATGGAAGGCTGGTTGTCGGTCTCTGCACGTATCCGGGATTCGGATGTTGATACGGCCGTCAAAATCTCGGCCGCAACGTCGAACCAGCACCTCATAGACATCTACTTCAAGATGCCCCCGAATGACCCATACTACGAGACGATCGAAGGGTGGATGAAACATTCTTTGTTAGTACGACGTTTACTCGCATTTCACGATTCGCTGACTGTTTGCAGGCCGATGTGGTTGATTGCTATCGCTAAGAGGTTATTACTGACTAGGCTCGATCCTGACACCCAGAGACTGTGGATGCACATAGCTCATCAAATCATCGAATGCTACCATCGCAAGAGCGAGGTTAGTCGTTATCTTTCGTTCACATTGACCACCTTACAGATGTTGTGGTGTAGGGAAACCATGCTCACGGTGTGCAATTCAGTGAAGAACGTGTACCAGCCTTCGCCATGTCCGAGATAGCTTTCTTGGTATCCCTCACGTCAGTAAACAGTGACGTCTCGCAGCTTGCTGCCCAGGGTCTTCGTCTCATTGCGCAAGCTGAGCGGCAATCCGAAGCTCCTGTCAACCATGGCCTCACCGAGGAAGAACGCTCGAAACGAAACCCGATATACGAGCAGCTTGGCGACCCTAGCGTCATCATCGTTGGTACGTATTATCCTCTTTTGTTTGATTTCTCTGTGTAATTCTCGTTGTAGGACGTGTTCAAGAGCAGAAGCGTGTCAGAAAGCTCTTACGCTTGGTTGCCAACTCCTCGCCCATAAACATCGCTGTTTGGGAGGAATGCTTTTACAGGTGGAGTGCGCTCTCAGAGTTTGTCGTGCAACATCCACTGGCGGCAGCAGCCGCGTTCGACGACGCTCATTTGAGCAAGCAAGAGCAGCTCATGTCTCTCGAGGTATTTGGTGCTCTGAGCTATCTTCTTTCACAGAGTTGACATTCGTATAGGACAAGTTCATACAATGGAAAAACCTCACCTTGTTCTTGGCCGCGTTCGGTGGTGTTACCGTACAGGAAACGCACGACCCTGGTGCCCTTGCTGCTGCGATCCCTCCTGATTTCTTGCTCGACGATATGCGTACGCTGAGGGACCCAGCAGACCTCGTCACGATATTCATCGAGTTCCTCACGGGTGCTCTTATTGACGACGTTGTTCGTGTTCGGGAAGTTGCGCGAGAAGCTCTTGGCTCAGAACTCAGTCCTCGTCTATTTTCAAAGCTGTTTAAGCATCTTGATGAGTGAGTGCATTTTTCATGTAATTATTCTTGCAAGTCTGACAGAAATGCTGCCAGGATCACGCGGAACATTACCGATGGAGCAGGTTCGGAATTCAAGGATGAATATGGACTATTCTTGGATCAGGTGCGAGATCACCACTAGACACTGACATGCAGAATTAATTGTTCGCTATAGTTGATCTCGGTCTTGAAGTCGCTCGTCGAGAATGCGCAGATGCCGCCTGACGAAGCTCTCAGCGTTGATCTCGGGTCGATCCTGTATGTCCTCGTTGGGTTTATTTCTCGCTTCAGTGATCCAGTTTCGTATCGAATACGGGTCAAGTTTTGTGCCCTCTGTGAGAGTATCTGCCATCGTACGGACACTTTGACGCTGCGTAAAGACGACCTATCGCGCAATCGCATCGTTGATGTCGTGATGGACTGGTTCCAGGATCCATTAGCGGTGCGTCCGTTTAGCTCTGAGTTACGGCCAATTACTCACATATCCCAGAACACCGACCCCGAAGCAGTCCAATTTCAGTATGAGTTGAACACGGCGTCTCTTCGTACAGTCGTCAAGCTCCTCGAACGCTTGAAACTCCAGCCGATTGATAACAATTCCAATGATGGCGACGATTTTGGGCATGTGGTGTCACGCTTGTTCATAAGATACTCCCATGTTTTGCTGAGAGCTTTGGACATATGTCGGTCTGACCCAATAGTAAGCAGTCGTCTACAAATCAGTTCGGGAACGATACTGATAAGGTTGAAGTCATCTGATAGTACTTCGGACGTCCCGTCTCTGCAGAAGGTTGGGTTTCATGATCTGTCGTAGTTCGGTAGTTGATGATTTCTCCCAGAAGATGCAGGCTTCTCAGAAGGAAGCTGATATTCGAGATATGGTGATCACAGGGCTCTCGCACCTGGTCATCTCAAACTCTGAGAATGCCGTCAAACATTGCATTGCTTCTGCATATGATAGCGACATGAGGAAACGAACTATCTTTGTACACGTCTTTGCTCGAGTGCTTGGACAAGGCACCAAGTTCGAGGCGCAGGGGAATCCTGAATTGCAAGCGCGCCGAGATCAACTGCGAGAGGTGCGTTCACATTCCTTGATCTTCCTCAGAGCAATATTAACTTGCACATTCAGCTTGTGAAGGGATCGGATGTAGGGATCACTTTTCTGATATCATCATCAGTATTAACGAGCTTGATAGATGGTACTTGCGATGGTGATCTGCGAGTGCTGTCCTGCTAACGAGGTCGACATGATGATTTCCGTGCTCATGAACATCTTCGACACAAGAGCTTCCTTAGTTGCCTTGCTTAAAACCATGATCGACCGAGAAATAGCTCACACTAGTAAATCAATCTTCCGCACTTGGAAATTAACCGCTCATGTAGTTTCACAGCTTGCGAGGTAGATCTTTTCCGAGGGAACTCAACTTGCACGCGATTCCTCTCTGCCTTTGCGCGGATACATGGGTACAATTATTTGCGGGGTCTGATTGTCCCTCTTATCAAGACTATGACGTCTATGCCCCCGGGTCATGCATATGATCTAGACCCGACCAAAGCTAGCCGAGACAAGCTTGAACAAAACCAGAAGAATGTCAAGCTGGTCGCCTTGTCTTTCCTCGATATCATTAGTTCCTCGGTCCCTGCCCTACCACCGTGCGTGATGACACAACGATATGTTCGCTGTCTTCTTACCTTAATTTTCAGGATGATCCGTGAAGTTTGCGCTCATCTTGCAAAATCAGTGTAAGTGATATTACCTTCTCAAAGAGCAAAAGAAGGCTAATCAAGTGTTAGGTATCAAGTTTGGCCGGACTCGAAGTTCGCTGCCCTTGGTGCATTTATATTTCTTCGGTCAGTTCATGCGTCTCAGCGATCTAAGCGGTGCTAAGTTTCTTTGCAGGTTCATATCTCCAGCCATCGTTGCCCCTGAAATTGTTGATGTCGCGGTGCCCAGAGATGACGGCGGAGTCATCCGCCGAGGTTTAATGGTCATAGCGAAGATTATGCAAAACCTCGCAAACAATATCTTCTTCGCGAAGGAGGCTCACATGGTTTGCTTGAATGAGTTCCTGGGAGTTAACATCACGAGTATCACGCGTTATTTGAGCGAAGTCAACGTTAGTGCAGCAGCTTACTGGTTTTATAAAAGCCTCACCCTTGATAGAAATTCTCCTCTACTGCCGTCGACGAGGAATCCACCGAGTGGTTGGGCACAACAGCCGATGACACCGACACGATCGTTCTTCATCGCTTTTTGGACAAGCATGCGGACAAGATTGGTAAAGAGTTACTCAGTTACGCCAAACTCAATGCCTGTGGAGAAGAAGATGCATCAACTGCTAATGCAAAGCGTGCATGGGACCACCTCTGTAATTTACTTGTCGAGCTGTCAGAAGTTCCCGAGGTTCCTCGTTTCTCGCAACTTCCTAGGTCCGAGCATCGAGAGTTCATTGACCTGATGAATCGTTGTGCCCACCGCAGCATTGAATCTGTCCAGGACATTTTCGTAGCCGCCGACGTTCCTCTCGTTAGTTTCATACCTTCCTTCTCTCCATAATTACTGACACCCTGATACAGGACTTACCTGCCGTATTTGTTCTGCGAGTATGCCAGATTGATGTCGAAGCTCTGGACATCGAATTATTGATGTACCACAGCCTTAAGGTACGCAACTTCGGTAACGCACAGTTATGATGTGCTAAAGACGTCTGCACCTAGACGTTGCTATCGCCCGCTTACGAAAACCGGAAGTTTGAGGTCGTCTTGGACTGTACCTCGTTCACTTCAACTTCTGAGATACCGGCACAATGGCTGACCACCTGCTCGCAACTCATTCCGATCGACATCCGAAGTCGTTTTCAGACTTCATATGTCCTCAACCCCAATTCGCTCACCCAGAAGTATCTAAGGCGAATGTATAACATTTCGTCAGGTGAGGACGATTTTGCATTATTCTGATGAGTTACAAACCTTTTATCTAGGAACCATGCTCGCGAGTGGTGTAAGGGCCTGCTCGTCAGTTGCAGAACTCTTGCAGTATGTCCCACAGGAGAGTCTTACAGTACTTCGGTATCCAAGTAAGTTATGTCTTGTGTTGAAGTTTCTTTCTCACTCGTCTTGTCAGCCTCTTTGGAGGAAGAATCTAGCACTGTTTATACGGAAGTTACCATGAGGCAAGCCCATGAGATGCGCATACCGGTCACTATGGAAGTTGCGGAGACTCATGTCCGGGTTACTTCGGTATGCAATCTCCGCTTCTGTAGGAGAAACGTCAACTAAGTTGCACATTATAGATACGTGCAGCTGTCATCTCTCCGAACTTGAGCTGCAAGTCGACCGAGATCATTTCTCTTGCTGATGTCAGCGATGCCTACAACGTGTCCACCGGCCTCGATCCCTATGAGTTCATCATCCGCAGAAGCAAGCAAGGTGTCACGTCCTATTTCTCTTCACCACAGCGTGATGGCATTGTCAAGGTGAGATCGTTGTATTGCTACAAAACGTCCTCGATAACTAATTTTTTGGATATCCCAGTCCATTCGTGCAGCCAAAAGTCAACTGAGGGACACGCGCTATTTCAGCATGGATAGGTTCCCCAGGTTTTCCAATATCTCCGCAACTCTACTCCATGTAGGCATGCTCAACATCGACTCAGAAGATGAGGGACTTCGCGGAGCTGCCTATGACCTTTTAGGCGCTCTCTGTTCATATCTAAATTACGACAAGAGCCCCATCATTGCGTCGAAAGGTGAGCGACTCTTCGAACAATTTATTCGAAGCGTTCTAATTCAACATTAGCGGGAATTATACCTGGAGATATATCTACATTTGCCATTGGACTGAGTGACCGCCTGGCTGGTTTCGTTCCTAAACTCACGCTCGATTTCATCTCTGTCATATCCGCCGGCATGGACAAGGCCAACGCTGCTCAACGTATCACCTGCTTGCAGTACATGAGCCCTTGGGTGAAGAACCTCGCACAATTCTGTATTCCGACCAACTCGTTGTACGAGCACTCGGGAGCGAGACTTCGAGACTGCATTCGTTCGTTAATTGACCTCACCATCTCGGACTTGGAGGTAAGTTTAGACGTTGTCAAGGTCCCCTTGAGTACTGAATGGCTTATTAGATAAGTTCCATGGTGCACAAATACATCTGGGTGGAAATCGGCCGTCAGGAATCGACTCTCGTCTTTATTGTTCTCGAAGAGCTCATTCGTGCAGCGTCTGACGGCGGGATTGGGTCCCGAAGATGTGAGACCGTTGCAAGGACAACTGCCGCTTTGTCGTCCATCAACGTTAGGGGGAGAATCTTTTCAAAGTTAAGAAAAGTTCTTGGAAAAACTTCCCTTAAACCATCCAAGACACTGCCAGAGAACGTTCACTGGAACGAGATTGCCACCCTTACTCGTTTCGCGCTTGTAGCAAGCAACCACTCGAAGCAAGCAGCCTATGATCAACTATACATCCCCGACATCTTCCACATCGTTACGCTCATCGCGGGCACAGGACAGACCATAGTTCGCAAGTCATTATATGGCGTGATCATGAACTTTCTTCAGTCTATGTATCTTGCACGAGCTGAAGATCCTAGCGCACCTGACTTGCGCAATCTCATCGACGAGCTCGTCAAAGTGGAGAACCTTATGTTGTTTGGTCTCACTCGCCAGTCGAGCACCAGCGAGTATTTCAATTATGATCCTCCAAACGACAACGCGGTGATTGACTCTCAAGAAGCCTTGACTCGTCTCCTTGTCCGAGTGATGGAGGTGACATCCGGATCAAGAGGTGAGTTCCATGCTTGGTATTGTGGACTGCTTCAAATAATTCGTAAGGCTTGCTCAATATATGGCGCGCACGGTGGATGAGTTTAGCGACGTCAACTGCATTCCAGTTGCCAGCGGCCATTCAGTGTCGTGCCTTCCTTGTCCTCGGCACTCTTGCAGCTTCCGATGTCGACGACGATCTAGTGTATCAGATGCTGGTTGCATTCAAGACCGCGCTGGGACAATCCACGGGATCCGACACGATGACAGTGGTTTGCATGCTTCGGTGCATTTGCAAAGTGGTGCCTTCCCTAACCGAAGGTTCCCGGTATCTCTGCCAGATTTTCTGGTTGGCTGTGGCTTTGTTGCAATCTAGTTACATTGCGTTTTATTCAGATGCTGCTGAGCTCATGCGGGCGACAGTCGAGACGCTGGAAAAGCATGGTGCCTTTGAGGGCAGCTCAATACCCAACGTACTACTGGACGGTCGTGTTTCACTGGAAGACACTGTCTGCCAACTTGATCACTTGCTCTGCCTGTCTTTCGACTCCAGTTTCTCCTTCACACTCGCTGCCATTATTTTCAAAGGAGTTCGCCGCAATCACCTCAAATCATCTGCTGAGCTCGTTCTGCGGAGTTTGCTGTCAGTCACCGCGCGGTGTGACAACCAAACTGCAGATGGCCCCCCTTCAGGCCTGTGCCCAGATGCGCTTGGCTACTTCATCGCCTTGATCCCCTTCTCCACGACACACAAGTCTTACGTGCAGCTCCTACAAGACTGTAAAGGAGAAGAGTTCTTACCAGCACCTAACTCCTCTCATCAAAATGATTTTGTTCCTCGCGTTTCCGTCGATCTGCTGTCTCTAACAGACAGCACATCGGCACTTCTCACGGTGTCGTTTGTGAGCACAATGTTGACCACTGCACAAGGCGACGATGCCGAGACCGAGATTTTGTATAATTTGCTGGCAGATATCGGGGCTATGCACCCTGAATCGGTTTCAATGATGCAAGTCCTATTCTTATTATGGTCAATTCTCTCGTGCTAATACTAAGTTCTTTGAAAGCTATGACACTCTGCAGGACAGGATAAAAGACGCCTTCGCAAATTCTTCGAATGCTGCAATCATTAGAGCTGTGACGGGCATCTTCCGCAATGCACAGGACTCCCTGCGCCTGGGATCGATACACTCGATGTCTGCATCCACGCTCAATACGGTGGATGAAAGCAGTCCAGCGCAGAGTCTGAAGCAAAAACTGGAAGAGCTGGCTATGGACGGCCTCACGACGAACTTCCATTTCTTGGTTCCCAATCAAAGTCATTGGGGGAAGATTGCTGCTTGGATATCCGACCTGGTTCTAAAGATCGTCGGTTTGGAATGATCTTTTCGGCATGCTGTGTTTTCTTCATGGACGTCATGTAGAACATATACTGTACTTCTAACTTGCATTGTTTCAGATCCGACTTACGCACATATTACTTTACACAGTCATTGGAATAGCACTAGTAATGCTAATGCCACGTCGTTCCACGACATAGGGTACACATACAATTGAACATATATCATTACTTTAAGGCCTTGTAGCAATCTATTATCTTGCCCTGGTCGCTTCATTTCCGTTTGACCTCCCGCATCCCGGTGCACCCTTCTGTCTGGCAGATCCAACTCAAATTTGCCAAGTAAGGCAGGATTCCCACGGCTTCTATACTATTGTTGCCGCTCCGAGCACTCAGCACACCTTGTTCATACCCTATACTTACTGCATATATATTCCTGTCTTCATTCAGCTTCACGACCACTCATTCTTTAACCAACATCCAACCGACTGGAGTCAATATGCACGACGAATCCGCCTCGGATTACTGTCCGCCCACCCCAGACACAAGTAGCCTCTACCATGCCAATAGTAACGTGGACGACCTCACTCTAGCTTTAACGAATATCTCCCAAGTACCATCCTTGGAGTCCCAGCAGAACGTGTGTTGCTGTTGTAATAGCACCGAGTGTCAAGCGACGAAGAGTTGGCTGGACCTGAAGGAGAAGCTCGAGAAACGGTTGCATCTCAGCGCAGGTATGTACTCGTGTCGTCTCTGCGAGCGATCCGTAAACGTCTATGCAGAGGTTGGCTCTGCCCTACTACAGCGGCATGAGGCATACGTCCGTCGACATGAGGTACGCGAAGCCCCGATCGCAACACGCCTCCGTAGCTTATTTTGTATTAGTCTGATGTGCATACGCCGCGCCGCGCTTCAGAAGATCTCGCGGATGAGTCACTTCAAGACATGCATAGTGGATTCGATTCGCCTTTGGCTGACCTGATGAAAGATAATGCCGTCTTGGAGAAGGTTGGAATCTTCCTTCAAAAATGCGTCGAGTTGACACCTTAATTGTAGCGACTAACGCAAGCATTATTAAATAGCGAAGTAGCCGAGGCTTCACATAAGACTGTACTCCATGAACTAGAGGAAGCTCGGATGTTGGTGACGCGCCTGACTGCATATCAAGCACGTACTGTAGGGATTGATTCTCGACTGGCTGCTACTCTCCAAGAGAATGATGACCTTCGGCAAGAGCGAGACAGCCAAGCACAGAGGGAAAAGACTGCAGAAGCACGTATTGCTGCTCTCAAGGATCGTACTGGTAAGGTTTTCCCATTGTTTTTAGATCACGTTTTACTGATTATTTGCCCGTGATACAGACAAACTACAAGCTGAAGTTCGTCGCTTGCAAGCTGACCTCGAGCTTCGACGCTTGCAACGATTAGAATCGTCAGAATCTCTACTACAAGATGTCCGCTCTCGCTTGGAAGGTTTTCATCACACGGTAAGGGCCATGCATAAAAGTATGTGGCGCATCACTGATGGACCACCTCCAGCATACTAGCTCGGTGATGACCGAGGACTCGGAGATTATGAAAGGTACTGGAGTCGCTAGTCTCTGATAATGAGGTCCTCAAGGCCGATAATGAGGAACTGCCATAAGCTTCTCACCGATTCTAGAGAAGACCTTCAAGTGCTACAATCACAAGTGGAGGAACACAACATCTTCACACCTCCAATACGAGGTCCGCATTTTATATCAAAACATCCAGTGCGCGGTACTTATGTGTTGTAATTAGTGGATACGCCTTCAGAGACATTCACGGACAGGAAGTGGCCCATCGTCATTTATCCGAGATTCGGTATGAGCATAAATACTCGTCCAATTCCCTATTCATTTACAGTTAACTCAGTTGCTGAACTCTGTCAAACGTCCATTGAGCATGGAGCCAAGGGCTCGTCGTGTCTTTGTGAGTGTATCCCCCTCATAAGTATAGCAAATGTCTTACGTCATTCCCAAGGAGCCGCTGACCCCCGAGACCAGCCAGCGTCCACTTTCCCCAGCAGACTCGATGGTTCCCTCAGAAACGAAGTATTCTAGTCTGCGCCCACAATCCCCGCCTTCTCACTTCAGCTTCGATGCGGACGAGTATGATCTCGATCACAACTCGCTGCTCACCAATCCCAATCAGCATTCCAAGGCAGTGCAGACAGATCGCTGGTTAGGGTTGCGTCCAACGGCACAGCTGACGCCATCTCTCAACGAGCTTGTATCGTCCTTTCCTCATGATGGCCGATCAGATTCTTCCTCGTTGCTTGACGGTCAACCCACGCACCTCTCTGCCCTTCTAGAGCGCGTGATGTCACTCCTGTCGCGCATGTCGCAGGCAGATGCGCTGACGCTGACGAAGCGCTTGAAACGCCAGCATCTACGTGGTGCGGACGTTAAGCACCTATCACGCACGACAGTAAGCAGCATCCTCTCGGAGATCACCCAACTGCGTGCACAGTACCGCATGTTGCTTGAGGATGAGAAGGTTACCCTCCTGTGCTCCCGGAAGGATTTGCGTGGGCTGTTCAAGCTCTTCAAGGACATGTTTGAGGAACTTGGTCAGATGCGTGTCACGCTGAATGATATCATTCTAGAACCTTCTATTGCACAGAGGGTCAGTGAGATGTCACTGGATCCTGCAAAGGCCGAGGCCATGGAGAGGGAGAGGAAGGCATCCGGACCAGGCTCAAGTTGGATGGCCCCATTCTCGAAGTTGTTCGGTTCATCATTAAGCGAATCAAGCACTCACTCTTCTCAACCGCCCCTCAGACCTGAGAGTCGAGGTCGTGGGATCATTCGTCAGCCACGTCCGGTGCCAAAGCTGGGTCCAGCACTTGCTGCATCGACTACAATAGTTAATGTCGAATTTTCGGGGGCGGGTGTTGGCAAGTCTGTAACAAGCACGTTCTCCGCTCATCCTACAAATGAAGTAAATCCGTTCGGCACGATGTCTCGCGCCGATATCATTCCTCGCCCGTCCACGTCAACATCAGCGGGCTCAAACGTACGCAGCGTCATGGGCATCTTCGCGGGTGCACCCCACCCGGATGATGCCGCAGATCCATGGGTAGTGCTTCCCCGTGGTCCTCGCCGTGTCCGTTCCACATTCTTCAGGTCAGACGAGCCTTCGCAAAGCGGCACCGCAACCATCGAGAGATCCGTCATGTGCAAGCGGAGCAATTCGCACCTGTCACGCGGGATGGACCCCGATGCTGATCTAGAGCATGACGAAGCAAACGATATCCCTGGACCCCTCCTCGAGCGTACCCTGCGCCGACGGGGTCTTTCAGACTCTTCTATTCACTCGACGTACATGAGTCAGGCCGAACACAGTACACCTGTTGAGCCTAGCACCGGCGAGTCAGTATTGCAGACCCTCAGCAGGACAATGAGAAACTTCAGTTTCGCTGCAAGCCAGATGGGATCGAGTTCCGTGACATCGCCACCAACCATTCGCGTGCCGGGAGTCAAGGAGGCTGGTTCGCGTGAAGGTCTTGACATGCCACGTCCTCATCCTCGCAGAGCAGCTACTCCAACGCTATCGTCACTCGTGCCAAACTTGAACTTAGCATCGTGGGCTGCGGGCGGCGCTACGGTAGAAAATCCGCACTCGAGGTCGCGAGCAATGTACTATGGCAGCGTCCGAGACGACTCCGTCATGCCCCGGCCACGGGGACGGGAAGATTAGAGGAGTATTGAATCTGACAGTGCTGACAAGCGTAATTGACATTTCGTGCAATATTTGGGAAGTGTAATCTATTTATGGGACATGCATACAGTGCAGTGCTTAGTTTAATCACCCCCCCGTCATGATACTTTCCTCTCATTACAGTATTATTGTATCATAAGTATCAGGTGGAACAGTGCATAATCGTCGACATTCTATTGCGTGTATAATCAAGAGCTATTGACATTCGATACAAAGCTGCTTGAGAATTATGGATACATGCCGGTTTCGGAGAATTCAAGGGAAACGGATGGGCGTGAATCAGTGATTCAAGGAGATACCTGCCATCAATGACAAGAGCCTTATAGAAAAGTGAAAAGTATTGAGCAAACATAATAAACTACAAGATGACGTAGTTAACATACTTGTCCATACGCGTACTGGTTGCAGGCCAGCAGCAAAGCAGCTTGGGCGATAACTTCATCACGTCCAGGACGACATACAGGGATTCCTTTATTTTCTCCATAGTTCTCACCTACCGGAATCTGTGATTTATTGAACTCGTCGGAGCCACCAGCTAAGATCGTTGTTAGCTACAAAAATGGGTTTTTAAAAAGAACTTGTCGTTTCAGAAGGGAAAATCCTAGGTGCGATGTTATTCACTGACTTGAACGGCCTTCCTCCTAAATTCTTGCGCAAGTAAAGTACTGTGGATGACGGCTGCTTTGGAGACATTGTACTTGTAGTGGTGCTGCGTGGTACGAGTGATACCAGAAATGGAGGAGATGTTGATGACGGAGCCGGTGTGCTGTGAGTTGCTATGTGAAGTTGCGTGGAGAAGGGGCAAGAACGCGGTAGTCATGAAGAAACATCCAATGACGTTGGTCCTGTAGACGTTCTCCCAGCTGACCGGGTCTTCTCGAAAGAGCTCCGTTGAGAGATACTTGGCACTCTCATCACCCTTCTCAACATCGCCTGTGCCCTCGCTGATGCCGGCGTTGTTCACGAGCAGGTTAATGTGATCTTCCTGCTTGCTGATCTCCTGGACTGGTTGTTTGATCGAGTCTTTCGACGTAATGTCAGAGGTAACGGGAACAAGTTTCCCCTTAGGATGAGCGAGGGAAGAGCCCCAATGTTTCGCGGCGCGTTCAATGACGTCCTGGCGGCGCGACGTGAAGTAGACTTTGGCCCCGTTATTGGCGAACGCTTGGCAAGTTGTGCAATCATGAGGCCGATTCGTTTTTCACGGCAAATTTTGCGTTTTCCGAGGACATTTTGACTGAGCTCTGAGGACTGAAATAGACTTTCGGGGACGGCAAGTGCGTGTAGTTTGAGGCTTTGAGCAGAAATCTGGTTGTACACAGGAGCATGGACGTGAATGACCTCATCCAACTTCAACAAAAGAGCCTGAACCGCATATGTGAATCCGAAGCATATCATGATATTTACATACATGTCACAATGCAAGACCTTGTGTACAACTTGTGTATGTGTCTTAAAAGCTAAATATTAAATCACAGCATGCATGCTCATGTAAGCTTCACAAGGCCTTGCATGCTTCGGGCAAGTCGACGACTAACGTGCACCATTGTTATTGTACCCAATTCCTCAAGCTACTAGTATATTGAATAACTTCGAAGGTCCGAAGGCTGTTATCGGACGCTCGACGGCTGCCATCACTGTTTAGCGGTGTCCGCTAAAACCAGCCAGGCACGAGACCTCCACGACTCAGTACTTATTCCTGTCGTCTCTGGCTCGGAGCTTTCGTTGCTCCCCTATACGATGGGTTTCGACCTTGTTGTTCGCAGATTCTTTCCGTTGCTAAAATTCCCGGGAAAAGTGGGCCATGGGGCCACCGATGTCAAAGTACGAATCCCGCCTGCCGTCATTTCCGAGTTTTAACATGTTTCTACCTATGTTAGGATGCAACCGTTGCTGTCGGTCGCCGTCTTCCAGCCACACCCGGCGCGCAAGAGATCGACGCTGAAGGAACTATTATAACTCCTGGAGGCTCTTCCTCCTTCTCCGACGAAACTCTGAATCAGACACATGGATGGTCATTGCTCTATGATACAATCAGGGATGACCTAGAACGTGAGAGGGAGCTCGACAGCCTGAGTGCAGCTGCGGCCCTCGAGTTGCAGCAATCTTTTGACATTGAAGATATGCAACTTCGAGATCAGATGCAAGCTCTGGCTGTCACAACCCCACACAACTTTTCGTGCGCAATATGCATGGAAGAACAGCCTGTCGACAACAGCGTGTATCTTGAATGTAATCATCTGATATGCAGAGCTTGTACCCGAGGACACGTTTGTTCGAAGATCGAGGAACATCGCTTTCCAGTCTTGTGTCCCGTGTGCATGGCAGAACCGAATAACCATCGACCTGGAGGTTTGTACATCCTCTGTAATGCCCAATGCCAACTCACCCTCCCCAGCGATCTCAGGATTCCTCGTTCAACAAATTGGTGTCGATGAGCGGCAATATGCGATTTGGGAGGATATGGAATTAAGCCAGCTTTCAGTTCTCCTTCACTGCCGCCAGTGAGTGCTTCACCCGTGTTGCCCTCCGCGCGCCGACCGTGTCGTTTTAGATGTCGGCGTTCGGTGTCCGTAGACAAAGAGGAGCACGAAGAATCTCGCCTCCTGTCTTGTCCTCTACCCGATTGCAACCATATCTGGTGCAAAGCGTGCCAGAAATCGATTACTGTTGGCGATCCTCCACATTCTTGTGACGGAGCCTCAGAACTGGACCATTTAATGAAGCAGCACGGGTGGAAATACTGTCCAAGTATAGGCTCCTCCTCTTCCTCTTGGCTATTTCCTGTTACTCATCATCATTGGCAGACTGTAAAACACCGGTCCAGAGGGATGGGGGATGCAGCCATATGACTGTGCGTGATCTACGAAGTTCCAGACAGGCACGCCGTTCTAACGTTTACGCTATCTAGTGCATCTCGCCGGGCTGCAACACTCACTTTTGTTACGCTTGTGGGGAACACATCGTTCGCAGCGCCTTGCGAGGTGAGATTCAGAACGCCATATCTGTACACTATAGTGTTTGTAAATTGTTTGATTTTCCGGATGAGGCGCTTGGCGGTGGGGAATAAGAATGTTGTAGGTAGCATTCATTACGTGGGGTAAGCTGTGTGCAAGCTAAGTAGTGAATATTCGTAGGTGTAGTATACATCGACCTTGGACTGTTTCTGTTGTCTACTAAACACCTTCTACTCACGTCCATCAAACACCGTGAAACGGGCGAGCACCAGTAACATGTGCTCAAGGAAATTGTGGCTGTGACTCATGTTTGGCTTTGTTCCGCAAAAAACGCGTCATAGAATTGTCATAGCGCGTATTGATTATAATCGTACACTCGTATAAGTGAGTACAATGAGCTCAATTTCCTATTGCCATACCGAAGTTAATCCAGGTAATCTGATGTCGATCCGGGGTAACTATCGGATTCCATGAGCTTTTCTTCCACTCACGCACCTCCGACGCTATCGACGACTATTTGGAACCAACCGACATACAAGCCTTCTCATGTTGCAATACAATGTTTCGGAACTGGATTGTATCGTGGTTCGAGATATACCCTCCCAGGGTCAAAGGGTGGGCCACACTCACTGAAGCTGCGAGCATGCATCATCGTCTCTGGCTTCCTCAGGGGCGACATATATCCCGGACAACTGTCCTTTATCGCCCACTTCTTCCGTAAATACAATGTCCACCCAAAGACCGCGGAGAATCTGCTGCGGTGTGATATCTTTCGCGTTATTTGGGTCGGGGCATTCTTGGACTCAGTCCCGGTCGCGTTCCCTTGATTTTGGCTCCTAGAACGCATAAACAGGGGGACATAACGGAGCAAGATATGTCGGTGGCTGTCAGCTCCCTTTGTTGCCTTAGGGTGGTATGCCCTTTCTTGGTACTTTGTGAAGCCGTTGTGAGAGGAGGTGATGGAGAAACCCAAAGGAGATGCTCGAGAGGAGGCAGGGTAAGAAAGAATTACAAATGGGCGCGCCGAGAGGTGCACCTAATGGACACGCCAAGAGTGCCAGTGCACCACCGCCCGAAGGAAGAAAGGTTGCCAGTACTAGTGCTGTCGGGGAACCGAATGACTGCGATGTTGAAGGGCTGCGTGCCATTGGTTCATAACTGATGTTTGTAAAGATCTATCCCTGTTGTATGTGAGTTTCACTTTGGAGACGGAGCAAACGCGTGTGGCGTGAACAAATCGTAACGGCGCTTACGCACCAAGTCCCCGACTCCGATTAATATTGGTATACCCTACTTTACCAGCACGGTGAGTGTCAGCTGGTGGTGCAAGTTCTCGCGGTCAAGGCACGCGGTAGACATTCGTGCTCGTCCGTCCATACGATCGTTGTCTCCTCAAGCTGCCTGGCCCTGCAACGATGCGCAGACCGAGGAAGTCTGGTCTGAGGCTGGGTCTCTTGGAGAAAATGACCAAAAATATGCACGGCTCTGTCAAGAGTACGAAGTTGCCACTATACGACTTCAACCTGGACCAAGTTGCACATGACTCGCTATCGCAAAGAATGACCAGGCTTGAAGGCAGTGATCCGCGATCGCCTTCGCTCTTGAGATGGAGTCCATAGAGGCCCTCATGCCAGATACCGCGACATGCGAGTAGCCGCATTGAATGCAATTCGTGGACGCCAGTAAAATTCAAGATAATCCTTTGAAGCAAATCAGGGGATTAGCGCATCAATCGTGGTATGGCTGGAAAAGGTTGTAGCCAACTGTACTCCGGTGAAAAATACGACGCAATCCAGATCGGAGGAGTCCTGATGGAAAGTAGCCCTAGGGTCCAAATGTTGAAAACAATTGTCCGATCTCCCACGAAACGCCGATGGAAGACGCGTAAATCGAAACATCCTATGACAATAATGATCGAAGGAGTGTCCACCGGAAATTGGGCCTTGCAGAATAGAGACGTAATCACTCTCGCAAAGGCGTCTATCGGTGGACGATAGACGCCAGACCAGATTGAAGTACGATATTCAGTCGGGTATCATCCGGAAAACTCGAGCATAAGGATTAGCGAGACTAGGTTGTCGGAGCTAAAGAAACAGTAAATGAAATCGTCAAAAGAGATTGGGTGTAAGATCGCGCCAGCCGAGTGAGTGTCCAAAGCTGAGGCTAAGAAGTGAATCGGAATTCGAAGCGACCGCAAGAAGGGTGGTCGGATCCAAAGAAACAGTAAACAACGTCGTCAAAGGAGATCGGGTATAAGTTCAATCGAAGGAAACCCGCAAGCCGAGTGAGTGTTCAAAGCGAGAGGAAGCCAATCGGAGCTCGAAGGGACCGCGAGGGAGGCGGTCGCATCCAAAGAAACAGCAAAAGAGATCGTCAAAGGAGATAAGGAGATAAGAGGATGGAAAGAATGAGCGAGTAAAAGTTCGATTGAAAATAACCCATCAGCCAAGTTAGCAGAACTTGAGAGGGGAAGATCAGTCAGAGCTCGAAACGGAGTTGACCGAAATCCCAAAAACATCGGGTAAGCGAGATCGAAATCGACATCGGGGATTGAATCAATCATGAACATTGAACAGGCTTATGGCAAATGGAACACGAGGTGACAGAGTTGATCCAATGGACTCGAGCGAAAGCAGGTCAAAGTCATCGTCGTACAGGAGCAAAGTCCATCAAAGCAGGAATGGGTATAACTTCGCTCGATTCAGTGTCGTCGAGTGGAGAAAGTCAATCATAGCTCGGAGGGGCCGGAAGAGCCTTTGTGATCGGATTCCAAAGAAACACAGGGTAAACGAGATCGTCAAAATATAATATCGAGAATCGCACATCAACTATGAGATCGACATGGGAAAGATCGTTGGTTAGGCGGGAGAGTTCAGTCGAGGAAAAGAAGGGTCAAAGGATAGCCGTCGTGAATGGGGACCCGACAGTGAGACGGTGCTCTCGGCCGAAGCCAGTTGTGCGAGCAACTGCAGGTAGTCGAGGTCCCATACTCCAGACTTGATAGATCGTAGCAAGTTCGTGGTTTGGCGTCGTGCCATCGAAAACACAAGGGTTGTATGAAGTTGGAGGTCAAATCAAGTGAAGAAAGTGGAAGTAGAGAGAAGAGAAGGTTGAATCAAACGTCTGTCTTATAACGTCTGTCTTATATACGTGGGCGGACATCGAAGGCAATTGTGGAACATCCGAAATATTCCACATGACAGCGGAAGCGGATGTTTTCACAACTGTCAGCCTCTAATATGATGTCATTTCAATCTTGACTGAAGCGTTCTACGAGGCGTGACGTCAGCAAGGACGAGTCCACCTATCATCTGACGCTGACCATGGAAGATGCGGGAGTACTTGTTCGCCCGAAGCGAGTCTTAAGCTCAACCACTTACAAGTACTTGCTGAAAAGAACAATTAATTGGTACTACTAAGTCGGAGTTTCAAAACATTCTTGTGTCGCGTATGTGCGTCAATCCCCGACTCCAAGGGAATATCAGTAGGTCCTCCCACGTTAGTGGGAGTCGGGGAGTATGTTGTCTCTTTATCAACACGTCGAGACATATAATTAATGTTATCGGAGTCGGGGATTTGCTGTGTGAGCGGCGCTACGATCTCCGATAAAATACCAACACCATGTCCCACCGAGAAGAGCATTCATCAATACTAGTACCGCCCCGTATCAAGAAACCGCCCTAAACACCCTCACAATCTCCTCCCTGACCCTCCCAACACCCACCCCAACCCCAATCAACACACCCACATCCACCGCACAAAGCGCCAAAGCAGCAAACAAATACCTAGGCGCAAAAATCTTCCACACCATCAAATGCCTCCTCAACAGCGCAGCAAACACAGCAGCTCCAAACGCCAACACCGCAAAATACAACGATATCCCTATTCCAGCTCTTAGCGCAGACGCACCAAGGGTTTTTGGGTGTGGCAGTGGAGGAAGGTTCCAGAGCACGAGTAAGGGCGTAGCGAGAGCTATCAGTACGAACGGACCGAGGGTGTTGATCGTCAAGGATATGTGCGAGAACGGGAAAGAGACCGTCGACCCGAAGATAAATGCACTTTTCCATTGAACTGAGGGGATCGTCGATTGGTGGCCTGTGCTGTAGTATGTATGCATAGCTAAAAGCCCCAGCGGTACGAGTTCTGAAAATAAGAGGTCTCGCTTGACAGTAGCAAGGTCGAGTGCGGAAGATGGAGAGGCGGATGTGAAGGCTTCGTTCAACCCGTGTACGTCCCGAACGCTGTCGATGACCTCCAGATAGGAGAGCAGCGCGACAGATGCAAACCCGAGGACAATCTGCCCTGAGAGCTGGGTCATCAACCAGACGATACTCAGGAAGATCAGCCAGAAAATGAGGTACGGAGAACCAAATGCGTTGGCAAAGCCCAACACAGTGACTTCAGTCTTTTCCTCTGAGGTAGACGCAGGAGTTTGTGGACTCGACTGATTTTTCGAGATCGCAAGGCAAACTGGTGACGTCCACCAGAGTGAAATGCCCCCAATCAACATAGCAGCAGTAGTGGTCCTCGCCAGGACGGTTCGCGTCATCCTCAAAACATCTCCCATATCGCCCAAAATTTTTGCAGAGTCTACCCATTCGAGTACCCAGAACATCGTGCCAGCAATTAAAGTTGGAGCGAGGAAGAGCGGGATAAACGTTGCAGCCAGACCTGAGTCAGACTTGGAGATTTTGAGTATACGGCGGACGGCTCGGGGGATTGCGATCGCAACAGGGAAGGCGAGTAGGAGTGCTATGAGTGGAGGGGCTGATGATGACTCGGACGCGTAAAAGGTCACGGTGCAATAAGGGTGTTGTTCCTCTCTGCAAATGGTGCTCGTAGCCATGAGCCGCACGCATGCTGCGAAGAGAGTAGAAAAGCCTAGGATACGGTAGCGCAGCCGAGAGGTCGGAGCAGTGAATCCTGTGATGACAGATGGGACGATGGACGAGATGAGGAAGAAGAGCACGATACGGTCTTCCCATACTGTGAATGAGTTTGACGCGAAACACGAGGTGTGTAGGATGAGGAAGATGGGAAGTGCCTTTATAGACGCCAAGGTGATTGTAGGGCGGGTTGCAGCTACCACGACGAACAATGATGAAATGGCGGCAACGAAGAGCATGGTTTGGTGCATGGCAACACCATCCAAATACTCGTGCAATATAAGATCTGCCAGGTACCCTAGGGCAAATCCTACAGCAGAGGCGCTAAAAGACCACAAGACTCTATCGTCCACCCACTTTTCCCACTCATCGTCCCCAACATCTCGGAGAGTTGAGTACAAGGCCCAGCCTGCGACAATGCTTAAACCGATAACTGCCAATCCAGCGCCCATCAGCAAGACATTGAACTGAGCCCAGAGAAGACGGCAAGTAGATAATGCTAAGCGGGTGAAGTTATCAAGTGCAACGAGACGGTGCTCCCCGTCCACCGCACTTATGCCGGCCCAGGCAACGGAGAAATCATGCCAGGCGGCATCAAGCTCCATTCCAGACGAACTGGATCGATAAGTATCGAGATAGCGCATGATCTGAGCTGCATTGAGCTCCATGGCTTTCTGCAAAGAAGAACCATCGGGATCCCGATTAAAAAGTTCTGGAATGACGCTCCCAAGGTTATTAAATGGGATTGGAAGACCCAGGAGCAAGGAGATAGTTGGCACCAGGTCTATCTGCTGGACATAGCGATGCGGGACCGGAGCTTCTGGGAATGTAATCTTCGGTACAATGGCTTCAGGAATGGTGTACTGAGTAAAAGAAAGAGGGATTTTGCTATAAATCCAGAGAGCTGACATTGTCTCTAGGGTGCTGTCACCGCCGTGGTTGCCCATTCGATCCATTCCATGATCCCCGAGCAATATGAGCAGGGTGTCGTCGTCCATGGCCGCAACTACATCGCGCAAAAGATTGTTCATCTGCTCGAGCTTCGCTCGCAACACCGGATGGTCTGGGCCGACTCTGTGACCTGCATGGTCCACGCCTAAACCATGACCAATGGCGAAATCCCATGAGGTTTGATGATGTCGCATCAACGGTAAAAGATTGTCGATGACGCCCTCGTCCACAGTATGAAGGTCTTCGACGTTGAAGGAGTCGAAGGCAAACGTCATATTTGGCTGGAAGGCATCTGGGAATAGTGTGAGCCATGTGTCGTCCCCGGCGAGAGCAATCTTTCCTTGGGGTTGTATCAGGGCAACGGAGAGCGGAAAATTAATCAACACATACCTTTCTTCCCGCAGCATTTAATTGATGTATTATGGAATCTTCGTGAATGGAAGAACCTCCAAAATTTTCGCCAGCATCTACGAAGGTAGGTAGAGATCCCGTGGTAAGACCTTTGAGTCGCTGAAGAGTTGTCGTCGGCGGGTCTGAATACGCGTTGAATATGAATGATCGATTGGGATGAGTGGTAGTCAATTCGCGAGGCAGAGTCAGGATATTGTGATGAAAAGGGGAGGCAGGTTCTGGCGGATGTTCTGCGATGAAATCAAACCGGAGCGCATCTATAACGAGTAAAACGGCTCTTTTGTGGGTCGCGAGTGAGGCGCAGGTGTCTGAGCCGCATGCACCTCTGTCTGGCAGGGCGAGTCGGCTAAGCAGGAAGCCCTTAGTAAAGAGGTAGATGCCAGCCAGGTGAACACATAACAGCCATAGTACGAGACGAAATTCACGAGAAATCATTAGGGACGCTCAAAGTTGGGGCGCACACTTCGCCCACACCGCCCACGCCTACGACCCCCCTGCGCAACAACACCATCCCGTTTTGTACATATCCGTATTATATAATACAATGCTAATGCAGTGTGAAGTCAAGGCCTTGTACAATAAACATATCACAGATGGCTCGTCACACATTGCATGAGCAATACCTACACTCATACCTCATACTTATGGTCCTTCGTATCTTATTTTACCCTGTGGAAACTGTAGAAGAAGTGTTGAAAGTAAACTCGCCAATGTTTTGTTTTCATTTGTTTCTATCTCGGACTCTTTCCTCGTACTATATTATATCACTGTCTATGTTTGTTTATACCTCAACGGTTCTTTCACCAACGCTGAGGTATGTATCTCGACCGTTTGCACGCTTGCTCTCTCTTACAATTAATTGTTTCCAGACTCGTCTATTAGGTACTATCAATGTATAGCGGTTCTTTCACCAACGCTGAGACTTGTCTATTAGCTTCTCTTTTCCAACAGGTTATAAGCCCCGACTCAAACTGAGTCAGGAATTCGAAGCTTTAAAAAGTTGTTATCCCCTCTCATTGCATCATCCCGCCATTCATATTAATTTGTCAGTCCTTTGCCAACATTGTCATGGGAAAATACTGATCACATCCCTGAGCTGCTGGGGTCGGAAAACTATGTTGGTTGGTCCACTAAGATGCAGTACGCACTTGTGTGTGAAGACTTATGGTGTCACATCAACAACAAGTCCGATCCCTCTGACCTTCTCAGTCAACCCTCTCACATGCCTGCTGCTGTTGATCCACTCAACGTCACTGCCTCCGATAGAGCGTTAATGCGCCTATGGTTGCTAGATGACATGAAAGCCAAGGATCTAATCACCTGCTGTCTCAGCCCTTCCATCAGCGCACTCGTGTCTCGCTCACACACCATCATCACTGCGGAAAGTGTGGGAAACACTCAAAGAGCACTAGAATCACAACAACATCAGTTCTCAATATCAGATCTGTCAGCAGTTGCAGGTGCTACGCATGAAGGACTCCACAGACGCATCAAATTTCATTGGGCAGCATGCTGCTTTATGAGAACGTCTCATTGACTCTGGGGCACCATACTGGTGACATGGATGCAATTTTCAAACTACTCATGGGTCTACCGCTTATGCCAATCTGGCAGCAATACAAATCTCAACTTGAGCAACATATGCACAATGATCAGATCACAATATCATCTGCTTCCACCCTACCTATCTTCACCTTTGAGACCTGCATGTCGCACATCACTGCCAAAGCTGCACGTCACGTGAATGTTCAACTGATTCAATCTGCACGCCCAGGGTCTGAATATGCCAATGCTGTCACTACACCATCCTCCACTGTGGCTGCCAGTATCAATGCTCTCACTGGCTTGCGCAAGCACAAGCATAACCCACATGGCATTTTCTGCACCACAGCAGGTTGCAACAAGGGTGATCATGATCACACTCATTGTTACAAGAAGGGCGGCGGTATGGAAGGTCAAGCACCTTGGCAGAAGAAGAAAGGCAAATCTGAGATGGCGGCAGCAGCAGTTACAGCAGTTGTTCCTGTTGTGCCCGCCATCATCCCTCCTGCTCCTTCACCTCACATTGTGGCTGCAGCTGCTTCCATCGTCAGTCTATATGAAGATGTTTCATTCACGTCCATTGCCAAACTTCCTGATCACAAAGTCGCTTGTGCTCTCCCGCTCCCCTTTTCTGTCATTCTTGACTTAGGGACAACTGTGACACTCGTCAAAGACCGCAGTCTCTTCCACACCTACTCTATGGAGGACCCAATCAGTGTAAAGACTGCTAATCATGGCATTCTTCAGACTGCAGGACGAGGTACACGTGTAGCTTGGCTCACTATTGGGGGACAACAAATGTGTCTTCGCATGTCCAACTGCCTCCATGCTCCAGGCACACTCCTTAACCTCATTTCCGTGAGCAGTATGAACATGAAGGGATGGGATGTCAATTTCTGTGCCAACATGACATGTGAACTTACCTATCGCGATACCCTACTTGGCGCCATTCCTGCCACAGGCAAGCTTTACGCACCTGATCTTGAATTTGTCCCCTTTGTGTCACCCGCGCCATCTTTGCCTAAGATGCCAGAATTCGCTGTGTTTGCTCATGTGCCGCTCACCTTGGATCTCTGGCATGCACGAATCAGGCACATTGGCAAAGCTGCTGTCACATGTCTCCTGCAAATTGCGAAGGGGGTAACTGTTGACTCCTCAGCCCCTCTTTCCAACTGTGAATCATGCATCCTTGCTAAACATCCTCACCAGCCCTTCCACTCCTCAGAGACCGAACGTGTTGCTCACTTCCTTGACCTCATCCATTTGGACCTCTGCAGCCCCATCCCCGTCATCTCTGCTCACGGGAAACACTATTTTATAGTGTTTCTGGACGACCATACTCATGCTCTCAACCTTCAGCTCCTTGCCATGAAGGACCAAGCACTTGATGCATGGCGCACTACACATGCACGGTGGGAGAACATGTCCGGGCTACAGGTCAAAATTTTTCGTTCCGACAATGGTGGGGAATTCATGAGTGACGCCTTTACCGCGGCTCTAGAGGAGGCAGGAATTGAACGTCAGTGCTCAGTACCACAGGCTCATCAGCAAAATGGGAAGGCCAAACATGTCATGCACACAATCGAGGGTTGTATGTATGCAATGCTTGACTATGCTCGTCTTTCTCGCAATCTGTGGGGTGAAGCAGTGCTCACAGCAGCGTACCTTTTTAACCGAACAGAATCTCATGCATTGCCTCCTGGGAAGACACCCTATGAAATGATACATCATGTCCAGCCCACCCTTGCTCATCTTCGTGTTTTTGGTGCACATTGCTTCACTCGCACCCCACCAGAACTACAGGTGAAGCTCGGACCGTGGTTGCGCGAGGCTGTATTCATGGGATACCCTCCAGGTGTCAAGGGTTGGCATTGTCGCGATGTTATTACTGGGGCTTTCTTTAACTCTTGTGACGTCATATTTGACAAGAACTTCACTCACTGTCCTTTCCCTGACAGCGATGATGAGGAGGAAGAACCTGTGATAAGCCCAACACCTGATCTTCCTGCTCCTGCTGCCATGCCTCCTGTACCCACACCGCCTCATGCCGACATCATTCGTTGTTTGGGTCGCATTCCAGTTCGCACTGAGAAGGGATCTCTGTTCCAATCGCGGATTGCAGCTGATAGGCAATGACTTGACTGCCAACGGGTGATTTGTGCAGCCCGAATCCAAGGTATCCCTCCTCCCCCCTCATTGCTCGACAACATTCTTCCCCCAACATCCCTGTCCATCCCATGGTCCTACCTGGCCCTCCCGTCCTCGGTCCTGCTGATCCAGATGCGATCGTTGAGGACGATGAGGAGGTGGGATTTCCTCGTGTCCTTGCTAATCTCATTGTTGTCGAATTTGCGCGTCTCTCGATTTGCAGCGATATCCGCCGGAATCCTCTCACTCCCAACTATAATCTAAAGGTACCACCAGCCACTTACAACGAGGTGATCAGACACCCAGACTGCAACGACTGGCTAGCTGCGATGTGGAAGGAAATGAACCTTATGTCGGAAATGAATGTGTACAAGCTGGTACCCCCACCTGTGGACCACCGCGCTATTGGGTGCCGCTGGGTTCTTGAATTCAAGGAGGACCAGTGTTCAAGGCTTGTCTGGTAGCTCAAGGGTTCTCTCAAATCCCTGGCATTGATTTCGGCAAGACTTTCACACCAGTAGCTAAATCCTCTTCCATACGCATTCTTGCTGCGCATGCAGCCGCACATGACTGGGAGCTAGACTGCTTCGATGTGAAGTGTGCTTTTCTCTGGGGAAAGCTACAGGAGGACATCTACATGCATCAACCGCCGGGTTTCGAACGTCTTGGCCCAAATGGGCAGCAGCTTGTTTGTCACCTTCTCTCCTCCTTATACAGTCTCAAACAAGCCACCTATGACTGGTATGAGCTACTACGCGACATTCTCACATGTCTTGGTTTCCTGCAGTGCGAGGCCGACTATGCTGTTTTCATTTTTAATCACGTCAACAGCGAGGGGGTGAGGGTGATTTGTATTATCGTGTGGCATGTTGATGACAGCCTGGCTGGGAGCAACAATTGGGCATTCCTCAATCAAACGAAGGGACAGATTGCAGAGCATTTCGGCATCACAGATCTAGGAGCTGTCAGCAAGTACCTTGGGATACAATTCATTCGCGATCGGGGAACCCACGAACTCTGGATGCACCAGGAGGACTACATCACCTACTTGCTTGACGAGCATGGCATGTCCAACTGCAATCCTGTCGCCTTACCCATGGACCCAAACTCCCCTTTCGGATGTGCCACTGATGTCTACCTGCATGTTGACGATCTTGAAATGGAGTATTGAAAACTAGTGGGCAAGCTCCTGTATCTCACAATGTATACTCGTCCCGACATCGCTTTCACCATGATGTGACTCGCACAACACAATGCCTCTGCCAAGCCCTGCCATTACTCCGCAGCCAAGCACATCCTGCGCTACCTCTCAGGCACCATTCACATGAAGACTCACTATGGCAGCACAGGGATCAATCCTGCTCTCCACAGTTTTAGCAACTTGGACTGGGCTTCCTGCCCAGAGGACCAAATCTCCATCTCGGGCTATGTCTGGTTTTTCAATGGCAGACCTATCTCACACTCAGCGAAAAAGCAGACCACTCACACACTGTCCTCCACAGAAGCAGTGTGTATATGGCTTTGACAGCTGCGATCCAAGACGGTATTTGGCTACAGTCTCTCTTCACTTGTTTTTCGATTCCCATGACCCTACCTCTACGCATCTTCACTGATAACGCTGGTGCCATCGCGCTATCACAAGAGGCAGCCAATCACATATGCACGAAACACATTGACCTTCACTATCACTTCATCCAATGCCACATCGAAGAGGGAACCTTCCTACCTGCATGGTTGTCAACTCACAAAAACATGGCCGACATTTTCACTAAGCCCTTAC